CGGCCCGATTGTGTCAGCAGGGATCAACTGGGATTGTCGGCGTCGGCATCGTGAGTGAGTGGATGTTGCCTGTTGGTGGGAGCGCCCTGTCGCCTGCACTGTGGAACCGTGGAGCCGTGCCCTGCATGCAGCCACAGATTGCGAGCGATACCTGTCATCCTCCGTGGTGACGGGAACCACGGGAACTGCGCACAGTGGGCCAGAAGACCGGCGGAGGCGGCCAAAACTCCAGACGCGTTTTGAGCTCCAGAGTCGCCAAATGGGACTCGAACCGAACGTGTGACCCCACCAATGGATTGCTCTCCGAACGAGGAATCCATTGTTGATCGGTTCGAGTCCTGTTAAGCGACTCTGGAGCTCAAAACGCGTCTAGAGTTTTGGCCGCCTCCACAGGTCTTCTGGCCCACTGTGCTGCGACGGGAAAACGACTCGTGCTCCCGATTTGGCGCCAAAGAGGCAGGACCTGCCAAGGAGCAATCGCCGGAGAAAAGGCCGAAAAAGTTGGCGTGTAATAACGCGGCAAAGAAAAACCAAAACCACAACACAACCATGTAACTGCCAAATTCGTTGTCGTTTTTCGTTTCCGTCTTTTCCGGGATCGCCATATTATAACCCCCGGAGGTTCGAAGCCTGCGTGGGCCAGATGAGCCAGAGGTCGCCACTGCGAGCAGGTGGACTGCCGGTGGTCGGGCACCGCGTGCGCGCGGCGTGCGAGTGCCGTGCGAGGTGCCGTGTCATCCTGAAACGATGACGTCAACGACCGGGCGGTGACGTCACTAGCCTCCGCTCCAGTCGGCGTTGCAGGCCGATTCCGAACAGCGGTTTCCACTTGGTCGCTCCGCCTCTCTCGCACCCATGAGGCGGCCCGGAGGAGTGTGAGAGAGACAGAGCGAACAAAAGCACTGTACGGAACCGCTCTGCTGTTCGGTGTTTGGTCCTGTTCCTTTTTGGCTTCGCTGCCGCGCTGCCGGCCACGTGGTGCCGGGGTTATTATCGCCCCTTCCCCTCTCTTTCCTTCTCTCTCTCTCTCTCTCTCTCTCTCTCTCTCTCTCTCTCTCTCTCTCTCTCTCTCTCACTCTCTCTCTCGCTTGGCGGGCACCCGGCACGGCGGCCCCTCGCCCAGCGACTCCGCCGCCAAAACCACAACGCCAAACGCCCAACGCGTGCATCAGGCATCGCCCGCCGGCCCTTCTGGCGGCTGCCGGCCTGTCGGTACACTGACAAAAACAGTTTCAACTGGACGCGACATTGCCCAAGCACGACTGCGCGATCGGGGTCTGTTCTGTTCCCACCCGCCGGCGGATACACTATACTCTCAAGGGCGTGGCGCGTTTAGGTAAGCAGCGCGGCACGGCACACTCTAAACAATCTCGAAAAAGAAATAATGCAATCGCGGCTTTTTAAACGCCACGCTCGAAATAATCCGACGGCGATAATCAGGTCTGCGCGGACATCTCCACGCACACCACGCGCCCTGCCTGTTGCCTGCCGCCCGCCGTCTGATTCCGAGCACTTCTTTCGTCGCTCTGTCTCTCTCGCACCCATGGGGCGGTCCGTAGGAGTGCGAGAGAGACAGAGTGACGAAGCAGTGTTCGGAATCAGACGGCTGGCTCGTCCTGTCTCTCTCGCACCCACTGGGCTGACCCGCGGCCGGCGCGCCGGGCAGGCGCCTTGGCGACTCGCGACACGCCGAGCCACGCACTGTACCTGATTACTATACGGGGCGCAGCGCGGCCCCACGGCCCCGCGGCCCCACGTTGCAGCATCGGGCAAATAACCTCACGCGCGGCGGCGCTTTAATGCGTGAGTGTGAGAGAGACAGGAGCAGTTCAATGTAAATAGTGGTTGTCATCCAACTCGGAGTGCTGCCGGTCCTCTGTCTCTCTCGCACTCGTGGGGCGTCGTGCAAGGAGGCGACGGAGACAGGGAGAGACGGCACTGTGTCCGCTGGACTGTGGGACTGCCGCGGTCCTCTGTCTCTCTCGCACTCGTGGGGCGTCGTGCAAGGAGGCGACGGAGACAGGGAGAGACGGCACTGTGTCCGCTGGACTGTGGGACTGCCGCGGTCCTCTGTCTCTCTCGCACTCGTGGGGCGTCGTGCAAGGAGGCGACGGAGACAGGGAGAGACGGCACTGTGTCCGCTGGACTGTGGGACTGCCGCGGTCCTCTGTCTCTCTCGCACTCGTGGGGCGTCGTGCAAGGAGGCGACGGAGACAGGGAGAGACGGCACTGTGTCCGCTGGACTGTGGGACTGCCGCGAGCCCTGCCCTGGACTACCCTGGACGCAGCCGGCTGCGCTGCGCACTGCGCGCCGCCGGCGCGGCCCGGCCGGAGCCCCTTACAAGGACGGTATAGGCACCCCGCGCGCACGCGTGCAGGCGGGGTGCCTAAGGTCGTTCCCATTACCATTACGGGCTGGCTGGACCACGCCGAGTCTGAAGCCGAGCGGGGACGGGGCGGCCCGGCCGTAGCGAGGGTGGCGGTACAACAGCGGCACGAGGCAACTTTACATTAAAATTGGATTGCTTGCAGCAACTGCTCCACAAGTGCGCTCGAAACTTGGGAACTGCACCGGGCAGAGAGGCAAGGACAAGGGGGACCGGCGTTCGATTCAAGCAGTTGTATTGGTAAGTGAAGCGGCACGGCACGGCACGGCACGGCACGGCACGGCACGGCACGGCACGGCACGGCACGGCACGGCACGGCACGGCACGGCACGGCACGGCACGGCACGGCACGGGGCACGGCACGGCGCGGTGCGACATCTGGCGGCTGGGCTGCAGACTGATTCCGAGAGTCGTTTTCGTCCCTCTGTCTCTCTCGCAACTATCCGGGGCGCCCACGAGTGCGAGGGAGACAGAGCGATGAAAACGGCTCTCGGAATCAGTCTCCTGCAAAGTGATAACCCTACCCTCTTCCCCCTTCATCTTCTGGCTCTCTCTCTCTCTCTTCGCGTCGGCTAAAACGGCACTACCCCGACCCCCACCCCACCTCCACTACCGACGGCATGGACGGCATGCACTTTGGTAGCATGCGGCCGCCAGACGACAAAAGACCCTGAATTGAACAAAAACACGTTATCTATGTGGTTCAAGAAGCCCAAAAAGGGGAAGAGAAGAGAGCGGCGGGTTGCACCACGGCACGCCACGGCGCGGTGGGCTCGGCGGCAGCTACGCCGTGGCTACGACGCGCACACTGCTCGAACAGCTCGGACCGGCCGCATCTCGCTCGTGACATTCCAGCCACTTCCGTCTGGGACAGTCGATGTCTCGACGTCGCAGTCGCATGCCCAGTTTGGCTCGGACAGTCAGCAAGGGCGGATCAGGAGACGGGTTCAGGGAGGGGGCGATGTCGCAAAAGTTGTCAACCCACAGGGGCTATGTGCGACTTTTTGCCTACTTTCAGCCCCCCCCCCATCCGCGCCTGACAGACAGGCGATTCGTCTTGCAACGAAAATGGACTTGTTTGAAACACCACTTTAAAAGAGAGATAGACTGAGAAATTCCTTAACAAAGTTCATGGACCACACTCCCTCCCAAAAACAAGTTAGATAGCAGTTGCAGCAGCCTACCTAGCGAGAACAGTACTACTTTTTTCTTATCTCTTTTTCTCGCGTTTCAGGCGTTACGCTAACTGGTGCAACACTTCTGGGACAAAGTGACCACAAAGTGCCCACTGCCGAACCGTATCGTCTGCAAACACGTGGCTTGCCGTGTCGGAAGGCGGTGCCAAGGCGGTGCCAAGGCGGTGCAAACACGCCGCGCGCCGCCGGTGATTACCCAAATAGTGCGGCAAAAACAGAACCCAGAACCAGTGGGGCAGGCGGGCGGGCAGACGGGCAGGCCTGGCGGGTGACGACCACGTTTTATCTGCAGGCTCAGAGGCAGTGCGGCGACGCGCCTGAGAGGCAGGCAGGCAAAACGACGTAATTTGCCCCTGTGAGTAGGCAACGTTTGCTTCACCGCCACTGTTTTATCTGCCACTCACTGGTTGGTTTGCACCTTGGACGCACGCGGTGCCCGTGCCGGCTTCGGCTTGTCGTATCCGATTCCAGGGGTCTTTCTGGTTAGCGAGCAGGTAGTAGACACTCTGAGGTACCCTGTGGTACCAAACCGATTGTGATGTCTGACAGTTTTTGTTGATGTGATGATTACAAATGCTCAACGAAATACACACAAAAAAAGAGGGACCCAGGCCTTGACTTGTCCACGAGTTCAAAATACCGACTAAGTTGTTATGTCTACTTGGTTTTTTCATAACCGAGATAAACCCATTCTTGCCAGAACACTTACATTGTGGTCATGAAAAATTTTCCTCTGATATCGTCAGCCTGGTGCCAGATTGCTCGAGCGCTCACATAATCCTTCCAAAGATCGTATACGGTCTTATCGTTAGAAAGAAGTGAAAGAGAGACGAAAAATGTTGCGCCACTTTTGGTCGGCTAAAATACATGGCTTGGGCTCTCACAGATGCCCTCGACTCGACTGCCACTCTTTGACCCGCCGGTCCCCTTGGACCCGGTGTACCGGCCAGGCCAGCAGGCCGACAGGCCGACGCCGGCAGTGTCACTGCAAAGAGAGAGAGAGAGAGAGAGAGACAGAGTGCCTCTAAGTCCGTGCCTGGCCTGCCAATTTCAGCGCGCCAGCGTCGCTCCAAGCGCTCCAAGCACCACTTGACACTTTTTCGGCGCGGCCAGCGACTCGACTCCATCCTCGAGAGCTGGCTGTACTACACTGTATGCCCTATTTTAAACCACTCCTCGACCGCGGGCCGCGAATGGAGGGGAGGGGGGGGGGGACTTTTGTGACCCGCCTAGTCTGACCTAGCACAAGTGTCGGATGACCCGAAGAGCGGATCGCTCGAGGACGGCGTCGCACAGATCCGCTTTCCCCGATCCGATCCATCGAATGCAGTGGCCAGAGCGGCCTGGAGCGACCTGGAGCTGGAGCAGGCGAATCGGGGGGAACTGGCCACTACAGTGTCGCGGCCGACTCACTCACCAGCTTGGGCGGCGGAGGCTGGATTTCGCTGTCAATCATGGTGATGGTAGGTTCGGCCGGCTTCGGCCTCTCCGCTGGAGTGAGGCGCTGGGGCGCTGGAGCAAGGCCCTGGAGCAAGGCCCTGGAGCAAGGCCCTGGAGCAAGGCCCTGGAGCAAGGCCCTGGAGCAAGGCCCTGGAGCAAGGCCCTGGAGCAAGGCCCTGGAGCAAGGCCCTGGAGCAAGGCCCTGGAGCAAGGCCCTGGAGCAAGGCCCTGGAGCAAGGCCCTACACCCCGGGCCGGGAGGCGGGACCGGCTGGGCGTGCCGTCACCTGCGGGGCAGGCGCAGCGGGTTGCCGACGCCCTGGAGCTGGAGCAGCTGGAGCCTCTGGGGGCACGCGGGCACGCACGCGGCGGTGCGTTTATCCATGACACATGACGCCGCCACAGCGCCTCTCTTTCTCACTCTGTCTCTGTCGCGCTCTCTGTGCGCGGGCGGCGCGGGCCCGGTGTGGCTGTCCCTCTCTCTCTCGCTCCAGCCGGCGGCCAACGGGGACGGCGGGCGAGGGAAGGCCGATTCGACGCGGAGGCCGGAGGCGCGGCGAACTGGAGGACCCGGCTCGCCCGGACTACGACTACGACGGCTGGCTGCGGCCCACGGCGCCCCAGGCAGCCCTAGGCTAGACCGCTGCTGCACTGCAAGACGGCAATTTGCGACTTGCAGCCCGAGTGGAGCACGTCGGGCGCACGGCACACGGCACACGTCGGCACTAACACGTCAGCGACGACCACGGCGGCTTGCTTCGCACTGAAGTCAAGTGAACTGACTGACAGGCGCGAGGCGCGCCGCGCCGGTCGGCCGCCAGCAAGCCGCCGCGCCCTCCTCTCCCCTCCCCGCTCGCCACCCGCCACCATCCGCAGATCCGCAGACGGGCGGGGGGGCTCTTGCCTCTTCTAGTCGCGGCGAGCCGCGGGCTGCCCCCTTCCCCTCTCCCCGCGCCGCGGTCGGTTCCCTCTCTTTCTCTCTCGCACTCACACGGTGGCTGCTCACCTTGCCTCCTGTCACTTCCTTCCCTTCCCGCCGTTCTACGAGGCACCAAAAGCCTGATTCCTCACAGGGCTTCTATGCCTCTCCCACCTGTCCGGAACTCCGAACCCCGGTTGAAAACCGCCCCCTTCCTCATGGACCTCTCCTTCCCTCGCTCTACCTTTGAACCGCCGCGTCTCAATACAGCCGTATCTCGGAAGACGTTTCTGTTATTGGATGTTGATTGATTATGCAAACATGAAGGCGCATGCTCAGCCCCTTCCCCCTTTTCCCCGCGTCGCAGATAACGCGCGAGAGTGTGTGAGTGAGCACGCGTGTGTGCGCCATAAACATGAAGGGTAACTTAGAACTCAAAATAGGGATTTCAACATTTTTTTATTAACAAAATAAAGGATAAAAAATAAATCTAGGTACAAACTGAGATTGCTTGAAAATGATGTTCCGAATCAAAGTGTTAAGAAGATCACATAACATAAATACATTCTTAATACTATATGATCTGAATGCAAACCTATCAAAAGTAAGCAAATGAAATAGAAACACTGGACAAGGAATATGAAGAAGTGAACATGGCACATTATGCAAACAACAGAGAGCAAAGTAAAAACAACAACATTTATCTGTTGACAATCTGATCACCAAGGAGGTCTAGGTAAGATTAAAATGAAAATTAGGAGAAAACAAACAGCTAACATCATCAATACAATGAGAAAATATTTAAACAAATTATGTGGCACAAGAAAAAAACATGGTTTAATTAACATCCTAAATTTAAGCCCTTATCAGTCGTTTTGTGTACCAAACACATACACATAATTATGTAACATAATTTGCTAAAGTCCAAAGTATTTACAATAAATCATTTTCATCAGTTGATTAAAACCATGTGCAGCCTTAAAGAAATATTTATAAATTTCTTCATAAATCTCTACATACAAACTCAACAGCATTTAAAAGAAATTTTTTCTGAGCACATCATGGCAATGATAAATTGAACGCCAGCAAATTGCACACCAAAAGTCATACCAAGTTTCCATTCAACATTCCACATTCATCATGAATAAGTATTGATCCAAAATAGACCCATTGAGATTTTACATCCAAAACAAATAGAAGCCAAAGGAATTGATCATTGTTTTTGATTATTATCACAGCCCTGATGTCGAATGTACTCGGAGTCTACAGAGTACCATCAACTAAGACACATGACTACATGTTGACAGACCTTCCAAACCTCATGACATGATTAGTTATAACATAAATACACAGAATACAAATTGAGCATAAAAAACAACATAAAAGTCAGACAGTCATATGATTTGGAATATTTACAAAATCCTTTACAGTGATAGTGAGGTTTATTTTAAAAGAAAGGTTAAGACAATAAAAAATACCAGGTAGGGTAGAAACAGCTTTGTCATTTTCCCTTGCCCTTAGAAATATGCAGTCCAGCCAAACACTGTGGCTTGAAGGGCAGAGAAGACCACTGTACTGTGAAACTGCATACTCCATGATGCTTCCCAAAAAAACAACAGTGTTTCTGCTCTACCTGGTACATGTAGCAGTTAATTTGATGACTAAATTTCCTTTACTTATAGTTTTATTCCTTCCCACAGACCATATCCTTACTGATAAGTCAGATAGTAATAAGTAGGATGTGTAAACTATAAAGCTAAAAAATAACATTCAAAACCATTGTTAAGAAATTATATGCAACTTACACTATTGTTATTAAATTATGTTCTTGTCATTTACAACTTAAGTCCAGATGAGCAAATATATTCAAATTTGACAAATACTTTAAAAAAAGGGGGGGGTCACGACTTTCTGTATTTGTTCCTAGAACCTAGCCAAGAGAGCAGAACAAAGGTTAAAAAGAAATAACAACAGAAAAGGTACTAGATACCATCTCGGATTTGAGTGTACCAAAATCAGAATACTGTTACTTTGCCACTTCAGAATCAAGAAGCACAATGACATAGACAAATGTAGGTAAAGCAATGACAAAGATAAAATATCATGCAAAAAAATAAAAGATGTGTCTAAACACACCACTGGGCAAATTGACAGCTCACTGATGATGAACACAAATGGTAATCAACAAAAATGATAGTAACTAATGATAGCAAGTAAGAGTAATACTGTTCAGTTACAAAATTAATTTTCTGTACGTCAAAATAGAGGACCCAATTAAAACCACTATTGAAAAGATCCACAACTAACTATGTTTTCACATGAATATCAACTATTTGAGCTTGTTGCGAGCTTTGATTCGGGCTTGCAATGTGAGTAGAAGGCCAGCCAGCACATCATGATTATGTAGTTTTTTGCCAAACAACAGGCGCTTTACTGAGTCGTCATATGTAAGAAGAGCCATCATATTTTGAAGCAAAAATCCTTGGCAGTACTCCATTAGCTGTGCTGCACTGTAGACCTGAAAAAAAAATTAGATAATAAAAAATAAAAATTTATGTTATGACAACCACAGAAAATCCTATTTCAGGAGTCCTTACCTTTGCATGTATGTACATGGAAACAATATTGTCCAAATCTATCATCGTCGAGCATTGAACTTCACAGTACTGGAGTAATCCATCTAATTGGAAGAAATTGGCTGCTGCCATTAGCTCTAATACATCACTACTGTCGACTTGCAAGTTTTCACATCCACCGTTGTACAAAAACTGCATAACAAGCTGAAATGAAAAAAAAAAAAAAGTTGATAGAAACAAACAGATATTCAAGTCAGATTAATTTTTCTTGTAAGAGATGTTACCTGGAATATGTGGTATCGGATGTCGTTTATTTGAACTACCGGAGGATTTCCCTCGCAAAGCCTTGAGCTCAGCATACCTCGAAATCGAGGTGAAGAGGTAACCAAAACAATTTTGTGTGCATAGAATACTCGTCCCTCAACAAGAAATTGCACATCAGACAATTCTGGGTTATTCACAAACTTTGGGTCAATACGAGTGCCTCCATTTAATGTAGTATCCCGCACTGGTTTGATTGGTTCCCAACCAAAGCAAGTACAAAATATATCCGCCAACAAGAGCGTGGTACCTTCATTCTAGAACATCAAGAAAAAGAAAGATGTGTCAACAATTTATGGTTAAAAATCAAATTAAATGCAATTGTTTTAAGAATCACCTTGCTGTAGCGGAAGATACTAAAGAGCAACGGAAGGCATTCATCTACAAATTGAGTGGAACAATCATCTGGCCACACTTGAAGGAAGTCTTGAAGAAGCTGATCAATCATATGCTCTAAACGAAGATCATCCGCGAGAGCCAATGTGTGCATCCAACAATGCAAAGTCCACGACACACCAAGATTGCGCATATCCAAAGTCATATCTAACCAAAGTGAGAAAAAATATGTTAGAAGCCATACCAAAGTTTCAAATCTGGGAAAGATAAGATAAAATAGAAATCTAACCAAGATGATTGTTTTCAGTGGAATGGTACATGGCTTCTTGCAAGACCTTTATTTGAGTTTTACTGAGTTTCACCGGTTGATTGTTCTCTCCATGCCCGTCGCCACCCTGCAATACAGGGAAAATTCCCAATCAAAAATAAAACTAATGTTTTGTGAAGCCATTGTATAGTTCTTAAAAGTCAGAACAGAACATACCTGCAAACGAGCACCTCGACGATCACTGGTCAGCTGAGAAACACCCTCAGCTAAAATCTCTTCAAGAGAGAGGACCTCCTTGTTATAATGACTTAAGGGATGTGTGAGAAGTTGATGTAAAATTGATCGCTGTCCATGAGCAGCAGCAACAGATATAGCACTGAAATTAAATTGTTAAAATTACAATTTTTCTGTTAAAGGAAGATGTTTGGATATAGATCTCATCAAAAGGTGTCATTGTACCTGTAACAGCCTCTTTGAGCAGCCCCAGAGTAACACAGTGAATCTTTGATCAAAGTTGAAAGGAACGTATGAGCGCCACGGGCCAGAAGCAACTGCACCATCTCTGACATGCCAGCTGCTGCTGCAACCTGCAGAGGTGTTTCTGTGCACTTCTCTTCACTTAATCGGGCGCCTCCTTCCACATGAGCCCCTCGATCCAATAGAAGTCGAGCAATCGCAACATTGCCTTGCAAAGCAGTGTATGTCAGAGCGGTCCAATGCTGAGTTTCACCATTCACTGCTGGGCAGCCCTGAAAATTGATTTCATCATGTTAGACTCATAAAACAATCAAAAGAAACCAGACTGCCTCAGTAGAGAAATTTTAGAACTTACAGATGCACCCTGTGGAGGTGTTTCTGTATCTGGATCAGCCCCAGCCTCTAACAGGAGTCGCACTGTGCCTTCATCACTTCGAATACAAGCCAACATCAAGGCTGTGAGACCCCTCTCATTGACACAGTTGAGCTGTACAAACAGAAACGAGGAAATATATTTAAAAATTACTGAATAACAAGTAAGAGAAAACATGTTGAAAGGCAAAGAAGAAAACAATACCTTAGAATTTGGCAGAAGTTGCAAGGCATGTGGTACCATATCACGGGACCCTGTGCTTAGCATACGGAAAGCTAAATCCAACTTCAAGCGTCTTGCTGTGTCTGAATCATCACCTGGTCTCTTTGGGTAAGCAACTGTTTCCTCCCAACTACAGAAAAATGAAAAAAATTCTACATTAAGGAAAGAAAACATGAACAGAAAGATGGCGGTTGAGCCAGAGCACTCACCCAATTTGCTTTATGGGGCAATCCACGCCGGGAAGCAAAAGCCGCGCTGCCTGCATCACATCATCTTGATCAATGTGAGAGGCATGGCGATGGTCAGCGTGTGCACCAGCAATTCTTAGCCACTCAACCAAAGGAGGCAGAACGACATATGCTCTTTCGTACATCAGCTCCTGAACAGGGGCTTGTTGCTCCGCATGCTCAAGCTAAAACAGAAATTTACATTTTTAACACAATCCAAATTTTAAAAACCAGAATTTAAAAAGAAGATATTATTGTTTCTTATTATTTATATTAATTTACAGATGTGACGCTTCAATACCTGTGAACACCTCATGAAGTAGAACAAGGACTGCACTGCCTGATGGGTCCAGGCTAGTGGCCGACCGATAGGCTGGGTAGGGAGGGCAGCGATCCTTGCTAACAAGTCAGTGAGTTCGTGCACAGACCCAACACAGGTGGTGAGCAACGACTGCTCCGTTGATTTGCCTAAGCTGATGGCGCTTGGAGTATTCCCTGGGGTAGTTGCTGGAGTACCAGGTGTGGACGTCCCCAACATAGTGGTTGTAGAAGAGGACTGAGTGGACTCTGTATTTAAGCTACTGATACTAGCCCACCGGGGAAGGGAAAGCGCCCCTAGACAAGAGATGACGATAAATTTGAGAAAAGAACTCAGCGCATCACATCTTAAACAAGGAAGATAGAGCTTGACTCACCAGATGCTATTCTACCCGCATTTAAATGAGCATAGGGTTGCAAAAGACCCCATAAGTCGCCGTTATTAGCTATGGCATGTTCAAACATAGCAGCAGTCAGCAAGGCATCTACTTTGGCCGGAAGGCACTGAAGCACCATCTCTTCAACCAAGTTTTCCAGCCCAGCAGCTAAATAAACAGCAGCATACCTAGAAAAAAGAAAAAAAATAACATTGGAAGCCAGGAATAGATTTTTTGCTGTTGCATGAAAAGGGGTTCTTAAGAAATCTTACTCGTGAACGAATTTGCCTAGACGAACATCAGCCATCCATCTATGAAACCTTCCAACAGACAGCTGCAAACCTGCTCTACTGGATTTACTTTGTTTAAGCTGGTCACCTGACACAGCAAACATTGCAGCTGATCGCAGGCAGGACTGGTTGTAGGAAAGAGAGAAAGAGGTTGTTATCTAGTGAAATCTAATGGAATAAAAGCTGTCTCACAATTTGAAGCATTAATCTCACTTTTATGCAGGAATCTGCTAGAGCAGGGCATAAAACAATTTTAAGAGCACTTGCAACTTCATGCTTGCTGCACATGTGAAGAGGTCGTGACAGTCTTTGCGCTTCACGAGCAATTCTCACAAGGGCTCTTTGCAGTAGGTAAGATAAACGAGGTATTGTCTCCATCGAGACCCGCTCCATATTTTCTTTCACTCTACCATTTTGGATTACTTTTAAAATATCATGAGTTGACCATGGCAAATGCTGCAGTTCCACCAATCTACAAAAAAAGACATCATATCAATGCACAGCCATTTATTTTAACTTTGTTTCTCTGTTCAATGATCCTACCTGTTGTGAGAATCCACCCACACAAATTCATCAGCACTTGTAACATTGGTGTTGATTGTTTCAAGAGAAGAATGGCGCATCAATCGCCTGACAGCAGGTTCACTACTCTCAGACCCACTGAGACTTGAGTATGTTGATGTTGAGTTTGAAGTGTGGGATCGCATGGTCAGTTGTTGTATGGCAAGCTTTATGTCCTCAAGTCCTGAACCACATGGTACCAGCTATACAAGAGGAGAAAATAAAAACATTAATATTTTCTCTAAAAATAGTAAGCAGATAACCCAGTAGCCAGACTTACTTTAACAGGTGTTCCTCTGTGCCGACTTCGATTTTGAACTGTTTTACGATTTGAACGACTCTGATTGGGCATGACACTTGCAGACAACCGCTCATCTTCAGGAACTGAATTTAAATGGGATCGGTAATGATGGTGGCGATCAACTCGATCAGCAGGTGGGGATGAACTAGTATGTCCATCAGACATGGATGCATGACCAGAAGATCGATTTTCATCTGATGAACTTCCAGCACACTCCTGACGTCGCTGAGGATAGATGACGATAGGACATTAATGGAAGAAGGCTACTTAGAAATACATTCAAGCAAAAATTGTACCAACCTGAAGATGGCGCAGCTCCTCCACACTTAAGTGGTGGTGAGGAAAATTGGCAAGCAAATTTCGTGCTGCTGTGCTTGAATTACTTGCTGTTCCAGTGGGTGCACTCACAGGGACCATGTGGCGAGAAGCATGCCCCGAATGTCCACTGTGACTGGGAGATGTCATTTGATTGGTATGAGCGGTTTGGCCGGTATGGCCCTGTCTCAGTGTCGGTCCAGGCGAGGTGGCGCCGAGATTAATGGGCGTGCTATTGTTGCTGTGACCACTATGGTTGCTATGCACAGTACCCATGTGGTTTGTTGAAGCAGACTTATTACTCAATTTACTGATAGCTGATAATGGTCTCTGTAAAGTACACAGAAATAGAGGCTTTTTAACACAATAATTCAATAATTTGTGGGGTAGAGGGCACAATAACAATGATGAAAATAATAGAAACAGATTCAGCACTATTTTTACCTCCGGTTTCTGAATTTGACGCTGGACCTTGCTGTCAGAGCTTACGCGAGTGCCATTTGTATCTCTTTCAGGGACCATTGGTGTTGAACGCGTCTCCCGGTCCCGCTCCCAGTCTCTGTCCCTCTGCTCACGGTAAACTGCCCCATCATTTGTAGGACTGATGGGTTGTTGCGTTTGATGTAATGGTGCAGGTTGCTGAGGTGACGTTGGTGATTGCATCTGCTGAGACTAGAGAAGAATTGAAAATTATTGATTATCTAAGGAATGGCAAAAAGTTTAATGAGGTAATAGTAAAACGTGCCTGATGTCCTGTGAGGGGACTTGCTATACTGATGACAGACTTGGAAACGATGGGGTTGGCAGGAGTGGGACCGCGGAGGAGTACCGGCGGGCTGGGACTGCCAGTGTTGGGTCCGCTGCCACTGCCACTACTGGGACTTGGCCGGCCGACACCATTGCTGGTCATGCTGATGGGACTGCGATCTTTAGCAGGTATGTCTTCCAATAAATGCTCCTTACTTGACGTATTGCACTGAAATTTAAAAATTTGCAACAGTAAGAATAAAATTTATTTATAAACCCAAAAAGAGGTCTGTGTTTTACATATAAAGCTGAAACATACAGGCATGCTTGATGTTGGAAGCGGTGGAGACACAAGAGCCTTGGGACTGTGTGGGTAGGGACTGTAGCCCGGAGTGCAAAGACCCTCACGGCTTCCATTACCTGGTCTGCAACATGACAAAGTAGTAAACTAATTAAGCACACCATTTAAAAAATGGATCATGAGCTGCAATGGCCTTAGAAAGAATTATCTTTTGAGACACAGTATCACAGAAGAAAATTATTTTAGTTTTGATTAATTTTTTTAGATTTTTTCAAAGGCCACTCATACCGCATTCTGAGGTCTTCCAGGCTGAAAATCCTTGGTGGTTTAGGGCTTCCACTCCCAACCGGAGTGGCACTACCACCAAGAAAAATGGACTCCAGGCTTCCACAGTCAAAGGACATGTTCTCAAAGCCTCCCTCATGATAACTTAAATTGTCTAAACTAACACTTGTTACACCTGTGAGTTCAGGAGGAGTATTTTCACTGGGCAGAACGACATTGTTTAAACTGTCAGTGCACCTTCTCCTCGCCTCCAGAGTGCTCCCAGTTGTTCTATAGGAACCACTTATGCTATAGCTTCTATTAAAACTTCTTTGTCCAAAGCTCCAAAATTTTGACTGACGGCTGGACTTGAGAAACCCATGGAACTTTTCTGGTCTTTTAAGAATAAAATTTTCTGATGCTTGTTTGAAAGATTGCTTCATTTTAGTTTTAGGTTTAAAATCAGCCAGCTCTCTACACAGCAAGCACGGTCTAGTATCATGTCGACAAGCCATCCTTCATTTGGGATGACATCAACTGAGCCCATCACAAACACATCACACTGGAGTCCACTGTATTCCAAGATGTCAGGTGGAGAGGCTTCCAGTAAAACGTATTCACTTCACCAAACATGCACAACCACATTTTCTACACAAAGAGAACGCACTACACAGACACTCCTAAACCAAGCAAAAGGCTATCCGTGCCAACACAGAGCTGCTAGAGCAGCCTCATGACAGACGGGCTGCACAGAGCAGACTGGTCACAGAGAGCTCAACAACAAATGAGCTGCACAAAATTTCACTTTCCTGTGAGGAGGTGGGAGAAAGAGAGGCATAATCAGTTGAGGATGGTCCAGGTGGGAATGAGCTTGCTGAGAGTACAATGTTCCCACAATGGGGCCGCGGAGGGGCGGAGGGGAGCCCAGGTTCCCACCCTCTCCAGTCTCCACGAGCCGTCAATAGGAGAGAAGAGAGAGAAGCCGCGAGGGGCCCAGGCCTTGCAGACTGGCTCATTCCGAGCAGTCTTGCCGTCGCTCTGTCTCTCTCGCGCCCGGGCCCCATGAGTGCGAGAGAGACAGTGCAGACAGTGCGACGGCATGGCGACGGCGGGGAGGGGAAGGGGTGGCAACGGCGGGCACTCCATTCATTAAATCTCGATTCCGGTCCGAGCCAAACCCTGAGCCTGTGCAGTGCGCAGTCACTGCCTCCGAGCTAAGACGCCCGCAGGAGAACATCGACGTGATGGTCGATGGTTCCTTTCGACGCGGCACCCTTCCTCTTCTCCGGGCGCGAACCACGAACCTCCAACCGAAAACCGCCAACCGCAAACTCGGAACCACAAACTGAGCCGGAGCCGGGGTAGCCAGCCGAGCGCTTCCGGGGTCGCTTCGCCTGATTCGCCGCGCTGTCAGTACCGTCAGTACACCCCTTCGGTCGCAAGGCTCCCACAAGTGCGGCGCGACAGAGACCACGCGACGAGACGACCCTTCGGATTGGTTGGGCCCGCAGGCTGCTGCAGGCTGCAAGGCTGGTCAGTGGCCCAGGTCGAGCGGAACGGAACGATTCGCAGCCGGAAACGCGTGTGCAGAAACGCGGAGCCTGGCCGTTGCACCGCCACCGCATGCGTGATTTCGTGCGGCGCGCGGCGCCAAGATGTTCCCAGGAACCGCCGTGTCTTCCCCCACAATGGCACTCCGCAGTCCGCCCGCGTCTAGAGTGTAGCGTCACTCGGCCGCCTTGCTCCGCCGTGCTCCGCCTGGCTTTGCTTTGCTTTCCTGCTTCCGGTGCTGCCACGGAACGGAGAGCCCGACGCAGAACCCATCGGGAATGCCCATCGACAAAGTCACGAGGACCTACACCTCGCGTCCACAACCAGGCTAGGAGAGGAAACATGGACAAGGAAAACTTAGGGCCCACCTGGGTTAGCAGGGTCAAAGAAAGCAGAGGTTCCCACAGGCCTGGAAAGCTACTCCACACTCCTTGTCACTAATTAGACACCTCGAGCATTTATTCTCAACCCTACAGTGTGGTAGGCACACCCACACACAAACACAAAGGCACAGCCTCAGACTCTCTTTTCATTTTATGCCTCTTTTTTGACATAGTGGGGTGAAGTGTCAACCACATGCAACTGTGAGCTGAGGGTTCTTTTAACTTGAAATATTTACCATGCACCTCTTAAGACAATGCAGCTGGTTAGTTTAGGACATAGCAGTTGGATTGGGAGTGTAAAGTCTTACCTCCGAGGTTTTGGACGAACAATATCATGGCTTCCTTCTGTGATGCAGAGAGGGCTCAATGGACTGCGGTAGTGATCCGCATCTTGAAATTGGGGCATAGGATTGTGTGGCACCGGCTGTACAGGCTGCACAGGCCCTACACCACCTTGAGGACTTGCCATTGCGATGAGATCAAGCCCCCCTCCACAGAGTGGCAAAAGGCCATAAGGGCTGCACATACAAATGTACAGAAGTATTAAATAATGGTGTAAAACAAGTGTAACAAAAACATTTTCAGAAACACGAAAGAGTTTTTTTTTCCGGAATCAATCTAATAAATATATACAACTCACCATACGACATTCCTCTATGATAAAATAGGTTCTGCCTAAAATGGACAAAAGAAAATTTTGTCATTAAATGAGAGTTGGTCAAAATTGTGAGATGTCAGAACGATATATTCAGAAAATAATTCACGGACAAAAATTAAAAAACAAAGCACAACAAGACGCAAACGAACTGACAGTTAACATTTAAATTTTTGTTTAGAAAATTTAATAGACATTCAGCAAATCTTTTTATGAGGAAATGTTTTGGGAAAGTCCCGGATTTAAGAAGCATTGAATAGGCTTCTTAGAAAACGTAATCCAATAAACTAAGAGAAGGAGGCCCGAACCGAACATTTAAAAGACTGGCACAGGGACGGCTAACCTCACATTGCCCACGACTAATCCACTTTTCTCCGCTCCCGTGAGAACCAAGCTCGGGCCACAGTGGACTAACGTACTAAACACTTGTCGCACAACACACTCCTAGATCGCAAGCACCCCTTGCAACTAGAAACTAACCCGAAATTCCTTGAGGCCTGCTGAGGAATGCATACATACCATGCAACAAGTGGGTTCGACCTATCCCATATTACTCGATGAAACGCCAGCACTGCGACTCCCAGCACTCGGCCGCACCGAGAATCGTATCCAGTGACGGCAAAATGTTCCAATGCATCAGTTTGTTGACTCGAAATCACAGCGAACGCGTATACACACGCATACAGCGACAGGAATGCACCAAGTCCTTCGCCTCGCTCGGCTCGGAAGCCTATTTGTTTTCACTGACTTATTGTTTTTGTTTTTGTTTGGTCTTTGGCCAGCAGAGCAGGCAGTGTTGCAGTCGCCTTCCCGCTCGCGGCGGCAGCAGCAGCGGTGGTGCCTCGGCGGCGGTGGTGGTGGTGGTGGTGGTGGTGGTGGTGGCAGCAGGAGCCCCAGAGCCCCCAAGCCCCACGTCCGCGTCGCGGCGGTGGTGGAGGCAGCAGCAACACACACGTCGCCTGGCTTGCGTCGCGTCGCGTCCGCGTCGCGTGCCGAGGGCCTTGCTGCTGCGCTTCTTGCACGCCCCGGCGGCTTGGCGGCCAAATGCGCTTAGGGCTTATCTCTGGAGCCCCCCCGAAGTCCGAGGCCAGCACGCGGACGACGAGGCTCGGTGCCGTGCAAATGATATCGCTTCGGCGACGCGCAGGCTCTCTAGCGACGCGGTGCCTCCGGCCGCGGCGCCCCTCGCTCTGTAGAAGTAGGCTACTGGACCATCACGACAGTCCAGTCCAGTCAGTCCACGGCCTGCGTCGGCCCGCCGCGTCCTGGCTGCCCTGGCTCCTAGCTGGGCCGAACCGAACCGAACCGCGCCTGAAACGCCACGCGGCGCCACCGCCAGCGCCACGGCGACGCGAATATCGGAGCGTCGTGGCGAGGCACGCCCGGAATGCCCGTGTGAACGTGGCCACCGCCCCGTGGCGCGGAGCGGCACGGCACGGCGCGAATATCCTCGCCTCCTAGGAGCACTGCCGCCTGCTGCCCCCGTGGGACTTCCCTGGTGCTGTCTCTGCTGCACTAGAATGGGATGGATTGGGCTGCGCGCCGCGTAGCGCCGTGCGGGGAAGGGAAATCCCAGAATCCCAGCGGACTCGTGGGGACCTCAACGCACGAGTGCTCCCCGGCCGGCCGGTGCGGTGCACTGGCAGTCCCTGGTCGCTGGCGTCGCTAGCAGTGGCAGCCGCGGAGTCCCCCGAGTGGCCGTGCACGTGGGCAAACGGGATCGTCATGTGTCATATCAGCGCCACCACGCGCCACCCCGCCCCGCCCTGGAGTGTCATTCCGAACAGGGCCCCGTCGCTGGTCCTTGTCGCACCTCGGCGGGACGCGCCATGAGTGCGAGGCAGACAGAGCGACGCAGCCTTTGTGGCCTGTGGGCTTTAGCGGCGCGGTGGCGCGAGCGAGTGGCGCGGCTAAGTGCTGCCTCTGGCTCCGTGCGCCCACCTAAGTGCGGCCACCGGCACGGCGCGGGGCGCGGGCATGGCGCCACCTCGCCAACACGATCAACAGGCTCGGCCTGGCCGGGCCGCGGAACGGGGCGAGGCAGCCCAGGCCACTCCAGGCTAACTGGAGTAGAGCTGCTGCTGGAGCCGCATGTGTGTGCGTGTGCGTGCGTGTGCGTGTGCGTGCGTGCGTGAGAGAGACTCCTCGCCACCACTCGCCCATGCCCCGAGGCGACCGTCCCAAAGGTGCCCCCCTCCCCTCAACATTCCGACCGGCTGTCAAAAGGCTGACCCGGCCTACCCGGCCGCGCCGGTACCCAACCCATATAATACGCAAGCCTGGCCACCGACTGGGGCCCGGTTCCAGAGTTCCAGCCCCGGCAGCTCCAGCAGCTGCAGCCTCCGGCACGACCACTCCTGCAACAACACCGTGGGCCGGGGGCCGAGCGTGGCATGCCACCGATGGGGCGCGGCGCGGTGGGGCCTGGGTGGGGCGGCGGGGGCACCTGGAGAGTGGCTGGAGAGGAGTTGGAGTCTGGAGAGCGCGACCATGCGCCCTGCCCTGTCCTGTGGCCCTGCTGTACCGCCCCGCCCCGCGCCCGAAACGCCTCCAGGCACGTTCCTCAGATGCCTTCTGGCCGCGGTGGCGGTGCGCCGCGGTGGAGAGGAACTCTGTCCCGTCCCGTCCCCGGGCCGGACAGGATCCGCGGCAACGTGTCGAAATACGCGAGCAGCGGCTCAGCCCTCGCCTCGCTGGCCCTTGGCTGCCCTTGGCTCGGCTGGCTCCCTGCTCCCTCGCGTTCCCGCGGCGGCGCGCGGCGCGGCTCGCCACCTGTCCCCTCCTTTCTCCTCCGAGGCGCGCGGCTGCGGCCCGCTCGGCCCGGCAGGCACGGCCCGCGCGCTCACTCCGAACAGCGGTTTCTTCGCTCCTTCTCTCTCGCCTCGCTCTGGCAGGGCGCTCGGCGTTCCACAGGGGCGAGAGAATGAGAGAGACACAAGGCGACGAAGGCACTGTTCGGAATCAAACTGCAGCCGTGTCGGGTTGGGTGGAGGTGCCAAAGAAATACAGCGTGTTTCCAAATAAAATTGTTGTTTTATTGGACTCCTATTATGCAATCAATGGGACAAATTCATGAGGCTAGGCTCACAAATTACCCACAGTTAATTAATATCAATTTCTGCTGGAGCCGTGCTTGCGCCGGCGTCGTCAGCACTTTCGGTTAATGAAATCACAGTTGCAAATATATAGCGTACAGCTTACACACGGTGTATAACAGTATTACAGTATGTTATCACTAAGAAATAAATATGTTGACACTTGAACATGCTACTCCTGGTCATGCAATCAAGCCAGCGAGGATCGTGGAGGATCATCAATTCAATCCATGCACTCACTTACATCATGCGATTCAATACACGAACATACTTACAACGAGACACAAAACGCTTACTAGTAAGTAAAACTATTAATATCCATTATTCGCGATTTACAGCGCGCTTGCCCAGCCCCGGCAATACCCGGCAATCCACCGGCCGGGGAATAATGTTATCATTGGCGTCTAACAAGGAACTCAACTAACAAAACCTTCCAACAGCCTCACACATCAACATCAACAAAGTATAAAAAAGAAGGATTAAGTATATTACAAAAGGGTGCGCTGAAGCAGCCATTTAAAAAAACAACAACTTCACATTACGAAAATATATTACATAAACGTCACTAGAAAATGGAATTCGACAAAGCGATAAACTGGAACGCCATGAAGTAAATGGTAAAATAAACAGCGAGTTCTCGACTAAGTACGCCCGCTGATCTGGAGGAATGAGAAGCGGACGATAGCAAAACGGTAGTCTTCGACAGGGTGGCCAAGAGTCCGGCGCTGTCTAGGCGCTGCCTCATTCTGTCTCACTCTGCTGCGGGGCTGCCTCAAATCTGCCTCACCGCTCAGTGCGCAGGTCCACAAGGCTCTCGCTAGACCCCCGCGACGCGGCCTGGCCGCCGATGCCGCTATGGCCGCCCTGGCCCTGCCGCGACAGTAGCCGGGAAGTCCCCGACAACAGGGAGGACCCCGACGACACCGACGTCCGCGTCAGCCCTGCAACACAAACGCACAGCGCGAAGCTGTTCCGTGAGGACGAGGCCTCCGAGGAAGAAGACTCGGGCGAGTGGGGTTGCCTGACTGCCAGGGGAACGGCCGACAGAGGCAAAGGCGTGCCAAAGGCGGCGCGGCCAAGTCTTGGCGAGTGGTGCGGTGCGCGAGGGCGCGAGGAGTCACGTCGATTTCGGTGCAGTGCCCGGGGCAGCCCGGGGCCGGTTGGGTGAAGCAGGCCTTTCGTCGACGTGAAGGGGCGGCTCCAGGCAAGAGGGGAAGGGAGGGGGAGGGGAAGGGGTTGCAATCGGACGCGAGCACTGACCCAACGGCGTCGAGAAAACGGAGGCGTGGCGTCCTTGGACAGAATGATGACGCGTGACGCGCTTGTGGGTGCCGGAGAGCGGCGTGGCGCCGAGTGGGTGGGAAAGAACATGAAACTGTCTGGAGGGAAGGGAAGGGTGGCCCACCGCTGCGGCCACCACTGAGCAGCGCCGCCTCCACCTGTTCCATGAGACGACCTACACGAGGACGAACGGAAGGGGAAAGGGGGAAGAGGGAAGGCCTGAGAAAAATCCCACCGAAGCGGCGCGTGGTAGCGCGTGGCTGAAGCTGCAGAACATGAGTGCACCGGGATAGTGGGGGCTAGAGAGCTGTGGGTGGGGCGGCGGGTACAAGAGGAAAAGTGTCCCATCCCCGTTTCCAAAAGCCCCATAGAGGGCGTCAAATAATTGTCTAACTGTACATGAACGTTTACTACAGCTAGCCTGAGGTACAAGAATGCATTTTAAATGAAGCGTTGAAAGGCAAAGTTTATCAACGTTTAAGTAGTGTTGCTGTGAAGTAACACTTGCAAGATGCCAACTGTCTTATCTACAATAAATTAATTAAAATAAATTGAGTGAGAGGATAAAGCATAGGAAAGTACGGAAGGAGGGGGTAATAGTGCGTATGTGCTGGGGTTTTAAAGGCCGATACTATGTGCCAACGTGCCAACCAACAGGCAGCAGGTTACAATATGTTTTAAGAAATGGGAAAGGAAGGTAACCAGATTGAACTGAACCAAAGTGCCTTGCTAACAACTTACAATATATTTGACTACATAACAAAAAAGAAATAGTTTAAAAAAATTAGAAAACTAGATCTACATATCTACACTATAAAAAAAAATTACATTTATATCTCAGAGCATCTTAAACTCAAAGTTTCCGAAATGATGAAGTAAGACAGAAAACATAAAAAACACTAGGCCTAGTACAATGTAGCACTTACTTTCCAGTAAGGCTGGAGTTTACTTTGAGATGAAGGAAAAAAATTATAAATTAAATGTCTTTTGCAAAGAGTGACATTCAATATTATCTAACGAAGTGGCTGAGGCAACATCCATGAAGCCTGCATTAAGCTTTCAGGTACAAAAACGATTTTTACTAAAACTATAATGGGGCACTCCAATTCATTAAAACAGATATCGGATAACAAATTTATTCCTGAGATTATTGCTATATGATACGGTATGACTATTTACCAAGTGACTACCTGATTCCTTCGTCACTTTTGTGGCTCTTTTTATAACATATCTCATTTTTTGAGCGTCCATGTTGAACATTAGGTTTATAAACTAACCAAAATTAAATTATTCTGTTCCGGGACTGATTCTGGCTTCATCCCCGTTTCACACCAAAAGAGATTTCGTTTCAGATGTCTCGTCACCGTCTGGCTCGCTGTCGGAATCAGGTGACTCTTCAGCAGCAGTGGAAGATTGCTCTACAAAGACTGTAAGGAAGAAACCAGCAACACAATCTGTTACGCACAAAAAATGTCTAGTTCCCTACTGAAAAATGGGAGGAAAAAATTGTAACAGAGCATCAATTGAATCGTTTTTGGTTTTTTTAATATCTTGATGAAAATCATGGGTGCAATGAAAATGTTAAAACAGGAGAGAAGTACACAAAAAGGACGGGCCTTTGTTTTGGGGCTAATCTGAAAAACACCGGAGGAACATATAGGTAACTGACACCACATTGTGTTATTAACGTGATGCCATGGACAGCATGCATGCAAGGCGACGAGCAGAGTACTGAGCAACCTCAACCACACCTATCAGAATAGAATATCCACATGGTTGTATAATTTTCCCTCGGCAATACCAAACGATATGCCGTACATCCACATTAATTTAATGAAGCAGACAGCAGCCACCAAACCACTTTCTCATGCATAATTGAATGGAAAGGGCCAAAGAAGTTCTCCAAAGAACATACGTAGTGTACTATAGAGAAGAAACTGCAATTTGTAGGAGAAGGATCATATTTATAAATTCCAGATATAGAAATTTTCAAATATATTTCACTTTTGAATTACTGAAAAGACACAACCTACATAAATCAACACAAAAGGACAGGTTAGACAAATTAGCTCCTTCAAGTACTTTCTGTGAAACAAGATTTAGTCAATCAAATCACACAGAAACCTGTAACTTTTTTATAACTATATATATATATATTTCTTTTTGAGAATGTTTGTTAGTAATATTTGAAGGCTAACAAATATTTCTATCAAGCCCCATCACAATTATTCATTTTCAAGGCTAGCATTTCAACTTAACAAGTTTTATTTTGTACTAGCTTCATTAAGACAGTCGCACCGAGCAACATATAGAGTGCACAACTGAGAAACTTTGTAGCCAGTCTTTTACACTCAATTCAGGCCAAACAGCTAAGAGTCATGTCAGTACATGTTTCATGTAACAGGACACACATATTTAAAGCCATCAAGCCAGTTACCAAAACTAAATTGTGAGCATAATTCACTTCTTTGTCTGAGGAGCCAAGACATTATTCACAACATATGTGAGACAACAACAGAAAATTTGTAACTATGTTGTTAACGTCTCTGAATTTTAGAAAATATGGTCATGGTAGTGCTAGAAAATATTTACATACCCTTATTGACACAGAAATAAAAAGGAATAAACAAGAAATACAGAAACTCTTGCAAGGTGTAACACATGCAGAACGCATCTCATCAAGTGAACTGACTGTGAAGAACTGACAACATTGCCACAATTTCACTATGGTTAAAGATCTTTTGAAAATGAAGTTTGTCACAATTTATTTGGCATGTGTGCATGTTTAAGAATATAGTTACAAGTTAATGTACAAAAGAGGAGAAGTTTGAAAAGATATAGAACATGCAGTTAATAGTTATTCTGCTCATGTTATTTTAACTAATAATATTAGACAGGTCATGAATGGAAGTCATGGAACAGTGACCAAACTGCCTTCTCCTAAATCAGACTGAATTTAACACTCCTAAATAGTTGGTACCTAATTTTTAATAGGTCTCTCAAAAACCCGGGTAGCCGGGTCTACCGGGTTAGAACCAGATTGGCAGGTATAATCGGGTACCCGGAAACTATGATCCACCGCCCCAGCAGAGCGCCCGAGTAGGCCGTGTTGCCTGCCTTTCGGGCGGTATACGGTTTTAGCGGGTTCACGGGTTTACCCACGTGCCCCGGTACCGGTTCTACCAGCGGCCCTAGTTCCAACCCGCGCAGACGGGTACCCGCAATTCTAGGTGCCCGGGCAAGTCCTACTTTACAAATCATAAAAATTCACATTGATGATAATTGTTGTCTATGCAGAAAAGTGGCTACAACAAAGTGCATGATTTCTAGAGATACAGCCTAGCTGAAAGGTTATCATATTTTAGGAAATTAAGAGACACATATACATGTCATTAGCAACCAAATCTTCTCTAACTGAGGTAGAAAATCTCCATGGATAAAGGATACATTTTACTGAAAGTACCACATACATCCAGAAGGTCAAAATGAAGAAAGGTCAAAAGCTTTGGACCACAGATCAGGGCAATGTCAAACTGACACAATGCCCACAAAAAATCCATACTATTATTAACGATTTTAAATTCTATATTACAATAGAAGAGCAGTATTTGACTGCCACAAAGGTTATACACAGATTTTCAAAATTCAGAGGTTTGATCAGTGAGCTTACAGAAAGTTCAGGGTGTCATGCACTATGCACTCTGTACTTTGTTTTAGACAAAGAGTGAAAAAACAAATCACGTGAAAGTCTCCTTGATGTCACAATAGGAAACTTGATTTGAACACACAACAGAATCAAATACATTCTAAGTTGATCAACTCAGTAACAAAAATTGCAATCACAATTTTAGGAAGGGACAATAATAAATTAATTGTTTGAGTCCCTTGACTCACATTTGACTTATATACAAACATATTTGTAAGTACATTTGTATATGACGGGAAGTAGTCTTGATCAATTTTAATCCTAACTAGTATTTCTTGTGCACCTAAATGGTTACCAGAAGTAGTCAGAGTTTTCCCTATATTCAAGGGACAATAAAGGTAAAATACAAAATTCCATTAGGAACAGTTTAGTTTTCAAATGTGGCTCGGACAGAATCAATGCAGCAACTGATTTGAAAAAAAAAAAAAAAAGAAAAAAAAAACTTCTTCAGAAACTTGTGATGATTCAGTAATGACTAAAGTGAACACACCATGCTGTTGAGAGCACCTTTATCATGAAATTACATAATCACAGCATACAGTTCCCAATCTAACTCACAATTTCCAACAAAACAATTTTATGACAGCATTACATAACTCTTAAATTGACAGGCTAAATACAGCGCATACAAACAGTTGGCCAATAACATTGATAAATAAATTCAACATGTGAAAATCCGGAAACATCTCTTTTACTCCAATTATCATTTAGCCTACAAACGCTTCTTTCCTCAGTAAATTTGCTCGTATAAACTTTTATGAGTAACTAGTACGCATGTCTACCTAATTTCAAGACATGAAACAACATGTATGCCCAATGCCTCAGTAGTCAAAAGCTCAAAAGTGTACTCAGACCAGCTTCATGAAACAAGTGCATGTACGAGTGGATATGTACACCCTGATATAATAGAACTAAAACAGGACAATATCACGTCTTTTCCTTGAAGTACATGGCAAGAATAGCTTATTCAATAACTAAAATAAGGCTCACATATCACTTTGTGAAGGGTTTGACTTTTAGCACTATTTGCAAAGATTCTAAGAGAGAAAACAATAAGGTAATCTACTTGACAGGAGAAACCATTTCATTACAATATTGTTTCTGGGTAAATTATGTCTCCCTAAATTTTGAAAGTTTAAAAGTTTCAAGCAAACACAGAGTAGGCTGAAATAGAGATAGACCCACAAGAATTTGAGAAAGCTTAACGTAAACCAAAACCCTATGGACTAGAAGATTAGTGAACCCAAAACCGTCCTGCTGACCAAGAGACCAAATACTTAGTGAAGAAGAACAAGGTAAGCTCTCGTTACAACCCATATTCCAGTCATACTTTAGCAAACACATTGAATCAATGAGATACTTGGCTGACAGCTGCTTGAAAAATTATTAAGCAGACAATTAAAAATGTCTGGGGACGGCCTGCGAATTTTCCAAAATAAAATCCTTAATTCTAGCATAGCCACAACTTTATCAACAAGAAAAGTTTGATAAGATAAAAGCTTCTTTATAACACAGGGAGTTAACAGAATTTACTTTATAAGCCACTGAATTATACAAAAAGCATTGGGCAAAAAGGATGCTTTAACTAATAGAATTTAAGAGGGTCAGTCTGCTACTCTTACTGTGTCTTGTATTTTTGGGGAAAACAATACTGTTACATCCTACAAAAAAATTATCACTTTCAGCTTTTGCTTACCTCCTTGATACAATATAATGCTTTCTGTAATGCACTATCACTCAGTGATAGTAGAAAGGAACTTCAAGAAACTGTGTAATTTAACACATTATACAGAGTATGAGCAAAAATGCTTTGTACAGAACTCTCAGAATGTGTTCCCCACAAATTTACAATACCCCTACAACTCAGCAGCGGGAAATACAAAATAGGGCACTAAACAAGCTTTGGGCTAGCCAGCAAGACAGATAGAGCAAGAACAGAAAAAGAGGTTAGTGTTGTGTAGTCCGCTTGATAGACCGCACAGGGCGGTTAAGTCTACCTTGAGCCGATGCGGCACCATTCTTGTCTGAGGTGGGAACCTGCCCACTTTGAATGACTGGAACTGGGCCTCCACCAACAGGTATTCTAAAGAGCTGAATCCGCAAATAATTGCAGATCTCTAGACAAACTGCTGAACAGTAGCGCATGAGATCAAAAAGCACCCAAATCTGGAATTTTTTTAAAACACAAATTAGCGATGAGAAATAAGATGCGATACTTGATTTTCGAATGGCAGGAAGATTAAAGAGAACTTACTAGGCACATCCACAAAACTATGTACTCAGAAATATAGAAGTTGAAGTACTGATTAAGGAAGAGCATCAGAGGGCCTATAAGGGCCGAATCAAAATACTCCATTTCATTTTTGGTCATATGTGCAACCTGCAGAAGAAAGAAAAACGTGACCAAACTGACAATATTATCATGAAGCCTCCAAAAGAGTTAAAAGAATAAATTTTAAAGTAACTTACAACAAGTCGATTAGTTACTTTGGCAGCTACCATGCCAAAGGCCATGATATAAAGAACAGGATTGTTTTCATAAACAGCTTGAACACTTTTTCGATAAATGATGTAAGCTGGAACCACCACAAGTCCAAATGGAATAATGGGGGAGAGCACGCTGGTACCCTGAATGGAACACAAATCTTTATTAGCATGTCACTTGTCACCAAACTTATCTTAAATATCTCAAATGAAACAAGGAAAACAAGGGAACAGAAATAAAATGAATAGAAGTGAACTGTTGCCTATTGTCAAAACAAAACAAAATCAATGATTCTACAACTGTTATTCTGACTAAGAGCAAAGGATTCTTTTAAGATTAAGATATTCACAATGCCTGGAGGCCCAAAAGACTTCCAGAATTTTTTTCTTCGATTATTTCTTTTACTTCGTTTAGACTTGAATCAGACAACAGATAATTGTAAGAAGGGACTTAATCCTATAATATTTCTTTGCATTCCAAATAACTGATACTTAATTAATTTCCAGTGCACTAATGAGCAAATACAAAATGTGAACTGCGGCAGAAGTTCTAAAATTGTGCCAAGTAAGCAAAATTATTTGGACAGCAGTCAAAGTCTTTAAATTACAATACCCAAACTACAGCTTCTATTTTTAAAAAATGAGATTTTATGAATCTCTAAACTTAACTCAATGAGTAACTAATCAAATGAAAAGTAGCACTACACAGTAATATTTGCTAACTGACTTCTCAACATGCCACATTCCACCCACCAAGCACCCCAGATGAAGCACATGCAGTCAACCAATATCTGTAGAGGGGAATTAAAGTTGGGCTTGATTTGAGATTCCAATGTAAAGCCTCACTTAGCAAGTAAAAACGTAAAGTGTTATCATTGAACTATGAGTCATGAATAGTAATATAAAATGCAATTACATAATTTTCAGAGGGAAAAATTAATATAAGCAGAAAGAAAAGCCATTACAAACATTCAGGCATGCAGTTATTAATAAAATTGTTTCAGCCTAATTTTCCTCTCATATCTGCCTGCACTCAGTTAATAAGAAACGCCACAAACTGTGATACTGGTATTCACATAAAGTATGACTCATCAGACTCACTAAGGTCCTTTTCATTATTTTTTCTTAAAGAAATTTGATTGGTGGTTTAGTTTACTCGGTATAAAAAGTATTTGGATGAAGCAATTAAATGCTCTAAAGATATATACAGGGCAAAGTTTACTTTATGAGCCAATCAAATCACCTCTTCGGTAATGTAAAGTCATGCATATACCAAAACATATTTCCACTAGAATGGCTATAAATGATCTGACTGCACTGCCTTGCAGCAGCAAGATAAAAGATTCACCGCGTTGCACTCTAAACACAGACACAGACACACGCAACTGGTAAAAATACTTATTCAGTCCAACACTTACAGCAACAGTTGAACCATTTTTCCCAACCCCGCCAGAGATGATAACAGCCAAATTGGAATGAGCTAGTAACGTAGCCAACATTACAGCGATAACCATTGGAATCAGCTTCACCTCAATGTCCAGCCCTGGGATCTGTCCCAATCGCACAAATGTGTCAGTGGCATGCATGAATAAGTTATTGGTGCACCAACATGCTGCTGCACTCTGTCCTGGTGGTACAGTGTACAGTGTACAGGCAAAGGGCATGCAAGAATTAGGCCTTCGGCACCCTTCAATCTGTCATTTCGTGTGAGAAAAATTCATACAGCAGTTACAGCTCATGGAACATAAGAACAAGACCAGATGTGCAGCAAAACTAGTTACTAATTTAAAATTGATTAATAATATAACGCAGTAGAACCAGAAAGTGTCATAGGAGTAATAGGTGAGATAAAGACAAATTGTGAAGTATGTTGGGTTCACCAGGTAACTACAAAATAATGTTAAGTGTTGAAACTGAATTAAGAATGTATCACGTTTGAAGAAATGTGCAGAGCAAAACTTTTGTTTTGGCTCAGGCATTGAGAAAGTGACAAACCCATTGCACTATGATGTGATCATTGGCATTAGATAAAAAGAAGAGAACTACACGAATACAACAATGGCATATGAATCAATTAAATATTGCAAAAGTTTTAGCAATATACAAATAAATGTCGCAAGATAAGATATTAAAAAACAAATTTCAAAAATCCACTGCCCCATATTAATGAATGTGAGTCTTGCAGAAGTCAAAGCCTGGGAAGGTAAAAGAATATGAATGAGAGCGACGAGGATTCATGAATACAAAAATAAAAAAAAATCATATTTGAAGACAGTTTCTGCCCTTAACCCTGTAATCGGTCATCTGCAAATGTGTTTATGTGGTCCTGCGATAAATGTTGAATTAAATAACTACTTTCTGCAGGGATTTCATTACACATAAGGTCCTGAAAAATTGGGATGATGGGGTGGAGGATTTATGTTAAGGGGGAGGGGGGAGGAGGAGGAAAAGGAGGCGAGGGATAAGAACCAAAGAACCACTGCGAGAAGAAATACCTTACACAAAATTAAATTGCATTTACACATGCAGGCACCCCTAGATTTCACTCCAAAGCAGATAACCATGCTATTGTTCATCGGATAAAAGTTTGTCTTATGGTACTTGTCACCACGTGGCACAAAAATTGACAATTAAATTTTGTTTTCTTTGCAGTTAAAGTTTAGAATTAGACCTGGTTTAAGTATTACAACATACAAGCTAATGTGGCCAGCAATACAGTTGAGGGCTAAACAGGATAAGTGGCAAAGCACGACTAACATTAGTATTATAAAGGGTAGCAATAAGCAAGTGTGCCGAAGTTGCACCAAGGTAATTACAGTCACAAATAATCCGCAAGTCATTTCAGCAATTAATTTGAAAAACACCAAAAAGCTTTGATTTCTACTTTGTACTGCTTTCTTAATTGACCATTCTCAACTTCAAATAAAAATTGCATATATGGAAAATGTTTCATAGAAGTCTTTCCCAAAAAGTATCCAACAATGACAAGATGTAAACCATGCTTCTTTAAAGGGGAAAAAAGATAACTTCATGCCAAATCATGATTTTTTTTTTCAAAAAATTTAAACTAACACAATAAAGAAATGAAAAATAACCACAACCCCAACCACCATGGTCTTTATCCTAAACCAGTAAAACCAGAGATTTTATGTACAGAAATAGGAGAAAGCTAACACTTTTTATGGCTGTATAAAAACTTACTGCAACCGATGAGCCATTTTTACCAACTCCCCCCGACTCAAAGACTTGGCAAAACTGGAAAAAATTTCTCAAATATCCCGTGAGACATCCGATGCTTGCTATGACGTTGAGGCTTACGGTGGCCACAGGGACCTGATATACGAAACAAAAATACCCAGAAAAATGAGAAATGTGCTGGGAAATTTATCCTTTTGAGATAGACAAGAGAAGGAATGGTACAACGGAGATCAGCAGAATGTGAACTGAAGATGACTGAAGGTGACGTTGTGAAGCAGGTGAAAGATGAACTGCTGAAATAAATGACCTATATGTACAAACATATCACACAATGTACACTACAAAGGCTAAGATCAACCAAACTTTAGATCAGTCATGTTTGATATTGCATTGGAAGAATCAACTTCACATGTCCTGGATTTAAGCAACTCTTATCTTGTGCTCTATGGTGTAGTGCAATGTAACATGCATGTAATACTTGTAATAAAGCTTTCAGTGGTAGATTGACAGTAAAGAACAGCATATCACTTGCACAAGTTAGTAAAGTAAAGATACCTCAACTGACTTCAAGAAAGTAATAGTGCTTTGTGAAAATCTCAACAAGTAGCCAGTACAAAACCAGAATCAAAGAAGATTGGTGTTCCATATCATGTAAATAAAGCTGTGAGTGGTCTTTAATCCTTATAAAATCTTGTGACTAAATGGTGAGGTAAGAAGGGGTGCAAATAAAAATTACTGTTAGCAACAAATCCTGTACTCTTCACAAGTGTTAAAATAAAGCCAAATTTAAAACACAAAATATCGAACAACAGAACCAAGGGCTGCAGTCACACATCAAAATATCTAAAAACAATAATCCATATTCATCCCCATACCAACTGCAAAACTAATATTGTTCTCAATGCCATTAATCAGATAGTGCAATATGGGTTATGAACACATAATTACCCCACACCCACCACCAGGAATTACTTTCAAATAGAGGAGTGCAATAAGCTGCACACTCATTCATTTTCAAAAGAAGCCAGAAGATAGGCGAGAGAAAATTCTAGAAGAAAGATGTCTGAGTCATGTTAGCAGAGACATAAAAAAAAGATGAGGCAAATTGATGGAGTGGTTTTCAATTATCTTTCAAACACTCCAATAAATAAAAAAAACCAAACAGATACATGGAGCTTACTGCTGTCTGAGAATATCAAATTAATTCTGCTCAGAATCTAGTTTTTCTTGGTTCACACCTTTAAATAAATAATAAAGGGGTTGAGATGTGATTCCAAAAGTAGTGAATAACCAAAAGCCATTATGCTGTGGTTTGTCAACTTCAAAGCTGTAAAATGCATCTACAATACAAACAAAAGCTGCTGCCAAACACTCTACGTAAAGCTTAAATTTAAAAAAAAGGACAAAAGCCAAAACCCATGCAGTCCTACCATCATTTGCCCATAATTCACGCCTTGTTTCAAATAAAGATGCCTTTCCAACCATTTTCCTGACCCTCATTGACTGACTAACTGATCCTGCTTTTGCAAGAAACTTTGATGGCAAGTCCATAATTTGGATCCAAAAGTCACTTTTGATGTGTTTAACCTTAAATCCCAGAGTACCTTGATTCCTTCATAGCTAATTGTCGCAACATGTTCATCAATCAAGTTTTCAAAGGACAATGTTCACATTTTGTGCAGTAGTAGCAACTGAAAATTCATTTAGTCATGTTTCAAAGCTGCTCAGTTATACTATGGAGTTGCTTCCTATACTAAGTCATATCTGACTAGATGTTAAAAAGACACTCTTAGCCGATGGCATGGCATATTTCACTTACAGCTATGGTTGATCCATTTTTTCCTCCTCCTCCAGATATGATGACTAGGAACATGTTGTATAAATTCAATGAGGCACCAAACAGGGTAAACATACCTATCACATAGCGCAATTCAAAATATTCTAGAGGGGGTATCTGAAATAGAAAAATCCTTTGTTAAACAAGGGACTTGTGGTAGGCAGACTTTGATGCACATTGAAAAGTAGGTCCTACTCAAACCATACATCTACATGCAAGTATGAGAGATATATAGGTGGATTTACTTTCAGAAGCATAACAGCTAAGCACATATATAAGATGAGCTAAGTAAGGGAAAAGCAAAATGTAGACTAAAACTGAGAGCTAGAATTTTCCAAAGATAATGCAGTTGAGTAAAAATGGGAAGAGGTACAAGATACAATAGTATAGTAACTGTTTCTACACTAGCACATGATTGCAGATTTATGTACACTTTAATTACAAAATATAAGAAACAACACAAATGATTTTTCCCCTCTGTGGCCCTCAAGTGGTCACAGGAAATAAAGCAAATTTTGTCAATTGTGTTACTATAATATTTGCTCATCCCCTCAAAGATAAAACTAATTCACAAAAAATAAATTTATCATGAGTAAGATTTCTTTCCTTTCTTCCTGACACTCATAAAGACTAATATCACAAGCATGTAATGAACCTGCATGGAGAAACAAAAGAGAAGGATTTGAAGCAAATAAATTATATCCTTTCTGGAAGAATTTACAATATCTAAATAGAAAGAGACAGGCACAGCGACAGCAGGATCTAAACTAGAGAACAAATTAGACCAAGATCTGAAATATTAACAGGCCAACTCCACTGTTGTAAAGGAAACTAGAAAGGCAGGGTTGAATTTAATAAGTATACTTGCGTAGATTTTTTAATCCTGAAAAAGACAACAGCAAAAGTAAGCCATAACATATAACGCAGCCATCCTGGTTTAAGAACACTTCTGGAAGGGAAAGCATAACACGACAAATAATGAGTGAGCACCCTTGACCCTTGTGGCCTGCTTCAGGAGTAAAAGTAAAGGTTTATTATTGGGACGTGTTGGACTGTCGGCAACCTGAAAACCAGACCTTGAGGACACAGTCCTAAAATGACACTGAACTAACTGTAGATGGAGCTTACCTTTGTCATCCATATGCTTGGACCAAAAATTGTAGAAATAAGATGAATGAGCATTATGGTGGCTTGCGCCTCAGTCACATCAAGTTTGCCAAATCTCAGGGTACCTAGAGAAACAAAATAAACACAAAAATGTAAGAAAGCTCATACTTCGGAAAGGGGGCAGGTAAAGCCATAAAGCAGCATGACTGAGGGTCCTTAAGGTTCTGACAGTCAATGGAGACAGCAAACATCTCTTTCTGCCTGCTGCACAATAAAAAAAAGAGTGCACAATTTCACATCTCATAGGGGACCATTACTATCCATAAATACATAGCCAGAATCTACCACAATTTGGGTTTGGTGGCCTTCTTAGGCTACATGGAAACATGCAGCAGTACTAACCAGACACATAAGTTTGCCAATGTGCACAGTAAAAAAGGGTCATAGCACAGAAACATTGAAAGAACATCCAGGTTGGATAGTGACCCAGTTGCACAGCGATGCAAGCAGATGCCGCAACAAATACTGAAATCAAGACAGAGCATTGTAAGTAGCCCATCACAAAAGTTTTAACACTGCCCAAATATATCCAGAAATATTCACCTGTTGAAATTGAATCACAACCATGGTCAAAAAGTTCTCCAAGAGGACTCGACGTGCCAGTCCGTCTTGCTTGTTTTCCATCAATAGCATCCAAACTCTGATACGCAAACAAGCCTACACCACATAAAAAGAATGCCCATCTTGGTGCCTGGATGAGAAAAAAAAAACACGCAAAGAATGTCTTTTAAAATTAAACAGCCCATTTAGTGACAAGAAATATGATTCACCACACACATAAAAAATTACATAGAATTAAAAATTTGGTCATGGACCAATTCAAATTAACTTGAAGATTTTTTTTAACAACAAGAAAGTATCACGACTTACGTCAGATTTAGCGTCCGCACTGTAGTAGATGAGAATCAATGTTGTCACTATGTTGATAATGAGACCAGACAGGGTTATGAGATTCGGGGCCAGCCATATCGGCACTTGTCGGACGAGCCAATTCCAGTATGGTTGTAGGAAGGCATCGAGCAGACTTTTGCTTTCCGAATTGTATTTATGTTCGCTTAGTCGCTTTAACTGGCCATCTGACAGGATTTTGTCCTTGTAGAAATGCATTTTCACCGCACCATGCGAAGTGATCAGCAGCAGATAAAACACAACGCAGAACGAAGCTGACGTACAGGTGACGACTTAGAACATCTCACATCGAACGATAAACTTGTGATGGATGGGTTGAGAACACGCAACGATTTACTGCGTAATTTTCAAGTCCACATCAGACTCGTAACTTCACACCATTTTTCACACACTGTACTCTAAAAAACGTAAACAGGTTGCGCCACCTAGATCTAGTTCGCGTTTGCAGCGTTGCAGCAAATCGTATGAGAAATTAACTGTAAGTTTATACACACATTTATGTACTGCAGAATTTGTCATAACTACAACAATGAAGCCAACATAGGCACACGCACTTCACTTTTAAGTTTCCACTTTAAGTCTCTCTGAACAAATGTCAATTTTATATTCTGCAAAAATTTTAAAAAATTTTAGATCCCATAGCTCGCTTTACTCGTCGTTTGCTGCGGTGGTCGTTTATTTCAATGTTGGCAACATTTCTTTGTTTATGTTGACCACTGAACACGCCACCCACGTTTGAAAATGAGTCTTGTATTGCAGACTTCTGAAGGTTTTGTCCTGTGTCACCCAAATTATTTGCGGCGTTTGTATAGTTCTACCCGGACAGAAAGTGTCCTGGTCAAGCTTGAGCCGCACCACCATTTATTTGACGTTAACACACCCTACATGAGGGATGCAGCAGCCAGAAAGAAGGCTAGAGGGGACACTGTATCGGGTTCACAATGTTCAAAAGGCCTGAAGAGAAAGTTTACTGAAATTTCGATTGAAAAGCAAACTGACCTTCAGGTGAGCGTTTGGTTTGAATATGGCCCGTGGTTTTCAAATGCAGATTTTCTTATCTATGGTACATCTTTACAGATTGATCGCATCAAGAATACCTTATATCGACTTGTCAAAGGTGCTCAACATTTGGACTATTTTACGTTTATTCCATCTGCAAGTGACATAATGAACAACAACAAAGATGCCAGAATGTTGTCAGAAAATCTCTACAAAGAGACGGATGACTGTATTCAAGCTCCATTCAATGGAGAAAATAATACGGATGAGGCTCTTTTAAAACGTTTGGGGTTGCAAACTTTTGTTTTCCCTCCTCGTTGTAGGTTCTACTGCAGAGATGTTGGTGAAATGAAAGACTATGTAGAACCTTTAGGGCAGTTTGATCTTATTCTATTGGACCCTCCTTGGTGGAATAAATATATTCGACGAAAGAAAGCAAAGTGCCGGCAGGATGGGTAATCACTTTTCGGAATAATTCACACTATTAATCTCAACAAGATTTGCTTCTGAAATATTTATTTTTAACAGGTATAATATGATGTATAATCATACTCTTGGAGAGCTTCCTCTCAACATGCTACTTGCCCCGGGTGGAATTATTGCTGTTTGGTGCACTAATTCTACTAACCATTTAGAGGAGCTGAAAAACAAATTATTTCCAGCATGGGGCACAGAGCAAATAGCTCAATGGGCATGGTTAAAGGCAAGTTAAGAAATCAATTTATGCTCATTCCTAGTGACTTATCTTTTGTATTTTGATTTTTAATAATTGTCTGAATTTAGGTAACCAAATCAGGAGAGCCAGTTTGCCCATTTTCAGACCCTCCGGGGAAGCAACCATTTGAGCAGCTAATATTTGGTGTCCGCCCTGAGGAAGCTAATGTATTGTCCCGACCAGAGGATGGTAAAGTGTTTTTAAGTGTACCGAGTGCAATACATTCTCACAAACCACCAGTATCAGGTAAAGTATGAGTCTCAAACATAATTTTTGGTGATTTTGTTCCCTAATTTCATGTTGTTCTCAAAGATATCTATTATTATCACTTTGTTACAGAAATGTTGCAGACATATCTCCCTCCAGAGCCTCGCTGTTTAGAGATATTTGCTCGTTACCTCTTACCAAACTGGACCAGCTGGGGCCTGGAAGTTATTAAACTTCAGCATTCTTCTCTGTTTCGTGAGGAGGCACTAATTGCGGGTGATTCTGCTTCACAAGCTACCTAGGTTTATCTATAATTTATTTTCCCTCCTCTCACACTTTTAATATTTTTCATCAGTCTTTACTTCTTTCATAGTTTTCATTTAAGTGGATTTTATGAGTGTCCATTTCCCATTGGAATTTTGCCATTGGTGTGTTGATGATGCCCATTTTGTGAAGATTTTGCTGGCACAGAATTATCTGAATGTCCATTCTTCTTTAAGTGCTCTGTCACAGTATGACCGTTTTGGGAGGCTTTCCTGGACACACTATTTTCAACTGAGCTTCTGTAACCATCTGGGTTCATGGTCTGCCATCTCCAAAAATCTTTACCTGCAACATAATAAGGAAGAAGTAAGATAATGAAGAATTTTCGTCTGTAATACTCATAAATTTTAGAACATTTTTATAGATTTTCAAGTAAAATAGCCGTACACATTTGAGGAAGTGTGAATTGTGACTTCCAACCCAATTCCTTTTCTGCCAAACTTGCATTTGCATACATTGAGACTATGTCCCCATCTCGTCTGCTGCATATCTTGAATGGGATTTCAGTGTCAGTTACTGCTTCAAAAATTTTCAGCAGTTGCAGCACTGACACTCCCTTGCCAGTGCCCAAATTGTAAATCCTTATTCTTTGGTGATCTTTGTGCAGTTTGCTTAGTGCAGCAACATGTCCACTGGCTAGATCCATTACATGGATGTAATCTCGGACACCTGCAGTTTGCATGTTCAAATTTTTATTGTCAGCAAAAGTATGTATGTGTATATATATATATATATGTATATATATATATTAAAAAAAAAAAACAAAAAAACATTTCATTGTTTATTTATTTTTTTGGTTGCTTACCTGTTCCGTCTACTGTGTCATAATCTCCACCAAAAATTGTTAAGTGAGGCTTATTGCCCATGGCCACCTGTGCCATATAAGGCATAATGTTGGTAAATTCCTTGGTTGGGTCTTCACCAATCAGTCCAGTCGGGTGTGCTCCAACGGGATTGAAGTATCTCAGAGCAATGATGTTCCATTTCTGAAAAAGATAGATTCCACAAATGTACATTGACATTCAGGAGTGAACCCTCCAAAGAAATGTGTATTTACACTTACACTGTTGGCTGCAGATATGTCCTTGAGCATACCCTCTATGAAGTGTTTTGTGCGTCCATAAACATTGGTCACATCTCCTGTAGGGTGACTCTCTGTGATGGGTAGGCTTTCAGGGTTGCCGTACACTGTGCAAGATGATGAAAACACGAGCTGATACACATTATGTGCTTCCATTACTTCCAGAAGGTTGATTGTCGCTATCAGATTGTTCTTGTAATACAGAAGAGGGAACTGCATGGACTCTCCCACAGCTTTGATGGCAGCAAAGTGGATCACACAGTCAATCTTGTGCTGCAAAAGGAACCAAACCCACATCTCAGTCTTCTTTAGGAATCAGCTCACAAAGTGCCTGCATAGATAAGGTACCTCCTGGAAGATTTGTTGGAGTCGCGTCTTGTCCAGCAGGTCGCATTCGTAGAAGGTGAGTTCCTTCCCTGTGATGAGCTGGACGCGCTGGAGGGACGGGGGCAAGCCGGAGCCGGAGGGAGCGCTGGGCACCGAGTTGACGAAGTTGTCGAGGGCGATGACGGCGTAGCCCGCCTGCAGCAGCTCCACAGTGCAGTGGCTGCCGATGTAGCCCGCGCCCCCCGTCACGAGCACCGTCAGGCCCGCGCCGGACATGTCTCTGGCCTCTGGAAACGAAACGCGAACAGCGCAAGCTAGCGCAAGCCAGTCAGCACTCTGCACTGCAGCCTCCCTTGGGCCTTGGGGGAAGTCCCACCGAGCCACTCCTTGCTGCGCCTGCGCTCGAGCACGTCCGGAGCAGGAACAATCCAGGGCTCGCTAGCGGCGCCGCTGCGGCGATTGCACCACCGAGTGGAGTCGACAGTGCTGCCTGGGGGCCCTGGAGGCTGCCCTGGAAGCTGCGGCTGCGCTGTGTTGCGCAGAAGCATCGTTTCGCAGTGTCGCTATAGTAGCGGCGCACAGTCAGCCGTGTGATTCCGAGCACTGCTTTCGTCGCCCTGTCTCTCTCGCACTCATGGGGCGGCCCGTAGGGGTGCGAGAGAGACAGAGCGACGAAGCAGTGTTCGGAATCAGACGGCAGCGTAGCCCGCGTAGCCGCCTCTCCTCTCTAAAGTGGCGCTCTAGTGGAGCGGGGCACTCTGCAGCTGTAAACGTCACACTCGCTCGCCCGGTAAATGTCAAGGTTGGCGTCGCGTCGTCTCTCGAGGCTCCAAAAAATGTTCGCAAGTTGCCCCTGCCAGTGCACGTCACCGAGTCACCGACCGACAACGCGCCCCGACGCGAGCAGCGAGCACGGTATTCCGAGCAAAACGGTGCTAAACGGTGCCAGCTCCGTCCGCCCCGTACCGTTGCAGGCGCTCTGTAGGCCGGTTCTGAACAGTGCTTTCGTCGCTCTGTTCCCCTTGCGACCCTACGACACACCCCATGAGTGAGAGAGAGAGATCAAAGAAGGCACTGTCCGGAAAGAGGCTTGTCGCACCTCCGCGTTGCGGTCCTCGCGAATGGCAGAACGCTGGCACGGCTGGCACGCTGGGCGGCCGCACTACCTGCTGGCCTTGAACTTGACCGCGCGGCCGGCCCGCCCCCGTCGCGAGGGAGGCCGGGACCGAGGCCGGGCGGGGAAGTCCGGGTGACGTGTACACTGTCCAGCGCGCCGTGTCCGAGACTGCCGCAGGGCTGTCGACGGGCTGCCGATGGGCCTGGCGAGGTCATTGCACTCGGCTCGGTGCTCAAATACCTGAACCGCGCCTGCCGAGGGGAGAGGCGCGAGCACGACCACGGCGGCGGGATCGAGGCTTGAGGTCGTCGCCTTACCAGCTTACCTGGTTGCCTCGGACGACAGAACGGCAGCGTTGGGGTCAGCGACGTCGCCGAGGCAGGGTCGAGGACGATGCTCCGGGACGCTGGTACTGGTAGCCGCCGCTGTCGAAGCCACGCCACGGCCGTCGACTAACTGGCTAGGGAAGGGACCGGAGTTGGGAGTTGGGGTTGGGCCTTTGCTTGTCTTCTCCTCTACACCGCCCGCCGCCACCGTGCCGCCACACCACACCGCTCCTCCTTCTCGTGCTTCGAGGCACGCCTCTGCCCGGCCCTGCCCCTCCTCTCCCCGCCCCTGTGGCCTTTAGCCTTACCCTGTGGCCCCCGGGGCCTCGAAGCCCCTCTCCCGGCCTTCCCCGCCCCGCGCACCTCCCGCCGACACAACCCGACAGGCCGACAGCGCGGGCTGCTGCGCGGCGCCGACCTGGCGTCTCCCTCCTCCCGCCTTTCTGCAGCTGCCCATTCATTTCTCCCAGTGTCAGGCCGTGCGTCAGTGTGGAGGCGGGCCCTGGTCAGGCTCTGGATTTAAGTTACACTCCTTTTCCTGGAGAAGGTTCCTCTGCAGCGATCGTGAGGCAGGCTGCCGGGACTCACTCACGTCACTGGACCGGAACACCCCCAGCCTACCCCAGCCCCTCCGCGGCGGTGCGGTGCGGCGGGACCGCGTCGCTAGACCGGCGCCGTCTGGCTCCCCTTTGGCTCGCCTGGCGGATCAGACGCTCCCTAGACGCCACATGTGCACCGCACGCAACAACACTTCCTCTTCCAAGAAGTAAAGGTCACACAAATAAGTCCAACACGTAAAATAATTTTATTCTTTAATAACTTTTCTCAAAAGCTCCTGGTTTTTTTTGTCATAATTGTACACTCTAACATGCCTACATTTACCCCCACCACATGTACAAATAAGGCTCATAGATTTGGTTTCAGTAAAAAAATAGCAGTGATATAGTTTTCTTAAAAATATTATTACAACTAACAGCTAACAACTTGAATGACTATCGTTCTGTGATGACGGGCAGAAAGAATCAAGCAATCTGCACCATATAATATACTGATATACTCTAATCAATGATTTATAAAAGGGTAGCGAGTTTACATGAGAACTTATAGATATTGACTTAGACTGAAGGGAAACAAAATTCCTAGCCAGTTTTCCAGACATGCAAACACTGCTGATAGTCATATAGTTCATGGTTTCAGGAAGATTTCAGTCGTAGTGAGGAAGCCTCAAACATGTGGTCCACAAGCCAAAGGCAAATTCTAGATAAGATAATCGATTATAGCAGTGGAGCTTTGTTCTGATGTGCTCAGACTTCAAGACTAGAAAAACATAGGATGGTAGATTTTCATTTTCTGACTGATTACAACTACATGTGTTTTTTCTCTCAAAACTTCCATTTTCAACAAAATAACTTTACCAAAAAATAATCAATGTGTCATGGTAATGCAATTGATTCAATTAACAAAACAAAATATTTGATCACCCTACAGAATGCAGAAAAGAAAAGCAGACAAGAAAACCTTACCACAGGAAACCAGGCACTATATTAATGGAAGTATATTTTTTGGCTGTACAATTGGGGAACTTCAGAGTCAGCATTGGCGCTTTAATCATATGAGTTACACATTGCACCCTCCTTACAATGCTGTTCAGTAAAATTACAGCAAAAAAATCGTAATAATTGCTATGGTTGAAAACACCAACTCACATGTAACGACAGCTTTGGCACTAAGGTTTAGGTTATTTTGAAGAAGAAAGAAAAATTCCATGAACTGACATTTTAAGTCAAGAACCCTGAATGTCACACCCACACCTCACATTCTCTGCATTTTGCCTTCAGCCGAAACAGAGGGTTTTTAGTATAACAATAGAAATTGAAAACTGATATAAAAGAGTTGAGCACTAACTAATCATGAAATAAAAGGACACAAGCCAAAGCATGATATTAAGTGATGTACATTCATTCATCACAACTTGACCCAATCTTACCGACGACTACTACAACCACAGTTGATCCCTCAGATTAAAATAACAATCCTTAGTAACAAATTGTAAATATCATACAGAACATGGACGAGTAAGTGCTTTCATTCTTCATAAAAATCACTGAGGTTTCACCAATTATTAGTAGTTTGATCAAATCTCTTGGAGAGATATTCCAATACAAGCAACATAATTCTGCACAGGTGCATATGTCTAAAAAAAAAAACCATAACTAAAAACAAGCAACAATACAACAAACATTTTCTGACAAACAATGGGAAACACCAACTAAAAAAGAAACTGCACTGCAAACAAATTTGAATGCAACAAATAAAATGCTTGTGAAAAATAGAAAAGCCATATAGAGCAAGAATATTTATCCTAATACTAAAATCATTATCAATCACAAAGCTAATAACCTCACTATCATATCACAAATGTCAAGCTATCCACAGCCATGGCATATCTACATCTTAAGCCATTAACACATGGGATTGAGTATGGATGTAAAGGTATTTAACCTTTCTCTTTTTACAATTGTGTGCAAAGCTGCACAATCGTTATTTATTTTAGGAAATTCCCTGGTAACTTACATTCCTGTATATCATAGCAAACAAGGATGCTAATGGCACAAAAGTGCCAGCAACTTGAAATAAAGTTGAGCAATGAAAAAAATTGGAGGGCATTTTTACTCAGTCCATCAAGAAAACATGAAGCAAAAGTAAGAATACAAGATGGTAAAATGAGGCATGAGAGGCAACCATTGAACAAAAAATTAATTCCTTGAGAACCAATCTTCCTAGCTCCTTTGCTATGACATACAGGAACCACAAACAAGTCATAAAATATGCCAAACAAGAGTACTTCTAAAAACCCAAACAAATCACTCTGCGATACCCATAAGTATTAAACAATTTAGAGAGGCAATTTTTAAATTTGAAATTTACAACAGTGTTAGATTATATGCCAACTTAAAAGCTAGGCAGAGCAGCCATAGATCAGTCTAAATGAAACAGAAATAAGACCTACAGATGTCTAATTGAAATAACAGCATTCCATACATGAAATACTCAGTACTAACACAGTTATGGTATATTACAATCAAGAGAGGAGGAAAATGTACTAAACCAAATTGCTCGAGTAACTGAGTAAGGGCTAAAAAAAAAGAAGGTATCAAAATTTGCAAATCCATCTACAAATGTATCTACAAATTACATATATCAATGGTCCCTTGAACAGAAAATTGTACAACTCCAATCTCATAAATTTCTATATACATTCAAAACATAAGTACTGAGTAGGCACATTTGAACATATTACTAAAGTATTTCTAATTTTTGATTGATTTATGATAATGTTCGTCCTAGGATGTCCAAATTCATGATTAAAAACGGATACGGACTGAAATGTCATTACATGAACATTGAGCTTATTCAAGATAAAAATTTAACAAAATGTTATGTGACTGTTACATTTGACAACCTTGATTGAGCTCCTTCAATAGAACCAATCAATTCTTCATCAGCAGATATTAATGTTTCAGATTCAGAATCCTCCTTCTTCTCTCTTCTTATCTTGCGATATCTGAATCTTGCCCTTTGAAGAAGACTCTCTTTCCTTCGGGTAGTTTGCTTCCTCATCAGGAAGTTGTCTGTGACCCAAAACATCAAGGCCTAAGAACAAGAGGAAAGAAGAAAGAATGAATTGATGGAATACTTCTGCTAGAATACAAAAAGAAAATTTGAAATTTTTATCACAGTACTCACATTTACAAAAAAGGGTATAATAAGCATAACTAAGGCAACTTCTATTCGAGGATTGCTGAATGGTGAGAGAATAAACTGCTGAACACTATCCCAGAAATCCAACATCATTAACAATGTGATGCATGTCTTAACAATCATCATCAAAAGCACATACAATGCACATTGAATCAACCACGCTTGTGGTGAAGGTGGCTTGCCTAGACAAAATAAAGACACATGTTCCATAAAACAATTATGAACACAAACAAAAAAAATAAATTAAAAAATGCATGTATTGATGCATGTAAAATACTGACACAAAATTAACTATTGTCCCACTTACCATATTCACCAAAATTGATGGAATCCCAGTGCTTGGCACGAGACAAATATTGACATAAACGAATGCCGATGTACAAGATGAAGAGACCAACAGATGAGTCCAACAAAAAGTTGATAATATACCTAAGAGGAACAATGCTCAAATTTATATCAACTGCTCCTTTGATGGCTCTTTAAAAGGTTATTAGAACACCATTTCCTACAGTCCTTTCAGTAAATACCAACTCACCAAGTGCATGGATCTCCTTGATAATTACTTGCAAGGAATACATTTGCTAAATGAATGACTAAGGCACCCATTCCCTGTTTGGACGTGTCATAAAACCAAATAAGCCATGGTCTCCTTTCAACTGTTGGTTCACAAAATCTCTTCACTGAAAGAGAAACGGATTCGGTGAAAGGACGAGTGACCATGGAATAATTTTTGTCAATGTTTGGTAGGAACTGAACTGTCTGGTAAAGAGAAAGTACTCACAGATGAGGCAAGTGAAAGCTAGGCCGGCTAGTAATACTTGCAGAAACCAGCCGAACAGGTCTGTAAGAGCGTCTTTACTACAATGAGACATCACGACCTCTAAAAGCAAAGAAATAGAAAGAAAACAGTAGGCAAATGCTCAATCTCAAGTAATGGGAACATGTCAGGAGAGGGTTAGAGCGAAGTTCATCTCGCAGTGCTGATTCAAGACAACCACAAAGACATACAGCGTTGTTCAGTTTGGTAACGGAGTTGAACAAAAATATCTTCAGTAAGAAATCTCGCGTCCTATATCACAACATTTAGTGCACAATGTTTGGGGTTTGGACGTTTGGACGAAGAAACGGGACCTGACATCTGACATTGTTAACGTTGAGCGCACGGCTTCTGTAAATAAGCGCATGCACCAACGACGCGAGAGCGCAGCACCGTCGGGCTCGGAGCACCGCCATTTTCGAAGTAGGAGCTTTTTCTTCTTATTCATTGTACTTTCTTTAGATTCGATAGTTTGTTTGTCTTTCCCTTTGTTCTCTATGGAAGCTATAGAATCCTAAGAGCTCGAATGAGCCTTCTTTTGTCAATTCCAATTTGTTCAATACAATATGTAGCCATTTTCCCCTCCTCCGCGTGAGAGTGCTTAGCAGAAGCCACCGCAGGCATGGTGCCTGGAGCCTGGATATATACTGTGAGAGAGTCGTCAACCGTTCTCGACGCTCATTGGCTGTGTGCGCCGATGGCCGGAGCGAGCAGTCTGTGGTGCGCATAACCGACCCGACACGGCGATCGGATCGGATCGGAACAGCCAAAAGTTAAGTCTTGACAGCCATGGAAAGCAATCCATTTTGAAAGCGTTGCACATAATTGCTCGGTAAGTGCAACGTAACATAATGTTCCTTTATTTTTTGTGTCCCTATCTGGTGTTAGGTTAGGTTTGGATAAAGCCAAATTCTAGAAATAACAGCCTGTGTTCTGCGGACCAATCAGAAGCCTCCTTTAGGCAGGGTGGGGGTGCTGGTGCCGTACTGTAGGAGGGTCCACCCAAATGTGGTCTGTGAGTGCATGGTTGTGGTTAGGTTTGGTTGGTTGGTTGGGTGGTTCAGCCCAGCGTTCGCTCTCTAACAACGTTGAATGGGTTTACTTCGTTCAGGTGTGAAGTTTCATTTTCTTCAGAAACCAAGGATTAATTGTACGATTGGTCAACAAATTCCATCCTGAGTTTTCTTTTGTCCTGGTTGTTCTACTATGCCATCCTCTTCCTCGTCCGAGGAAGACCTGTCGAAATTCAGAGAAGCGACAGACAGCACTCTTTACAATGAGTCTCTTTTTAAAGGAAAACAAGGTACTAACTTTTACAGATTTTTAAGGTTGTAGTCTGCGCGTCTCTGACGGAATGTAGTTGTAGAATTCCTTTTAGCGGGCGTGAATGAAGTGTCATTCACCCACCTGTAGGTGCCTCACATGACAATACACCACATTTGTTGTTGTAAAAACTTTTGTCCCCTAAACCTTGAGTCTAGCAAAGTGCTTTGGAATCACTTATTCAACTTCTTATTCCTCTTTCAGCCCAGCCAGACGAAAAGCCAGTTATTATTGCCCCTCCATCTCTTCGATACATTGAGGAAGAGGAGGACAGAATCCACAATGAACTGAAAGTTACTCCGTCATTTCAAAAGCATGTTGCCAAGCACCTTTCAAAACTACTTGATAGGTAGTTTTTTGATTACCATGAACCATAAATTATGATCAGACTGTGATCATTAATTGATTTTTTGTTTTTTCAGGCAGTTGGAGTTGAAGGATAAGAGCGCAGAAAATTCTAATCCTCCCATTGAATCAAGGAACGTCCTCAAAGCAAAACGTGGTAAAAATTCAAGTAGTACAGATGTCAGCAGTAGTGGAGGAGTTCGCCTTCTTGGAGCATCTGCTGTGTTTCTCTCCAACTTGAATATAGTACCTAGCACCAATCGCCGAAGAAAACGAGGACGGAACATAGCTTGTTTTTCAAGGTAAAAGCAAATTTACTCCAGTTTATTTCAATATCTTGTCAGAATTCTTCTGGTCACTAATTCAAATTTACACTTTGAAGTGGCAGTGAGTCGTCGAGTGAAGAAATTGACAGTGATGATGCTGCTGCTGATATCTCTCAAAATAGAGTGCTGAGTGGGAATGCATCGAAAGGATTCAAAATTTCAAAGCCTTTATTAACAGATCCTTCCAAAGATGATCTTTCTAGGGGCTATGAGTCTCTTAACGAAATTGGTAGCAATAGTAATCCTCTCTCTATAGAGGTAAGAAAACTTCAGTTAATTATTTCCTTAAAGAACCCTGTTCAACTTATTGTTCTATTCTGTATCTTCTTTGTTTGCAGGCATTAAGTTTGGGAGCTAAAGATGACATGGCATTTCTCAGTCTACATAAAAAGAAGAATGCTGCTCATTTTGAGTCTGAATTAGCAGCATCAGTAAGTTCTATGTTAAGTTTAGGTTCAGACTCTCAAGGTGACTTGCCTAAAATAAAAAAGAAAAAGATGAAAAAAAAGAAAAAGCGCCGGAAAGAGCAGTACTCGGAGGATGCTACCACAGAAACAACTGAAGTGGAAGACATTGTTGAAGAAAGGAGGAAGAAAGTTAAGAAGGCAAAGCGAAGAAGACGTGATGAAAAGAAGGCAGAAGAAATGGCTGTTATTAGGGAATGTGTTCCAGGTTTGTTAGAGGAGACTGAAGAAAATGTAAAATGCAAGGAGTGCAAAAAGAAAAAGAAAAGAATGAAAGTTAAGGGTGAAGAGTCGTATTTCAAGAAACAAAAAAGTCGTTTTAAATTATCTAAGTCTTCAAAAACAATATCTAAGAAGAAAATGTCCAAAAATGTTTCACTCCTGTCAGAGGATCTTGCCAAGCTCATGATGAATCCAAACGAAGCATCTTAATTCCTTTAAACAGTAACTATGGGGTGAGTTGAATGTCTGCCATAAGTCTTATTTCTTTTGAACAAATTTTGATGAATTGTATCAAATTTGCATTTTGTCTACACTGCCTTGTCAAACTGAGTGTTGTGGAACTAAGACTTCATAGACAATCTAGTCTCTCTGAAACAAAATTAAAAAGAAATGTTTTGGGTGAATTTTCATTTGGTAGAGCTTTATTTATGTGGCTGTGAAAATCTTGTTTTGTTAAACTTTGCAATTCATCAATTGGGAAGAATATCTGTTCCTTCTAGTGTGTGAAACTATGAAATGACATGCTCACACCCTATCCTATGTTCTATTAAATACCAAGTAGGTATTTGATATTGTGCTGTGAAGAAGACTGATGTTAAAAATGCTCAACCATGTAAATCATTGTTTTTGAAGTCTTCTTACAAATTGTAAATGGATTTGATTTGAAAGCCATTACAGAGGGGCTGGATGATGGTGGAGGATGGACTTGGGCTTCTTGCTCCTACATTACTACACATCCTGTTAGTGACTTTTCTAATCAATATTTAGTGAAGGTTAAGGAACATTAAGTAGAATGTTTTAGCAATTGTTTTCTGTTTCAAGAATTACATCTGTCATAGTTCAATGTACCTGAGATACTTTTTAATTTTACTTTTGATTTTAGTGACACTCAAGCTGTCAATTACTGTATTTCTATGAACTTCTCACCTGTAAATCCCAACCTTTTAAAAATGATATTTGGTGCTCTATTTAGAGAGAGAAGCCTTAATAAAATTGTGATAAATGAGAATCAATCAATCAATGGAGTCAAATCACCTCATTACTTCTAACAATGCCTTACTTTATTTAGGTCCTCATAGCAATCAATTTTCTCTATGTATATCACACAATTCATTAGGTTTGTCAATTTACTTACTTTCAACACTATGTACAAGTTACATTTTCTCTCAAGAAATTCTCATTAAAAAAGTAAACATTGAGGAATAGGCTTTTTGTCAGTCTGAAACCATTATCAAGTACACAAGCATCTTGTTCTGTGGTAATACTGAGAAAAATGCACCCAAGGCAGTATAAGTTCCGCAAAATTTGAGAATTTCTTGAGACACAATAAAGCTTAGATAAAATTTCTACAACAGAAGGGACATTTACATCACAAACAAGATAAGAGGAGAAATGCAATTCAGACTGTATGTTTACAATTTCATACACAAGGTAGCTTATAAATATACAAATAGAGAGATGAGAAATGAGAGAGAGAGAGAGGAGGGAAGGGCAGAACATCACAGACAGCTCAAATGGGTACCAAAACACTCCATTTTAAAACCAGTCGACAATACTGCTTTGTAATACTGCATACAGGCTGTAAGTACTGACATTTCTCATCTACCAAACACTAACCAAATCAAAATTTACAGATGAGCACAATAAAACCACAACCTTCTTGCATAAAACCTCACCAAATAATAACAGAATAACTGACACTTCAGAACCGTAAAATTATTGCTCAGCATATATAAAGAAAACGAGAGAAAAAAAAAACATTATTAATATTTTGAGCAGGGTCAAAACTGGAGTATTGGCACCATGTGAAAAGCAACAAAAATGTCATCAAAATATTTGGCACAGGTCTCCGCACTTTGCATGACACAGGTGCAACTAGGTCACACTAATTAATACTCAAGGTAAATGAAAGCAATATCATTTTTGTTGTGTTTTTGCTCTAATAGAGAGAAGAAATAGAAGAATAAAATAAGAAAGAAGCAACCCCTAGCAAAACAAGTCATACCAAGGTGAACATTAACAGAATTTACAGATGTGGCTCCACCACCCATTGTAAAAATTTGAATTGAGCAAATTTCAAATTTCAACTATACATAAGAAATACCATTAAATACCTTTAAGAACTTAATATCTAACATCACAAAGAAAAATATAATGAAAAAAAAACCCTACAATTTAAAAGACAAAACACATTCATGAGATTCTTTAAATCTTATTGTTTGTACACCAAGATAATAGTTGCCAAAATAACTACTAAACATAAACTTGTAAAAACTGTGCATAACAAATATATACATTCAGATCAAACACTAGAAACCTAGAGGGTCTCATGCACAACTAAAACACAAGAAACAATGGTCATAAAAAAGCAGAGGTAGCGTGGCTACATCTGGCTCAGGGGAGAAGCTGACTCTGCAGTCTTAGGACTAGACTTTAGTACAAATTTCTATACCATTAAAACGTCCAAAGAACGACAGAAGAATATGCCATCGGCCCACCATTTATGTCTCTATCCTCTATGTAAAGGACGTAGCCACCCTATCTCTGGGTGATGCTTCCAACGTGAGAGAAGGGCGAGATCCCAAGTCACACACAGACTAGGGCTGGAATGTAACAATGTAGCGAATGGCTATGGATCACAGAGAGGTGATGAGTAGGGTCCCGGTCCCAGTCCCGGCACTGCCACCGGTCTCGGCACTGGCCTGGCCCAGGTCCTGCAGGCGCTGAGCAGGCGCAGAGGTCCCGCCCCTGTCGCTGCTGCCGCTGCTACGCTGGCGAAGGCCGTGCCGCTGGCGTGGCCAAGGCAGGGAGCTCCTGCGCCCCGGCGCCGAGCCCGAGGCCGAGCCCGAGGCCGAGCCCGTCGTGGCGACGGGCACTGCGGCGACGGACAGCGGCGCGAGGGGCGGCGCGGGGGCGGCGTGATGCTAAGAGGGCGCGTGAGTGTGTGAGTGGGCGTGGGAGTGGCCGCTTCGCCGGCGCAGGAAGGCGCGCCCGTTGGTGGGGTACACCCTCGCCAACAGGATGAGGGAGGAGGCGAGCGCCATGCGCACCGGAGCATCCCTGCCGCCGGGTAGCCGCACCAGCACGGTGGCCACGGCCGCCACGCCGTCGTCGGTCAGCTCCACGGCCACCGGCAGCACGCCGCTGTTGAGGCGTGAGCCTGCGCTGCCCGCGGGGCTCCTGGTCTGCGACGCGCTGCCCGCAGCGCCGCCGCCCGTTCTGTGCTGGTGTTGCTTCTTGCGCGCGGGCGACGGCACCAACTGTGCCGCCGAGAAGCCCGAGGCCGAGGCCTGGGCGGCCGCCTGCCCGGAGCCTGAGCTGCCCGCAGCCCCCTGGCTCTGACTGGCGGCCTGAGGGCCCTGGCCCTGGCCCTGGCCCTGCACGCCGCTGGGGCAGTAGGCCGGCGTGCGGTCGGGCCCCTCCAGCAGCACGGTGGCAGACGCGAACGGCCGCTTGGCCATGTGCAGCATCTCCACCACGTGGCGCCGGCGCGCGCGGCGGATGTCAGCCGCTTGCTTTGCCTTCCACCCCACAACGCAAGCGGCCAAAAACAAGAAGAAGCACGAAAAGAAGACGGAGAAGAAGACGAACAGGTCGATGTGCAGCTGGTCCTGGCGGAAGAAGATCATGCCCAGCGTGGGTCCCGACGTGTTGCGCGCCGCCAGCGCGATGAAGAAGCGCGTGACGCCCAGCTCGTGCCGGTCCTGCGGCAGCGTCAGCACCAGCCTGTCGCGCAGGTTGCGCACCACGAGCAGGGTGTTCTTGTGGTTGACGGTCACGAACGACGTGAGCCCGTGCGCGTGCCGCTCTTGCCGAATGAATTTGTGGCCCAGGAAGGAGTGGAGTCGCTCGGAGTGCCTGTCGTGCCTGTCGTGCCGACCGTGGTCCCTGTCTGAGTACCTGCCGCGGTCACGCTCGCGCTCGCGTTCGCGGTCCCTGTCCCTGTCCCCAGGCGACAGGTGCAGGCTCTGCAGGCTCTGTAGGTGCGAGGCGTGCACGGACGAGTTGTCGCCCACCAGCGGCTCGGGCTGCACCAGCTCCACCGCGGACACCACCACGCCCCCGGTCAGCGTGTCGTACTCCTCGGGCCGCCAGATGTACTTGTGGTCCATGTCGATCTGGAAGGACACCCATTTAAAAACCAACCCAAGGTCCACCTCCACTGAGTCAGTCATCAACTCTCATTCAAACTTACTATGTGCTCGCCGGTCCGTTCGTTCACGTGAACAACGTATGTGTCTTCTCGTGGTGACAGGTACAGATCCAAGGCACCCTCTGTGACGTCTACTATGACTCGGATGTCAACATTCATGAAGCGGGGTTGCACGGCAAAGAAAACAGTTTGGCCGGGCATCAGAGGTCGAGGTTTCAGTTTACACTCATCTGTCAAAAAATAAGGGAAAGCGAATGTTAGCCTCTGCTGGTCTCGGCACAGTTTACAGTTGGAACACAAATGGATGGCAAAGAGCTTACCGATAAGTTTAGCATCCAGGCAGAATTTGAGGTCTACACTCATTTGTTTGTAGCATTGATGGCCATCAGTTGGCTTCCCCATGTAAGACTCTCGGCACTTGGAGCACTGATTCCTCCAGCACTCATTATCAACATTGCTACTCTTCTGAGAAAGACTTTGCACACTAGGACAATCACTTTCAGTATTGTTTTGACAGTTGCACTTCTCTCCTGTCACTGGATCACACAAATGTCCATGGCCATGACACTGACATCTATAACACCAAAGAGAACAAATAAAAAATGATCCATAGACATATTCAAATAGCTTAAGTTCATTGGATAGTCATAAGCTTACGGTCGACAGGGATCTCTGTGATCTTCGCTGCCTCGAAAATTGCCAGAAATGCATTCATCGCACTTGTCTCCAGTTGTACGATTTGCACATCCTATGCAATGTGCATGAGTTGTTGGACCCTCACCAAGGAATGCTTTTAGGTCCTCTAATGGAACATCCAACCATTTACCAGACTGAAAGAATAAGTCAAAAATAATATTAGAAAGATGAGTAAACTTAAAAAACAAAAGAAAAAAAAACATTTTAAGTCAGTTTTGAGCTTACAGGAGGAGCGGAAATACTGTCATTGATACAGATGTGTGTGTGACCATTGCAGTAGTCAATGCAAGGGACACACTGACCATTATTACTTGGATCACCTACAAAGAGAGGTTTGCACCTTTCACATTGCCGGCCCTAGAAACAGAAAAAAGAAATTATAAAGGACAAGATTAAGTGTGCTTAAAGCTCAGCCAACAGGCCTTAAAAAAAAACAAAAAAACTAACCATTGTGTTGTTGCGACATGACAAACAGAAATCAAGTTTATCTGGGCCAGCACAGTTGGAGTGACCATTACATTGACATTGGATAGAACAGTTTGCCCCAACATAACCGAAGTCACAAAGACACCGATTGGGTTCAATGCACAATCCTCGAACACAACCCTGGCTACAGACAGGAACACAGGATTTTCTTTCTGCCCGGTCTGCTCGATATCCTGGACCACATTTGCAATGGAAACCAACGGTTAGATCCTCACAAACTTCTGACACAGGGTTGCATGAATGATGAGTATTTTCACACTCATTTTCAGGAGGACACTTGACGTAGTGCCAGGAAAATACTTTTGGTATTTCAATTGTCTCCGTTCCATTTTTATCTGTGCCAAAAAATTGAGTTAGTCAAAGTTAACTCGCAGATATAGAACTCAAACCTGTTGCCAGTTTGCTATTTGAACTCACATGAATGGATCAAAGGAGGGTGATGATTTTTCTTAAGTTCTTCTTGGAAAAGTGCAGCGCAAGTAGAACGCAGTGGACCTGAGGCGGGTCTCTCAAGGGAGCCTTCTGTACACACACCACGTCCTGTCTGGTTTCCACTGTCCAAAGAACACCAACCACAGCGAGCATGACGCAGGCAGTCTGAGCACTTGAAATAAGTCGAACACGGTTCTGGACAACGTTCAGTGTTGCCTCCACTGATAACCATTCCACACACACCACCAGAGCAAAGAAGAGATTGGTAGGCTGGAGAAACACACTAAAGGAAAAACAGAGTTTTTATTGGTAAAAATAAGGCAGAAATGAGATAAACAAATGCACTTGTAAGTCATGAGAGGTATTTACTTCATGTATTGCTGTTGACCAACGGCATTCACGGTAGCCCCCTTCGGCGCCATGAGAGCGAAGGCAGGAATCACAGAGCCTATGTTCACCACAGCGCTTTGGACAGTATGGGTAGGTAATTCGATCTAAGATGGTTTTCTTAGTACAACCCCAATCAAACGATGGCTCAATACCCCTCTCTCCTCGTAGCACTGGCCTAGTCCATATACAAGTATCCAATGTACGACATAGGTCGCATTCTGGTGCATAGCAATACTTCTCTGGACATTCTGACACATCTAAAGTAGTTTGAAGCTCACTTTTACCGCACTCATCAGAGTGTATATCTACACAACTTCCACTTCCAATGCCTTTGCACCATTTACAAGTCTGAAACAAAATTATGCAGAAAGAACTCATCAGAAAGAAAAACATTGAAGCACACCAGATAGAAATAAAAACTCACCTGTCCTTCTTCAATATGAGATGGCCATGATGCCAAGCATTCTGAGCATGCTTTGTGCTGTGAGCAATTTCGAGCTGATATCCATTTTCTGTTGCAAGAAACACCATTGGTAGTCCGGACAGTACCATTTCCACTGGAGCATCTATAAGACAAATTTGAATTTTGTAAACATGAATTCAATAATAAATACTGCCAAAATATAGAAAAGATCATTAAAAAGACTTAAATCTGCTTCAAAATTCATAACTTACTCATCAGGCATTGAGCGTGCATTGTTGTAACAAAATGTAGAGTTAGGAGCACCTCCTGATCTTATGACAGCACAGTAAGAGCACCCAGGAAGATGACATTTCCCAGGCCACAAAGCACAGAGATCATCTGGGAGCGACAAGTGTGTAACATGGCTCTCAACGCCACCTTCAAAACCACCAACCACGAAGATAGCTCCAGACTCTGGATCCATTGCCATTGCATGAGCGTAGGTTGAGGGAGGTACCACACCAACTAAATTGACATCTGCAAGAAAGAAACATGGGCAAACAAACATTAGCTTACATCACTAAATATGGGGTCTGATATATATTCCAAACCTACCTTTTGAAATAAGTCGAACCCACTGATTACATGTGTACAAATATGCTACTAGTGTATCAGTCATATTGTGGGGATGAGAACGTCCTCCAAAAATAAGCATGTAATCATCCTTGGTAACTGCAGTATGGAAAGCTCTTGCTCTTGGCTGAAAAAGATATTTTAAATATTATTGGAGCATTTTGAAAACCAACCAAAAATAACGTAGACAAGAACTATAAGAACACGGTTCCTTACCAAATGCAAATCTGGCGGATTATAATTTTCAAATGGGGGCAACATAGACCAGACTCTGGTCGGATAATGCAAGGAATACAGCTTGTTGGACAACAGAGTGCGATTTACGAGATAATTATACCCTCCAAACACATAGAAACTTTGACTTGGACCATGGAATACTGTGCTGTGACCAAAAATACCTGAAAAGCAACAAAACATTGAGTTAAAATAGACTTTCAAAGCGATGAAAAGCACAGAGGTAGAACTAAAAGAAAACATTGCAAATTTTCATTTCAAAGTTATCAAAGTTTCTCACCAAGAGGACGATCCCCGGTTGTATTAAAACGGCTCCAATTTTCAGTTTCTAGGTTGAATTCCCACACAAATTCACTAAATCCGACAAGAGGACTTAAACCACCAATCAAAATTAATGTCTCAACATCTCCACTTTTAAGTAGGGTCAAGGTGTGCCCAGCTAGAGGTGGAGGTCCTATTTCGGACTGTTAAAAAACAAATATTATAATCACATATTGCACTGAGTACATTCAAGAGAGCTACAAAGATTGTTCAATATCTTTAAGTGACTAACCTGCACATGAATCCAACGCTGACTTTTAAGTACAAATTTCCAGGTGTCATTAAATGTAGCCTTGGTGCTATCACCTCGAGCTCCAAGACCACCATAAATGTATATCTCTCTACGAGATTGAACAATTTCAGCTGCATGATAGTATCGGCCTTTGGGCATTTTAGCATCACTGGTGGAGTCCACAGTAATCTGAAATTTTTTTTATCAATTTAGAGCAGTTATAGAACCATGTGGAACTAAAATCTGTAGGACCAAATCAATCAAATTACCTGCATCCAAGTGGCGTTTTTTGTGTCAAACAATCTGATGTCATTGAGAGGTCCATGAGACAAAGAGAATCCTCCAAACATCCACAAAGCACCTCTGCGGTCAGCACTCAAAGAATGTCCAAATCGGGGCAACATTTTACGCCAATGGGCTAATGAGCTTGCTTCAGACAGATGCGCCGAGTTAAAAAGTTCCGTTGATACTAGATGTGATGGTAACAACGATACTGAGCAATCTGGACCTCCCCAGTCTGGATTACAAAGACAACGCCAATAGCTCTGTAAATAAAGAAGACACACATAGCAATGGTCTACAGTCCAGAGCCAAGAAAAAAAAAGAACGAGAAAATGCAATACCTTGTCACAGATGCCTTGCTTCAGTTCAGCAGAGCAATTATTCGGGCAAAGAGGTTCAGCACAGTGCGGACCAGACCAGCCCTCAGGACAAACACAATGACCATTGAGACAAGTCCGATTGGCAGGACAGTGATCAGGGCACACAAAAATCACATAGCTAGCATTAAACCCGTCGTTCAAATCCAACTGTTTGTAATGTATAGTCATAATGCCTGAAGAAGAAATTATTGTTATTCAATAAAACTACTTTTAAAAAATTAAATAAAGACTTGACTAAGGAAAGTAATCTGAAACTGTCACTGACCAGTGGTTGCTTCAACAATATAAGGATATACAGAATCATCCCCACAGAACATTCCCAAAACATGACTTTGATGGGTTGGATTTGTTGAAACAAAATCAGGAAGTCCGTCATATATATAAACACTATTTTCGTCACATGGAATTCGGATATCTTCATGAACTGTCAATTGAATGATACTGCAAAACAAGGCAAAATGAAACTAAACACAACATCATTCCTTACAGGAAACTTTCTTTTCTTTCTTTTATTACCATTCTGTTTTCACATGCTGAAGTAAAGGGCAGTAAAGAACGAGTAATGAAAGGGAAGTAAAGAATGACTGTACCTCGGTGGGTTGTCAGAACGATTATTCATGTGGAATGGGCTGATAATCCACAAGCATTCAGAACTAGGAGGTCCACCAAATCTTGGCTCCCACTGATTTGCTACTGCTGAACGGCTGCCTAATCCTTGAGATTCAAAACCAGCTAAAACACCTCGGGCCATACACTGATAATAGCACAGGCCACCATTTCTGTATTTTCAGAAAATAGATAATTTAATATTAGTCAAGTGTAGTCAAGTTTTAGATAATGAAATGCTGTTGGAAAATATTAAAGGTACTCAAAATGAAATAAAACTGAAAATAACCTTGGATCACCATAGAAGTCAGTTTTGCATTTATCACAGTTATCACCAACGGTATTATCCTGGCAGAAACACACACCAGTCTGAAAGTCACAAACGCCCAGTGCTTCACTTCCATGTTCATTGCAGTTGCACCCATGACAACCCTGACCCGACGTTGCATTCCCATAACTTCCAGCTCTAAAACAAATTTATTGCAAAAAAAAAAATGTGTTAAAATTTAAAAAATCAGAAAATAAAAGAGAGTTTTTAGAAATAAGTTACCTGCAATATTGACAATATTCGCCTGTAGTCCAATCCTGACATTGGTCACATTTGCCTACTCCTTGCGAACAAGTGGAATGATTATTGCAGAGACAATTTGTGTTGCAATCTAACCCAGTCCAACCTAAATCACATCTACAGGAATAGTCAGGAGCTCCTACACAATACCCATGGACACAATTATAAAAACATCTGCAAATCACAAATAAATAGTTGTTAACAGCATTCATAAATCAAAAGAGAAAAGGAAAAATAATCTCCAGTAAAGGATACCAACGTTTTGGTACAGGTCGTTCGACCATCACCATTAAATCCTCTTTTACACTGACATGAGTATGACCCATGAGTATTTGTACAAATGGCATCAGGATGGCAATCATCAAGACCGAGGTCACACTCATCAACATCTGGACACTGAGCATATGCCCAATTTACGACGTCTTCATCACTCATTAAAACAGCAGAGCACGGCTCTGCAAAGATACAAAAATTATGATTGTGATAATTATTAATTATATTAATACTAAAGTTCATGTTTAAAAGATTTAGATTAACGCTTTGCTTACATACCATCATGAGGTTGGTCAAAATCCCCCTGAACGCAAATTCCTTGAATGGGATTTTCGGTTGAATGGCACCAACCACAGCCAAGTGTATGCACACATGATGAGCAATTTAGGTGACGCATACAACTTTTACACTGCTGTGCTCCTTCTCCTGGCGGAACTGCAACTCCATTGGACGGTCCCGTAGTCACACCATGGTACGTTTGATCAAGCCATTCTCGACACAGGCCAAACTGATACTCAGAAGTGTATACAGAGAATGAGAAGCACTCCTGAAGCAAATACACAATCAAAATTAAAATCAGCAATCAGCACTGAGACAGAAAGAAAAGTGGCCGCTCTGCCCTTTGATAGGTCAAAAACGAGACCGGACCGACCTGGGTCGCCTCACACCAAACGCACACGCCCCTCTCCTCGAGACACTGCGAGCAGTTGCCTCGCTCGTGGCAGGGCGCGGGGCACTTGTTGACGTCAAGCACGGCGTCCGAGGCCCTGCCGCGGCGGGCGCAACGCGCGTCGTCCGTCCACCACTCGCACAGGCCGGACGACACGCACGCGTCGCAGGAGATGTAGTTGGAGCAGTTGGGGCACGTGGCGGGCTGCAGCGTCAGGTAGTGCCACTCGTCCGGGCCGGCCTCCTCGCCCTGCTTGCGGCACGCCTCCGTCTCGTCCAGGTGTCGGTCCAGGCACTGAGCCGTGATCTCGCACCAGCCGCACGCCGAGTCCGTCAGGCAGGCCAGGCAGTTGGAGTACTGCCAGCAGGACCCGTTCTCGTACGGAGCCAAGTACTCGAACGTAAACACCTTGGCACTCTCTTGGCTCCGGTTGTGTTGAAGTTCCATTTTAGACTGATGATGCATGTCCACTCCGACAGTTTTGCGGGATTCAAAGTCGACCAAGAAAACACCATCGTGCAGAAGGACAGGCTTCCCAGGTTCCCAAGTGGCACTGACACAGGCAGATTGCTCAGCACTGAGGTTTCCAACTATTTCCTACAGAAAATAGAGAGTATTGGGTGAGCTTTAGGTAAAACATTCGTCGGTTCAAATCTAGTTTTCCGTTATATTCTTACCAAGTGGGCATGTTGAGGTAGATCAGAGGCATTTAAATGAGCAACTTGCAGAGTAGCTGAAGAATGGCTGACACACATACGCAGAGTTTCATGGGAATCTTTCCACCAGTCTGGAGGGTGAAGAGATCCTCTCAGTCGGGCAGTAATACCACCAATAGGCTCTGAGCGAGACCATCCAGTGCCTGACGAGAAGTCTGCTGTTGTTGCATTTATTATACTGACCTAAAATATGTAAAAGAAGAATTTGTAATACAGTGCATACCTTAAAAATCAAGTCAAACATGACTTCAACGCAAAAATTACATACTGAATCTGGCTGGGACCAGTTGGCTGGATGTTTATACTGCACAAATGTCAAACCTGGACGCCTGTCCAAAACTCTGCATTCTTCTACTCGTGTCACTTCTGTTCCTTTAGGACCCCACCAACCTGGGGCCTCAGATGGAGTGTCCTCACCCAGGCCACACACACCATAATTGTCTAATTGGAGCCAAAATTGATTAGTATCCACATAATCAGACACAGCCTAAACTCTCATCCTCCCAAATGAAAATGTACTCACCATCCTTATGGTGACACCTTGCATTTTGAACACACCACGTACACTGACCAAGACGAAGTTTAAAAGCAGCTGATGCGGTAGGGGCACTTCCGTGAATCAGGCAAGAATGACAATCTCCCAATGCTGGGCACACTCCTAGACAGCGCGTTGTTTGAAGGTTGGTGGTGCAATTGACACCTACAGTTCGGCCATAACAAACATCATCAGCAGAACACCAGCCACATTCTGGGTTTGCTGTGCACTCCACTCGAACATGATGCCTGAAAAAATTCAAAATCTTAGTGCCTTGGAATAAAGCTTACTTTTTTTCAGTTTGGAGGTACAGATTTTTAAGTAGATTTCACCTTCCACAGACTTGATCCGGTTCATATGATTCTCCTTCTCTGCTGGCTAGCATTGGAGGCAAGGTATAGGCAAGCAAATCAGCGTTAACATTTCCATGGTAGCCACCAACAACAAGGAGAGTATTTCCGTTGCGCACAGCTGCAGCATGGGCAAAAACACCTTGTTGCTTTGGGTAACGAGATGCTGAAATATTGAGAGGCATTTGTTAGTTGGCAGCTTAGCAGCAACTACAATCGCATTGAGGAGATAGGAGAAACATCAAACCTGGATGGTGTGTTCCCAAAACTTCATGGTTTACCCATGTGTGGCAACCTAGATGATACAGATATAATTGGCTGTCATAACATATTTCTTCTTTATTGTGGCGATGTGAATACCCACCAAATACAACAAGATAATTTCCTGTGAAAGAAGAAAAAATTAAGAACAAGTTCTAGCTAATGAGTTAACCAAAATTAATTTTTTGACTCACCAATAATGGTACTGGTGTGAAAAGCCCTCTCCCTTGGCACATATGTTTCAGGAAGGTGTGCTCTTGGATAGTGCAGCTCACTCCAATGGCGAGCATCAAGTTGAAAGGCAAACATTCTGTCTGAGAGTTTGGAAAAACGCTTCACACCTGCTACTACACCACCATAAACAAGCAGAGAGTTTGAAGCTGGGTGGTAAACTGTCGAATGGGCCACAACTCGTACGTCTAACTCCTTTCCTCCTCTTGGATGAACTAATTCCCATTGTTCATGATCTGCACCTTTCTCACCTACAAAAGAAAAAGACAAGATTAATAAGTTTGAAGGGGAAAAAAACGTACATTTGTGTCTTTGAAGAAAACCACTCACCAAGAGCAATTTTTATGCGATAAAGCCTAGATGAGAAATCACCACCAGCAGTGCTTCCTCCAAATAAATAAAGGTAATCACCAGCTAGTGTTAGTGTATGTCTGGTAAGTTTGGGAGGGCGCACTTTGGAATGTATAGCTCGCAGCAACCAAGACTTTGTGTTTACATTGTACAACCACAACTCATCAGACAAAGAGCCATCAGATAATTTGCCACCATATAAAGCCATTCCCTCAGCACACCTGAACAAAAAAAAAAAATTGGTAAGGATGACCATTTTTTTATTATTGTCCTTTTTTTGTGAAAACCCCTGCAGGGCCGGAGGAGGGAAGATACATCATCTTACCTGCATGCTGCATGCCCATATCTTGGTGCAGGCCGTTTTGGGTGTGGTAGTTTGGGTGGCACAGAGGTTGAAGACTCTCCATCATGCATAGGGTCAGCAGGATCTGCTTCATTCACATCAGAATCTGGTGGTATTTCTGAGACTTCAGTTGAATCGGATGGAATTTCAGTGACTGCAGATTGAGATGTCTCTGTAGAAAACTGCTCTCCTGTGCCGGATATTAGGGCTTGCCTTGGAATGCGAGCCAAATGTTGTCCTTTTTCTTGCGCAGTACGATGTTTAACTTTTAAAGTGGCATTATCCGCAACAGAGAAAAGTAAGTTGCGCAAAAATGAGGACTTTGGCCTTAAGCCCCATCTTTCTTCTCCACTCTGACCAACTTGTTCCAAGACATCAGCTAATGTGTGTGCATCAAGAGGTGCAGACCATGATGCAGCACCCTCTGCAAATAAAAATCAGCAACAGCGTATCAGGAAACCATCCTTCAAGTATTAAAATTATTGATTATATTATTAAAAATCTTTTAAAAAATCACCAATTTGTTTTCCTGATTCATCTTCCCACTGACTCAATTTAAACTGGTACACCACAAGATCACCAAGAACATTATTCAAATCAAAGCCTCCAAACACATAGAGGGAATCAGTTTCTCTCAAGTATACAGCAGAGTGAGCAGCTCTTGCAGTAAATCCCCCTTCGGAGTGTGAGAGTAAATGCCACCTAAAATTTCAAAAGAAAAACTCTTAAGATTCCTGTTGAAAGCATTGCTTTTGTTGAAACCAATAGCACAGAAATAAGAACTCACCTATTTCCTTCAGGATCATCTCGATGCAATGAGCATGCACGACCTGTATAGTTTGCCGCACACTCACACCGTCCTGCCCTACAAATACCTCGACCCAATGCATAACCACACTCATCAGGGCAAAGCTCTACACCACAGTCTTTTCCTCCCCAATCTCCTTCACACACACAAGCATGGCGGACACACAAGCCATGGCCGGAGCAATTTCGAGGACAATCAGTAACAGAGAACTCTGCTCTAAAGCCATCAAGGACATAGTTAGTATCTGAGTAAAGGAGAATTAACATCTGAAAGTACAGAGAAGTTGTATTAAAATTTATTCAGGTCCAAGCAACTAGACGTCTAAAATAACTTGACACTTACAGATCCAGATACAGCAGTCACTTGTTGAGGTTCTGTTTTACCACTGAAACTACCTAGTAGAGGAGAGTTGAAAGAGCTTCCATCATAAACAAAGACATAGTCATATGAGCACTCAGTGCCCATGGCTCGGAAACTAAGGGTGATGAACTGCTGACTGTTGTTAGCTGCAAGCAAAACAAAGCAAAAATTTAGCAGGGACCAAAGTGATAATATTTTTAAATTCATTCTAAACCATGGATATACCTTTGATGAGCCATTCACAATGAGAATCTTGGGTGTAGTTGAAGCCTGTGGGTCCGTCTGTGACAATGCCCCATGGCTCTGTGAAAACCTTTCGGGACTTGTCGCAGGGGGCCGATTGTGCAGCTGCATTGACGAGAGGAAGGCAGACCAGAAGGCCTGCCAAGAGGCAGGTGGCAAGTGGGGCCATGCCATGGCCAACAAAAATCCTATCCGGAGAGGCCACCTTGGCTGATTTTCATCTGGAGAACATGGAAAAGTACTAAAGATTAATAAATGGTACAATTGATATTCATTATAAAGTGATAGCAAAGGCTTATAGATACAAGTTTTCTACCGGTCATATGACAGATAATTAAAGGACCTTAATGCAAAATAGCCTGTTCTGCTGACATCAAGGTTAACTGTGACAAGTTTATCACATGAGTTGGACCAATGAATCCTTGCAGGAGAACACACTGTGTATACGGGAGTCAGAGCGCAACAATAAATTGCGATTAATACTCACACAAATTGGAACCATTGGAAGTTATACAGATTTAAAGCATCAAAACAAAGTTCAAATGACCAAGTTAGCAGAGAGAGAGAGGCCTGCCCTGCGCCTTGCTGTACTGGATCATACACAAAACACTTGTTTGTTGTTTTTTGTCTGTTTTCACCAGTCGCATGGAGTGAAGGCTGTGAGTTGTTAGAGTCCATGATCAATGCGTTGCTTGTCACGTACCGAGTCGCGTACTCCTTTCGTTAAAAAGTAGTTTGTACGAACCAGTTCAAGTTGGTATGCCGATCATCTAATCAACATGCCTCCGCAGGGGTTAAAACATGTAAATGGAAAAACAAAAGGTGAGTACTCAAGCCGAAAGTCACTGTGACCGTCCCGACTACGCACAGTTCAAGACGGGTCAGCCACTGGAGTTTCTACTCCGCTAATGCTAGTTAAATGCCCAAATACTCCTCTTTCGTGTCGGAACTTCCGCTATTGTGCGCAAAATACCACGAGATGTGGAGCATGCGTCAAAATTTGACTCCTTTGTGTCTAGTTTTCAAGTAGAACCGAGTTGTACCGTGTAGTGGTGCATTTGTGAGAACGACCATCAGGACAAAGTGCTGATCAAGGTAAAGAGCGAGATAGTGGTCCCTGACATGTAAAATGATGCCGCTGACGTTTCTGGTGTGTCCAGTTATTCACTGTTAGGTCAGATGCGCGTTTTACAGTAGCTTGCTTGCATTTTCCTTGAGAATATTGAGGCGGAATGGATTTGGTAAACACGAGAGGGGGTTCCGTTTCATCAACTGCAGCCTGCGGCACGGTTGCCTATGTCAGGATGCCAGGGTGGGGATAGGACTCGTGGAAAATGTGCTAACCCGAATTTCACTTTATTCGATTATCCATGGCGAAGATTGTACCGTGATTTTGCTCCATTTATCCTAGAATCAAGGTAGCTTTCTGGATCTGCTCGTTTGACAAGTGTAGGGCCTGCGTGGTGTAGGGGGCATGGGCTCATGTGGGTTCCTCATTGCATAAGTCAGTCATCTTGTTTGAAGGGAAGCCTAAACATGAAAATATTTTTTTCATGGTGGTCCCGAGGTTTAATGCACGTTACTTATGTTCAGGTGCTGAAGGCAAATTGGATATGCAGTCTTAGTTCAATTCTAATCATGTTCCATGCTTTAACATTGTGGAAGCTCTGTAGAGTGTTCCATGTTCAGCTAAACATGTTACGTTTCACATGATGAAATAAGTGAAAAATAGGGTTAGAATGTGTTTATAAATGTGTGCTTTCAACCTTCATGTGTGGAAAATCTTAATTTTGCACTGGAATCTGTCATTATGCATCTAGGTCATGAATATTTATTTGCTGTACCGAGGCTTTGGTTTTTAGTGTGTCGCTCGGTCTGTGGACTGAGTTCTTTGTAATAATTGATAAAAAAGAATTTATTGGGCCATTCTTGTGATAGGAGCCTTCTTTTTTACCATCTCTTATAGTTTTGTCTGGTATCAATATCTTCTTATACAATTCTTTTCCATTTTCGTATCATTTTGGTTGTGTTTTTCAGACCAACCTTAATGATAATAAAAATTTGAGGAGACCTATTAGACATTATACTTATTTGTTGTTAATAGAAACAGAAGCTAAGAGATTCAAACATTTTTATAAACAATTTATTCTTTGACCCTAGAAAGAGCCTGAGGAGAAAGATTTAACTCCTTTCCCTCCCCCTTCCCTTCTATATGTTTTTGCCAATTCTTGGCTCATAAACTTTGAGGAATTATTTTATTCTATTTTTAAAAGTTGCTTTTGTTTCTTTTCAGGCATGGCGAGCAAAGTTGCAGACAAGGCTGCGAAGGTGCTTCCTGCTGAAGACTTCCAGTTCATCCCACCCCGTGAAGCCCCTGTGTTTGAACCAACAGCTGAAGAATTTGAAGATCCATTGGCATACATTGCCAAAATCAGACCCCGTGCTGAAAAGGCAGGCATCTGCAAAATCAGACCACCCAATGACTGGCAGCCACCATTTGCTGTGGATGTCGACAAGTTCAAGTTCACTCCTAGAATCCAGAGGCTAAATGAGCTGGAAGCAAAGACAAGAGTGAAGTTGAACTTTTTTGATCAAATTGCTAAATTTTGGGAGCTTCAAGGCAACACATTGAAGATACCCATCATTGACAAAAAAGCCCTAGACCTTTATTCCCTGCATCAAAATGTTATCAAACTTACAAATGATAACTATGAAAACTTTGTCAAGCAGAAGGATAAGGCAGTGCAGGAGCAGATGTGGTTTGAGGTTGCCGCCAAAATGGGCTATCCCGCCAAGAGAGGCCATTCTTTGCTTCTGAAACATCATTATGACCGTATCTTGCGGCCATATGACATATTTCTCAAGCATCCTCCTGGAGAAACATTGAAGAAGGAATCAAGAAAGGAGCCCAAACCAGAACTTAAAGTGGAATCCAAATCCGAGCCTAAATTGGAATCAAAACCAGAACTTAAATTGGAATCCAAAGCAGAACCCAAATCTGAAAGCAAACTCGAGCCCAAAACGGAACCCAAGTCTGAAGATGAAGAAGGTGAAGCAGAAGGAGAAGAATACAAGCAACATCAAATTCCAAGTCGTCAAGCTATTGAGCCACCTTCAAGCCAGAAGTCAGCAAGACGTTCCAAGCGCTATGGCATCTGTGACTCTGCCAAGGAGGGCTCCGAGTCTACATCTCCAGACAGCAAAGAATTGCGCAGGCTTCTGTTTTATGGAGCTGGTCCCAAAATGGCTGGCTTCAATGAAAAGCAATCTCCGAAAAAGAAAAATTCTAAGAAAGGGTTACATGAGTTTGATCCTTTGGCTAAATATGTGTGCCACACCTGTCAGCGAGGTGATTCTGAAGAAAGTATGCTCCTTTGTGACGGTTGTGATGACAGTTATCACACCTTCTGCCTTGTTCCTCCACTGAGTGAAATTCCGAAAGGTGATTGGCGCTGTCCAAAATGCTTGGCTGAAGAGGTGAGCAAACCGCTGGAAGCATTTGGATTTGAGCAAGCTCAAAGAGAATACAGTCTTCAGCAGTTTTGTGAGATGGCTGATCGTTTTAAATCTGAGTATTTCAACATGCCTGTTCATGTGGTACCAACGTCAGTTGTGGAAAAGGAATTTTGGCGCTTGGTATCCTCCATTGATGAAGATGTTACTGTTGAATATGGAGCAGATCTTCACACCATGGACCACGGTTCAGGTTTCCCCACCAACCCTGGTGAAACTTCGTGTGAGTATGCCACATCAAAATGGAATCTCAACAATCTTCCTGTTTTGGAAGGTTCTGTGCTTGGCCACATAAATGCTGATATATCTGGCATGAAGGTGCCTTGGATGTATGTTGGCATGTGCTTTGCTACATTCTGCTGGCACAATGAAGATCACTGGAGCTACTCTATTAATTATCTCCATTGGGGTGAGCCCAAGACATGGTATGGAGTTCCAGGAAGCTCTGCTGAAGCTTTTGAAGAAACAATGAAAAGAGCTGCTCCTGAGCTCTTCCAATCTCAGCCTGATTTGCTTCATCAGTTAGTGACTATCATGAATCCCAACATACTTGTGAATGATGGAGTGCCAGTTTTCCGTACTGACCAGCACGCCGGAGAGTTTGTTGTCACCTTCCCTCGTGCGTATCATGCTGGATTCAACCAAGGATTCAATTTTGCTGAGGCAGTAAACTTTGCTCCTGCAGACTGGCTGCCTATTGGCAGAGATTGCATCACTCATTATTCCAATCTGCGACGTTTCTGTGTGTTTTCACATGATGAGCTGGTTTGCAAAATGGCTTCAGATCCTAAAGATTTGGAACTTGGTGTTGCAAATGCCGCTTACAAAGACATGCATGTTATGGTTGAAAGTGAGAAGAAACTTCGTAAGTCCCTTCTGGAATGGGGCGTGCGCACAGCAGAAAGGAAGAACTTTGAATCCATGCAAGATGATGAAAGGCAGTGTGAGGTGTGCAAGACTACATGTTTCTTGTCTGCAGTTACGTGTGATTGCCCAACTGCCAACCCTAAGGGTCAACAGCGTTTACTTGCTTGTCTCAGACATTACGCTGATCTCTGCAAATGTGAACCATCAAATCATACACTGTGGTATCGATATACATTAGATGAACTTCCCCTTATGCTCAGAGATATCAAGCTCAGGGCTGAATCATTTGACAATTGGGTTTCAGCTGTGAAAGATGCTCTTGATTACAAAACTCCGAAGACTATCGATCTTGCTGGATTCAGAGGCTTGTTGCAAGAGGCTGAAGATAAGAAGTTCCCGGATTCGGAGCTCCTTCAAGCTCTTCGTGGATCTGTACAGGAAGCTACCAAGTGTGCAAATGTAGCTTCCCAGCTTGGAGGAAGAAAAACTCGAAATCGTGCTCGCACATCACAAGAGCCGAGGTTGAAGCTTACTGTTGAAGAGTTGCAGCTGTTTGTTGAGGAAATTGACGAACTTCCCTGTATCTTGAGGGATGGTGCTGCTGTGAAAGATGTGTTGGAAAAGGTGAGGGAATTCCAGACAAAAGCTGCTGCAATGATGAGCAAGGAGCCTGACATCGAAGTAAGAAGGGGGAAGGAGATCCGTGAAGTCTTGGAGTTGGGCATCAGTTTAGATGTTGAGCTGCCTGAACTTGAAGCATTGAAAGACCTTTGTCTGCAAGAGGAATGGCTTGATAAAGCAGTGAAACTTCAGAATGCTGCAGCTGCAGATTTAGAGGAGTTAAGCTCCCTTGTAGCATCATGTGATGAGCTGCCCACCCCTCGTCATGAAGTCATCAGTGCATTATTGGAGGAATTTACAGAATTAGAATCAAGAGCTCTACATTGGCAGACTCGTGCTCGTGCTGCCATCCAGGAATCATCCCTAGAAAAACAAGAAATTCTGGACAAAGAAGCAGAAGAGATGTCAGTATTTGTACCAGAGATGAATGAAGTTGAGGATGCAGTGAAAACAGCTGCCAAGTGGAAAGTGCAAGCAGAGGATCTGCAGGTTGTTACAGATGGCCCTGAGCTGGAGCTAGTTGAAGCTCTTGTGCTTAGAGGACAAGCATGTCCCGCCAGACCCCCAGGCCTGGCTGAATGGGAAGAACGCATCAGGAATGCTCGTGCCTGGAGGGAGAAGACAATCCGCACTTTCATGTTCCGAGAATCTCCTCTCTCATTAGTTGAGGCACTCCTTCCCCGTACAGAAGTAGGGGTTGACAGTGTACCAGTGAAGAGAGACAAGGACCCAGTCAAGGACGAAACAGCAGCAGTTCTTGACATTCAAGAAGTCAACACTCAGAAGAGGCTGAGAGACATGGGAGACAAAACGTATTGCATCTGCAAGAAACCTTTCACTGGTGTCATGGTGAAATGTGAAATCTGTTATGACTGGTTCCATGCACGTTGTGTTCCTCTGCCAGAGAAGGCTGACTCGAAGCCATTGTTGACCATGGAAGATCGAATCCGAGCTGTTACAACTCGTCAAGTTAAGTTCCTTTGTCCAGTATGCCAGCGTTCAAAGCGACCGCAGTTCAAAGCAGTTTTCCAGCTGCTTTCCAGCATTCAAAAGCTAAATGTTCAAATGGTTGAAGCAAGAGTCGTACACAGTCTGTGCCAACGAGCTCTTGGGTGGAAGGAAAAAGCACGCAAGATGCTTGCTCAAGATGATCTCTATATACCCAATCCTACTGCTGTGGCTGATCATGCTTATTCAGCTGCTTCAACATTGTCACCTAACAAACATGCCAGAAAGTCTCCATTGGTTCCTAGGCAAGACAAGCCTCTCAATATTTTGATGGATAAGATGCGCATCGAGCTTGAATTGCTCATGCTAGAAGGAGATCTTATGGAGTTAGATCTGGAAGAAACAAATGTCATTTGGAATGTTCTAAGAAACTCTGAAGCCAATGCTGAAACGTCAGTCATTGAACCTGATGAAATGGAGGTCAGGGTGGAAGCTGAGGCAAGCCAGGAGTTGAAGAGCAAAGAATTGGAAAGATTTAGAGAGAAGCAGAGAACTATGAAACGTAAAGCAGATGATGACAAGAGCCGCAAACGAGGTGGGAAACCGAAAAGGGCAAAGAAGCCTTCTCGACCAACCAGTCAAGAGGTATCCAGTGACAAGCCTGCTGATGGTGAGGAGGAAGAAGAGGATGAAGACTGCTCTGCCATGCCCTGTCTCAGACCTACTGGAAGTGAGGTCACATGGGTTCAGTGTGATGGTGCTTGTGAGTTGTGGTTCCATCTGCATTGTGTGGGGCTTGATAAAGGCGACATCTCTGAGCAAGAAGACTACATCTGTTCTCAGTGCAATGGACCTAATCCAGAACAGCGCATGCAAATGATGGTTGTCATGGATTCTACCGTACCTTTGTCCCACCCTGACCCATTAGCCATCACCTCTCAACCGCAATGTAGAACTCCAACATAATTTATATTTTAGATATTGCCATTGTAGATAGCTTGTCTTAATAGAGAAATATTAGAATAGAGAAGCATTGGGTATGTGTGGCAAGGGGTTTTTTCTGTCATTTTTACTCCCCTTTTTTACTACTTATTCTTCTTTCAATTTCTGCATTTGTTAGTCAATTGCTGCTGTAGTAAATTACTTGTATCACCTTCCTTGCCTAAAGCCCGCGCTTTATAATGTATAGTAGTGTTACAAAAGAATTCACTTTTTATTTGATCAATTTTATGCTAGTTAAGGCTTGTTAAGGAAAAGATTTTTTTTTTGTAACACAAAGACTGGTTAGAGTGGAGACAAGGTTCCCTTGTATTAATTTCTCCTCAATGCCCAATTAACTTTGTTTTCTCTCCTCACCCTGCCCTAATTTGTTTTGTTTATTGTAAATAGTCTTGAGCCTTTAGATTAGATTTTAGCTGTTTTTCTTAGCAGACAGAACAGCGTAGTACAGTATTGTTTAGGAGGCTATAAACCAAATTGTTATATTATGTCTGCTAAATCAGAGATTTGTTTATTAGAGAATTATCACAACAATCACAGTTATGTATGATTATTGACACAAATTTATGTATATCACTGTATTACCACCCTTAATATTTTTCCTGGGAGGAAATCATTTTAATTTATTTTGTGTATATACTTGTACTTCTGTCCTGGTTTAACTTTTGTGATAGTGTATGAATGTTTAGTGTGATCTCTTACGTGTGAAAGGTGTGTTGTTCTCAAATTGTGAGCGCTGTCTAAGTATATCTTTCTTTTGTGTATTTGTAAATCTTCCCAGGAATGACTGAGTATTATTATTATGCTGACTTCCTTTATTTTGTTGTGCTGTGTGAGCTCTGTAAGACACGGTTTCTTGTACTAGATTAAATAACATTAATCATTAGCTTGTGTTTTATTCAGAAGTCCTTCAACTCCCTGGTAAAACAATTTTACAGAGTAGGAATTACCTTAACATAAATAAATACATATTACACATAATATGCTTTGTACATTGAAATTGTATTTATATACAGAACATTTAGTTTGAGACTTGGAATTGGCTGCACTTTACCATTCAAGAACTCCAGGAATATACTGATCAATCAATGACTGGTAGTAAGGCTTGAGGGCTTCAACATCAGGGAGATCATCGTCAGTCTTTGTGTAAAGGTCATATTTGCTGGAGAAAAATACAAGACAAATTTTTGGCACACTGGAGTTACACAAGTTAAAGCTTTAAAAATATGAGTAACTTACTTGAATTCCAGGACCCATGGAAGCATCTTCAGGTCCTTCTCATTGCAAAGGTGCATGTAGTCGCCACTTGAGTGCCAGGGATAGAAGGAGTGGAACCTGCCATTGAAGAGAGTTTTTATTACCAAGGTGTACCTGATACTATTCCGTTCAAATGCGCCCAATCGAATTTCTATGAAATGAGGTTTCGCTGAGAGCAAATTATGTGCTGTTTCGGTTTTGCGAGCGCCGGATAGTAGGCAACCCATCGGGCGCCTCTGTACCTTCCCTCCCGCGCCCGATGGGTTGCCTACTACCGGGCGTCCCCTTTTCTCCCGCACGCTTGGGGAAAAGGGGGGGGGGGCGCTTCCCATTAATTGCACAAAATATGGACTTAGGAGGGAAAATGAGTGGCCGTAGCAGCGGAAATCTTGCACATTCCAACAATCACTGAACTCAAAAATAGACAGTTGGTCGACCCTCGCTTGGAAGGGGTGACACGGGGCGACGAAACCACTGTCGGCGCGTCGAGACTTGGACTCACCTGACCATGTAGAGGGCCTCGTCGGGTAGTGTGGATTTGTTGTGCTTGAGCACCTGGTAGATGTACTCGTCGTGGCCCCAGGACATGAGCACGTTCTCCAAGCCGCAGTGGGGCTTGTACATGCCGTTCTTGGTGGAGTAGACGGGGTGCTTGCCGTCGGGGTTGTCCCGGAAGCTGGTGTCGCGGTACACGACGGAGGGTCCCCACTCGCAGCCCACGGGGAAGGTGTCGCCGGTGGTGGCCCACTGGGGCTCTCCGTACAGGTGCAGGATCTTGCCGACGTCGTGGATGAGGCCCGCCAGCTGGAACCAGCCCTTGTCAGGGTGCTCCTTACGGATGCCCTCGGCCGTCTGGAAGCCGTGCATGATGTTGGGGGTGTCCACGTCGGGGTCGCTCTGGTCCAGGAAGTTGGACATCTTGGTGACGGCCTCCATCATGGTGGCCTTGAACTTGTCGAACTTGAGCCAGTTGGCGCGGCGCTCTGGTGGGGGTGGGGGAAGACGTTAGAACCGGGGAAGTCCGCGCGCCACGACACCGCGGTGCACCGCTGGGCACGCGTCATTTGCGTAACGCCCGTTGATGTCACCGTCTACGAGATACCTCTATTTCGTAGTGGGTCATTTCTATCATCCCTTCTCGGGGAGAAGGAAAAGAAGAAGGCAATGGCGTACCTTTGACGAAGTCCACCGTCATCTGGGTGTGCATCTCATGGTATAGCTTGCGGACGCGCTCCTTGATGGGGTCGGTGGGGTCGATGGTGTAGTCGCGGAACTGCACGATCGGCTTGGTGGCGAAGGAGGGCTCCGGCCTCAACAGCTCCGACACGTCCAGCATGTGCTCCTGTGGACAGCGCTCGTCTCGGTATCCGACGGGGGCCGCGGGGGGGCGCGCCGCGTGGGGCAACCCAAGATGAGAGTCACACTTACCGCGGTGGCGGTCATCCTGCTTGGCACGCTTTGGTACACTGTGGTCGCTGCCGAATGTAAACAGACACTGGCTCGAGTCGGATCGCGCCTCCGGCACTTTATTGGAGTCGTTATCACCTCCGCGGACTCCACCACCACCGCCACCGACAGCGGCGTCAACCCGAAGGGGCGCGCTGGCGCGCATCGCAGAGGCACCCGAGTGTGTCCAACTTGTTGTTCAACTTTCTTCGGGAAACAAATCAACAAAGCCGCCAGGGCGACGTAACGTGGTCCGCATTTTTTTTTAGCCGCGTGCTTCCCTTGCTTCCGCGCTTGTTGCGTGTGTGCGCGCTGCCGCGGTGCCCACTGCTTTCGCGCTCCGCTATCGTCGACCTTTCGGACCTTTCACTCTCTTATCCACTCCGCCTTGCGAAATGCGAAATGCGGCCCTGATGGCCTGACCAAAGGCGCTGGCGAAAGTCGTTATTACAATGCCGCGCGAGGACCGCGAGGGAGGAGGCCCCCTACGATGCCCCCTACGAGGCCCCCCTACGATGCCCCCTACGAGGCCCCCTACGAGGCCCACGAGGTCACGATGAAGGTCGCCGGGGTGAGGGTGGCGGACCGTGCCGCGCATCGCCGCCGCGGGGGACATAACTATAAACAGTACGAATACTCCCGCCGCAGGTGCACGAGGGATCAACCAGGCGTGGACAGGCGTGGATTCATGGAGGGTGTACTAGGGGAGCGATTTTAGAAGGGAAACTGGGGGCATTTCTTGCCCCCCCTCCTCCTCCCCCTTGCCCGCCACATCGGCACAACCCCGGCTTTTAGGCAATGCCCCTTTTGGTAGACAAACGCTGTGCAATGTCCCCTCCCCCTCCCATCCCCCTGCCCTGGACAGCATGAGGGCAAATATTGCCGCCCCTTCTGCAAGGCTCGAGCACCCCAAGGCAGCCAAGGAGTTGCACGTGCCCCTGTAAGCGAGTAGGCTGCTACTTTTCGCCGTTCCGGCGTGGCAGTGGGCGTGCACGCTGTCCATGGGGTGTGGGGCGTGGCCGGCACACATTTCACCCGATCGAACATTGGCGGCCGGCCGGCCAGGCGGGCGAGCGCCTCATCGCTGTCCGGCGCCTGTCACAACCAGGCAGATGAATCATGGATCAAGGCGATGCTCCTACGGCTGCCAACTGCCAACGCCCGGACTTTCGGCCCCCAAGCATTGCCCTACGCCATGGCATGCCTCGGGACATGCACTGATTGCTCTGCACCCCCGATTCCCGATCGATGCACCAGTGCGGGTGCGGGCGGCAGGGGGGGAGGGGAGAGGGAGGGAGGGACACTCGCAGTGCAGCCAACCAGCCAATAAGTTGGGTCCGGGGGAAAACGGAGGGAAAGGGGGTGACGAACCATGGGAAACATGAGCACGAGAGTAGTGTATTGTGGACCCAGGTCGACCACCTCGTTTGACATTCGCGTGCCGCATCGGAAAGTTGTCGCACGACTCTGCCTCCTCGCCAGAGTTGCCCAGCCTGTGTACAATCGCATTTAAAATGTTTCAAATTTTCAAGCATTTGGATAAAACTTACTCGAATCATCTCGAATAAATCAGAACGCGTCGGTGCCCCCTCCCCCTAAAACATTTCGAAGCGGGTTTCTCTTGCAGTCACCTCCCCAATTCGAATTTTGGCGCGCAAGAGGCATTCTGCTAGTTTTCGGCGCGCCAACTCTTCAACTTGGCAACACTGTCCGACTGTGTTGTGTGCTGCCGACATTAGACAACAACATTAAATTGACTGGTGTTGATGTCTACGAGTTAGGCCCCAGGCCTGCGGGGGGCGCTAAATTGACCGGTGAGGTTTAGACGTTTAGGCACAGAGAGTGCCATTTTACAAAGTTGACGACTTCCTCTTAAAAAGTGAGGGGTATTCATACTGCGGGCGATTTTCGCCTTACCTTTTAGAGGTTAAGTTTAGACTTCCTCGGTTGCCTTTTCCGAAGCTGTTTGTTTTGCAGCCTACCAAAATGCCTACATTCTCTTGCGTTCGATTTAAAATGGATTTGAAATCAGTTTTCGAAATATTTTTCTCTCTTCTTTGCTCTGGGTTGATGCATTTGGCCTGTTGTTTGGCTTCATCAGTCTCTTTCAAAGCTGTCATTGGTGAAAGATTTGACAGTGTTTTTTAACTTTGTATCGTATTTCAGGTGTAAGCTGATTGTTGAAGGACATGGCTAACTACTCTCCTCAACACCGTAATGAAAGTCCTGGTGGTCCAGGGCACTGGCAACAGTCAGTCAACCACCTGCAACCAGCAGAAGGACCCATTCATAACAGCAATGGCGCATCTAATGGCACCTCTTTCCAGCGACAAGAACAGCCAGGGTCTGTGATCACGTATGTTCTTATTGGTTTCTTTCAGTCTCCTAACAAGTACCTATTACAGAACACATAATATAACTGAAACTAATTTTTCAAATCTCGTTTGACATTGCAGCCGAATGGCACCCTATGGTGGTACGCCTTGGACTTACAATGCAGAACACATTCGGATTCCAGCTGCTCCAGAACCTGTTAGTTATTCAACTCAGACTGGGTATCCAACTGATGAACAAGGTAAATAAATTTATTTTATTTTTTAACTTGAAATATTTGTTGACCTTCCTTAAATGCTTTAAATCTTGTTTCAGGACAAAGATTAGCTCAACCACGAATCTGGAATGTTGTGAAGGATGAACCTGAAGATCTTACTGGACGGCACAGAGAAAGCAAGACCCTTCAAGACACTCTGCAAAGAAGTTCTGATGCTCAAACGACTACCGGAGAGTCTGATTCGGAGAGTGATAGTGACCTTTGCATTGATGAACAGGTAAGAAAACTATAATCACTAGAAAAATTGCCTTGCTCTTAGATCCTGTCATACATTCCACTAATTAATATCTTTCCAGACACGAGCTGCAGCAGGAGGTCCTCGTAAGCGAAAGAATGTTGTTCCTGCAAACGTCCTGCATGATGTAACTCCTGCAGAACTTCAGAAGCGACCAGGTCTCATTCCACTAACATCAAACTTGGCTGGGCCTGTTCAAGTTATGACAGCAAAGGACGGTGCTAAATTGTATTCGTGCCCAGAGTGCAATCTATTTTACGCAGACCATCTTGCCTTTGAGATTCACCTGCAAGGTAATGCTCCCACATCATCTTCACTGTAGAGTGCCATTGATGATAAATTCTAACTCCGGTCACTTTCTCTTCTCAGCTCATGGAGTGTCTCTGGGTAAGCGCCATATTTGCAAGGAGTGTGGAACTAGTTTTCGGCGTAGGGAGCATCTTGATGCCCACATGACTGCCCACAGCCAAGATAGGCCATTTTCCTGTGAGACCTGTGGCCGAGCTTTCAAAAGAAATGAACATCTGACCAGACACAGAGTTTTGCACTCGGGTGATAAGCAGCATGTTTGCTCTGACTGTGGTAAATCCTTCTTCCGCAAAGACCATTTGATGAAGCATTCTCAGACCCACATTATGAGAAAGCTCACATCAGGTGAAGGCTGACAGAAGCCTTTGGAGGATGGATTACACTTCCTCCTGAAAGTTTAATGCAAATTATTGCTTGCAGAATAACATTTCATTTTATTTGCCAATGGCATATTTATTTCTGTGACCAAATACTTATGCAACTACAGTATGTTCATTTTAGCTTTCAATGTTCTCTTTAGTCAACCAGAAAAAAACTTTTTAATTAGTAACTATCAAGCAGCTTGGAGAGAACTACTATTTGATTTGTACAATTCTGAATTGTAAGGAAATTCATTTTTCATCTTTAGTCATGACTGAGGTTAGTACCTCTTTCTCATCCTATATTTTGTTAAATGCATCAGTGTATTGTTCTGTTGTGTTTTTGTGGTACTTCCTGTAACGTTTTTGAACCCAACTTTGATCTTGGTTTCATATGAAACGTTTTGAAATTTTGTTACCTAGATTTGATTTGTTTTTGTTATTTAGTTTATAATCCTGCATTTAATTGAATTTTGAGTTTGTGCTGGTCAAAATCATTGGACTTTGGTTAAAAAGACCGAACTTCCAGATCATTTTACTTTTCTGTCCCAGTATTGTTTCTGTTAGTTCTTATTGTTTTGTGCAGCAAGCAAACTCAAAACAGAATTAAATAGCTGTCTCTCTTTATTCTCTTCTTTTGAATGTTATATTAGAGTTTTCATGTTCATAAGTAACTGTTTGCCCATAATTATTAGATCCAGTGGTGCCCACCTTAGGCCAGCAGAGTTGGCTGCCTCTGCAGAAATTCTTGCGAGGGGGCAATATGAGGGAAAATGACCCTGGTCAGTGAGGGTAGGAGTCACAAGAAGAAACTTTACCATCTAGGAAAAAAATATGTGGGTGCCACAACAGTATTTAGATCTCATTACTTTAAATATTAATCTGCTCTATGTAGAGCCCAAACAAAATCCACTTTAACTTTGCAAGTCATAGGTAAGTGGCATCCTTCTACAGGTGTCGAAAAGAAACTTTTGCTATGGATTCTTTTTAAACCTGGTATTGTCAGTATTGTTGCTGTATCTGTAGCATTCTACATTCTTGTGTTAAGTTGGGAAAGACAGAAACCATCAAACGTTCTGGGTTGATTGCTAGGCCATTATGCTTTCCCTCCCTAAAGGAGTGAAATAACAATAAATACCTGTAGAGGTATCTGTCTCTCTCCCTTCTCTTTCCTTAAAAAAAGAAGTAATTGTGTACTGATTTGATAGAGACTGATTCTTTTTGAGAAACCATCAGATTTGTTGTAAGAATGTGTTCAACAATCAAGTAAAAGTATTAATCTAATAATTATGATTTCAAGATTAGTAAGTGAGGGATCATTGTCTAAAAGGAATCTCTAGTTAAAATGAGTATTTTGCTCATGCTCAATTGTGAGTTTTTATATTGTTTCTTTTACTTTACATTTATAAAATTTATTTGATTGGTTTAAAAGTTGAAATTTGTTTTGAAAAAGACTTGATTTTTGTTGCGTTGTTTTGGGGAGCTGCTGTGTTGTATGTTATATGTTATCTGTTTATGGTAACCCCCTTCTTTTTCCTATTTTGCTCTATTCATCTGTTGGAGCAGAGTTTTCTCTGAAGGTAGTTGAATGTGTCTGTGTGAAATCTAAATAGTAGGTGTGTTAGATTATATTCCCTATTTCATGTGTTACTAAGGAAACTCTTCATGTTCGTACTTGTGGTTATTTTCTTATAGTATACTCCATTTTCCCTTCCATGCACATCTTCTAGTCAGTTTGTGCTGTCTGAAATTATGGCTCTCAAAATGTACAGCTCGTTAAAAATCTGGGTTGCATGTCATGTCATCACTCATTACGCAGTACTTTTTCTGTGCCATTTTGCCATGTAACAATCTGAATAAGGAAAAATGTATTGGTTCCTTTCAATGAACAATTTGTTTCTCCTGTTCTCCATTATCAGTCAGAACTGGGCTTGATATCAGCAAAATCTATATTTTTGGATGGCAAAATTTACATAGTTTAAAAGACTTTCAGATTATTAATTCTATTTTCTATGGCTGCAAATTTCTTTAGCTTCCAAATCTTGCCAAAATTTAGTGAGCAAATCAAGATGAGTGTTTGAACCATGTTAAAGAACTCATGGCTACTTGTCTTTGTGTTCTTTTCATCAGATGGTTTGCATATTCAATGTGTGCATTAAAGTGTGTTCATTCTTCTTTTCCACAAATGTATCACATGTATTTGTACTGAAAATTAGCTGTTTTTCTACCCAGCATGTATGTTAATGTATTAAGTATACAATAATTACATATGTAACAGTCTACTCTTTTCTACTGTATGCCATAATTGAAATCAATATTATTCATACATGGTAGATTCTTGATTTATTTATCCTTCCTGCTCCTTCTACAAGTCATTCAGGTCAGTATCATCAAACCAAACAAAGTGGTTCTAAAAACATCCTGTCATATTTTTCTTACAAAGAAAAATAACTAAAAGTGTTGAGTCACCGGTAACGTTTTACCTATCACAAGTTAAATAAGCTCTACCGCGAGGGAAGTCTGTCAGTCTCAGCGCCGGTTGGGCAGCGGGTCCGAGTCCCAGATGGGCTGCTCGTCGAGGTCCGTCTGCGTCTCCACCTGCTTGGTGGCGGCGGCGGGCGGTCTTCCCCGAGCAGGCCGCGGCCGGATGAGCGCGCCCAGCCAGGCACGGAACTTGGCCACGTCCGTGAACACGACGAAGTGCCTCAGGTCGCAGGTGCGCCGCTCGCCGTCCATGAGCGACAGGGAGACGACGCCACGCAGGAACCAGGGACCGGAAGTGGCAGTGTGGCCAGGCCCCTCCAGCATGAGCCCGCTGCCGCTGTCGCCGTTGCACGGCCCCGACCCGTTCCTGAAGCCGGCGCAGAAGGTGCGCTCCGAGGTGACGTGCAGGAACTCGGGCCTGCTCCGGAGGCACACCTCCTGCGACACGATGGGCAGCCTGGCGGCGCGCGGCTCGGGGCTCAGCACGTGGCCGTGCTCGTCGCGGCCCCAGCCCACCACCGTGCCCACCCGGCCCACCACCGCGGCCAGCGCCTCGGGCCCCGTCCAGTCGATGCAGATGGGGCGCACGAACCAGTCGTATGCCACGCGCTCGGACAGCTGCAGCACCGCCACGTCCGCGGTGTAGTTGACGGCCTGGTGGTCCGGGTGCACGTGCACGACGGCCACCTCCCTGGCCTGCGCCTGCGGCTCGGTCCACTTGCGCACGTTGTGCCGGCCGACGTACACGAGCAGGGACTCGGGGCTGAGGCGGTGCACGCAGTGGGCGGCTGCAAGTGGAAATAACGGGCGGGACAGTCACAGAACGCTCAGCTAGGATTCAAACACCTGGCCGGGCAGCCACGCGGATGTCTACCGACCTGTGAGGACGTGGCCGGCGGAGACGAGGGTGCCCGCACAGTGGTACTCGAGCCCCAGGGACGTGGACGCGAACACCGCTGCCAGCCAGGGCCAGTCGCCAGGGTCCGAGCCGCCGCCGCCGGCGACCAGCAGCCGGTGGTGCACGGGCCGGCCGCACACTGCACAGAGGACAAGTTCAGTTACAGAAAATTTCTTTGGAGGATAGTTTCCTGTAAACAGGTGCCATCTACCACCTTGGTCATCGTCACCGTCCTCGCTTGCGACAACGCCGTCCGCCGGGGCGCTGGCGGTGCTGGCGGTGCTGGCGGCCGACGCCGAGGAGTCGCCGTCGTTCTGCAGGAACAGCTGCACGGTGCCTGGCGGTTTCGGCGTCGTGGATGCCGCGTGCACTTGCTGAGGCCCGTCATCCAGCACGGGCTCCGGCCGCACCGAGTGCTCCAGGCTGATGGTTGTCGTGACGCCCTGGCCGCCCAGCCCGCCCCCAGTGGCGGCGCCGCCTCCCGCCGCCCCCGGGCCCCAGTTGCGGCACAGGTCCTTCCCCATGGCGTGGACGCGCGTCACGGCGGGCAGGGGCATGCCGACGGGGAAGCGCAGCGTGTAACGGACGGGGCGCCGGTCGCCGCTGGCCAACCTCGCCAGCAGCGCGCGCCGCCCCTCCTGCAGCTGCAGCGTCCCGGCGTACTTCTGCAAGCAAGCCAGACGTCAGGGACGCCCTGAAGGTGTCGGGCCTGGAGGAAAGAAAGCTGCTCACCGTGGTCAGGGCCGCGGCGATGGCCAGGTCGACGCGCAGCACCAGCGGCATGTTGGTGGGCGGCGCGGGCACCGTCACCACCCCCGCCCACCCCCCGGGTACGTTGTGGCGCTCGTAGCGGAACACCCCGGGGCACGGCGACATGGGCACGCCCGCGGCCAGCACGCCGGGCACGCGGGGCTGCGTGCGGCTCTTGGACGCCTCCGTCTCCGACGCCGCCCACAGGCAGCCCGTCATCGCAGCCAGGAGGCCCCGGATCAGCATCCTGCAAGGCACGGGGATCAAGGTTCGGTACGGGAGCTTCGAATCCGGTTTCCGTCGGTTTGGTTAGTACTGAGAAGACCAGAGCCTTCCTCGCCGACACTGGTGACGTCGCCGGGACTCCTAAGATGTCAAAGATTACCGCAAGCAGGTGAAGGGAGTTCTCGGAAGGGAGTTGTTTGCCGGCTGGCTAGTGTGCTAGCCAGCGCATCCCGTCATCCGACCCGTGCAAGTCGGATCGTGTACCAGCCAGGCCAAGCCAGGCCGCCCGCGACACAAAGTTAAAGTCGGCTAGGGGATACCTTTGAAAGGGGTATGGAGAGGGGGTACGGGTATGGCAATGGAAGGGGGAAGGGGGTTGGAAGGGGTGGCGGCAGTGCACGGCAGTCCGGCAACAGAGAGGACTCTGCAGAAGGCACGACGGCACGGCAGCGCCACACAACAAGCGGCGGCGCCCACGGTGGATCGTTTCAACCCGTTTAAACAGTGTCGTAGGGCGTTAAATCCTGATACCCGAATAATGTCTTCGCAATCGTCGTCCTCGTCGTCCTCGGCGTACTCGTCGTTCTCGCCGACAGCCTCTTCTGATTCTCACTCAGCCCCCTCGCCCGAAGTCAGCGAGGCCGAGGACGTGAGCGAGGTAAGTACCCGTCCTCCCGCGAGTTTGTGGCACCAAACCGCCATATGGGCAAGCACACTTTTCTCTTGGAGCTCCACTATAAACGCTCGCGCGGTGTGAAAGAGACTTACGTGCGCGAATCATCTGGGGGTGGCTGGCTTCTAGTGGTAGGCGTCGTCGTCCCTTGCTCCAACAACGGGGTGACCGGTTTGCGTTCCCATCGGCCTCCGGTCCGGATCAACGTACGCACAGACTGAGGGCGCCGGCGTGCCTGGACTGCCTGGACTGCGACTGCGACAACTTGCGCCGCCTAGCACCGCCCCGACTCTGTCGCCTGTCTTGCCTGTCTGTCCAGCTGACTGATTCCGAGTCGTTTTCGCCGCTGTCGCCGCTGTCCTTCTCGCACTCCATCGCACTGATAGGCCGCCCAGTATGGGTGCGAGAGAGACAGAGCGAGGAAAGCGTCTCCAGAAGTCTGCTTACTGCCCCGTGCACCCGACAGTCGCCACCGCGTAAACAAACAAACAAGCGCCCGCTGCAGCAGCAGCGGTGGCAGCAGCAGCAGCAGCAGCAGCAGCAGCAGCAGCAGCAGCAGCAGCAGCAGCAGCTCTCTTCACGTCATGTGTGCACACGCGTGGTGACACCTCCCCCCCCTCTCTCTCTCCACCTCCCCCCCCACCACCATTTTCCCCGCACGGTACAGTTCTACATTTAAAATTTTCCGTTATCATCTGTTTTTGTGAAAAATTTTTATATTATTCTTGAGAATAGTGCTTTAAACTACGCCACGTGCAGAGGGTTTGCACTTGCAGTGCTGAATTTTGAGGAAGGAGAGGGTGAATGGTTGTGTGGGTAATTAGAAAGTTATGAACACAATGAATAAAAACAGCAAACAAACTGCAAAAGTAGCTTCCCGACACGAATGAGAAACTACATTTGAGGGAAGTTCCATCGCCACTGACGCCCCAAGGAACTGTGTCCTTTTACTGCCAACACAAGAGATTTTAAAAACAGATTAGACTAGGCTAAAACAAGTAAACTAGAGAAACGAAAGAAAGTATCCACTAAAATAAAAAATTTATTAAAAATTTCAAGTTTGCTTCAATTTTAAATCTCATTTGTCATGTGTGTTGGAGATGTATAGTTTGTTTTCATGTTGGTATGTTCAACCCCAAATGCAGCACGCTCCATCTCATAAACAGAAGGCTGTGGAGCACAAAAAACAAACTTGTCTTGCTGTTTACAATTTTACATTTCTGTTTTTACTTGATTTAGTGTTTTCACATTTTATTCTTTTTTAACTGAGCTAATATTTTTACCACCATGACTGACAAGGATTTCGGAGGACTATCTGTAAGACATTTCACATACTTCTATGTGTCCTCTGTCCTGTAACCTAATATATTTGTGCTGAGTTATCCTTTTTGACATTTGAAATCCGAAACTCAACGATCATGCTACTATATTTCTATTTCATTGCAGAAAGAAGAAATTGCTAAGCAGTTCATGCTTCCAGAACGTAAATCAAAAATAGCGACGTTACTCAAGCAGGACAGACAATATTGTGTTTGCCGTTCTACTGACTCGAACAGATTTATGATGTAATTCATTTCAAACTTTTCTTTTTCACTAATTTTGAGTTTGTCTACACATGAATTTTTGTTTGTTCACATTCCATTGTTTGTTTTTTTCAGTGGCTGTGATAATTGTGAAGAATGGTACCATGGTGATTGTATTGGTATAACTGAAAAGGACGCAAAGTATATTGAGCAGTATTACTGTGTGGTAAGTTTGTTTGGTTTCATCAAAACCTTCGTTTCTTTCTTTACAGAAATTGTATTTTCCCTATACATGTCCGTTTCTTGCAGAGATGTAGAGAGGAGGATCCAGACCTTGTGACTCGATTCAAAAACAAAAAACCCGACAAGCATGACTACAGGGAGAGAGATCGATTCAAGGAAAGAGACAGGGATAGAGATTATGAAAGAGAAAAACACCACAAGGAGAGGGAGAGAGATAGTGCTTACATTCCCCCTCACTCTTCGTACCGTGAAGAGAAGGAAAAGAAACCTAAAAAGCGGCGTGATGCTTTTACTGTTCCCAGTAAGCTTTCCCTATGAACTGTTCCCATTTTTTGGAGTATCTTCTTTAAAAAGTCTCTTACTTATGCTATCTGTGATTGCAGAGGAACCATCCAAACCTAAGAGTTATCGCTGTGGAAGTTGCATGGGATGCTTCAGGTCGGAAGATTGTGGCCGTTGCTCTATGTGCCGTGACATGAGGAAATTTGGTGGCCCTGGTAGACACAAAGGAAAATGCCTGGCTAGAGTCTGCACAAGTGTGGTAAGTGAAATATCCTTCAAATATAATAAGTATGAGTTTTCGGCTTCAGTTTTTAAAAAAATTCAAAATTTACCAGTCAAATCATCGGACTAAGGCTCCAGTAGTTCATGAAAAGCGGCGCAAACGCAAAGACTCTTCTTCAGATGGAGAAAAGACTACCTTTGTCCCTGAAGTGCCTCGTCAGTGTTATGGCCCACAATGTGTTAAGTATGCTCGACAGGCATCAAAGTACTGCTCTGAAGAGTGTGGTTTGAAACTGGCAGGTGCCCGAATTTATCAGGTAAAGACAAAGAAGCACCATGAGGGTATCTAATACACAGATTTCAATACCTTAAAAGTTTATTGATAACTTTTCCAATTTCAGATATTGCCTCAAAGAATTCAAGAGTGGGCACTTGCCCCTTGTGAAGCTGAAAATCAGAATAAGAAAGAGCTTGAAAAAGTTCGTAGGGAACAAGTAGAAGTGAGAAGCATCTTGGAGCAACTAGAGAAACGTCATAGGGTAAGGTGGCAAGATCCTTTTACGTTGCTCAAGATTTGAATTTTTAAAATCAATATCTATCTTTCTTTTCTTCCTTTTTATTTTCAAAGGAACTGGATGCAGTCATAGAAAGAGCAGACCAAGCTTCTGTCGATGAACACTATGATGATGACATGGAAGATGAAACTGAAATGTCTATGTATTGCATTACATGTGGTCATGAAATCCATTCTCGTACTGCTATTCGCCACATGGAAAAGTGCTTCAACAAGGTAGGTCTAATAACAAGACAGCGTTTTCACTAAAGTGGTCTAAAAGCTAATGATTTTGTGATATTGCAGTATGAAAGCCAATCTTCATTTGGCTCTGTCTACAAAACTGTCATTGAAGGAAATAATATGTTTTGTGATAATTACAATCCTGTCTCTGGCATGTATTGTAAGAGACTCCGAGTTCTATGTCCTGAGCACACCAAAGAACCCAAAATAGCTGATCATGAGGTAGGTTTCTGTTAGGTTTAGAGCTCAAAAGGCAGAAAAATGAAACATATGTATTGTGATTGACTTTTTGTGTTTTTGTTTTAGGTTTGTGGGTGTCCTCTGGTCACAAATGTCTTTGACTTGACTGGAGAATTCTGTCGAGCGCCCAAGAAGCATTGTGTGAAGCATTATTGCTGGGAAAAATTAAGAAGGGCTGAAATTGACATGGAGCGAGTGAGACAGGTAATGTAACTTACCAAATTAATAATAAAATATGCTTTTCTTGACTTTTCTTTTGACAATTGTTTTTTGAAATGTCACAGTACATGAGAGCTGATGAGTTGATGGAACAAGAACGCCAGCTGCGACACAAGCTCGCGAACCGCGCCGGTGTGCTTGCTCTAATGCTGCACTCCACCTACAACCACGAGTTGATGGAGCAGATGACTGCCCAGCAGCAAGCTCAAGAGCAAGCCCCGACCTCGGCCCAGCAAGGAGTAGAAAATGGTCGGCCTCAGAAGGACCATCAGTCAGAAAACAAGAAAGAGGAGGAGGAGGAAGAAGAAGATGGAGAAAGAATGTCTGATTGATATAGGCGTAAAAAGCTTTTATTTTGTAAATTTGTTTTGTTTTTCTTCTTTTTTGGAATATGAATTAAAGTCTCTTCTTGACCAAGGAAACATGTATTTTGTCTTTGAACCTTTCTAAACTGTTGTGGAAGGATTTGCAATGCCGTTGACACTATAGAAACACTATAAAATCATAATCCATTGTGGCTTACTGACTCCCACACCTTCTGTGGGTCGCCAGACGCAGTTCTTTGTTGCACCCTGGGCTCGGAGTAGGCTCTAAGGCCTGGGTCCAATGATACAAGGTTCAATTTGGTGAATGATATTTTATTAAACATGCCAGAGGTCATACAGTTTGGTAGAAAAATATCACTTTGATAACAAAATAGAAACTGTGAAACAGTAGATATTTCTAGGTGCAAAAAAGAGAGAGCGACAGAATAACACATCGTAAATGAGCTGATTTTCTTCAAGTGAATCCGGGGTGAGCATTTCGTTTCGACCACCATCATCGTTCGAGGACGCACGGGCGCACCGAAATGACTCCTCCAAACCACGAGACCGCCGATGACAATAACAACAATAAAACATAAAAACAAAGAAATTCCTATAAGTCAGCCAACGCACCCTGCTGATATCACAAATTGGATCTGGGCGCGACCAGTGCGAGGCGACCGCAGCGCACCGCGCCGCTTGCAGTCAGTCTGTTGGGTGGACGGGTGGTGGCGGGGAGACGAGACGAGACGGGGATGGTGCGATTGGGTGACGGACCGTGTGACGGTGTCATGGTGTCACGCTGTCACGTGCGCGCAGGCAGGGCAGGCAGCTTCCCTGAAGCCCGCAGGGGAGGGCCGGGGCCATGGCCGGGGGCTGGGGAGAGGGGAAGGCCCGCCCCGAAAGCCCCGACCCCTGCGACTCCCCCGAGGCCGCGAGGGCGAGGGCGCCGAGGGGGCAGGCTCTGGGGCAGGCGACTCTTTGGTTGCCGCTGGGCTTCGGCCGACGACGCGGCACTCCGGGTGCCGGACCCGAGCCGGGCCGACGCGAAGCACGTAGCACGCCGAGCTCCCCTGGTCCACCCTAGTCGATGCTGAGCTGCCGGAAGGAGCCCTCCATGCCGAAGAGGTCGTCGTGGGTCTTGGGCTTGCCCGGCCTCTTGGACTCGTCCGCCTTGACGTTCTCCTGCTCGGCGAACCACTCCTTGTAGCTCTCCATCTTCTTGATCCAGTCCTCTGCAACAGGCAGTGAGCGCAAGTCAGTTTAGTTTGTTCTCGATTGGCGGCGGGTTTCATCGAGTGGACCACCCGAGCACAGTGTGCTGCGCCGGCCGCTGGGCAAGGAGCACGCAGAGCGCGCCGATTGAGCGGAGGGAATTCCCTCGCACGACTTGCGGCGCTGCGCTGACGTAGAGGCACGGTGGAGGCTAGAGGCGATACCCAGGACGCGCTCACCGCGCACAGTGTGCGCACACGCACAGCCATACAGTGACGCACAGGCGAGCGCAAGCTTGGCGCAAGCGCGCGCTCCAAATCGCTTTCTCTCCCGAGGCGGCGCAGCAAGGGCCGCGCGCCGCAAATTTGAAAACGCGCAGTAAAGCCTCTGGTATGGCCCGCGGCGCCCGCGACGGCGCATGCGCGAACGAACGCGCCGCGTTTCATATTCGTCTGTAAATTCGGTGTTTGAACACGTGAGCTAGTGCGGCCGGTGCAGCGCGGGGCAGACGGCGTGCAGATGGCGAGGCCGATAGCCGCGGCTGGAGCGGCTGGGGGCAACTGGAGCGCGGCTAATTATGGCTCCGGGCGCAGCGGACTGAGAGTCGCGCTTTCGTCGCTCTGTCTCTCTCGCACCCACACGGGACGCCCCTAGAGTGCGAGAGAGACAGAGCGACGAAAATGACTCTCGTAATCAGTCCGGGGGATGGTATGATGGTATGGGCGCCAGGACGCGTATCACTGTATCCCTGCGCGGACTGCGTTGCGCGCCGATGTTTCGAAAGGCGTGGCGTGGCGTGGCGGCCGTGCCTGCCTGCCTGCCTGCCTGCCTGCCCCGCGGCGCGGGGCAGAGCTTCGGAGCAAATGCCATTTAGAGGCACGTGCCATAGACTACACGGCAAAAAAGGAAAGACAGAGGGAAAACTGCGCTGGGGTTCGATCCGTCAAAAGCACCCATCAGACCTAAGCTTACCGTTGATCTTGGAAACGGGTCCAGCGTTGCCGCCGTACTCTTCGGGCAGCATCTCCTTGGGAACGTACTTGTACAGGGTCTCGAAGCCGTCGCTGTGGACGTGGATCTGCAAACACAAACAAACGAACGGCCATTAGGCTAACGACTTGGGCGTTGGATGAGAGGCACAGAGAAGGGAAATCCCAAAAGAAATAGCCACTGACTCGGTTGCGGATCTTCTCCTTGATGAAAGGCTTGACGAAGTTGATGATGGTGTCGACGAGCGGCGACGCGTTCACGACGTGCACCTCCTTCACCTTGACGGGGTAGCCCTCCTGCACGCACACGAAGAACTTCTTGACCAGCGCGGGCGTGAACTTGGAGAAGTGCGCCGCGAAGTTGGCCGGCGTGGCGATGGCGGCGTCCAAGATGTAGACGTCGCCGGCGACGCCCGTCGACTCCTCCTTGAGCCGGATGTCGCCGATCATCATGACCACCTTCATGCCGTTGTGCACGGAGGGCAGGTCGAACTCCTCGACGTTGTTGGTGGCGGCGCGGAAGATGCAGACGCGCCGGCCGTCCGGGGTGACGCCGGGCAGCGGCGGCAGGTACCTGCAGCAGACACGCGGTGACGTCATGATCGGGGCGACGGACGACTGGAACGCCCCGGCGGCCGCCCGGCGGCACTAGGGCACCTGCAACGCGGGAACCTCCAAGGGAACCACACTCACGCGAGCCGCATGACGTCCTTGATCTCGGGCGAGGTGGGGTCGCGGTTGGCGAAGAACTCGGGGGCGGCGGTGCGCATGGTGAAGTACATGTCCAGCTTGCGCTTGCACTTCTCGCGGGAGAACTTGCAGCCACGGAGGAACGTCATGATGCGGCTGTCATCTGCGGAGAGAAACACAAAGGCGTCAGCGTGGACGAAAAGTCGGAAACGAATACATCAAGTTGGCTGTTTTAACTGAGGCCTACCGTCGAACTTGGGCAGATGGGGCTGACGCGTCAGCCACTCCTTGATGTGCTGCAGGTCGTCGTCCCGGGTGGACACGTCCTCGTTGAGCTCGGAGCGGATCCGCAGCTGCATCTCGGGGTTGGGCTGGACGAGCGTCATGGTCAAGCCGTCGGTCGGACCTGCGAAGCCTGCGAAGCGAAGCGACAGAATTGGCCGTGAGGAAATGATTGGGAGATGGGCCGCACCTGCGGACCTGCGGACCTGCGGTGCCGTCGCCGCGGTCCTGGACGCCGCCCTGCAGTACGAGCGGCGCGCCGAGCCAGCCGAGTTTGCGTAACCTGTGACTCAATGGCCGGTCGGTATCGCCTCCATGCACTCCAGCCTCCCCCCCCCTCTCCCCCTCCCCCTTCCCCCCGTCCACTTTCTCCAGACGGCCGGCCAGGCTCTCGGCTACTGGAGCCGCTGGGCTTCTGCGGCCGCGCTGCGAGGCGCTCCAGGCACTCCAGGGCCTCGAGGTGAACAAGAAGTCCCGGCGACGCCTCGCGTCGGGGTGGGGGCGTGGCGCGGGGCTGGCTGGCGGCGGGGCGGGGCAGGGCGGGGCGGGCGGGGCGGGCGGGCGGGGCGTGGCGCGGGGCTGGCTGGCGGCGGGGCGGGGCAGGGCGCTAGGCCAGCTAGGCCGGCCAGCCTAGTTCCCTCAATGTCACTGTCACTACGCCGCCGCCGCCATCTCCGCCACGCTCGTGTTCCCCGAATCGACCGGCGCCCTCCGCCCTCTTCCTCTCTCACTCTGACCGCGTCGACCGCGGCTGGACCACGCTGCCGCGGTCGCCTCGGCACCCCCATGACCACCGCCACCAAGGCCGTGCACACTGTGCACACCGCGGCCACGGACAACCTGTGGCGGAATCGGGAATGCCCCGAGGCACCTAGAGTGCCTAGAGGCGCCGCGAAGCAGCGCGGAGCACACCGCAGGCTTCTTCGCTGGGGTTGTTCCGGTCACGTTGAGCAGTTCAATACGATCAATTGTGGTCCAGCCTCTCAAGTCTAGTCAAGTCGAGCTGCCGCAGCGGACTGTATCTGAGAGTCTGCTTCGTCGCTCCTGTCTCTCTCGTACTCATGGGGCGCTCCTTATAGGCACGAGGGAGGCAGAGCGACGAAGCCGACTGTCGGACTTAGTCTCCAGAATAGGCAACCGGCGCGCTTCCGTGCCGAACGGGCAATGCGTAATTGCTAATGATGACTGGATGTGCCTTTCGGGAAGGTGTCCACGGCTAGCTCCGCCAGGTCGGCACCACACTCCGTTCCACGACGGCGCCCCGCCGCACTGTACACTGTACTCGCTGCCCGCCCGTCGGCGCCGCGACGCGCCGATTCATTTGGGAAGCACGTCGCGCCTCACGATCCGCGTCCGCGGCGTCCGCGTCTGCGCAGTGACGCTGTAAGTGGGAAATGACGACCGATAACCGCGCCAGGCTGCGTGCGTCCGCCGAGGCTGGGGTTCGAGTCCCGGCGCCGCCGCGCGGGATCCGCATCCGTTTTCGCCGGCTGCTTTTACGATTTTACGACTGCCGCGCTGGCGCACTAGCGCACTGCTCCGCGCAAGCGGCGAGCTGCACTTTCGCCACGGCGCGTCATTTCTAGAGCCATTTTTCGAGCCGCCAAATCGCCATGCAGACAATGAAGGAGTGACGCAACTTCGCCATTCCATAGCCGTGCCGTGCCATGCCAAGTGCGGCCGCGGCCAGTGCGGCACGGGCGTGGCGTGGCGTGCCGTGGCGTGCCGCCGGCAATTGCTATTCCGGCCGCTTTTAGCACCACACAGGCGGAGACGCTTTTTTAGACGCCGGCTTTTACTGTTCCCGACGCGGAGTGAGTGGCTCGCGTACGAGAGCGTTTTGCCGTTTTGCCGTTTGCGACTGGAGAGTGAGCCGCAGTTTGCTGCACTGCTGGTGCACCGTTTGGAAATGAGTAGCAGCCAAAGTGCGCTACCACGTAACACGGCAAAACAATCGTCCTACTCTAGTAGATGTCAGTATCAGTAAACGGACAGCGTCACGCTAAAAATAAAACATTTCTTGGCAAATTAGATGAAAAACGAAGTTTTTCCATGTGACATGACGTTTTAAACGGAAACAGTCACCGTTTAAGAGACCGACAGCTACCATAATTATCGTAGCATACAGTCTGCGACTCTCTGTTAGCAGCGTGTAGTCGAACTGCGGCGAACCGCCAAGTGACAATAGACCAACACGCAGAGTGCGTGTGTCCCATATCAGGGGGAAAACAAATTGTCCCCATCGAGAGTCGACATTTTTTCCCCTACTCTGCACAGCCTGTGTGAAGGTTTTTGCATTGAGAGTGAGCGGGTTGCGTGTGAAGTCGCGACGTCCCAATTATGGCCAATCCGCATTTGCCGGTGATAGTGAGACCTTGAGGCGTGCCACTCGGACACCTTGGCGTGCTGGAGCACTCCGTCGGACTGCCGCGGAGTCTGCAGACTAATTCCGACAGTTGTTTTCGTCGCTCTGTCTCTCTCGCGCTCGTGGGGCGTCCCGTATAGGTGCGAGAGACGGACTCTCTCGGAGTCAGTCCGCTGGGGGATTCCCCAGAGGCAGGGGGGGCATGCCCCCTTCGCCTTGCAAACCATGTTGCAAACGACCACGGAGCGGACCGACGACGGCGACTCCGGGTGAAAAGTTCCATGCAGAAACAGAGCCGGGCCGCGAGCGGAGGACCAGTGTTGAACCTCACCTTGGCCCGCTGGCCGGCCCCTCGCCTGTCCCGTCCGTCATGTCGCAAGGACGGCCCACCAGGGCCTGGACGGACCCGTCCCGTCCGGCTCGGCCGCAGTCGGCGGCCCGGCCGAAGGGGCGTCGCTACTCGACCGAGGTTTCCACGGAGGGTTTCCGTTGTGCCTCGGCAGGCCGGTACCCCATTGGTGCCACCTGGTGCTGGTGCCCCACTGGTGCTGGTGCCCCACTGGTGCCGCCGCCCGCACACGCGTGTCATCAAGCCGTCCGAAATGAAGTTGAAGCGCGGAAAACCGAAACGGAGTGGCGAATATTCGGGGCCGCCGCGCCGTTTGCTCTCATTTCGGGTTTGCGGAACGCGGCGCTGCACCTCGCCGCCGCCGCGCGGGTGACTCATGACTCACCCATCCCGCGGGAAAGTGGGGGAGGGGGGGAGGGGGGGAATTGCCGAAGCCGCGAGCAACAGCCTCCACCGCGACTGATTAATCGGCGGCGTCGGAAGTGGAAGGAGGGCAGCAACGGCCCATTCCGTGCAGGGCTGCGGCACTCTGTCTCTCTCGCACCCGCAGGGGAAGCCCCACGAGTGCGAGAGAGACAGAGCGACATAGAACCATCCTCTAAAGTGGGCCGCCAAATCTGCCTCCCGCACTTTGGGGGCACTACGGGGAGGCTGCCAGGCTTGCTGCCAGGCTTGCTGCCAGGCTTGCTTGCTGCCAGGCTTGCTTGCTGCCAGGCTTGCTTGCTGCCAGGCTTGCTTGCTGCCAGGCTTGCTTGCTGCCAGGCTTGCTTGCTGCCAGGCTTGCTTGCTGCCAGGCTTGCTTGCTGCCAGGCTTGCTTGCTGCCAGGCTTGCTTGCTGCCGGCTTGCTGCTGCCAGGGCTTGCGTGCCAGGCTTGCTTGCTGCCAGGTTGCTTGCTGCCAGGCTTGCTTGTGCCAGGTGCTTGTGCCCTTGCTTGCCACTTGCTTGCTGCCAGGCTTGCTTGCTGCCAGCTTGCTGTGCCAGGCTTGCTTGTGCCAGGCTTGCTTGCTGCCGCTTGCTTGCTGCCAGGCTTGCTTGCTGCCAGGCTTGCTTGTGCCAGGCTTGCTTGCTCCAGGGTTGCTTGCTGCCAGGCTTGCTTGCTGCCAGGCTGCTTGCTCCAGGCTTCTGCTGCCAGGCTGCTTGCTGCAGGCTTGGCTTGCTGCCAGGCTTGCTTGCTGCCAGGCTTGCTTGCTGCCAGGCTTGCTTGCTGCCAGGCTTGCGCTGCCGGCTTGCTTGCTGCCAGGCTTGCTTGCTGCCAGGCTTGCTTGCTGCCAGGCTTGCTGCCAGGCTTGCTGCCAGGCTTGCTTGCTGCCAGGCTTGCTTGGCCAGGCTTGCTGCCAGGCTTGCTGCCAGGCTTGCTGCCAGGCCCCGGGCAAGCAGCGCACGCAGCAAGACAATCACGCATCATTACTCACGGCAGACGGAGAAATCCCCGAGGCCCGCCGCGTCTTGCGCCAGCAGCCCGCTGTGCGTACGCAGTAAGCACGCCGGGCGGCGAATCCGCCAATTTGGGGAGAGGAGGGTCAGTGAACGGCGAGTCGAACGATTGGTGGGAAAGAAATTGGATGCGAGTGGCGCACTGAGAGCGCCCGAAGGAGCGAGGGTAGGCAGCCACGCAGCACGCGCGTGTCTGACGGCACGGCCCACGCTGCAGGCGCTCGCCGCCCGACGGAGCGAGGGTAGGCAGCCACGCAGCACGCGCGTGTCTGACGGCACGGCCCACGCTGCATTACAATTATCATTAAGGGCTGGACTACACATGATCGTGTGCCAGGCGCTCTTCCAGTCAATGCAGGCCGCCGCCGGGCCGCCATGCTGTTGAACCCGTTTACCGGCTGGGTCCGCTGGGACAGCAGTTCGAGCGCAGAAAACGAAAGACCCCTGGTCCAGCGCAGCACCCTCGCCATGCACTTGCTCCAAAAGAGGCTCTTACCTCTCCGTCGTCTAGCAAGTCTGCTGCAGTCCGGTTCGCTCGTCGACGCACTGGGTCACGCTGGCGGCGGGCCTGCACACACGCTATGCTCTCGGCTGCACGGCTGGACGCACACTGGCCAGCGTGGAGAGCTGGGGGCCCGGCCCCTTCCACGACGCCGCGATCCACGTGTGCCCCCTGGGGCCGCTTGCCTCCCCCCCCCTCCCCCCTCGGGACTGTCTGGAGCGGACCGGAGAGGGGGGCTCACTAGCCTTTTCACTTTCCCTTGCGATGGCCAAGCCGGAGTGTGTCTCAGGTACGGCTGGTGTCTTTGGTGCAGCTGTAAAGCCGAGGCCAGTGTTGGTGCGAGCACGTGTTGTTGTGTTGGTGTGGGCGAAGTGCGTCATCCTCGAAGCTCCAGTGCTGTGCCATTGCAGCTTTTGCGAGCCTCCGCGCTCATCGCGCTGTCATCGCGGTCCTCTCCACGCTGGACGTGATCCTCTCCCTCTATCATCGCGATCCTCTCCTCGATGCCGAACGTGATCCTCTCCACTTTGGACGTGATCCTCTCCCTCTATCATCGCGATCCTCTCCTCGATGCCGAACGTGATCCTCTCCACGCTGGACGTGATCCTCTCCACGCTGGACGTGATCCTCTCCACGCTGGACGTGATCCTCTCCACGCTGGACGTGATCCTCTCCGCCGGCTGGTCACCGCAACAGGGGCGCTGCCAAGGCACAGCCAAGGCGCAGCCGGCCGGGCCGCGCGCACGCACTGCATTGCGTCATTGTGGCCAACATACCAGTGGCTGCGCGGCCTGCGCGGCCTGCGCTCCCCTCCAGGTTGACCAACGCGCCGAAGGTGGCCGAAGGCGGCCGAAGGCTCCAGGGAGCAAGCTCGGCGTCGCCCTGGCTCGCGAAGCGCCGTGCGGCGAGAAGCTGCAAGCGGGAGGCAACGTCCTGCGCCTTTGCGCGCCGCAAAAGAGTAAAAAATTTCGGCAAAGTAATCAGAGTGTGGGCGCTGCGCCTGCTCCGCGAAAGCTAATGGCCGCGGGACCCTAATGACAACGCGGCCAGCAACAACAACAGCAAGCCCGCGGCGCGGCCGGCCTGGGACCAGCAGCCCAACAACAAGGACAAAAGGCGCGAGAAGGGCCCGCCTTTCTCGGGCCCCAAATTGCGAGTCGGCCCGGGCGGCATCAAGGAAGGGCTCGGATCGGGGCCATCCCGCGGGGCAATTATTTTTTGCAGGCGGCGGTGCGGTGAGTCATGGCGGCGGTACGTCGGGGAAGAGCACCCCGCCGGCCAGGGCCAGGACCAGGACCGGGACCTAGACGACGACGACGCGCAACGACGGCCGTGCGAAAACACGCGGCCGCCTTTGCAGTTTGAGAGCGGTGTCCAGGCCCAGGCCCAGGCCCAGGCCCAGGGCGATGTCGCCAAGGCCTTGCCCCCGGCCAAGGCGCGGTGGTGAAACCGGCGGTGAGACGGTGTCGCCGTCCACGCCTTTGTTCTAGCGGGCCAGCAGCAGCAGCACCGCAGGCTCGCCGATGCACCGCCAGCCGCGCAGGGCCGCGCGCCAAAGTCGAAGCGTGGAAGAAATGGATGGAAATCTGATAACGGCGCGTCGTCGTCAACGGCGGCGGCGGCGGCAATTTAAAAAGGGAAATGTCCAAATTAGGCACCGCACCGTGGGAACCGCGTGGAGTGGAGGGGAGGGGAGGTGTCGAAGTGACAGAGACGGGGCGGCTCGCACGGTGCGCCACAATGCGGCGGGACCCACCCTAATTGTACAGTGTACAGCCCGGGTTGCCCAGCACTGTACTGCTAGACGAGATCCGCCACAGGCTATGCCGCCGGACTCCGCTGGAAGCGCATCGCACAGCTCGCTCTTGGAGCACACATACATTGAGTGTGAATTTTGGTGGAGTGTGTCGACAAGGTGTCAGTTTGCGCAGGTCCAGAAAAGCCCGCGTCACATACAAAGTCAAAAATCCCCACTTCGCGCCAATATTGAGAAGGCCCCCAAAATCAGTCCGCTTGCTCGGCAACGTCTTCGCTAACGAGAAGTTAGTTGTTTATCAGCTGGCAGACTGGCAACCCTTTCGACACGGCTTCATGGTGGGAAGTTCTGCCTACTTTTGTGGCCCCACTGGCTGGGGGACTCGCAGTGTCGTGGCTGCGCTGCGCCCGTGACAGAATAATAGGGGAGAGCACTTTGATCCGCGCTTCTTCTTGTCCCGGCCTCGCCGCGCCCGTGACGCCCCAAGGTAATGGTTCGTTCATTGCCGGCTCGTTTATACACTTTTTTTCGGCTACATTATTGCATCGGAAAGTGATCGTCGTTGTCGCGTGTGTCGCAAGCGGTGGCGCCGCGCAATCAAATCTGTTCCCCCCAAAAGAATAAAAACCAAAAAGCAGATTCTGTTGACCGCGATTTGGTTGCAATAGCGCCGCGGTATGGGAGTTGCACCGGGGCAGTTAGGCTAGTGGTCTAGTGCAAAGGAGTCGACGTCGTTACGCATGTCACTCTACAAAAAATGTCCTGTCAACGCCGTTAATTTATTACCAATGTTTGCTGTTATGCAATTCACGGCGTTTGCTGTGAACTAGTTCACGGCGTTCACTGTGATCTCGGTTACAGTGTTCACTGTGATCTGGCCACAGTAAACGCCGTGAATTGGAGCCTGATTTGCAGTACTTCGGTGCTTAGCGGCGTCAAACTCACAGTGTTTACTGGGGACCAGATCACAGTGAAAACCCCAAAATCACAGTGAATCCCGTGAGCAGATCACAGTAAACGCTGTGAATTGACCTACAGTGAAAACTGGTAATAAATTAACGGCATTTACAGGACATTTTTGGTAGAGTGGTGGGCCGCCAGGCCGCCAGGCCAGGCCAGGCCGGGGCACCTGCTTCGGACATCGGCAGGCGTAGTTCGCGTCAAGTCGCCAGAGTGGGCTGACTAGGGTGTTGTCGCACCAGTGCGGGGGAGATGTTTGCGACCTCTGGCCGAGGCCGCCGAGAAACCCAATATTTGCCCAAATCAGAGCCGCAACAGCGACGCCATCTCTAACGAGGAGGGAACACGGCGGCCGCCACCGCCGAGCACCGCGTCGACCGCAAGCAGGCTGCGTCTTCGTCGCTCCGTCTCTCTCGCTCCGCAAGCGACAGCCCATGAGTGCGAGAGAGACGGAGCGACTGCCATCGGAATGGCAGGGAAGTCTCGACCAAGGGCTCGTGGGTGAGGAGACTTGCATGCGGGAGGCAGACAGTGGGTGCCGCGTGCCAGTGGGGTGGCACCGGGCCGCGTGCCCCGCAGCTCTGCCGCGTGGCTCTAGCTCGGCTGGAGTCGTTTTCGCGCATACATTACCGCGTTTTTTCTCTCGACCGCCGTCCGAGCAGGTCCGCCCAGCCCCAACTAGCGGCGCCTTGCGCAGGTCGCGATCGCGGTACGGACAGTGTAGCAGACAGGTAGGTGCGGCCCGGGCGCTGCTGGAGTCTACTCACTGGGGCTGGAGTACGGCTGGAGTGCGGCTGGAGTGCGGCTGGGAGTACGGCTGGAGAAGGTGGTCTGCAGGGGACACACGGCACAGTGCAGGCTCCGCGGTGGACTGCCCTGAGACTGCCTGCCCTCGGACTGCCGGCCCGGCTGGCCGTGCACGCGCTTTCAGCCCCGCGGCCCCCTCCCCCTCCCCCCTCCACGTCGCCGCCCCCACCACCACTCGTCTTTCTCCGTGTCCTTCATTCTCTCTCTTTTTGTCTTTCTTTTCCCTCGTCCGACGCCCTTCTCTCCTCCACCCTTTTCTGCGAGCACCCGAAAAGCGAACCTCGGGTAATTTCGGCAATCGGTGGTTGTGTGCTGTACCAGGCGCATTACCCCTCCTCACGGTGCTGTCATGCGCGAAAGAAAAAAACCTCTGCTGAGAGCTTTGCTTCAGCTCAGGGCCAGGTCAAGCTTGGGTGTGCGCGGCCGCGGTCCTCCTGGCTCGCTGTTTCGGCCTAGCTGTGGCCGCGGTTTTGTTTCACTTGCGAACTGATGCCCGTGATTGCGCACAGAACGCATCACGCAGGCTGAATCCTCCCTACCGTCACATTTTTGTGTTGCTTGGTATCAAAATTGCCGTCTAATCATGAGCTGTTGGCCTGTCACACTCTAAAAACAATTGGTGTGGTTGCGTGCAAAATGCAGCGCGAAGACTGAAGTCTTCCATATTGACGGCCGTAAAAATTAGGGACCCGCTGAGCGCCGTTTATGACGGCTCGAACAGGGGCCGCGGCGGCGCGGCCGAGGGGGAGGGGGGCGTCGGGCCTGTCGCGCCGCGCGCCGCTGTGCGCGGGAGGGGCCGGAGGGGTCACGCAGGCCGCGGTCCGAAGGAGGGCATATATGGTGCAGGCTGCATCAAAAGGAACTGTCGACCTCCTCAGCTTTCTTGTTACCCTGGTAGGCCTGAAGTCGAAAAACGGCCACGGCCACGGCCACGGCCACGGCCACGGCGACGCTCGGGCCCCCCCTATATATATATTCCGTTTTAGTATGTTTCTGAGCAGTGTACATTGCCTCAGCCCGGGCCTCCCCAGCCCCAGCCTCCACAGTTCCCAAACCTAGGCCTCTGACCAAACTGTACACACAGCCTCGCACATTTTGCGAGTAATAGCTCAAGCTTTGATACGCTTGACCTAAAAAAGCCACGAGCATCTGCGGCGTTAGTAGTGAGAATCAGAATCAGAAAAAGGGCGTTGCAAACATTTCGCTGTGTTTTCTCGACTTTGCGCTGCGCTAGGCTTTGGAGACCGCGCTCCAAACGGCCGCATGGCGCATGGCTCCGCATGGCCTCCGCGCGCGTGCGGTGCGTGCTGACCCGTTCACCGCCTCCCACGGTGCTGCAGAGCGAAGACAAAAAGCCACGAGCATCTGCGGCGTTAGTAGTGTGAATCAGAAAAAGGGCGTTGCAAACATTTCGCTGTGTTTTCTCGACTTTGCGCTGCGCTAGGCTTTGGAGACCGCGCTCCAAACGGCCGCATGGCGCATGGCTCCGCATGGCCCCCGCAGCGCGGCGTGCGGTGCGATGCGCCCGTTCAGCGACCCCGTGCGAACAGAGCGAAGAGCGCCGCGGACCGGTCCGGACTGCGGGCCGTGCCGGACAATGCTTCCGTCGGCCTGTCTCTCTCGCACTCATGGCGCGTCCCGTGGGGTGCGAGAGAGACAGGCCGACGCAAGCATTGCGGTTCCGAATCAACCTGCTGCTGACCTCTCATTGGCCGGGAGGGGCGGTGCTTACGGCACGTCGCGAGGCTCCGCTGTCAATGTAAATTGCAGTGTTCCCCGCAGCCGCCGGCTGCAGACTGATTCCGAGAGTCGTTTTTGTCGCTCTTGTCTCTCTCACAACGAGGCACGCGCCACGAGTGCGAGAGAGACGAAAACGCCTCTCCAAATCAGTCAGCTGTTGTTTGAGGCTCGGTTTGGGGCCGTCGCTCCGGTAGGCGGCCGTACGGAAACTCTAGACGCGTTTTGAGCTCCAGAGTCGCTAAACAGGCCTCGAACCGAGCGTGTGACGCCACCAATGGATTCCTCGTTCGGAGAGCGATCCATTGGTGGGGTCACACGTTCGGTTCGAGTCGTGTTTAGCGACTCTAGAGCTCAAAACGCGTGTGGAGTTTTGGCCACCTCGCCCACTGTGCGCAGGTCCTTCGGCGCGCGGGGCATGGACTTCCCCGTCACTGATAGCAGCCCGACATGAAAGGAGCTGATGAACTAGCACGCCTCCTCGTTCCTCGCCCTGCCGTTCTCTCCGGCAGAAATGCCAGACCGACCAAATTTCTCGTCCGGCGTCAGTCAGCTGGCATGGCGGCGGGGCGCGGCGGGGCGCGGCGGGGCGCGGCGAAGCGTGGGGCTGAGTGGTCACACATGACTTCCAGCCGGCCGCCCAAACCAGGAACACGCGAGGCCCCGCCATCCTCACTTCCCCTAGGAAAACGAAAATGTCTCCCTCTGGGGCTCGAACCACGAACCTTACCCTCGCGGGGGCGTGATTAAGCTGCTGGGACGACGGGCAGCGTGCGATGTTTGCATGGAAACGGAAGCGCAAGTACTCGCGTCCCCGGCCACGGTGCGCGGGCGTGCTTGTGGTTCGTTTGCTCTGGGTGGGTGTGGTGTGTGGTAACAAGAGGCTGCCCAGCCTAGCCCTGCCGGCAAGGCTTGCACCGCCTTCATTCAATTAGCGAAATTCCCTGTTGGCCCAGGCGCGCCTCGCACGGAAGGCTGCGGCTGGAGCGTGGCCCGGCGCGCGGGGCGGGGCGGGGCGGGGCGGGGTGGGGCGGGGGGGCGGGGGCGGGGCGGGGCGGGGCGGGGCGGGGCGGCGTGCGGAGGTGTGGCCAGCGAACGCCTCACGGTTCCACGGAGGGTGAGCCCGAGTGGCAGACGGGCGTGCGGTACAGTGCGGTAGCGCTACCGGTTACGTTGGGCCTGGTTGGTCGGGCCTCATCCCCGCGAGGGACCACGCCACCCGCCGCCCTCTGTCTGTCCGCCCGTCGGTCTGTCTGTCCGTCTGTCTGACAGGTGGATGTTCTGTAAATCATGTTCGCGAATTATTGCGACAGGAAACCGGAGCGCGGTGCCGACGGTGCCGACTCGCAAGGCGGAAAGGGCGGTGGGGGCCCCCCTAGGCCCCTCTGGCCCCACTGGGGGCTGATGTCGTTTTCATTGGCAGAAGTGGGGCTGTGGAAAGTGTGCCGGGTGAGTCACCGCACGAAGCGACGGCCGGCCGGGCTTCAGGCTGTAAGGGAGGGCTTCAGCAGGTTTCATTCGGATTTCCTCACGACGCAACGTCTGGGCTCGACGCCCTGTCTTCCAGGCACCGCTTGCTTTGGCCCGTGCCGGCCCGGCCCGCAAGACACCGGAGAAGAGACGGTGCCCTGACGTGTTGTCGTGTTCACAGGGGCGAGGTAGGCCGCCGTCTCTTCAGCGGTGTCTCGCGGGCCGGGGTGGTGGCCTACCTCGCAGGCGCTGAAGGGCTTGCTGAAGGGTGCGCAGTGTGGGCGACTGCTCAACTCTACGAAGATGAAATCGCGGTTTTACTGATCGAAACGCTTTTTAGGTTCTCCCTAGGGCTGTGATAAAAGAACAAACACTAAAGAAAGATGGTCGCGGACGCCGGACGAGTGAGGTCTAGAACCCACTGCCTGTTTCACTGTTTCACTTTGCCGTATACGGTTTTCTGTTTGCCGTTTACGGTTTTTTGTTTGCCGTATATGGTTTTTGATTTGCCGTATACGGTTTTTTGTTTGCCTTAAACGCCTACTATAGTAGCTGAGGCGACGTTGAATGCTCGTGGTGGCTGCCTTGGCGGCGGGGTCTAGAGCCGAGATCACTACGACCAGGAGATCGGATAAATTAGGATTATTTTCTTTTTCAGATGTTTATTTGTCGAGGGGTGACTCACTGTCAAATTTTATGTACAATGATTGTGTGAATGTGCAAGAATGTGCAAGATTTCTGGCGTTTTTGCCACACTTGTTGCCTACTTACAGGCGTTTTTGCCACCTGAATGTGGAATGTGGTCAAATTTTGTACAATGAATGTGTAAAGCTGTTCCCCCTCGTTATTTGTAGTTTTCCAAAAGGGCATGTTTTGATTCTTTTTCACTTTTTTTGTGGGTTGGGGGGATTTTTGAGGGGTGGGGTAGCATGGGGCAGCGAAAGATTTCCTGAGGGTCACGGAAATTTTTGGCTACAAATTAGGGCGGTCGCTAGCGGAAAAAGGTTGAGAACCGCTGACCTATACCGATAACGGAATTGTTCTTCCAGTGGGGGCGGCGGCTGGAGGATGATCCGTCACGGACGTGTGCACCGCCAGGCCGCCCCCGCAAAGTTCGCGAGAGCATGATGCATCACGCCGCGAGCGTGACCGCTGTGGTTGCCACACTTCCTCGCCGCCCTGCGGCAGGGCCCCTCCGTGTTCAGCAGACTGATTCCGAGAGTCGTTTTCGTCGCTCCGCCTCTCTCGCACTCATGGGGCGTTCCGCACGGGTGCGAGAGAGACAGAGCGGAATCTGTCCCGTCGGTCTGTCCTCTTCTTATGGTGACCCGAAGGAGAGACGGAGCGACGAATCGCTCCTGCGGAATCGCGCGGCTGGTCCGGTCGCGGTGTAGGCACTGCACTGCGAGTTGCCCTCGGCCTCGGCGTGCGCCAGGTAGTACGCGAGGTAGTGCGCCCGGTAGTGCGGCGTCTTGAACTTGTTTTGAACCCCTGGCTGGCGCGGCGTGGAGCAACACCCGCAGGACGTTCACTTTGTACAGCGCGCGGCCTGATAACATCAGCCTCCAATTTCGCATCGTGTTGTGCTCATCATGGATGTGTGTTGTATGCTCCGCCGCCAACACTGCCAATTTTTTTTTTCGTCTGCCTTCTTCTAATGGCCTGAGCATGCACTGTTTCTTCTTTTCTTCCCTCTTTTCCGAGATAAATTGAGCGGTTTCGGGCTTGACGCCTCGCGCTGGTCATTGCGGACCGCGGGACCGAGATGGCAATCAGGCCGAGCGCGCCGAGCGCGCACTCCGCGAATCGTGGCGTGGCATATGGCCACCGCGGGAGAAATTTGGCGGCCGGCAGGCAACGACGGCAGCGAGCGGAGCACAGTGGGCCTGCAGACCGGTGGAGGCGGCCAAAACTCAAGACGCGTTTTGAGCTCCAGAGTCGCTGAATATGGGACTCGAACCGAGCGTGTGACCTAGAGACCCCACCAATGGATTCCTCGTTCGGAGAGCAATCCATTGGTGGGGTAACACGTGCGGTTCGAGTCCCATTTAGCTCGACACGCGTCTAGAATTTTGGCCGCCTCCACCGGTCTTCTGGCCCACTGTGCGGTGCTAGCGATGCGGTGCACTGCCTGGCACCGCCGCCTTATCGCACTGTTAGCATGTACGATGTATGAAATGAGATGAGGTCGTTCGGGTCACACTCATTCTCGGCTCTTTTGACTTTTTTGTTTCTTATCGCTTTAGTATCGCACAGAGTGCGGGGTGGCATGGTTTGAGTTTCAACGAAATGAGTCACAAAAGCAAAATGTAATAAAAATAACAAATTTATTACAGCCGCTTTGCGACACTAAGACGTCGCCACATACTATGTACAAAAACGTTTACACACTGTCATGGTGGGGTATGGTGCGCCTCACACCTGCGAGAGAGCAACACATCCAGAGGCTGCCTGCAGCATCCCGAACTGTTCTTTCATCGCTCTGCCTCTGTCGCACTGTAGGGGGCTGGTGCCTGCTGGGCCGCCTCGGCGGTGGTGGTCGAGGTCCTGCAGCACCTAGTCGCTGTCCTGCTCTCTGCTTTGCCGCCGCGTCGAGGACCACGCGTCCTTGGCCTCCCACAGCGGGGTGAGCTTGCCGAGTAGGCGGACATTGTCGTCTGGGGACAGAAAAGGACTCTCGGAATCAGTGTGCAGTGTCGACCGAGACGAAGGCGCCCCACAGTGGGCCAGGAGACCGGTGGAGGCGGACAAAACTCTAGATGCGTTTTGAGCTCTTGAGTCGCTAAACGGGACTCGAACCGAACGTGTGACCCCACCAATGGATTGCCCTCCGAACGAGGAATCCATTAGAGGGGCCAGACGTTCGGTTCGAGTCCCGTTTAGCGACTCTGGAGCTCAAAACGCGTCTGGAGGTTTGTCCGCCTCCACCGATCTTCTGGCCCACTGTGCGCCCGACGTGGAGGAGGGCCTCACCGTGGTGCTGCTGCAGGCTGCCGGCCGTGCCGCCCAGCTCGGTAGGGAGGTACTCGGCGGGGAACTGCTCGCGGAACGAGTCCATGGCGCCGGAGTGGCACTGGATCTGCGGGGAAGGAAGACGTCACGTTCGGTACACTAAAAAACGCAGCTCGCCCGCACAAAAAAGACTAAGTTGTCGTGGTCAGTCCAGGTGCGGATTCAGGGGGGGGGGGGTCGCCCTCCCCCGAGGGCGGTGTAGCCGCCTGAAAGGCAGGCAAAAAGTCACACATTGCCCCTGTAGGTAGGCAACTTTTGTCCCCACCCCCCTTCTGGACCCGCGCCTGGACCGGTCAACTCTGTTCGATCAGAACAGCGACTGATGAAAACACCCACCAGGTCTGCGAGCTCCTTCTTCATGAAGGGCTTGAGGAAGGACATGAGCGTCGGCAGGAAGTAGCTGCAGTTGACGATGTGGATCTCCTTGAGGCGCACCGGCATGCCCTCCTGGATCATGCCGATGAAGCGGCGCACGAGCGGCACGGGGAAGCGCCACAGGTGGCTGAAGCACATGTTGGTCATGTCCATGATGGCGCACAGGCCCTCCTGCGGCCCCCGCGACAAGAACTGCGCCTCCGTCTGCAAGAAGCACGGCAATTCTTACATTTAGAGGAATACTATTTTGAACACGCAGCCGTGACAACCGGGGTGGACTTGCGCCGTGGAGAACGGCAGGCGGCTGCGCGCTGGCGTACGTTGGGCTGCCTGCCCGCCAGGCGCAGCCGGGCGCCGCCGCGCTCAGCTGCTAGCCGCGCTCAGCTGCTAGTCGTTCTCGTCGCGCTGTCTCCCTCGCACCCATAGGGGACGCCCCATGAGTGCGAGAGAGACAGCGCGACGAAGGCGACTCTCGGAACCACCCGTTTAAAAATGAAAACACCCGAAATCGTTCCGAACGTCGGAATGACTTCGGGGTCCCCGATCGGGCGACCCCGAACCGCTTCCGACGGGGTCTTCCGAATTTTACCCAAAAATGACCAAGATCCGCAAGTTTCTGGATGTACCCCGACGTCAGTCTCGTTTCGGAAGGATTCCGCCGGGGTTCCGGCGTCGGGGCCCTACTGGAATCGTTCCGAAAAGAATGGTTCGTGGTGGGGTGGAAGCCAGGACTACTGTAGGAGGGGGGGCTAAGGAGGCAGCTAACCAATGCTCAGTACAAACTTTGATTGAGATTATATTGGTTTAATTGGAGAGAAGAGACTTCCGAAAAGTGCTTTCGGGTTGTCGAAATCGAGTCCGATCCAAATCTGCAATCCATTTTTAGATAGCACTTGTAGTTTTCAAGATAGCAGAAAAAAAGTGTCCAATTTGAAAATAAAAAAAATGGCACTTGTTAATTTTGGCGTTGATACCCCATACCAAATTTGAGCTCAAAATTCCAAAATTGAAATTTAAAACTGCGATTTACTTAATTTGAAAGTATGGATTTTCCGAAGAGTACTATGCACGGACCATCGGGGTAGCCCGAAATCCTTCCGAACTGACAGGATTCGGGGTTTCGGAAGAACTTCGGGGTGCCCGGGAACATTCGGAAGGATGTCGGACTGCCCCGACAACACAGCCCCCGAAACGGGGGTGATTTCGGGAGTACCCCGACGTCCGCAGGCCTCAGTTCGGAAGCATTCTGGATGAACCCCGAGCGTTCGGAAGCGATTCGGAACGGTTTCGGCCAGATTCTGGATGTTTTCGTTTTTAAACGGGCAGTCTGCAGCACTTAGGCCCCTGCCCCGCCTTCGCTTCGCCGGCGCCGCACAGTGGGCCAGAAGACCGGTGGAGGCGGCCAAAACTCCAGACGCGTTTTGAGCTCCAGAGTTGCTACACAGGACTCGAACCGGACGTGTGACCCCACCAATGGATTCCTTGTCCGGAGAGCAATCCATTGGTGGGGTCACACGTTCGGTTCGAGTCCCATTAAGCGACTCTGGAGCTCAAAACGCGTCCAGAGTTTTGGCCGCCTCCACCGGTCTCCTGGCCCACTGTGGGGCGCCTTCGTCTCGGTCGACACTGCACACTGATTCCACTGGTCTTCTGGCCCACTGTGCGCCGCCTTTCCTCCCGGTGCGCAGGCACTGGCCGCACTGGCCGCTTGACGTGTCGGCGGCAAGGTGACGAAGTGACCGTGAATTCCAGCAGAGGATCACGGCTGGGAGCGCATCCCGCGTCGCCTCCCAGCATAGCGGCACCGTGCCAGTGGCGTGCCAGCGGCGCAGGCGATGCCGATTCGAAGCACGCGCGCGCCTCGCCGCATCGCGCAAGGCTCCCAGCCACGACCGCTACACCTAGTCCGAAAGGCTCACGAGGCGTAGCGCTACGCGGCGTGGCGGCTTTGGCTTTTTGCTTTTCCGAGCGTGCAGATTCCCGAGGGCCATGCATGCGACTTGCCGCCCGTTTCGGGGCCCGTTTCGGGGGCGGCCCGGCCGGCGAGCAGGGCGAGTGCTTCCGCGCTCCGCGTGTAGTGTTATGTTGCTTCCTGATGCGCTGCGCCGGCGATGCTCTGAGATAGAGATAGGCTGGCGGGCGGACGGGTGGACCGCGCGTTCCCAAATCTTCCTAGTGTAGCCATAATTCCCCCGGGCCCGCCCGGGCCTGGGGCGGGGCGGGTGCAGCACGCGAGCCACGCACGCGCCGCGCTAGCCGCTCCGAAGACGACATGAACCCGTTCGGCAACAAGCTCGATAAACCGACACGGCGTTTTGATTTCTTTGTTCCATGCCCGGCTTCCGGCTTCGCGAGGTGAGGGGCGGTTCAAACGGGCAGGTGACAGCGGGGGCCGAAAAAGAAACGAAGAGGTGCGCGAAAACCGGCGTCGACTCACCGTCATCATGAAGATACGAGACCCGTCCGAGAAGACGTACTTCGAGGCGTCAGTGTGCCTGAACCGGCAGACCATCATCAGGTGGTTCTTTGGCGATAACCTTGGCATTGGCGAGTAGTATCTGAAACGAGCCAGGCAGGTTGTTCAATTAAAGCGGCCTGGCCGTCTACTGTCTACTCGTTGATTGATCTGCATGCGCGCAGCTCGGCGCTGCTCCAGGCGGAACCATCTTACACTGTGTCCAGGCCTTGTTTGATCTGGTCCCTGGTGACGTCCCAGTGGTCGAAGAACTGCGGCACCTCCAGGATGCAGTTGAAGTACATCGTCATGCACTCCTTGGCGGCCTCCGTGTCACCGTAGCAGGACTGGAGGAACAGCAGCAGCTGCATGTCTGCGGCAGAGGAAGGCAGGGGACAGGGTCAAGCAGCATCCTCTTCGCTGTCAGTGGAAGTCCCTCGCGCCGTTTTCGGGGCTAGCCGGCGGGCCGTGGCGCCGCGTCGTCTCGTCACCGGGCGTCAGGCGTTGACGCTTTCTCCCTCATAGAGGGGCCGGGGGGTTCGCGTCCGCGCGCGTCCTGCCGGCTGCCGGCTCGGCTCGGCTCCAACCGCAGCCCGAACGTGGCCCGGCTGAGCGCCGCGCCCGGCTCGGCACCGTGTCATCAGCAGATAAAACAAGACGGGGGCGCGGACCGCCGCGGTGCGAGGACGCGAGGACGCGAGAGGACGCGAGGACGCGAGAGGACGCGAGGACGCGAGAGGACGCGAGGACGCGAGAGGACGCGAGGACGCGAGAGGACGCGAGGACGCGAGAGGACGCGAGGACGCGAGAGGACGCGAGGACGCGAGAGGACGCGAGGACGCGAGAGGACGCGAGGACGCGAGAGGACGCGAGGACGCGAGGACGCGAGGACGCGCTGACGCAAGCGCAGCGAGCAGCGGCGCCGTTTTCGCAATAACGGCTCAGCGAGAAAGGTCCATGGGAAGTGAAAAAAATGCCATCATTGTCATCGCGCTGTCGCGTGGCGACATTGAGACAAGGCACACGCGCAATGCCGGGCGGCGACGAATTGGCCTGGCCCAGATCTCGCGGTTTTGGACATGGTCCAGGGAGAAATTAAACTTTAGGAGGAAAATGGGAACGAGTGTAACGCGACTGTCTGTTGACTGTCTGTACTCACCTGTCATGCCGGGGAAGATGTCGTCGCGGTTCTTGGACCAAGAGCGCAGCACGTCGAGTTTCTCGTGCGAGAGGTCCGGGTCCTTCTCGATGGCCTTCTCCAGGTCGAAGAAGTTGGCCACCACGGCCTTCATCTTGGGGTCCTGCAGGTCCATGTCTGCAACAGATCGCCCAGGGCTTGAACATCCGTCTGCGTCTCACCATTGCCGCGCGCGGCGGGAGGGTTTTGGCGGGAGGGTTTTGGCGGGAAAGCGCGGACGCACTCCTGCTGGACGAGTGGCGGGTGGCCGTGCGGCCGAGGCCGCGGACGGCGGGCACGCCGATGACGGGGGCCGTGGCGGTGCACAAGTCCATGTCGGCGACGTCGTCGGGGGCAGTCGGGGACTGCTGGAGCTGGAGGTTCGTGGAGCTCAGTACGGATGGCGGCTGGCAACTACTCGTTTAGCAGATGACACTCGTCGGCTCCAGCAGACGACGCGAAGCCGTGTCGCTGCCGGGGGCGCAAATACCCCCTCCCCGCCCCGACCCGCCCCGCCCCGACCCGCCCCGACCAAGTGTAAACAAAAGAAGGTGGTGGGGGCGGGTCGCGGCCCGACGCGTTTCCACAGCCACTCCGCCGGCCGGCACGGCGCCGCCCGGCACAGTCCATCTCGCCGGATTCGAATCTGGCGCCCAATCCGCGGACCGTGCGTCGTTTTTCCCGCGGCGAAAGCCGCAGGGGCGGGGCGGGGCGGGGCGGGGCGGGGCGGGGCGCAGGCCGCGGGGACGCTAGTCATCCCGCCTGGATGGCCTGGGCACGCGGCACGCGGCATGCAGCACTGCGCTTTCTCGTGCATCAGCTCATTGCACATGCACAGCGATGCGTTTGAGATTCTCGTGGAGCTCCGCGACGGAAGGGGAAAAACACAACAGGAGCCGCGCGCGCATTATCAAGTCCCGCTCCCGCGCGCCGGACGGCTCGATGGACATAACAGTGCTAAGTGCACTCTGACCCTGGGGACCCTGGGGCATCTACGGTCAAGCGAGTGCCCGCGCTTGTGGACAAACACCATGGCGACCGTGACACTAGCGGCGTCCCGTCCACCCTTTGGCGCATGCAGATCCAATTACAACACTAATTGCAGCTAATGCCAATTTTGATGATTTTTGTTTCGTCGAGGCTGTGGTCTTTCCCTTGACACCCGGCGTCTTGTCTTGAGTGGTCCGTCAACCAAGGTTTTCACCCGTCCACCGTTTACCTGTGATGCTTTGTTGGGCCGGTGCCGGCCGGTGCGCACCCACGCGGCTCCTCAGGCGGTTCCTCGCGTCCTGGCCGCGCCGCGCCACTCGCGGCGGTTCCCGCGCCGATCCACTTCGTCCACCTCGTCCACTTGGTGGTCCTCTTGGCCCGAAGCGAACCGCGCGGAAGGAGGCGGCTCGAGGCACTGGCGGTGCGGCACTGCCGGGGCGCCCCGGCCCGGCCTAGCCCGGCCCAAGGTTAGAGCCCTGGCCGCCGACTGCCGACGCCGCTGCGCACGGCCCCCGCCCCGCTGCCCCCAGCCCCGCTGCCCCCAGCCCCGCGGCCCCCGTCACGGCCCCGCTTTCTTCCCCCGCCATCCTCGCGCCTTTCTTCGCCTTCCTCCGGAACTAGCGGTGGGGGCGGCACTGCCGCGGGAGGCTTCCGGGTGCACGTCACTCGCCGGCGGACCGCGGTCCGCGCTGGGGCGGCAGACCGCACGCCGCTGCTCGCTGCGACGAGGATGGACGAGGATGGTCGAGGACGTGGCAGGCGCGCTGTGTGGCGCTGTGCGGTGCGCGAGGGCCGCCTGCCGTCTGATTCCGAACACTGCTTTGTCGCTCTGTCTCTCTCGCACCCCTACGGACCGCCCCATGAGTGCGAGAGAGACAGAGCGACGAAAGCAGTGCTCGGAATCAGACGGCTGGTCCGGCCGAGGGCGAGCGGAGTCAAGAAGTGAAGCGGGCGGAGCAGGAGCTGGGGCGCCTGCGGGTCGCCAGGTAGGCCGCCCGGACGCCGCGGTGCTCGGCGGGGCGGCCTACCCCGTGTTCCGCGGGCGCTCCCGCCCAGCAGCTCTCCGCTTCCCCTCCCGGAACTTCCGAAAGCTTGCAGCATCTCGCAGCCCTCCGCCGAGCCGAGGTGAAAGTCGTGAAGAAGGCTTCGATGCGCTGATTCACTCTCCGAAGAGTGTGTGCATGGCCAGCGTGCCACCGTTACTCGACGGTTTGCCGACAGCGACTTCGGTCCCGCCCCGTCGCCGCTGATTGGACGGCCTCGGTGCTCCTGGCCACCTCCATTTGCAGGTAGCCGATTGCAGTCTCGCAGTGGAGCTACTCCGCGCCAGCGCAGCCGCTTCCCGGCGGGGGGTATCGTCACCGCGATTGTTTCAACGCGTCGGTTCGAACGGCTAGGCTGCGGCTGAGGCTGGCTAGGCTGCCGGGCCGGGACAGTTCGTCGACCTTCCATGCACCAACGCGATACGGTGGACGTCTGAAAACGAGCTCGGGCCGCCGCGGGTCAGCGCGCCGGGCAGCGTGCGGAGCGATATCGCGTCCCTTCGGTCTGAGAATCCCGATGCTGGCCGCTAGCGCGCGCCGTCGTCAGGCTGGGGCTGGGCGATGATCAAGGCAAGCGGACAGGCGGGGATAGACACCTGCCCGGCTGGCCTGGCCATACTCCTCGCTCGGCGTAGCCAGGCGTAGCGTGGAGTATCGGCGTTTGGGCCCCACCCGTCGTAGCACCGCCGCGGCAGGGGTGCAGCGCAGCGAGCTGCTGGCTGCGTGTGCCACAGTGTGCCACTGGCATAGTACCCTTTGGCGGCTGGGTCTGGCTGGGTGCCGCGCTGGGTGCGTGGCTGGGCGTGGCTGGGCTTGGCGTGCCGGGCCAATGCCACTACGCGGAGTGGGCGCGGCGCAGCGGCGGGCCGCGTAATCGATCGCCAAATTATCCACTTGTTGTGACGAGGCGGGAAAACGACGTCGCCGCACTCCAGTCTGTTCTGTTCCTGTTGCACGGCGGCCCGGCACGGCCCGGCACGGCTAGGCAAAGGTCGAGACCGTCCTTCCGCGCCGCTCCCCTCTCAAGGGCGTTGCTGACATGCGTTCATCGGCAGGTTATCACACACACACACACACACTCACTCACTCACTTACTCACTCACTCACTCACTCACTCACTCACTCACTCACTCACTCACTCACTCACTCACTCACTCACTCACTCACTCACTCACTCACTCACTCACTCACTCACACACTCACACACTCACTCACTCACTCACTCACTCACTCACTCACTCACTCACTCACTCACTCACTCACTCACTCACTCACTCACTCACTCACTCACTCACACACTCACACACTCACACACTCACTCACTCACTCACTCACTCACTCACTCACTCACTCACTCACTCACTCACTCACTCACTCTCTCTCTCTCACACACACACACACACAGACGCGCGTGCGCACGCACGTTCACGCGGTGCTCCAAATGGGCTGCGAAGTTTCTGGGCACGCCGGCCGCACGGCCGCACGGTTCATTGGGCACTAGGACTGCTCCCTGCTCTCCGGGATCCGAGCGATGGGCGTCGATTACAACACTGCAGACTGATTCCGAGAGTCGTTTCGGTCGCTGTCTCTATAGCACCCGTGCGAGACGCCCCTTGAGAGCGAGAGAGACAGAGCGACGAAAAGGGCTCTCGGAATCAGTCTGCAGGACGGGGACGACGGGACTCGCTGAATGTAAACAGAGGTCCGGGGTAGCGAGCGGTGGCGGTGTGGAGGTGGCACCATTCCACTCCGTGCCACTCCGGCCGCGTGCATTGTACCCTTGGGGAAAAAATGAGAAGATGACGGTGCTGCGATATTCGCTTGATTTTCTCGTGTTCTCCTCCGAGATACCCATCGTGCAAGACGGAGACCGCCGTGGACCTTTCGCAGAGATAAATGGCCGGCAGAGAGGCCGTCTGGCCCGGCACGCCCGGGACGCCCGGGACGGCTGCAGAGTGTGGAGGCAAGGCAAAAGGCACTCGCTGGCGGTCGTCAAGGTGGCCCTCGCCCTCAGCAGCGCCATTTTACTTCGTTTCCTCATCGCCCTCACCGTAAACCGTCAGCATCTTTGAGCCCTGTGTCTTGTGGCTCTTCTAGCAGGTTGGGCCGCGAGCTTCTCCAGGAGGAGTAGGACACTGGGCCTCCACCATAAAGGTCGCCGCGGGACCATGGCAACGCAGATTCATTATTTATGCAAACACGAATCCTGACGCCGGCGACCTCCCCGCGCGCCACGCGCCACCACCGGCATTTCGGGTGCGTGTGGATTAGCGCGGGTTCGATTCCAGCCAGCGGCGACGCGGGCTTCGGGCTAGCGACGTTTATGCTGCGGGACGCCCCGGAGTGCCGCACATTCACTCACTGGTCCACCTGCGCTCACCGCGTCGACCATCGCGTCGACCACCGCGTCGACCAACGCGTCGACCACCGCGTCGAAAACCGCTTCGACCATCGCGTCGACCACCGCGTCGACCACCGCGTCGACCACCGCGTCGACCACCGCGTCGACCACCGCGTCGACCACCGCGTCGACCACCGCGTCGACCACCGCGTCGACCACCGCGTCGACCACCGCGTCGACCACCGCGTCGACCACCGCGTCGACCATCGCGTCGACCACCGCGTCTAGCAGCGCGTTGACCACCGCTTCGACCACCGCGTCGACCACCGCGTCGACCAGCGCGTCGACCACCGCTTCGACCATCGCGTCGACCACCGCGTCTAGCAGCGCGTTGACCACCGCGTCGACCAGCGCGTCGACCAGCGCGTCGACCACCGCGTCGACCAGCGCGTCGACCACCGCGTCGACCAGCGCGTCGACCACCGCGTCGACCAGCGCGTCGACCACCGCTTCGACCATAGCGTCGACCACCGCGTCGACCATCGCGTAGACCAGCGTGGCGTCCTTCCAGACTGACTGGAGGCTCGTGCTCATTGGCTGCGTAATAACTCTGCCATTGAGTCAGGTCCAGCGAGCTCGATGGGTCCCCGCGGTCGTGAACCCGAAGCCCGGAGCCCTGCTTCACCTGCAGACGCCTCGGCGCCTCGACGCCCCGACGCGCGGCTGCCCCGGGTCCTTGCCGGGATTTGCCGCCGGCCCAGGCGCCAAGGCTGCGGGTGCTGCGGGCCATGCCGTGTCGGCGCCGTGGCCGCGCCGTGGCCTATGCCTCAGCGGGCAGGAAACGCAGCGATAAATATCGGGCCTATGGCAGCCTATGCCCGCCAGAGAGGGGGCTGACGTCCGAATGGCGGAGTTACAAAAGTGGCTCGACAAAAGACTGCGGCCCGGGAGTGCCGTGGTGCCGGAGCCAGTCCTGGGCCATTCATGGCCTTCCAGTCGTTGTCGTCTTCTCCAGTGGACCGCACTCCAGCGACGCGCGAGCAGCTCCGGCGTCCCAGACCAGTGTCCTACAGTGTCCCAGCCACACCATGATTGTCAAGGTGCGTGTTGGAGCTTCCCTGCGTTGAAAGGGTGGGATGGTCCAATTATAGTTCGGTTGCTTTCAATGGCTTGGGCCCCCAGGGACACTGAGAGTCTTCGGCTCGCCGATGAGTGGCAGCTGGTGGACGTGTTGCAGTGTCGCTGGCAGGTACCGAGTGTGTGGGAGCTGTCACTCACGAAGCTGCCTCGCTATGAGAAATTGGTCGTTGTCGTGCGGCGCTGCTTCGCTGCAGCAGCCTGTTGCCTCACCTGCGTGGCCCGCCTCTAGTGGCCCGGCACCGCGGCACTGCAAACGGATAACCCCTAATGCGTTGTACGGTTGTACGCCGACAAGTGCCAAAGGTCAGAAGGTCAGGCAGCCGTCGCTGTGCCTCGCTCTAAGTCTGCGGGCGGGATGAAGCGCCTCCCGTGCGTAAGCCGCCGCGACGATGTCTAGACGATGTGCTGTGAGCGAGGCGAGGCTCTTGATGGCCCCGCTCAAGGGGTGTCTCATTTATCTCATTCCACACAGTCCTACAGTGGCGTGTGAGCGTGCCGGCAGCGAAACCAACCGCCTTTTCAACCGTGTTGTCTGTTCTTCGCAAGGTCGCCGCGATTTTGGCGCTGGCGGTGGCGCTGGAGGCCCTGCCGGCGGTGCCCGGGCGGGCCGGTGGCCGTGCCGGTGACCGCGCCGTCGGCGCCACCAAGTACAGCAACAGGCCCAACAGCGGCGACGGGTCCTACCGCTACGAGTGAGTACCGCGCGCCGCGCGCCAAACCATGCCCGACGGACCCACTGCAAAATGGCAAGGCCGCCAGTGATTAGCCACTCCACTACCGTGCCTCCGCCCCCTGCCCCCAGGTTCGAGCTGCCCGACGGCTCGCTGCGCTACGAGGAGGGCGCCCTGCAGAACGTCGGCATGCCCGGCAAGGAGTTCCTGCAGGTCCGCGGCGTCTTCAGCAGGCCCAGCTTCGACGGCAAGAGCATGGAGCAGGTCATGTACATCGCGGACGAAGCGGGCTTCCGCATCGAGAAGGCGCCCCAGTTGGGGCAGGCGCCGTCCGCCGGCCTGCTCGCCTCCCTCGTGGGCTGACGCCTTGGCTGACGCTCAAGCTGAAGCGGTAGCACCTCTGCATCCAAAAACCAAAATTTCTTGATTTTCACTGTAAAAAATGTTCGGAATTTTACCATACAGTAGTCAAGGAAAATTCCCATACATGTATAGGAATTACTGAAATTCCGATACATGTATAGGAATGTTCCAATCTGTATAGGTTTTTTGCTATACGGGCTGAAAATGTATAGGAATATTCCTATACATGTATAGGAATTTGAGTAATTCCTATCCATGTATAGGATTTTGAAGCCCGTGTATAGGAATATGGCCAACTGGAAAACAGAGTTTTCCATCAACCTTATTAACAGCGATTCAAATCGTTGTAATTTGATTAATTGCATTCATTTTTATTTGGCGGATTAAAGAAATGTTTTATTCTTTTTTTAAAATCCGTTTGGATCAAAAATGACCTTTGCCTTCTAGAAAAAAAACTGGTCTAAAAAGTTTTCCGGGTGCAGGCGTGGCGCGCGAAGGAGTCACCGCCGAAGCAACCATGTCATTCGTGTAAACTTCCCTCATCGTGTACTTACTTTTATTTATTTGCAATAATAAAAAAATAAATCAAAGTGACTTCAAAGTAAGATGATTAATCGATCGATACATGGCGAGCCATCGTCCCATGGGCAGGACTCCAGGGTTATTCCAAGGGAGAGGTGATCGCCTACTCACAGTAGCAAAGCGACGCTTTTTGCCTAGCTTCAGGCGCCGTTGAGTGGTTCGCCACGTCCTCCAGTCGCTAGGGTGCCCAGCCGGCGTCGCCGTACGTAGTTGCTGCCCAGAAGGGACGGAAACACAGTCTTCAACGGATCAAGCAGACCTGCTTTCGGGCGAATCTTCGGTCGCGCTGATGGTCGAGGTTTGAAACTGGGCAGTTCCAACTTCACTTGAGGCTTTGGGTACGAAGGCTTGTTGTTGTACAAGTTGCCCCCCTCTGGAGGGGGTGGCGGGGTACGGGGTCGTGCTGATGGCGGTGGTGGTGGTGGTGGTGGTGGTGGGTGAGGGCACCTGAAACGAAATAAACATTTTCAATCAGTAATCAAACAGAGTTTTCTGTTTCAAGGAAAATATATTAACCGTATTTGAATCGAACATACCTTGGACCAGGGCTTCCGGGGTAACAGCTAGGCCGAGATGTGGCCGGCGCAAAATATTGGGGGCGTTCTGTGGGCCTGGACCTGGGTGGCCCCGTCCGATGAAGGGAGATGCTGTGGTGGTAGCCGTTGTCGTCGGCCGTGTAGTCCACCTGGGTGACCTGGCCGTCGGGGGAAGTCCACCGGAAGGACCCCGTCACCAACAGGAACTCGTCGGGGGTGCCGGCGTTCTGCAGCACGGCCTGCTCGGAGCGCGCGGAGCCGTCGCTCAGCTCGTACCTGGCGGAACAGCCACATTTCTCCATAAGTGCCACGTCCTGGGTTCAAATACCGGCAGGTGGGGGCGAAATTTTTTTCTCGCACGATGTGGTGTTCTTACGAGAAGGAGTACTCCCCGCTGCCCGTGTTGGGCTGGGACTCGTACTTGACGACGGTCACCGCGGGCTGCTGCTGCTGCGCCCGCACCGCGCACACGGCAAGTAGGAGTAGGATAACCTGCAATCGGCTCAGGAAGACTATATACCGTCAAAATGATGTTACAGTTGTCTCACTCCGAGTCCGCAAAATTTTTCCTTTTATACTACACTACCTTACTAGCAATGCTTACCCGATCCAGCATGGTGAGCGGGGCATGCCGCGTTGGCGGCTGACCGCAAGTCCCATCGGTGACTGTTTTATATTGCCATGTCCACTGGAAGGCACATTTAAATCATTGGTGGCGCCTGTGTAGCCAAAGTTACAGGAGTCACAACCTGTGTGGCGGTATCGACTTCGATTCGAACGTATCCTATCCAATTCTTCTACAAGAGAATACGACTAGTGAGTTTTGATCAGTGAAGCGATCACACTGCTTTATTTTCTGCTCTTCGCTCCAATGACATTTCGTCTTATTCCGCGGATCCTTCCGAACAACATCAGTCCTCACCGCCAAGAGAGTCGTCATCCAGCAGTCAGCAGGCAGGTGTTGTTTGATCCCCCCTTTCCCCCTCCCCTCCCGAACCACATAGATGGCAACCCGTTCGCAATGACCCGACCCAGCGCGTCGGCACCACACCGCACACCAAATCCTGCTGCGTTCCCGACCGTCCCGACGGTGTAGGCGGTTGGGCCTGTCTGCCTGCTACGCCTGCGGAGGCCGGTGTAGGCAACACGGCAGCACAGCTGTGCTCGGCTGCGGCCAGTCGGCGCCTGACAAGTTGACACCGTTTAAAAACGACAATAGCGCGCTATAGTGCGAGGCATTTCATTTATTAACATAAATTCAAAGAAGGTCACAGTACAATTTTCGTTTCAGTAAGCTTCTGTAGGGAGGCCGTCCGAGGCCGTCGCTACACTCTAAATATGGGGTGCCCAGCAATTGGGCGCCTTCGTCGCCCGCCCCACTTTTTAGGGTGCCAAATGTCGCCCAGTTTCTGGGCACCTTTGTCGCCCAGTCTCGGGGTGGACAAATCATACAGTAACCGGCCCTCTCCCATGGTAGAGCATGCTCAGGTGTCTAGATCCTGGGCGACCAAGGTGCCTAGATTCTGGGCACCTTCGGCACCTCAGTCGCTGCTGAGCCATGGATGAAGGCAGGTTTCTTAATGGTTTGTCCACCCCGAGACTGACTGTCAAAGGTGCCCAGGAACTAGGCGACATTTGGCACCCTAAAAAGTGGGGCGGGCGACAAAGGCGCCCAGTTGCTGGGCACCCCATATTTTGAGTGTATCTGCTGTTCTTCTTGCGCAGACAGGCGGCTGGGCCGATGGGCGACCCTCGCCTCGTCTACCTCTAAGGTGGCCCCTGAGGTAGCCTCTAGCCGATGAGGGTCGGCAGAAGAGTCTGCACGGGGTTGTAGGAATTGAGGCTCTCGCCCTGGCCGGCCGGCAGAGGACCCAAGAGAGGGCCGCGGCGTGGGACGGGACGAGGCGCCGGTGGTGGTAGTCGTGGTGGAGGTGGCGTTCGAGACGGAGCAAGTGGGGGCTTGTACTGTACGACGGTGGGGTGGTAGCCGTTGACGTCGGCCGTGTAGTCCACCTGGGTGACCTGGCCGTCGGGGGAAGTCCACCGGAAGGACCCCGTCACCAAGAGGAACTCGTCGGGGGTACCGGCGGCCTGCAGCACGGCCTGCTCGGAGCGCGCGGAGCCGTCGCTCAGCTCGTACCTGGCGGGGCAGCGGATCACGGCAGCGACCGTTAATTATACGTCTAGTGGTTGCTTGGGGAGACGTCCGCCTTCTGCCGACAATTCTCTAAAGAAGACGCCAAGGTGGTGGCGGCGGAGGGAGGGTGGAAATGATGGAAAAAGGCCCACATCTTAACTGGAAAAGGTCGCTGTGCCTCTGCAAATATCGGCAGTTGTCTGTGCGGTTTTCTTGCTCGTCGGGGCTGTGGTGTACTTACGAGAAGGAGTACTCCCCGTTGCCCTGTTGGGCTGGGACTCGTACTCGACGAGGGCGACAGCGGGCTGCTGCTGCGCCCGCACAGCACACTCGGCGAGTACGAGCATCAGGAGAAGCTGCACACGTCACAGACACCAGTCAACACACACAGGCGCACACGCGCACGCGCGCACTCCCGCACACAGACACGTTGTTGGGGGCACACTGGAGGACGCGGCTGCCGCCTCTTGGCCGCCTCGCACTGCCGATGCATGCCTCTAGTCGCCTCTAGCGATCCTCACCTTCTGCATGCTCGCTTGTTATTGACTGCAGTCAAGAGCGTCCAGTGGTATTTTATACCAGGTGTGTACACCTACAGTGTCCGAACTCTGCTTCCTTCGAGGATGGCCGTGGCCATAGTCCTGTCATGGGAGCTATTTGTTGCTGTTGTCAATCTGTACGCCGAAATTCGTCGAAAAGTGGAATACACTTCAGGACTTGCATCTATAATTTTGTATTTTTTTCTATTTAGCCAGTGGGCGTTGTACTATCTGATTCCACCTCGTCAGTGGGCATCCATAGATGGAGCCGAAGCAAAATGTGCCGTAAAAATAGGAAGAAGAAATGGGGATGAGAATGTACAAAAGTTTCACCTATAGAGGGCATCTCGTTTATTGACACATTCAGAGGTGGTCACTGGTCACTGTACAATCGCCATTAACGAATCGGTAACTGCCATCCTTGCGGCTCACGACTTGATAGAGATCGTGGCTGTTCTTCAGTCTCTGCGTGCCCCCGACTCTCCAGCCAGCCGCATCCAGCATTCGGCTCAGCCACTGTAGATTGATTCCCAGCGTCATCTTCTTCTCTCCATCTCTCGCGCACTCATACGGAACGCCCCATGAGTGTGAGAGACAGAGCGAAAACAGCGACTCTCGGAATCAGTCTGCTGGCCTGGAGGCCAAAGTGTGCCCAGAGGACGGCGGGCTTTCGCCAAGGCTTTCGCCGTCCCGAGTGAGTCCAGTGCGTCCCGGCCAAAAGAAGGAACAAGGGTCCCCGACGATGCCACCCTCCTCGGCCGCGTCAGCGCGTCAGCCCACGAGGGACGCGGCCAGGGCGCTGGGGATACCGAAGCCGCCCCCGCCGCCCTGGGTGCGGACAGTGGGGTGGTAGCCGGTGTTGTCGGCCGTGTAGTCCACCTGGGTGACCTGGCCGTCGGGGGAAGTCCACCGGAAGGACCCCGTCACCAAGAGGAACTCGTCGGGGGTGCCGGCGCCCTGCAGCACGGCCTGCTCGGAGCGCGCGGAGCCGTCGCTCAGCTCGTACCTGGCGGAACAGCCACATTTCTCCATAAGTGCCACGTCCTGGGTTCAAATACCGGCAGATGGGGGCGACATTTTTTTCTCGCGGGATGTGGTGTACTTACGAGAAGGAGTACTCTCCGTTGCCCGTGTTGGGCTGGGACTCGTACTTGACGATGGTCACCGCGGGCTGCTGCTGCTGTGCCCGCACCGCGCACACGGCAAGTAGGAGTACCAGGATGAGCTGCACAGAGACACCAGTGAACGCACACAGGGGCACACACGCGAACACGCGCTCGGCACAGACTGGAGGATGGTGGCGCCGATAGTGTTCCTGCGACACTGCGTCGGCCACCACCCGGGCACCACACTAGCGAAGCTCACCTTCTGCATGGTAGTGAGTGCTTGTATTTTGACAAGTGAAGCGCATCGAGCGGTTTTCTATTTTATACATGGAGGTACGGGGCCCACTAGGCGCCCCCTCCTCCCTTTGCCCCCTCCACGTGCGTGTGCGCCGGGCGGCCCTAGGCGGCCCGAGCCCGACCACCCGACCGGGTCTGCATGGCGTTCCCTTGCCTGCCTTGCCTAAACGGCAGATGCGCCTTCTTCATTGGCTCTATCCCTACTCAGACCGTCCTTGTCCCCCTCCCCCTATCCTCCCCCGTCTCCAAATTTCATTACCCCAAATCCCTAGAGCCGCCAAACATGTGTAGGTGTGTCGCAACTTGGATGTGCCTGGCACAGGGCACACGGCGCGTGACTGCCACACCGCCACCAGCTCATCGTGCCCGTCTGCAATATTCAACTATGGTATTGTGTTTTATACCAGTTTCATTTTTTGTTCTCCTGTCAGAATGCTCTATGACAATTCTTTGGTGCCAAGAGGGGATGGTCCAGGTTCATGGAGGCAGACTTGATTTAGAATTTGTATATTTATCATCACAAACTTAAGAATATACACGACATAGTCTATACGGAAGACTTACACTCTCTGATGCATCCTATTCACATTTATTAAAAAGTCTGACACGAGAGAGAAGGGTTAGACTTGACTCTTGAACACAACCTATTGCAAAAGTATCACTACATGAATGACACATTCACAACCATGAGTCAAATCACAAGTGCATTAATTGTTGAAAAGTTACAATATTAAACGGTTAATTGTCACTTCTGAAAAGATAATTCACATCCATATAACTACAAATTACAAAATAAAATATAAACAAAAGTCTCTGAACATAAAAGCAGAAAATGTGTTCAGTTTCAAATGGAGAACTACACATGTAAATGGAATCAGAAGATTTTCTAAAACATAATTTCTAGAGAGTATAAATCAAAAATTGAGTCAATGCTTACAGCTAAGCAACATTTTTATGTGATGTGAAGTGTTAACAAATATAGAACAGTAAACCTCAGCAGCTTAACTGTCATAAATATATTTGGTCTTTATACAAACGAGTAACTCCTGCATTACAACATGATTACAATAAAATTAATTTCAATTCATAGATAGTTCAAACCAGTTTTATAATGGAAAAACAAAAACCAATACAGTTTATAAAATCACTCATGCAAAATAATAGGAATAGAAATAAAAACTCAACATACAATAGTTTTCCATTGAACAACTGTAGAAAGTTCATGGCTTTACATGTTCTCAAACCACAAAAATAGCAAAATGACATCAACATGTGCACCACCAGCATTAATCTGCCTGTCACATTCACAACCTATTACCTTAGAGTTTGAAACCTCCGAGTTTGAAACTACACAGAGATACCATATCCAACACAGCCCAAACTTGTTTGTTACAAAAGAATTTTTTTCAGAAAGAGGTATGCAAAATGAGCTGAACAGCGTCAGATTTTGACAAGACAATAATATCAAGAGTAATATAATGATCAGAGAAGGGGGGGTGGGGATTTTCATTCTAATGTAACTACATTGCACGTCATTCGTTTCTCATCAAAATTATGATGAAGTCTTATTGTATGCATGCATAACCCTGAAGGCCAAGTTCCTGTTTTATAATTAGCTGCCACAGTTATAGCAAATGAAAGGTATCCATAATAATAATAAAAAATATAAAATAATACAAAAGATATAAAACATCATTTGCAGTATCGGTGCCCACCCACCCCACCCCACCCATTCATTCAAGGGCATGCATACAACAAAAATAAGACTCCCATTCGCCCTCTAACAGGTTGCAGTCTTGGCAACAACACACATGTCCCTTACTTTACAGGGTGCACACTTTCTTTACATCAAGATTCAAATGTGCGCAGGAGACACGTGCCTTCATCAAAAGAACAGAGTTAGAAATTCTACAAAGAATAGTTTTGGGCAAACAAGATAAATTTTATATCTGGGAGTCCCAAGCAGATACTTTGCACACACAAAAAGGTCAAATAAAATGAAAGTAAACACCCTGTAAAATTACAAATATCACCAGCACTACATAACAAAGTATAAATATAAATATATATATAAGTGTGCTTCTTTATATATATTTATATTTATGTAAATATATTGAATCACTTGGATGAACAATAGCTCTTCTGGGAGGCTCCACAATAGCAACTTATTCTACAACCAAATAAATGTAAAATTATACTGTAGGAGGTCAGCAAATGGTTAAATGCAAGAAACTGCAAAATAATATCAACATACAATACATTTATATATTGCGCCATTGCAAAGATTGTTACAGCTTTAGGTACCACGTCAATTCAAACAAAGAGCCACACTCATGTTGCATCAAGTCCCATTACTTTTTTCTAGCAAAGTATGTTTTCTTTAAGAATTTTTTAAAATTAAATTAAAAAGCAACACAGTCATTGTCATGAACAAAGGTGAACCCATTAGTTCGATGGAACATTGATCTCTTTTCAGTCATAGTTGCAAAAGCAACTTCCTTAACATAGAAAAAGTTACAAAGACCTCTTGTACTTAACCTTGAACACAACAGATATTTTTGTTCAGATGTAAAAATGTCATTGGAATTAGTAAAAACAAAATTATGGTGAATAACTACTCAGTGCCATTGCCACATCATCAATTCCATTGTACTTCAGTTATCAGTCATTTAGTTGAAATTACAGTTGGAAACTACAAAAACAGACTAACGGTGTGAATAATACCAAATAAATTAAGACTTCTAAAAGTGAAGGTACAAACTGATCTAGAAATGCCTTAAAGGGTGACATTTTCACTCTTCACTACTACTTCAAACCACCAATCCTAATTTCACAAAGATGAATTGCTCCAATAAACATTTCTCTGTTCTGATAGAGGCAACTGGAAAATAATTAGCTAAGCCAACGTATTGAAAAAGATTGTGTTTGTGAGTGTATGTGTGTGTAGTACACTACATTCATTTGATTAGAAACATCTAATCTTAGTCATTTCAGAAAACAAGAATATGTAGTGTGACTTCCTCCCAGAATACAGCCGTAAAAAACCTACATAAAAAGAAGAAAGAAAGAAAAACGGGGGGAAATGTGTAACTTAAACAATGCACATTTCAAGTCTTGATTAACACTGGAAATTAAAAGCAGCATTTTCACATTACAAAGCACAATAATAGAAGGCCAGATAGTACATAGAAGTAGATCATAGATGCTGGTAAATTTTTTAAAAATCCTAATAGTAATGGTAATAAGACTAAAAGACACACACAAACTTCACAAAAACAAAATTTGGGATTACAAGTATCTACGGTTGGACACACCATAACCTTCTCAGATACTCATGAAATACATCTTAACAGACATATAAAGTATCAAAAACTAAATTTGTGACTCAAAGATCCAAGCTGTAACTTGAATGCTGCTATCATGTTGCTCCAAAATTACAAAATTCTCTTACAGTTACAAACTTCTAAATAAAGATTCTATATCACTCAAATGTCCGACTCAATAGATAACCAAAAAGGGACAGTTACAAGATTCTGGCAAGAAGTTCAGATTAGTTCACAAACTATAAAAAATTAACCAAGAAATTATACCGATTGGCACAAGGTCTAGAAAAAGAGTTTCTTGTTCTTCAACTAGAATGTGTAACTGTGGCAATTATGTTCATAGTCAGTGTCCAGATTTCAATATTGTCTCGTTCTAAAACCCTACATGTGAATTGTGGCTGCAGTGTAACGTGCTTCGCCTCGTCTCCAGCTCCATGTGCTTGGACGGTACTGCAAGAAAAAATAAAATGAATGAAGATTGGACGTAGAGGAGGATCCAGAGAGATGATCAAGTTTAATATGAATGAAGATTTACCCGGATGAGCCACTGTCCTGATGCACTATGAGGATGTCTGTATGCATACAAAACCCACAGGCTTACAGTGCACACAAACACAACCAAAAGGAGGATTCCCACCACACTTGACATGCTCACTCCAACTTCATCTGAAAGAATAAGATCAACACATAAAAGTTAAGGACTGAGTAAGAATGAAAGAAAATTCAGTTCCACTGACAAACTAGGCTCACCTGCAGTTTGATCTTGGTGGCTGATAATGAGAGGAGCTTCTTGAGACTGCTTTGCAGCTTTGCTGCGAGGAACAGGTTCCTCAATTTCATGATGTGTGACAGGCGGTACAATTTCATCCTCTGTACATTGGTCACTCCTCTGCTTAACTTTCCCTACATTCGATTCAGTAGGCTCACAACCCTTCAGAAGCCAGTCTTGACGGTATCTGTCCATACCATTGGAACAACGGCGAGCGCTGGGGCACCAATTACACTGGAAACATTAGAATGAAATAGATTAATTTGGTGCATTTCATAAGAAGTTGAGCATGGAAGAAGTGTCAAAAATGCAGAAGTACCTCAAAGTTTGTAATCTTGGTAAGACATGAAGTGCAATCTTTCATATCAAGGCATGTTGGCAAAGCTCTCAGATAAATTACTGTTCCGTTCTTGATGTTAGTGAAGTTGACTCGGTGGTATTCATAAATGGTTTTTCTTCGAACAACTGCATCAAATATAAATGATGTTATAAACACTAGTGAACAAGAAAATGAGAAAAAGAAAATCCACACAAACGAACACCTACAGAAAATGGTGCGATCGATGATATAGGCATCAGAGAGACCCACTTTGACAGGATGATTGTCATCCTTTATCTTGTCAATGAGAATAGGTACATTTTTGTACACAAAAACAATGTCCCCACTCTTATGCAGAGTAACTTGAAATGAGAAATCCCCCTCTGTAGGTTTGTCTTGAAGGACCACCTTGCACCATTCAACAGTAAATGCAGTACCTAATCCAGAAAAGAAGAAAAACAAATGCTTAATAATAAAATCAACAACAGTCAATGCCAATGTGTGTCCACTACCACTCACCACAATAACCATCCAGTAATGAAAGCATTATCAGTAAACAGAAAACAACAAACGATTGTTGTAATAGATCTTTAGTCATTACTTCTAAATTGATATCAAATAAAATATAACTCACCATTATCAAGATATTTAACAAAAGACTCATTTGAAATGCTGGTGTCAAAGTTGGCCATGAGAGGTGCAATGTACTGTGTGGCTGCAAGCCAACTATGGACATATTCACCAGTGTATAAGAACCCACCAGTTGCAATGGTTACATTTTTCACCAAATGTCCATAGAACGGGAAGTCAAAAGACAATGCAACAGTCTGTAAAAGAATAAATAAAAGGAATATATGGAATTTCTAACACATTAAATTCACACAAGGGTGTAATAAGTCTTACTGCTGCTCTGCGATGGGCCTGTGACAACATATTATTCACTGTGCCGTTGGACTCCATGTCAACCCAGAAAGGCTTCAGGTCGGTGATCTCATAGGTAGAACTGTTGTAGTATGTGTGATGATCCTAATACAACATTGGCATTAAACATGAATGTTAGTGACAAAAACCTGCAATAATTCTAAAGCAAGACCGTTTAAACTTTTGTTCATACTTCAGTTTTGTTGTTGACATGCTCCTTAATGAGGGTAGCATTGGTAATGTCATCTGGAGGAAATTTGTCATCGTCATCATCATCACTATTTGCACTTTGGCCATGCTCTGACGGATCCCACTTTCCTGGGCCAGGCGCGTCTTTGTTTGGGAGTGCAGTAGCAGTTTTCAAAGTTGGGGTGGCAACTGAAAAGATTAAAAAGCAGGTATGCAACAATGCAATCTCCAATTGTATTTTATCATGAAACCAGAGAACCATGAGAACCAGCAAGTAGGTTCACTTTATATACCTGTTACTGAGCTGGTAACAGGAGCTGAACTTGAAGTGGTCTCTTTTGTCTCAATACTTATAGCGGCTACAGCCTTGGGTGAGCTAACAGATTTTTCTAGAACCTTCTTTTCTGGAAATCCTCCTGTGACAAGATATTTACGGCATAAATAATTAGAGCATTAAAGCTTTAAACTGTAAGGGATACTGAGCTTACCACTGCTGGATCCATCCAGTTTGGATGGTTTCCCACTGGTGATTGACGTGGCATTGAATCCACCAGGAAATTTCTTTCGGCTATTCTTAGCTTTATCTTCATCATCAGGGCTGACATGACTTGGGGGGTTTCCATCAGGTCGTAACTGCCGTTTGAGTCTCACATTGTTCCCTCTGTCAATGAAAACCATGTCTGGCAAAAATGTGTCTTCATTTTCTAGTTTTGATTGAGTGTCCACAATTTCGTAAGTAACAAAATCATCATCTGAAAGGAAATAAAATAAATCAAAATCTGAAAATTTTCCAGGTTTACAAGTGATGGAGATACAGTTGTATAATACAATTTCACATTGAGCAGAAATCAACCGCGATATAAATGTTACATAGATGAAAGTTCAACAACTAAAAATAAAATAATCGCACAGAATTCAGAGTAAATTTCTCGGTAGATCGACTTTTTGAGGTTAACGTAGATAGCCCGGAAATAAATTTCTGGGCAGCAATAATAAATTCAGACCTTACAAACACCATGAAAAAAGGAGGATTCTACGAGATTGAAAATACTGCAAAATACACGGGCACAAAAAAATATTTAAAACAAAATTTTGCATATATTTCAAAAAGTCTATACACGTACAGAGGAAGCAATGTCCTTGATGATGAGCTGAGGCTATCTCATGCAAAGGCACACATCACTCTCACTAGAAATAAAAATAAGGAAAAATACAAGGTTACTCACTCAAGAGTGCCGATCCGTGTGAAGAATAGGCAGACAATACCAAAATTAAACACAATGGCAAAGCAATTGCCGAATATGTAAACGCCATTTTCGACCGATATCAAGGAAGTGTACTTGTTGATATCCCCCTCACACAACGAAATAAGAACTGAGTTTCTTCATGCGAACATATTCTAGATCACTCTGGAAACCATTTTCAATGTATTCGTAAAAAAATTATCAAAATTTGTGGACGTAATATCTTTGGTTTGGTTAAAAATGATGGTCTACCAGCAGGCACAACACACAGAATAACACTGGCCTTTGTTACTAAACATGTTGCATGAACGACTCCACGGCCCGTTGGAGTGCTTGTCTCTTTGCTTTCCCATACCTTCCTAGATTATCCTTGCGACCTGTTTTTATTTTGTTATTTTCTCGCTGCTGCAGTTCAAGATGGCGTCTCTTTGTGATTGTGTTGTGCCTTATTAATTTGAAATATGGCCTGAGGAGTTCAAAATGACATTTTGAGAACTCTACTTGCTTTGACATCTTCAAAATGGACGTTGTAAGAGATGGAAGTATTGACAAAAGAGTTATTTTAAATGAGATATCTAGATGCCTAAAGACAGTAAGTATTTTCTTTAACCCAACACTTTGACAGCTCCTCCCACATTTTTACCATTTAGTTTCTGGGCCTTTTATCTTGCCACTACTCTGTGTGCACCCTACCCGAGTTTGCTTTCATGCATGGTTTTCCTCCTCTCTGATATCCTTTGTGATGGACTTCCATCCCCCCACCTAATACCTACCCCACCCACTCCTTAAAATTGATATGATACTGTTTTGTTTACTAATTGTTTTCTTTTTTCTCGCAACAGGTCTTCACTGAAGCATCAAGTTCTGCTCACAACTCTGTTAATCTTAGTCTAAATAGTCCCCTCATTCAGAGTGTTGATCGATCACTTCAGCATGGACTCGTGAATCTTGTGCATGGTTATTGGCCCCTTGTTCGAACGTTCTGTCATGCTCAGACACTCCATTCTCTTGACAACTCTGTTGGAGTTCAAGGATCTCATCGTTCTAAAGGTATTGACTTTTCATTGTCTAATTTTCTTCAGTTGGAAATAATAAAAATATTTTCCTTTCCTCTAATATCTTTGTAACTCTTCAGCTCAGGCATGGCTACTTTTCACTCTAGCTGAAGGTACACTTTTAAGTTATTTGCAATGCATACTAGCAGAACCTCGAGCTGTAGACCGTCTGTATGCCCCTCATGCAATTTTACGGGATCCATCATGTGTAGCTCAGCTTTCTTCTTTATTGACTGGATTAGAAAGCATCAACATTTTAGTTGAGGTATGTATCAAGAAATTTGTCAATATTTTTTGATGCGGGTTTTGTTAATTATATCCTTTTGGATCCTAGAACTCAATTGACTTGAAGCGGGCACCCATGACTTGCTCTGGTGCTGAAGAGAATGTGAAGCCCATTCTGGATTTACCCTTGAATGGTGGCCCTGGACTCTCAGGAGCCATGACATCTTCCATGACTTCTTCTCTGGCTTCCCCTGGAGACTCAGGGTTTACGCAGCTTGACAGTGAGACGGATACAGCTTCGTTCAGTGAAATTGTGTTAGATCCTGATTGCACAAGTGTAAAAGAGGTAAAAATGGAAGAGAGAAATAATTTTGGTGATATTATCCTGTGCAACTTGTTAACAGACCAGTGGTTATTTTCAGGATATTGCTGTCTTGCCAATTGACCCATGTTCTGAGAAAACTGTTGGAAATTCAAGCATGTCAGAGCCTATGACTGTCAGTGACATTGCAAACGCAAACATTCGTTTGGGCATCTTGAACTCTGATACATCTGATGGTTGTGTTGACTGGCCCTCAGCTGATGATGTGGTCTATAGGAAACATAAATCTATAAAGGGGAAGTCGTCTGATGTTAAACAACAGAAAAGAGTATCGTTTCATGACAGTACTCCCGATATTGTTCAATATCATGAGGAAAGTGAGACCCCCGAAAAAGACACAATGGTATTGGGCCACTCCATCAGGTCATCAGCATCACACTTATCTCGTGCAGTTGTTGATTTATCATCATTTGAATATGAGCAAGAAGGTGTTGAAATTGCCAAAGATTTGTCAATATTGGGCAATGCTGGAATTGAAGAGCTTTCTGTTAACACACAACAGATTTCTTCCTCCTCTAATCGTGTTGAATCCACTCAACTTGACGTAAAGTGCTCATCACTGCGCCAAACATACCAATATAGCTCTGAAAAAGCACCAGTGGCTGAAAGAGGCACTCCAGAGGGTCAGGAAGATCCACCCCATCGATGCTCAATATCGACCACAGTTTCTGACCCATCACAAATTATGTCTAGTGAAAGATTACGAATGTCAAACTCCTCTCCAGGTATGTTTGTTTTAAGAGCTTTGTTTCATTTTAGATGTTTAATAGCAGCAGATCACTCTTTTCAAAACCCGTTTGCATTTTGTTTAGTTCCGAGCTGCTCCAGTTTAAGGCCTCAGGTTAGCTCACCCCAAAGGCAACTTAACAACTACAACACATCATTCTTAGCTTCTTCTACTCCTAATAGCACTAGTGTGTTAAGTCAGGCTCCCTCAAAAGCTTGTCTTGTAAACCGGTTTCTTCGCTCAATCACTGAGAAAAAAATTTCCAACCGCCGATCTGAGGCAGCTTTTGCTGCTTTCAAGAGGAAAGCATTGGCCATGAGGTAAGCTACTCAATCATTTTGGTCTTTGAATCACAAGTTTCTTACACTAAGTATAAAACTATTTTTTATCCCCTTTCTCCCTTAGAAAACTGAATTTGTATATTCACGAAGCGAAGCCGGATGATGAGTTATCTTATGAGCTTGAGCACGAATTAGAAACAGAAATGAGTCAATTTTTTTCTGAGTCTTCGGGAAGACTATCTGATAGCGGTCTAACACTGGAAATTGCATCTTGGAGAAATTTCTTCTGTAATCATCTTGGTCTCTCAAGCAATGAGTCAGTCCTTAAAGTGAGTAAACTTCTATTTTAGTTTTTACTAAGAAAAGGAAGAATATTAACAGCTCTCATAATAAAAGTTTGTCTTTTCTTACTTCTTTCTGCTTACAGGTTCTGAAAATGCGAGGCACTTCAGTGAATGCAAATGGAACAAGAGTACCATTGATAGTTGTACTTACAGATACTGCTCTGTATGTACTAGATCAAAAGTTAATAAAGCACTCTGTCACACTCCACTCAAGTTTGTCATCAATCTTGGTACGTACGGTATACTGGTATTCTCTTCTTTTTTTTCTTTTTTTTTTTTTTGGGGGGGGGGGGGCTGTTTTTGTAATTTTTGTTGTTGTTGTCGTCACAACTAATTAGTTACTTTTACAGGTTGGACCAAACTCTCAGTGGATATCACTTATCTCTTCAGAGAAATCATTCCAAGTTGATTTATTAGTAAGCGGAAGCAATTGTGTATCAGAGTTCATTATCTCGCTAGAATTGGCCCTTAGAAGAAGACATGGAAGGAATGCAAAATTACCGGTTGTAATTCACTTACTGTATGAAGAATTCTTTGCAATCCCACAGTGGATGCCTGTCTTGCAGGTATTTGTTTTTACCCAAGCCAATTACAGACCAATGTTTTCAATGACTCAAACAGTTATGGTACATTGATGGGACACATTCATGGATACACCCTTGTAATGTTGACCTTCTTGTTCATTTTAGGGAGAGGAAGTGTATCACTATTCTGTGGTGCATGCAATTGAAGAGATGCCTGGCCTCCCATGTTCACCCAGTGATCTTGACATGCAGGCATATTTTATGTTCAAGAAATGTGAAAATAACTCTGCATGTGCTTGGGAACCGGGTTATTTCGTATTAAAGTATGTATTTAATTTCTTTTCTATGTTCAACATGTTGGAATTTTCTGCAAGAAAATCTTCTAACATTTTTTATTTCTCATTAGGAACAATATTTTATATGTTTCTTCTGATGAAGAAACACTACCTTGGCACACACTTAATCTTCAAGGTATTGAGTGTCGCATTATTTCACTTGCATCGCGACCCCACATTATTGAAGTAGGCATCTTGCATATAGCGGCGCCAGACAATTTTGTTGCAAAAGATTGGCTTGCAGCATTTCAGAAAGCATCGACTGTAAGATTCTCATAAGATGGATCAGATTTTAGCATCATATCATTATTTTTATACCTGAGTAACACCAACTTCCTCCTCTTGCTTTCAGACTCATGAGCCTGCTGTCCCTGGTTTGAAGCCAAATTTTCTCAGTGGTTCATTAGTGTTAACTGAAAGTCGGTTAATGCTGATAAGCACATTAGGTATACCTAAAAATGATTTAGATAAACCAGCTAAACCATCATTGACTGCTTTTGTAACAGATGTGTCATCAGTAAAAATTGGTGGAAAAGATTCCTGTTGGTGTGTCTTGGTAGGCTCTGTTAAACCCATCTCATCTCATAGAAATCTACTTCAAACTGCCTAAAGCCTATGTTGTAATACATGGCCCATTTTCCTGCCCCTTTAGGAGTTTGCATGCCGTGAAGTCCACGAATCTGGAGGCGACTATATTATTTTCTTCAGCACATCCAGTGAAATGTTATCTTTTAGAGAAAACATAAGGAAATTGAGTCCTATCTTAGACCAGGTAAACTTTTGTACCTTATTCTGCTTTGGAACATTGCTTTATTACATCTTCTTAATGGATTTTTTCTCTCCCAGGGTAATAGTTTGGTACTACAAAAAGAAACTCTTCAAAGTCGATGTAATGAGATGTCAGCTGCTCTTTCCAATGGATGGTCCATAGAAGAACACATTAGTAGTTTACATTAATGGAGATGCACAATAGTGCATTATGAAAAAGAAAATTTGTTTCGCCATGAACAGATTTGTTCGACCAGTGATTTATGTAACAGTTTTAAGTTCCTAATTTATTCAAGCCCATTGACAGTGATTGACTTTGGGTCAAACTCCAGAAGTTCTGTTCAGATTGGTATGTTACAAAATTTCAACTGCTGCTGGCAGCACCAGAAAACTTAAACATCCCCTTGGCCTGGAAATGGGATGAACGCATTTCTGGCTATTTGCTTTCTCTTACTTTTACAAATTTTATTTTTGGGCTCTCTTTTTAACCAGGTTAATTACTGTTAAGCTCTACAAGTATTGCATTGTAGAGGTCCATTTATTGGTTTTGGCTCTTTTTTTTTATTAAATGTGATTTTTATCTTTCAATGTTTTTTTTTTTTTTTTTTTTTGCGTCATTTGAAATGATTGCTTCTCTAAGCAGCACCCTAGATAACTATTGTGATATTTAATAATTCTTTAAGAATGTAAATGTAGTGGTTTGTTGTATAGCATAAATCACAACTCTCTTTCCCATGCCTTGAAATTGATGGTTTTGGTTGTGATTGTAATGGTTTTTGGACAATGGTGGCATAGTGGCTTGACTTGCAATTTTAAGGCAAATTTTTACATCTAATTGTTAGAAAATATTGTGGGCTTAGCCCTGTATTGTTACTATGCTTTGATTCATAGCTTTAATTGTTGCTGCACTATTGTATTACGTCTTTGTCTTTCTTTCTTAAATGTTTTTTTTTCATATGCTTGCATTGTGCTAATCTTATTCTAGTCATTTTCTCTTTTTCTGAACTTGGGTTGGTAGAGAAAAATTTGTTTTACCTTTGATGTGATAATAATGAATTAATTGATGTGCAATTCTGGTTGTTGTTTAGGCTGATGTGACTGACTGAAGGAATTTACGTATTTCATTTTTCTGTGGTGATTTGCTTGAATGCCTATGTAGCTGCTGTAGTGTGAAAGGGCCTTCAATGTGGTATGGTATGAATGATTAATGTGGACCGTGATATTGATCTTGTATCTTATCTCGTGTTCTTGTGAAGAAGACTGGAATGAAGACTGAGGTTGCATACTGCTGGATGTTGCAAAAACAAGGAATGGTTTGGACATGCAATCACACACCTTTACTGTTAAAAAAAAAAAAAAAAATAGGTATTACTCCATTGGGCTTGTCTTGGTCACTTTTCTTATCCAAATAAATTGTCATAGATAGGCAAAGATATTTTCTGTATCTAAATGTTTTACTAGACCATTTTGGGCCTCTGTAAAATTAGAGATGTTTTGTTAAGTTATATTAGCCTGTAATGTGATTGTGAAATACAAAAGTTTAAGGAGAACTTTTTCTTTGACTCAACAGGAAAGATGAACAAACAGCACTTTAAGATAAATTTTATATTTAAGGGATAAAGATGACATGTGAGGAAACTTTCATACATAACAGTACACAAGTGACAAATTGTCAGCAAAAGTATCACTTGTCTTGCACACAACATATAAATATACCTAAGGGTTAATATCCTGAACTTTGTACACACATTTTAGATGGGTTTATAATCAAGTTTGGATTCAAGTTTCTTATTATCAGCGACTTTCCTTACTGCTTTCATGAAATCTTCCTGAATAACCCACTCACGCTCAGCACGAATAGCAAATACACCAGCTTCTGTGCACACATTGCGTAAATCAGCACCGTTAAATGTGTCTGACAGCTTCACAACAGCTTCATAATCTAGAGGAGAAAAGTCAAAATAGAAGTTAAAAATGTTGTGTTTACTTGTATCTTAGAATTACATCAGCGGACTATCAAGACCATACCTATGTCACCATGTTTGGAGATTGGAGTTGCATGAATCTTAAGAATTTCAAGCCGAGCTTGCTCATTAGGTAAAGGAATTTCAATTTTGCGATCCAAACGACCAGGTCGAAGCAAGGCAGGATCAAGTGTGTCCGGACGATTTGTTGCCATAATCATTTTGACCTAAAGAGACCAGAACAAAATAATTAAGATCATTTTAGGATTTAAATGAAGAACTGGGCGGCTATTTTGATTGAAACTATTGTTTTACCTGTCCTAATGAATCAAAACCGTCCATCTGGTTGAGAAGCTCCATTAAAGTTCTCTGGATTTCTCGATCAGCCGATGTTCCCTCAGAAAACCGACGGCCACCTATTAATATTGTGAAGGCATTAAAAACACAGATGAGGACAGCTAAAAGTAAACAAAGTGCAACATTTACCAATGGCATCAATTTCATCCATGAAAATAATACAGGGTTGATGGTCCCGAGCATAATTGAACATTTCTCTGATGAGGCGAGCACTTTCACCAATATATTTATCTACAATTGCACTGGAAACCACCTGAGGGAAAGAAACCAGATTATTATGGAACTGAATGTAGGTTAAAAAAAACTTAAACAATGCATTTGGCAGAACACTTACTTTGAGAAAGTTTGCATCCAACTGACTCGCAACAGCTCGAGCCAGGAGTGTTTTCCCTGTACCAGGAGGACCATACAGCAAGCATCCTTTGGGTGGAGTGATTCCAACTCTTTGGAAGAGCTCAGGATTTAGAAGAGGAAGCTCTATCACCTAGGCACAAACACAATTACAATCTGTGCCAGAATTGTGAATTCCTTATGAGAGCAACACCTTACCTCACGTAGTTCACGAATTTGTTCACTGAGACCACCGATGACTGAATAGGTGACATCCCCAGGGTCTTCATGTGACATGTTGTATACCAAGGGATCAACCTCACGGGGAAGGTATCGCATTATGGTAAGAGTTGTCATATCTAAAGCAACACGAGTGCCTGACTTGAGCTTTTCTTTATCCAGCTGGCGGCGGCAGCCAACAACATATCTTGGACCATTTGTTGCTTTTACAATAACTGGGGTAAAAAATAAATAAATTAAGGCACAAAGTGAGGCAAGAACTGATTCAAGATACTTCCAATGCAAGTGCTGTCCGTAATGACATAGCCGGCTATGACTTACATTTGTCTTCAGTGAGTTGCTTCAAGACTTCTCCAACAATCTACAAGATAAGATAACAAATATTTAAATGAATAGAGGAGTGATTTTTAATGTTTGAGAACATGCATCCTTACCTGTCCAACACTCTGAAGAGCTTTCAAATCATTTTCTGACTTGTCATACTGCTTAGTTAGTTCCTTCAGCTGCTCTCTCACTGAAATAAGTAGATAAACAAAATGACTTAGTATTGGCAAAAGATAGTCTGTATCCTATCCTAACAGCAATCGAACAAAGTAACAATAATAAATTCCGATGAATCATGTTCTCCCTATGCTGTGCTAGTTTTAGTTTTTTTTTTTTTAACTTCATATGTAATTTGTAATTTGTATTGACTTCAGCTGTAAGTGCAATGTGTACCAACAAAAAATGCTGAAAATAAATATTCTATTCTATTCTATTCAATTTCTCTACTGACTCATTAACGGACAACCATAGAACTCCACGTAGATAAATGACAAAGTATTAAGGAGATAAAGTTCATAACTGAAGACGAACTCCATGAAAGAAATTACAATGAGTAAATTTCAATGAATTTAAATGAATGAAGAGAATGCCACAATGACATAACCTAGCTTGGCAAAGTTGCTGCCTCCAAGTGGAAGCACCATATAAATAATACAAGTAATGATGTAAATGATGCAATTATTGTTGAAATGAAATTCTTAAAGAAATGGAACGCAAAATTTCGGAAAAGGGGTGATGTATGGACCATTCCAAAGATGAATCAGCACAACTAAGGGGACGAACGGTTGTAAACATGGCAATCACATTGGAATTTCTTACTTTCTTTCAAACGACTTTCAATTTCTTTGTGTTCCAGAAGCTTCTTCCGATAGTCCTGGAGGGCCTTCTCCCTCACTGCGTCCGTAGTCATTTTCAAAACAGATGATACGACACTTAATGAAATTAGAAAACACAAGACACCGCAACTGCTAGCAGCACAAGTGTCATGTCAGCCTACAGTCGGTCTACATTCGAGACTATCGTTTGTCTTTCGATTGTTTCTGACACCTCGTCGTTCTCGTTTTTTTGGCGTTTGTGTTCAGTCGCTAACAAAAATACCGTGACATTTTGTCGTCTTTTTCACCACCTCAAAGAGTGTTGCCACAAATGACATGTGAGTGTGAGTCGTTCAACGCCCCATCAAATCGCCATGCGTTGCCAGTCAACTTCGAGAAAATAAACACTATGGAGATGTTTTCGGTACGTAGCAGGCTCCGTACCGTGCAATATTTTTTGTAACGATTTCTACGGCTTGTCGCTCTCAAAACTATACAACTTATGCAGTGATAGTGTTCTTTCAAGCTTGAGGGATAACCATCGAAGCTGAGGCTATGTTGCCCCATTTTTCATTCTGATGGATTATGAACGTGTGGTGTAAGACATGTAGTTTGCACTGTCGGTGCGAGGTGTGTGGGCAACGCGAATTTCAAGATGGCCCCATGGCCGGAGCCCGAGACTGAGCCAAAAGCTCCAGACAAGACGGCCTCCGCGGCGGAAAAGCCATGCGAAACACCTGCAGTTGGGATGAAGAGCGAGAAAGATTGTGCTGAAGCCAGCGGGGCTTGCAAGCCTGTAAGTTTTCCCTCGAGTTACGTCGCTTCAGCCTGTTGTCGCATTCTGTGTCGCTCTAGGCTCAAACCCCTTTCCACCCATTGCACCCAGCCTAGCTCACTTGTTTACCCGAGTTTTGACTGAAATTAGTTGAAGTAGCTCCTGGCATGGTGAAGCTTGTTTTCCACGCTGGTGTGCCTTGTGCTTGCAATGCATGGAGCTCCTTTCTGTCGGGGAGCGTCGTTGACAGCGCATTGCGCATCGATCAACTTCTCTCCGCTTATTTCGTGTGCCTTGGCTTTCAACGAATTTCTGTTCTCTCTCGTTCCTAGACGAAGCGTAGCCACTGGCTCCCGTGATTTCGAATCCCCATGCTAAAGGGGCTTCCACCGCGTTTCGTTCATTCCGGGGCCCAGGTTGGGGTTGGGGTGCCTAGTCCGTGATCAGGTTAGGTGACTGTTCAGCCCACCTTGGCCATTCATTACAGAATGAATTAATGCACGCGTCGCTGTTCCAAGCGACTTGCATTCATTTTCTGCGGGCTGAACCCTGCGTCATTTTTTTTATCGTGTGCATCGGCATGATTTCCCTCCTGATATTTGTCTGGAGTTCTGTCATTTTTTTTGTTGAATTTCTTGCTTTTGTTTGGAATTTTTTTTTTTTTAGAATTTTTTTCTTCTGCTAGATTTAGCCCTTTACTGCGATACTTGAGTTCTGAATGTTATTACTTTTTGTTTTGAGCTTCCATGCATCCGAACTCTTTCACAATACAAGACAATAATTGCCAGTGCTCATTCTGAGACATTTTTTCCCCTCTAAGTGAATGAATATGGAAGGTGAACTGTTATTGTATGTTGTATGAAATGTGCTGATTCCGCGAGTTCCTCAACAGTGATTTGCTTTCATTTTTCTTGTTAATTTAACAAAATCTCTGGGACATTGCATCAGCCTGGGCCCTAGGCAATCATACCGGCAGGTACCTCCCCTGACAAAGGCCAAGTACTCCCGCAAATGGCGTTTCTGCTACCCCCGCCCCCTCCACTCCCAATCCACCTCTAATTTTTCTGCACCTGGCCTGCTGACAGCTGCGGCCCTGCGGCCGGGCCTCGAGCTTTGCTTGCTCTGCTCGCTCTGCTTGGCTCGCGAAACAAAATTCTGCCCTCTGCAGCGTCAGCATTAACGTATGCAGCGCAGCTAGCGCCGGCCGTAAAAAATTGTCGAGGCCGAAAGTCAGGTTCTGATGCATACCTTGCCTGTTCTCTGCGAATGTCTCCTTTCTGACTTGAAGCTCTGTCGGTACTTCCCCCTCCCCTCGACGCTGTTCCGGTCGGCGGGTCTCCCTTTGAACCCCTCGCGAAAGGCAGAAGGTTTTTGGGTCTGGTGAGGATTGCTTGACACTTGACAGACAGCGACCCGATCACCACCGATCCGTGCGAGTCCCACATCAGTTTGCACGGCGAGCACGTCCCAAGCCGCGTTCACCGACTTTTGGTCGCAAGGCTCGCTGCCGCCCCTGGAAAGCCACCAAATGTAAACGGCGGTGCACAGGCGCGTTCGCGGCGCCTAGCTTGCAGTGCAGCAGCCAAGAAGGGGGCAGGCCCCTTTCGAGTCCCGTGGGCTCGATGGGCTGCCTACCTTCAGGCTCGTCGTGTAGAGGGGGATTCAATCTCAATCTACTTGGTTGAAACACCTCGTGAGCACGCATGCCGCTTTTCATGGATGCCCTGGGCTTTGTCATGGGCCCGTCATGGCAGGGTGTTGCAACGCGCGGGGCCGCATGGCACACTGGCACACCTGTTTCAGCCATGGAGCAGCAGCAAGCAGCGGCGGCGGCAGCGGGAGGCAGCCCTGCCTGGGCCGTGCGCTGCCGTGCGCATGGCGGCGCATGGCAGCCCATGGCGGCCCATGGCAGCCCATGGCTGTATGGCTCTGCGTGGGGCGGAGCGGCCAGCCGCACCGGACACACCTGCCTTGCCCCGCCCCGCCCCGCACCACGCGCTCAGCGTCCGGAGTGTCCTCTAGCCTCGCTCCCATGGGCTTGGCTTGGCGTGTACACGTTGTACTGCTGGGCCGGCTGGGCCGGCTGGGCCGCGCGGTACTCGAACGCGTGACCTCGGCGGCCTCGCAGGCTTCTAGGCCCTGGCGACTCCCCTCGCCTCCCGTCGGCTGTCCCAGTGCCGTGCCGGTGCTGTCCCGCGACCTAATGAGCGTCATGAGTGTGACAGAGAGGCGCGGCGCGGAGGCTTGGCCGGCCAGGACGACGGCCATGTGCGCCTTCTCCAGACTCCAGTCGGCCTGTCCGACAGTGTCCGACCGGCGGGGCGCCGCCGTGTCGCTCTCATTCGTATGCAATGGGAGACGCGGCCAGGTTGGCCAGGTGGGGCCGCCAGCCTGCAGCCAGCCTGCAGCCAGCCCGCGGCGTGCAGTCCGAGACTGTCCAAGACTGGCCGAGAAGCAGGCGAAGCAGGTGGCTGCAGCGGCACGCTAGGCGCATCGCGTGCCCCGGACGCGTCCGAACCACATCGCCGTCTCGCTCGCTCCCGGCCGCCAGCCGTCTGATTCCGAGCACTGCTTTCGTCGCTCTGTCCCTCTCGCACTCATGGGGCGGTCCGTAGGGGTGCGAGAGAGACAGAGCGACGAGGCAGTGTTCGGAATGAGACGCCTGTCCGTCTCCTTGCGTGGCTCTAGCCGCGGCGCGTGTCCGCGGACGCGGCCCACGGCGGCGCACCGGCTGCTGTTCGTCGCCGTGGCGGGGCTGGCGGGGCGTAGCGACTGCTCCTTGACCCAGAGTGGGGCCTGCCGGCCTGGACGTGAGTCGCACGGCCAATCGGCAGCTGATGAGAAGTGCAGCTACCGCCATCCCGTGCCGGCCTGTGCCTGTGCCGCGGCGCGCGCGGCGACACCGTGCCCCGCGTGCTGCTGCAGGTTCGCCCTGCAGGACAGATTCATTCCGCATCAGCGTTTTGTCGCTGTCTCTCTCGCACCTGTGTGGAATGCCCCACGAGTGCGACAGAGCGTCGAATTCGATGTTCCGAATCGCTCGGCTGCCTTTGTTTTAGCCTGTCTGTCAATGAGGCTGCAGCGCGGCACGAGAGGCACGAGGCGAGGGTCGCTCTAGAGGGAGGCTCCAGGGCAGGGGAAGGCGGCGCGGCATGATGGTGGCGCCAGGGGGAAAGGGGAGGGGGCGTCCTGCCCTGCCCGTCCCCGACCCGCCCCGACCCCCTCCATCGCCGTTTTCCCTTTCCTGTTATGGGGTACGCCAGTCTCGCCAGTCCCGGGACGAGCGAGACGAGATAACTAACTCGTACGGGTATGACTCACTCGGCCCGCGGACCCCGCGGATAAGGAGGGAGCCCCTCCCCCAGCAGACTGATTCCGAGAGTCGGTTTTGTCGCTCTGCCCCTCTCGCACCTACAGGGCACGCCCCCTGAGTGCGAGAGAGACAGGGTGACGAAGACGACTCTCGGAATCAGCCCCGTATGGCGCGCATGACCGTGTCGCAGCGTCACAGGGGAGCTGCTCGACGCTCGTGGAAGGGGCGGCCGATTTGTGTGACGGCCCGTCACTGACGCGTCACTGACGCGTCACTGACGGGGCGCCTGACTAGCCGGACTGGGCTGCAGACTGATTCCGAGAGCCGTTTTCGTACGTTTTGGCAGCACTGTCCCACTGGGGGCGCCCCACGAGTGCGAGAGAGACAGCACCGAGGACTCTCCGAATGAGTGTGCAGTCCGCAATTAGTAGGAGTGCGCGGGTGGTCCTTGGTGATGGCGCCGATGTAGGTACACTTGCGGAGGGCGCCGTGCCCGCCGTGCCGCGGGGTGCAGAGTGCAGGGTGCGCCCGGCGGCGGGGTACGACAGGGACAGGCTCGACCCGGTGTGACTTGGCGTCCGTCGCCAAGGGAAGTCCCGCGCCTTCGGCTCGGAGCACGCTGGCGGCCGCCCGTCGTCGCCCCTCGCGTGCGGTGGATTTGTCGCGTGTGCTTGTTTACATTTGGGGTGCACTTGGGGATCCATGACCTGTTTTCTCCCCCTCTTGGCATTTTGGCCGGCGCCCCTGGTACGTAGCGCTGCCATCGGCCGGGCCGGGGCGGAATGCTCTAGTGGCGGAGGCATCATCGCAGTGAGGCTTTTCCGAGTTCCTGTGCCAGGTACCGTGGGCCCTTAGGCCCAAGGGCCCTGCAGTGCCTGCACTGCACCCTGCAGGCGCTGTGCTCGGCCCTGCCGAGGCCCTTGGCGCCCTTGGCCCTTCAGACTGGCGGCCCTAGCGGCCCCGACGGTGCGGTGTCACTCGGTGTGGTGCGGTGCGAGTCGCGGAGAGGCGAGGCGGGGAGAGAGGAGGAGCGAGGTCGCCGCGGTACGGTGTACGGTCTACGGTCTCAGTAGTCGACTGTGGCTCCGTCTCCGTGCCGTGCGCTGTGGTGACGCAGTGTTTTCCGACCAGGTCGCTCGGTACGAGAGTTCGGGCTAAAATTGAGGCCTTTTGGCTGGCACGGTTGCGCTTGGACGTGGATTGGGCCTCGGTTTTCAATCCAGTGCGGAGAGTGTGCGTCGCTGGCGCTGGTGCCGTCGTCCTTCGGTGCCTACACTTACAGGCCCGTGCACCACCCTAACCTTACATAACACGCCAACATTAAGTTGTCTTGGAGTGCTGGCCGGTTGTCTGGAGGCTGGCGTCCGCGGGATTATCACCAAGGTGCCGTCTCGTTCCCCGTTCCCGTTCGTGTAGTCGACCGGGTGGTGTGGCTGTTCGCTGTTGTGCGGTGGAGGGCGCAGCGAGGCTCTCTTCGGCCCACTTTGTTTGAATGAATCCTCACTTGCGTTCGCGCTTTTGATCCTTTGTTTCAGGTTCACCTAGTGAGATTTGCGCCTGTGGCGATAGGTTGAGATTGGGTTGCGGCGTACCTTGTCAGGAAAGAGGGTTCTAGCTCGAAGTGGGCTCCTGTTGAGTGTCCTTCTATTGTCTAGCCATTTGTTTTGAGGTTATGGGGAGTGAATTCCATCATGTTGCACACTCTTGTGAGACCTCCATCGAGTGTGCTGCATTTCATTCGTCCTAGTGGGTGTGTAGATGTTTCTTGATATTGGCCTTTTACACTTGTGATGAAATCAAGTCTCTACTTTAATTCGAGACTGTTTTTAGGCTTCCCAGTCTGCCAGACTTGGGTTTATTTAGATTGGCCATGACAAAGCACATTCCCTCCTGCATGTTTGTCCTTTCACCAAATAGATCATGTTGTAATTTCTGACAACCTTTTGAGGAATTGTAACAAAGAAAATTTTACTGTTTGATCAATGTTTCCCTTTATGACTGCCAGTATGTCCTATGCAGCTTCAGAGGCTTGTCATCATTTAACTGAACCATCCTTACAAAGGGTGTAGGGTACCCATTTGTGGTTGTTTGCACTTGCTTAACAATGCCTCTGGTTGTAATGTGCCTGAATATGTTTTGAGAGATGTTTCTTTTACTTCAAATGACTCAACTGTAAATGTATTGAGTTGACCAGTGTTATCATTTGTTGCATGTGTTGTATTTCTTCATTGGGCAATTGTGTATGTGTGTTTTTTCTTTTTGTCTTTCAGGTAGATGACAAAGATGCAGGTGTTGCTGCTCTAGATGACCGAGGTCTACAAGATCTTCTGAATGAGGCTATTGCTTACAAAAACCCAAAAGATCGTGATAACAAAAGTGACCTCTTCAAGGTGAGCTGCACTTAAATTAAGTATATTTGAGAAATAAATTGTATTCCTTTGATATCAATTTTCCTCATCTACATCTGCAGGAGCTCCTGGCTAAAGCTGAAGCTGATGAAAGAGAGCACTCTGGCGGACAACGAGGTATAAGCAGTCTTGGGGGAAATAGTGGACGTTATCGTAGAGGACCTTCTCGGAAAGGCGATGTGTCCGAAAGGAATTCTCGAGGAGGCTCTTTACAGAATCTGGTCCATGCCTTAAATTCCGATTTGGACATTCATGTTGGTTCCACCAACAGGAAGCGGGGTGGCCGAAGAAATCCTCAAGTGAGTTTATTTGTCTTTGTTGCATTCTTGGGTGTATTTACTACCAAATTTGCTCTTGGCTCGTGTCTTGAACTCTGTCTTACTCTAATTGTGTCCTTATTGCAGCCGCAAGTGAGTGTCAGTGCTCGGCAAAGGGAAGGCGGCTCCCTGCCTTGTAATGTAAATGCTGACTTCTATACTGCAGCTGCCCTCCGAAGTCATGATGATGTTAGTACAAGTTCCTCACTGAAGAAGCGTGATCATCCTACTCCACCAGATGATGTTGTGACTGGGAACAGCTATTCTTACAAGCTTGCAAGTGCTAGCTGTGCTAGGACTGCTGAGGATCTGTCTGGTTACAGACCAAGCCACTCAGGCAAACGAGCCACTGACTCTCTAGATGACATTGAGACGGTAGTATCCCGCGGGTCGGGCAGCAAACGAAGAGAATTAAAGAAATTGGGGCACTCCTCAGATGCTATATTTCCTGAGAGTACCAGTGATGAAATCTGTTCAATGGAAGACTTACACAAAGAAGCTGATATTAGTCGCCTAGCCAATAACAAGTTTGAAAATGAAAACTTAATTGATCTCTCAGACTTTGCTACTTTCCATCTGAGACCCCAGAACAATGTAGACAGGAGCTCCGCTGATCACTCTGTGGTTGATGACATTCAGTCTCAACTTAACGGAACGTCCATTTTGGGAGTCGGCATGAATGGCACTGTCCGGTCTGGACCAGACCGATGGTTGAAATCAGAGCCTCGCAAAGATGAAGACATGGATGGTACAGAGATGACTCCTATAGAAAGGACCTCTGAAATATCAAAGTATCCAACATCAAGACCAAACGAACATGAAGTGGACCAGACAATACAGTTTCTTAGGAAGTCTCAAAGGAGCAATGGAGAACACATCGTGCCCCCTTTGAAGCTTTTTCCAACTGCAAATTTTGCGGGTAAGGGTTAGATCATTCTGATATCTTATCTTAAACTTTAATGTGCCCTAATACTTAGGTACCAAGCTTCTTCTGTCATTAATGAAGATTGCAACTGAATCAAATTTGCTTACTTTTAAAATAACATTTTCAACTTTAAAATACTCAAGATTTATCAGATTAATGTTTACTCAATAATTAATTTTGTGAAATACCTGCAGCTGGTCTTGGCATTGAACTAATGGCATTCCCTAGTTATTCAGTGTGTGTCTTAGGACTTAAATTGATTTTGCTTGTTGAGTGCTGTAACTTCTGCTAACCCAGCTTCAATATTATTTCTTTCTTTTAGTCTCTTTGTTTGTCACGTCACTTTGTTTGTCTTTCCGCCTTTTGTTTTCTTTTTCTCTTATTTACTGATGTGTTCTTCCCTTGTCATGCGCCTGGCACATTGCACAGCTGGGGACTCAGTGCGAAGCACTTCGGAAGCTGCTCCAACACGCCCCAGAGCATTAATTCATCAGTACCAAGTTCCCACCTTGGATAAAAATTTGCATGTTTGGGGTGAGTTTCTGCTGTTTTGCTAGAAAAATTGTGGGTCTTATGGTGGTGGTGGTTCAATCTACCAGAGAGGTTGGAAGTAAATTTTATATAATGTGTTGTTATAATCATTCACATGTTTTCCCATAATTCATCTTATGGCTTGTTTAATTTTTGATTGTTTGCGACTACTTTCAGTCTCCTTATTTTCCCATTTGAAGTTAAATCTTATTCTGAATGACCAGTTTTAGATTACAAGTGCCAAGATTAATGGGTCCTAATTGATTTTCTGTTATCTAGTTTCAGATTCTGCTTTCTTATCTAAGGATACTGACAAGGTTTGTTACAGTGTTGTTATGAATTTGCACTTTTCAATGGCTTATGTCTCTTGGTATTTATCACTTTTGATTTGCATTTGCAGAAGAGTTTTGATGAAAATGGAAATGCATTGCAGGGCACTGGTTCTGAGCGCAAATACAAAACACGCAAAAACAAGGTATCTTGTAGCTTCAACATATGATGAGTCATTTAAATGTGTCTTTGTTTCTTATCTTCTTGCCTTTTTCAGACTGACAATAACAATTATGTGCTGTCCGAAAAGATTCCTGGACACAGAGGTGGTACTCAAGACATTAATGAATTGGTGCTTTTTATTGAGTCCCCTTCCAACTGTACTGACAAGTCATCAATTAGTGGGAAGAACACTCGGAATACCAATGGACCTGTAAATTTAAAGGATAGGTAAGTGCGCTGTCAAAAATTTTGATTGAGTTCACTTTTCTTCTTGAATGCATGTTATTGAACTTTGTTGCAGTAAACAACGCAACAGTAGTAGTAATGGCAAGCGTAGTGAGGCTGGTGGTACTAAAGTCAAGCTTGATAAGCGGAAGTCTGGTGATAAACCTAAACTTAAGAAGTCTAACAGCTTAGAGGAAATCTCTTGCACAAAACTCTCGGACCTGACCTCTTCAGATAATTCTTCAGTTAAAGGTAATTTGTCTTTTCTGTAATGAAGTATCAACCTTCAGAATTCTATAAAATTCCCCTCAACCTTGATTGTTATGTTTTTTCTAGGAACGGAGAAGCAATTGAAGAAACAGTCTACCCTGGATGAAGTTGTTATTACTCGTGAATCCCGCCAAAAGAGTGTGCGGTCTACTGGGTCCAATTGTTCAGTCTCTGATAAGGGCACTGGGAGTACGAGGTCCAGTAGTAACCGAAAACAAAGAGAGTCGTCGAGTACCCATAGAGTTACACCTCCCCCATCTAACCCTGTAGATACTGTTGTCAACACATTAGTTCAAGGTGGTGAAATCATTGGTGATCCATCTGAGTTTCATGTTGTTACAAAGAAGCAACGTAAGAAAAAACCTGGGCGCTCGTCTTCAATTGGTAGAAACGAAAGGAGCCATCATAGCACGCAAAGCAATAATTATCATGTATGTACATTTTGATGAGTAGCTACTAACAAAAATAAGTCTTATTCCTAAGGTACGACTATGAATCCTTTTGTTTATCTAGAGAGAAGCTCATTCTAGAAGAAGTGCCACCATGGATGATGGTGAAGGGCATCTTCTTTACCAATACCGCTCTGCGCCATATCGATCTGAGTCTCCAGAACATAGTCAACATCAACGCAGAAAATCCACTTCAAGCATGCCACCCAGTGACAAGAGTGCTGATAGCTCTGATTTGGACAGTGTCCATTCTTTGCCAGCTTCTACTACGCCACGCCCGGCTCTTGATAAATCTTCGAATTCCAGGTTAGTTATTTTACTTTCAATGCCTTGAAAAAAATTGTGGTTTTTCAAAGGTGCTCAGAGTTATATGGGTTGTGACATACTGTTTCAGTGGATCTACACCTCAAGTATCATATGCAGATATAGCACGAATGGCCTCGGCAATGTCTCCGCCCCAGGCTTGTCCGTTTGTGCCTGCTGCTGGTTCTCAGACGCCCATCTTGGCAGACGGTCAAACTCAAGGTCTCGCTAACAAGTGGCCTTCAGTTGGGCAAGCAAGACCCCCTGCTACACCACTGTGGACAGCCAATGTTACGCTCCACACTGCCACACCGCTTCCAGCTAGTCATGAAGAGGGAGAGCAGTGCTTTGCTGTGGCTGTTCCTGCTGTGTCTTCCTCCACCATTAGTAGCTCAACTAAACGGGATGCTATGACAAATACAGTGTCCCAACTGGAGAGTGAACCAACAGACTGTTCTTCTGTAGGAAATTTGTTGTCAGATCTTAGTTATCCACCTTTGTGTGAGAGTGGTAAAACCCCACAGACATTTCCTCCACAATCGGTGACACCATGTGTACAGACTTTCATATCTCAAGCATCTCGATCATCACCAGCCATATCACCTGGTGTAACAATGGCCAATTGTGTGGATGTTGAGGACTCTGCTAAAAGAGCAGCATCCCCAGCTGCCTTTGATAGTGTTCGTGATAATGCACGGAGTAGTGCACTGGACCGGCCTGCTGTGATCATTCTAGATGAGGCTGAAACTGAGACCCCTGTTGATGGTGACCCTGAACTCACATTTGGTTTTGAAATCAATGAGATGCTCTTATCCGGTTCCTGTGTTTTGAGCTCTGATGATGAAGCTGATATTAGACTTGAATCTACGGCTTCTGTGAATGTGGAACCTTCAATGACTTCTGTAGCCAATATCAATCTGGACAAGATAGTGGCATTTGTTGGAAGAGGTTGGTTGCCATTACTCTTTGTGTGCTTTTTTTAAAAAAAATCTCTGATGATACGATACTAATAAATATGTGAATTTTTGTTGCAGCTTGGGAAGATGTCATTAAAGAGCTGCCACGAGAGGCTGGAGCTAGGGGTAGAGTTCAATTCTACAATGGCCAGTAATGGAAGGGGTGCCCTCTCTGTTAACGTTGAGTTTGTTTTGTTTTAAGTATATTGTGTACAAACATGAAATTTTTTGGACAATTTGAGTGGCTGGAGGAACTCTGCTCTTTGTTTTTGTTGTTCTTTTTTAAATATATATTTTAATGGCTGTGCTGCTGCAAAAAAAGGTTAGCAAGTGGCCTGCCCCAGCCTTGCAAGAGTCCCGTGGCACCTCACCTTGTCAAATTTCGTACCCGGTGTCTCCTGTAGAGGTGTCAAGTGACCTTTGTTGTATGTGCATGCCTTGAATGTACTAATTTTGCCTGCATTGAGCCTAACATGGCACCTATCACTCTTTCTTTGAATGCAGCAATGTTATTCATCCGTTCCTCTGGGAATTAATCAAATGTCTGAGGAATATGATGTATAGGTGTGTGCTAATGCTGTTTGCTGTCGAATGCTTTCTTATCATGAATTGTTTGTCATGATTGAAGAAGACTCTAATTTCATGTGTAATCACTAAGGAACACTGGCAGGCGACTTAACTGCCCTAACAGACAATATGAATGGTTGCCTCTCCATTGGCTCTTTTGTTTGTCTGTTTGAGCAGTTGGTGCTATGCCAAAGTTCAAAGGATTATTCTTTGCACCAAGCAGAGACCTCTGAGCTATTAAGTCAAATGTTGCTCCCCTTGTTTCTTTGTATTGTTAAGAACAGAACTTGATTCTGTTGTTTTGTTGTACATGTCAGTCTTTACTTCTGTTTCTGTGATGAAACAACCAAGTGTCATTTTTGGGGTTTGGTCAGTGCGTGATGAGGAACTGCTATAAGATTATTTCCTTGGTGTCTTTGTTAAAATTTTACCCTTAATGGTGTCTGCTGTTTTTTAGAAAAACATTTAAATTTCATTTTGAGCTGTGGGATGCATTAACTAAATCATCTTGTTAAGTGATTTTATGTTGTTTATGTGACTGCTTATCATTAAAACTAAGAAATTCATGTCTAACTTTTGATATGAACAAAAAGATAAAAAGATTAAAAGATTGAACGTGTAAGTGGAGGTTGGTTTGCTTTACCTCCACTCATGATTGTTTGCTTTGGTTATGTTGACATTTGTAAATCATATTGTATCTTTCCTTTTACATCAAATCATATTTCAAGGATATTGAAATGTCACCTTTCGCTATCAAAGGTATGAATTATGGGAGGAAAAATAGTGAACCAAAGAAATACTTTCTTTATATTTTGTCCCCAATTTTTTCCCCCAATCTGTGTCTGTTGAATTGCCAAGTTCGTATGTGTGTTATGAGTGTACTGAGTGAGTGAATGAACTTGAAGTCGGTAGGTGGTACTTGCTAAATGCATGATGTGTCGAATTTTTTAAAAGCGAAATCTGTATTATGTATTGAAAAACAAAACGCATAAAAATAAAAGCTGATCAAATGTTAATAAGATTGATTGAGTACCTAGTCTGAATGCTGTTAGTGAAGGTCATCTTATGAACACTGACCTTCACTCGTACTTGCCAGGATCCCTTTGTGATCATGGTGCCCTAAATGCCCAATATTACTGAAAATTGGGGTAAACTAGCTAGACTTAGATCATTGAAATAGAATATTTGAAGAAAAAAAAATGAAGAAACAATGCTATATATTATTTAATTACCAGTCAATGTTGAAAGCTTAAAAGGTGCCAGTAACTGACTGCCCACCTCTCAAAATTGAAGGTTTATTTTACCATCTCATGCAATCCATGTTATGACTGGTAGGAATTCTTTGCTCAAATTTGTATTCCAACCGTCATCAACATGTGAGCATAGCCCGCAGGTATGCGTTTTATGGCATACCATCTTCACTCTGGCAAAATATGCAAACTGTACGAAATGTAACAGCACTGTTGTAAATTATTAAAAAAAAGTGAAAAATCTAGCATTTATCTTTATTTACCCTTGTAAATTTCCTGTCATGGTTCAAGCTGAGACAGTATCCAGTCTGAAGACCCAATTCACAGGGTTGAGATAAAAGAGTGGTGTAACACAATAAAATAAGGCATTGTGGCAAAAAATTTTGTGTATTCAACTAAATTTGAAAGAGTACAATTCTGAGGCAGCATAACAATCTTACGGTCATGAGGTAATGAGTGACAACATAGTAGGTCATTTATAAAACAATGCTTGCCAAGAACTGGTTATGGAAAGAAATAACCAACATCGATTAGGAACCATACCATGTTACTCCTGGAGTAAACATTTATAAGCCATTTCTCCACAGTATGTTTATGGGAAAAACATGGAATGAGGAAAAGTGCTTAATATTCCAAGACAGCAGAGTAAATGCCTCTAACTGAGTTAACAGTAATACAAAAGGAAGGGGCATAAACAGAACATGCCCTACACAATTACTCACTGTAACTAGGGATCTTAGGCAAAGGTCAGGCACAGGTTATTCATGGTCCACATTGCTATACCTCCATCCTGCACAAGTTAACATACTTTCTCACATGCCACAAGTACAATTCCACAAGTCTTGCTTTGCAGAATTAAACAATTTCAAAATTTCAAAAGGAGAGGAAAAAAAAGTCTTCATGAATCACAATGGGTTGACAAAATTTAAAAACCAAATGAAAAGAAACTGGAAGTTACAAGAAACTTATATCCATATTTCCCTTGTAAAACCTATGTTTAACTCACGAGACTGTTTAAGTGGAAAGTAAATTTTGCAACAGTAAGCATTCCTCAAGTTCCAGCAACAATTCATAATCAACTTGAAGGGAAAACCGAAACTTTTTTTAAAAAGGGGGGCGGGGATGATTTTAGTTTGTGCCACCTCGGCTCGGACCAATCACTCTTACCCCTAACATTAACAAGACTAAAACAACTGCTAGGAGTAGGAGTGAAGGCTGACAAGTTCAATTGAACTAATGAGCAGGCTGGTTGATGAAAATGCAACCTTCCAAAGACCTTGTTCTCATGCATTTATGAACTTTGCTTTAAATTACTCATAAGTTATTACATTTTTGTTTTCTACAAGTACCACACATTATCATTGGCTATGTGGCAATAGCATCACATGTTGAGGTTGTTGATTGCCTGTTAACATACGGACGAAATTAAGGGTGGCACTTGACAAAATACACTTTACAAACTCAAAAATTTGATTTAAAAATATCAGTTACCTGGGTGTTGTTGTTGAGGATGTAAATATTGAGGTACCATTTGAGGGTGTGCGTGGGGATGTTGGGGGGCCATCTGCTGCCCAGGGATGCACATGAAGGGGATGGTGTGATGCGAGGGGTGCTGGGGGTGAGGGTGGTGCGAGGGTGGGGGGTAGGCGTTCGGGGGCGGCGCCGCGGGGGAAGGGGGGTGGGATTGGGGCTGAGGCTGCCCCGACGGCTGCACGCCGCCGGACACTCCCCCCTGCTGCGGGGGCGGGCCGTGGTGGGGGTGCGCGCCGTGCGCACCGTGCGCGGCGGGGTGCGTGTGTGTATGTGGCGAGTGTGCGTGCGGCGTGTGGTGGGGCTGGGGGATGTACTGGAGCTGCTGGTGGGCGTGCTGGTGGGCCGAGTGGGGAGTGTGGGTGTGCGCGTGCGGGTGTTGGGGGTGCACAGCGATGGGGGGCTGCTGGTGGCCGTGCGGGGCGCCCGGTGAGTCGTGGTGGTACTGAGGAATGGCATTGATGGGCACCTGCTGAGCCACCATCCGCACCATTTGCTGCACCAGAGAGGGGACATGGCGTCGTCAGTACAACACAGGTATAGAATAGAGTCAAGGGCAGGCACGCACAAATCAAGTCAGTGGATCACAATAAGACATACCGGTTGGTAGGGCTGAGGTGAGTAGGGCATGGAGAAGTGTCCATGCATGGGAGCGGGAGCCAGAAGTGGTGTTCCAGTCACGTTAGCCACTTGGGCAATGTCGGGCCGATGAGGCATTGTCATTGGCACTAGAAGATAAAAATAAGGAATAAGTACTCAGAGTTACTGGAGGACGGTTAGAAAATCCAATGTAAAGTTTGCAGAAGCAAACACATACTTTTACCAAAGCGATTGCGGGGATTTGAGGAGCTGAACTGCTGTTGGTTATTAGTAACAACATAAGCAGGCATGGCCATAGGGGGAATGGGTGGCCCTTGCTGACCAGGCTGCTGTGTTACAACAGGCTGTGGATAGCTGGGAGTCTGAGGGGTGTGGGGCCGGCTTGATGTGGGAGTGCTTGGAGAACGCTGCAAATAATAATATAAAACAAGGCATTGTCAGTAGTGCTTTAGATCCTACTTCAGACCATAAAAACATCATTCATGCTCCTTACCGGTGTGAATGGCTTAGCATTGGGATTATAAACAAATTCCTTAGCATTAGGATTTAGAGTTGATTTCTTTAATGTGGATGACAGCTTTTCAACATCAGGTCCACTGTCCTTTCCACTTTTGGGTGTGGTCCTATCAGCTTCAGTGGGAGTACCAGCTGGTTGAGGCTGAGGAGTTGTAGGTGTAGGAGTGTTGACAGGGATTGTTGTCGAGACCTGTGATTGAGGAGTAGTCTGTTGGGGCTGCACTTGATTTGGTGCTACAGGAGACGTACCACCTTGAGACACTTTGTTTTTAACCTCCTCAGATTCTCCCAGTTTAAAGTCAGAACCAAACTTCTTCAGTTCAGAAACTTGTTCATCGCGACCTTAAACAAGATAACACAAGTCAGCACTTGCAAAAACCAAGAGCCAGCCATCATAAGCAAACTAAAGCAGCACTGTTCTTACCTCTCCCTTTTCTTGAGCCCTGCGGTTCAGTCCCCTGCTTCTCAGATGGGTCTCTGTCCCTTGGCTCGCGTGGCTTGCTCCCTTCCCGGGGCTCGCGGTGATGATCCCGATGGTGTTCCCTGTGTTCTTTGGCCTGGCCTTGCGACGGTGGGGTACGAGAGGGTTGAGGACCGCCAGGGCCGCCCGGACCTCCACCTCCCATGTGGGGATGCCCATGAGGCGGCTTGCCGTCTCCACCCACCATCTGGCCATCGCCACCCTGGCCAGGAGGGCCCGCGTAGCGCGGGTTCTGCCCCATGTCGGGATGGTATCCACGGTTTGGGCCTGCCAAGAGAGAATGTCAAGAAGTGGACAAAAGATGCAAAACTCCAAGGCAAATCTAAGGAATAAAAACTCACCTCCACGACCGGATATAGGGGGCCTCTGACCTCTGGCTTCCATTCCATTGACCTTGTGCTCCCTTTGAGGCAAAGGAGGTTGACCTGGATAGCCGCCTTGAGGTGAAGGCGTCATAGGATAAACACTATCTACACGCTGAGGCACTTGACCCGGATATGCAGGTTGTCCATAAGCTACTACAGCAGGGCTACCCTGCGCATACTGCACCACTGAGCCTGGAGGAGGGTAGTGAGGCGAATGATGATAAGGGGCATACTGTTTAGGTCCTTGGGGTACAGCCTGGATCTGTCCGGGGGGTCCTTGAGGAACTTGTGACACTTGAGGAACCTGCTGCACCTGTGCAACTTGCTGCACCTGGGGCACTGCCTGCACCAGAGGCATGGGCGGACCCTGAGGCCCGGGTGGAACTTGAGATGGAGCTCCCTGCAGCACTTGGCCGCTGGGAGGGCCCTGAGGAGGACCCTGAGGATTGACAGGCCTGGCCTGGGCTGCTTCTGGCCCGGAGGGCCCCTGCCCCATTCGGCGATCGTCCCCGTCCCTCCGGTCTCGGTCCCTCCGGTCCTCTCTGTCTCTCCTCTCGTCCCGGTCCCTGCGCTCATCACGATCCCTGTCGCGTTCTCTGTCTCTTTCTCTGTCTTGAGGGGACTGTGCAGGACGAGACAGTTTTCCGCTTTGAGGATTCTTTCGTTTGGCAGGGGGCACATATTTTCCCTCCGTGTTGGGACTTGAGGATCCTTCTCCAGGGCGTGATACTGCAGCAAACCTTTCTTCTTCATCACCATTTTCAAGGTCAATGCGAGCCTTGTAATTAGGATTATTTTCTATTTCATTTGCAAGCTGTGCAGCTTTAGCTTCTATTTCTCTAAAATGGAAATGATCAGTTAAGACAACATATATGAACTGCTTCAACAACTCTGACCATACAAGTTATTTACCTGTACTCTTTACTGTCGGATTTCTGTAATGGTATTGTATAGCCTGCTAAATTCTGATCAAAACTTGTAGTAACTCCATATATCTGTTCATTTTTTCGGAACATATCATGAGCATCCCAGCCATTCTGTTAACACAACAATATTTCCTCAATATTAGTAATTTCACAAAAAAAAAAAAAAAAACAACAACATTATATTGATGACTTACAGCATCTCCACTGATTTCAAGAGACAGATCATCCCCATTCATACTAGGCCCTTCCCAGGGCTCAAGTTCTCTCTCAGTAATCTGACCATTAAATTTACTGATGGCAGTGTCTGTCTGGAATGTGTCTGAAAGAAACCAATTTCATAATACACCAATGAACAAAAAAGCTATACAAAGGGTAAAATGACAAAAAAAATTAGTGGGATTAGATTTAACAAAGGAGTCATACCTCTTGTTGCATACTCCAAATCTACATCTTTCACTTCAATAGCTACAATGTCCTTAGGTTTAAATATAAGCTTTTCAACAACACTTTCTGGCCTTATTTTTGAGCTATCATCTGGATCAACTGGATGTGCCAGTTCCAAAACTATATCAAAATTAGAAGAAAATGTTCGCAACACACCCTCATGAACTAAACCGTTTTGGGTTTGAATCTGAAGAACATAAAAATGACACACATAAGAAGTAGGGAGATTTAAAAAAAAAAGCAACAAAAAACTGAAGTAAGCCAATTCTCTTTACCTGTGCAGTATTGCCAATATGACAAGTTATTGCATGCATAAAATTGGCATTATTGTAAATGCCATCGGCAACAATAGTTCGTTCCGGTCGAGCCCTTGTAGACCTTAAAAAATAGTTAGAACAAAAAATTAAGTAATACAAATTAACTACCGTTAGCTATACAAATTCCATGCGTTGAAAATCTGGAATCGAACAGGGCAAGATTTAATGGGTATAAGGTCTCAATTTGGAAACACTAATATACTTCAAATGAAGACAACATTGACTGGAAGAAGAAAAAAACTATCTTGAAATGGTGGCAAGATGCAGACAAGCAAGCTAAGGCCACATAACCTCTATGGGACATGGTAACAAACATGATTTAATGCATCAGGACCATTGATGAAAAAGAAAAAAAAATGGGTGCACACCATTGGCAAATATATGTCTTAATTGAATAATGAACCAAGAGATAAAATGGGAGAAGAATGGTGGAACTAGAGAAGTAACTTTCCACATTCAAGGCCTTGAACACAGCTCTGAGGGCGAGAAAACAAAGCAAGAATGGCCAAATTCCGAAGTGAATGTAAATTTTAATTTTCGCGTGTACAACGGCTCGAAATTTCGCTAGATAGTGGAAGACCACCGACAATTGACAAAACATTTGGCTGCGATGACGTACATTACAGACAAAACAAAATTAATTACGTTTACAGCTAAGAAGGTGGAAATTGACAAACTGAACGCATATTTGGAAAACTAAGTACCCAGGCAAAGGAGAGACCCCAATTTCTCAGGAAACCGGGAAATGACACAGACGTCTTTTCATTTAGGCCACATTAGCAATAGCAGCTAGGCAAGGGTCAACGTACACAACTTGGCACACGCGTGACACGAGTGTGTGTGAAAACAGTGTGAAGGGGATACAATAGAAATATGAAAGAATGTTGGACAAAAATGCAAGATTCACAAATTACCTTCCTGTGTTCGGACGACTTTTCCGTTTGTTGTTCATTTTACCGTCCTCGTTTCTGCCGGGATAGGCGCCTTCGCGTTTTCTTGTAGGGACCGGAATTTTGGCAGATTTTATGACAGGCTCGAAGTAAAGTAACTCTTGGCTACAATAAAATGAGTCTTTACCACTTGCTGATTGTGGTAATTTCACTGCCAGCACAAAAATATTATAAAAAACGGAGCTTTTAAATAAAGATTTCGTCAACTTTTTAGGCACAGACTTTGCCTCGATGGGCAGTTGTGTGCTAGCTCTGCGCAAGAACACAGTACTCGTGACGTAATCGATGAGTGGCTGTCAGTCATTTTACAAATAAAACCATTGTCATCCACGCATGCCCTGTGCTAATGGTTCTTTAACAAATATTTATTACAGTTGCGCAGGAAAGAAAAGACAGTTGTATCGCTAAAATAGAGAATTGAACTCTATGCATCGCCCTACTTTTTGTCCAAACTCCAAGTGAGTTAATGTTTATGGGGTACGTTCTTTCCCATCATTCGATTTTATCGTCACTCCTTTTGTTCACAATAGATATGTATTTTGAAAATTAAAAACTGTATATCTTGAAAATGATGGTCCAATGTATTTGCGGGATAAACTTTCAAATTATACACACAAAACTACTTATCTGACCACGTCTGACCTTTTTTTTCGGCCTTTCGGAAGTGAAGCGGCGGAAAGGAAGGGGCAACTTCTCCTTCTTCTCTTCTCCATTCACTCAAGGAGAATCAACCAAAAGCAGAAGACTCGGAAAGACATCTTTCCAACATTCTGAAAAATGGCCTTGTTTGAAGTCCTTTTCAAGAGAACATCTACTTTTGCGCTGACAGTTGCTGTTGGTGCGTTCGTCTTCGAGCGATCATTCGATGCTCTCACCACCACAATCTTCGATAGAATTAATGAAGGAGTGAGTATTTAGGTTATTCTGTTCTCTGAGATCTTACTCGCAATTAAATGATAAAGTCTTCGGATGATTGACAGTTTATTATATAAGTTTCAATTTTAATTGTTATGCTATCCCTTTTCACCAATGTGTCACTTCAGCAGTTCAATATAATTTCAGAAAAGCAACTTGGTCCTTTTACTCCTCACGGATTTCTTGCCAATAGTATCAATTAATTTGACTGTTGATACTTCATAGAAGTTGTACTTTACATTGTCCTTCTTCTGTAATCAATTCATACTTAAATTTTTTTCACAATTCATACACCAGTGTTGGTGTTGCTGTGCAGGCGAAGCTAACAATCCCTTCCTTATGCCTCGTTTCATCCGTTCTACACGAGTTGCATTACTAGTGATTGACTCATTTTGTCTTAATTTTTCTTATATATTTTCTTTTTTTCCCCACTTGTTTACAGAAGCAGTGGAAAGACATCAAGAAGAACTATGAACAATGAGAAACTTTTTGTGGCATGCTGTTAAGGAGCATTTTCTGTTTGTAGATATTAATTAAGTGACACAAATGTTTTGACCCTTCATTTAATATTGCTCTAGATGTGTCGGTCCATAAATGGATAATTTAGAGACAGGCCATCTGTTAAGAGTTTCTGTAAATGCTCCTGTAACTCAGGAATGAGTGCCAGAGCAATGCAATATAACAACATTATGAAATAAAACAAAATGAAGAATTATTGTTGGTCTTCTATTAATTCAAGGTATAAACCTAATTTCTTTAATTCAGAAAAGCAAGGTGGTTCTTGGAAAAGTATTTTATTGCTTTAAGTATCACAATGTCTTGTACTGTAAACTGTAATAATATGAAAAACAAACTAATTGTAACTTAAACTATGCATCCAAATGATTAAGAAAATAATGAGCTCGAAAGCAAACCTGATTTGGTAAATTGAAGAGGAGGACTGCATCAGCTTGGGTACATCGTATTGGACTGAAGTTATCCATGAGACCAGAGCTCTGGTCTCATGAGTTACCTTTCAAGAGTCCTGAAAAGGCTGCAGCTCCTCATCATAATTTTTCTTTGCATGGTTTGGTTCCTTTCTTTTGTAATTTAATGAGGCTGGTTCAAGATTCCGTGAACCATCTGCTAAACTTTCAGACTTCCGAGTAAATTCATTTGAGGGATGCAGATTTTGTTTTCTGTGTTTCTTTTTCCCACAGTTAAATTTACTTGTTTTAAGTTTGGCTGATAGTTTGATGCTAGAGTTAGACTGACATGCTACATTAGAATCTTGAGAAGTATCTGAAGATTCATCAACACTCACAAATTTTCCTTGAGAGGGTCCATGTTTTTCCATGGTTTTACCAACATGATTTCTTTTACTTGAATTGGCTTTGGTAGCCCTTAAAGTCCTTTCCCTCCCAGATTTGAGAGAGGAGCTCGCACCACTAGATAATTTGTTTCCAATCTTCTCAGAAATGACCACACTAAAAGGCAACTGTTTCCTTGCAGCTTTTGTCCGTATAGATGGAAATGATGAGGAATGTAGAACAGATGTGTGTGAGAGATTCTGCTGTGTCAGTTTGGAGGGCCTACTGACAATGGGATTGTCTTCATCATCATCACTTGAGGAATCATTTTCCTCCGAGTTCAGGTCACTATTGTCAGATAGCGGTTCCGTTTTAGGTCTTAAGAAGGGCTGCTTGAGTACCGATTGCCCCTCAGGGATGTTGAGTCCAGCTTCTTCAGGAGTCATGGCATAGAAACATTGCTTGTAGTCTGGGTGTTCATTTGTCACACTATGGATGTTCAGTAAATGGTGACGCAGTGATTTGTGACTGGAATATGCCTTGGAGCAAAGCAAACATCGTAAGTGCTTAATTCCAGAATGAGTCATAACATGGGCCTTCAAGCGCGATGGCTGGCTAAATCCTCTTGAACACCTGAAAAGGAGAGAAAACACACTTTATATAGCCAATGCCATTCAATATTATGATGCACTGAAATGATACATTTGTACTTACAGGGGACATTTATAAACTAAGATGGCTTCATGAACCATGGCAACATGCCTTTGAAGATATTTGGCAGTTGAAAAAGCCTTTCCACACTGTGTGCACAAGATTTGGGTGCGATGGTCATGAATCATTCTATGCTCCTTCAGAGAATGACTATTTGTAAAGGTCTGCACAAAACAAGCAAACTGATTTTTAAAAGTGATTTTCAGTTTTATCTGAAAGGTAAATAACAGAGAAACAAGCTTACCTTTCCACAAAACTCGCAGCTTACAAGACCCTCACCTGTGTGCTTACGAATGTGATACTTCAGTTTCTGAAAAGATGTTTAAGGCTTAATAATACAAAGAGACCCAAAAACACAATAATTAGTCATAAAAGTGTTGCCAAACCTGTTTCTTAGAGAATATTTGACCGCAATAAGGGCAACCACATGCTTCTTCACGAGTATGGACTCGGATATGTGAATTACAGGCACCTTTGTCACTAAAGGTCTTTTCACAGAAAGAACACTTAAAAGGCTTCTCCCCTGAAAATACACACATTTATTACCAAAAATAATGATTGAAAATCTTGCTAGATGCAAGCATTTATTTTTGGCTGAGATCATCCTCTGATGGATTATGCCACTTGTTTATACCTGTGTGGATTCGGATATGCCTCACGAGATTGGACCGTTGGACAAATTCTTTGTCACAGTGAGGGCATTTGTGTCTAGGTCCATTATGTATCAATAAATGTTCGTTGTAGCTGTCTCTTCTCTGAAAGGAAAAAAAAGGAAGACACCATATAGGGGAAATGTTACAAAGTACAGCCAACGATTTCAGCACGGTCATTGTTCTGCGTCTTACACTGAACTCCTTCCCACAAAATTCGCATTTGGACAAGCTCATTTTCTCATGAGTTTGTTTGTGTCCATACATCCCTGACTTCGAGGCAAAACCTTTCTGGCAGATAGGGCAACTGAATGGGCTATCACCTTTGTGATCTTCAGCATAATGTTGCGCTCTAGGAGCAAAATACAATCTCTCTTGAACAAGATCATAGAGTTAAATCACCAATTACAAAAGTACAAAAGTAGAAAAAAAAAGATACCTTTCAGACTTTGAGTCAAATTTCTGTTTACATATCCGGCATAAGAATCCCACACGTGTAGAGTTGAAATGTTTCATGCGGTAATGGATAGAAAGTGCTCTCTTACTCCATAAAACCTTTCTGCACAATGTACAATGTTGAGGAACTGAGCCACATTGAGTATTCTGCAAGTTTCAAAGTATAAAAAAGATTCAAAAAATTTAATATGAGCAGAATAGATTTAGTCATAATCAGATTTAATTGTACCTTTAAATGAACAAAGTATGTCTTCCTTGACTTCAGTATAAGGTTACATTTCTGACAGCGAAACACAAGAAGGGATACATGAGATTTCCGAAAGTGCTCTTGAACAAGAACAAATGAAGGAAACAGAAAATGACATAAGCGGCAACGAAAACCAATGTTGCCTAAGAATTGATTGCCATCAGTATGATAATGCCTCATGTGTTTTTTTAGACATACCTTAAAGGAAATAACAAAATTGTAAGGCAAAAATTATTATCATCAAAACATTTTTTTTTAAAGAAAAGAAAAAAAAATGAAATACTCACTTTACTTGTGAACTGCTCATGACATAAGTAGCACTTCAACATCAGGTGTGTAGCATCATCTGAATGTTCAGACACTTCGTGCTGGCTACGTTCTGATGCAGTCCAAAATTGTGAGTCACAAATACGACAACCCAGAGCAAATGCATCTAAAGCTGAATCATCTCTATGTTTGTTATGAATAGTTTCCATATGTTTTAGTATACCTCTCCTTGACATACAATGGAAAGTACAGATGGTACACGAAAAATGAGAGCGTCCTCTATCATCCAGATTGGCAGAATGCTGAGAAAGAAAGAAAAAAAAATCAGAGAGTTCATATACTAAGAGACCAAGAGTTTACATCACATTATGGTGGATTACAAGCATTTGGCCTTACCCAGCATGTGCTGCCTTCTGATTTGGCCTGAATATGGTGAGCTATTAAACCTTGTTTTGAGTAAAATGCGGCACCACAACCACCTCTGTTTTTAAAACAAGTGAACACTTTTCTCTTTGTTTTCAATTCTTTACCGTGAAAATCATCTAAGCTAAAGTCACACTCCTGCTGTGGGACAGCACTGGCCTCTGCCAATCCCCGGACTAAAAACTTGTGAGAAGTTTGCAAGTGTTTTAGGAGCCCATTCCTTCCTTCCGGTTCTAAAGCTTGATAATGACAGAGACCACATGAAAGTTGCTTTTCTTTATCTCTCCTGTGTAAAACATTCAATTTTTTATCCACAGAATCAACTTCTTCAAAATCACTATCATCATCTCCACTTGTATCAGTAACCACACATTCAATTTCAGAGGGGTTTGCAGACAGCTCCCATTCAGACTGCTCCTCTGTTAGTGGCTGGGCAGTGTCATCAACATCATCAGAATCTTCATCTAGAAACAATGAACTTCCCCCCGAAGAATCTTCTTCACCACTTATTTCTTTTTCTTCTACTTGTTCAATAGAACATATTACACTTTTTCTGTGTGATTCTGTAGGTGGTTCAATGCTCATCATACTTTCTTCTTTCTCATGCCCTTTTGGTCCATCTATCTGCATCGAATCTCCACTCCTAAATTTTCTTTCAGGAGCCACAACTTCACAAAAGCTACCTTCATGTTTCAGTTCATAATGTGAATAAAGCTTATCCATTATGAACCAAACCAAATTTTTGAACAAAATTTTGAGCTACAAAATAAATGATGAGTGAAAATCCATGGATTTGAGAGACCAATTACAATTCTTGCACCCCATTTAGATGACCATCATGAAATAATAGCATCATATGGATTGGATCATGCTCAAAGAACCATTCCCTAGACTTCATTCTAGAAAGGTAATGCACAAAGTAGTTTTTCTTGATTGAAGACTTGAGTGAAACTAAAATATTAATGGGTCTTCCCATTCATATGAATCTTTTGACTTTTCTTTTACAGCACCTGCAACAGAATTAATGGGATTCGATTCATGAAGTGGGAGCGGAAATCTGAGCAAATAACAGCAATGAGATAATTTTTAAAAATCTATTTGGATTAGTATGAATTTGAAAGTCAAACGTTTCCACAAATGCGAATTGTCTAGTGAAAAGCAAAAAGACTACAGATAAGGAAAGGGCTCCCTCTTTAGAGAATTGCAGAAAAGGACGATCCCAGAACCCGGCATTAACCTCAAAAATTACGGAACACGTCTCAAAACAATAGTGGACATAGCGAGATAAGTACAAATTAACTGGATTCTCACCATCCCGGTTTGCCGAGTTTGCATGACCGAAAGTCTGATGAACGGCGGTTAGCAACAACAGAATAAGCAATGGTGGGAACTCCTGCACAACAAGTTTGTCTTCCAAGACCAATTCATCGCTAAACACAAAAAAAAATTAGAAAAATGGGTAACTTTATGTACGCAAATCATTGATTGCGTAAAAAGAACTGTCTGAGGACCATCGTATAGACTGCGTCCAGCCGATGACAACGTCCACAAAACAACAACAAAGGCTTTGTTTTGTTCGGCATCACCCATCCACCACCCATCACCCGTCCGCGCCGCGCCGGGTCTGCAGGCAAAGCGCACCCCACCCCTCACCCACTCCCCTTCCGCCGCTTGGCGGCTTGGCCTAAAGGTAGCGACTTCGAAAGGTAGTCTCAAAAATTGTGAACCCAGCACATCGTTTTTCACCCTTTATTACTGTTTCCAGCTTCCGCAGCGATACAGACCATTCAGAAATGACAAGCTGCCACTTCGCCGGATGGGAGGGGGTGGGAGGGGGTGTGCGATGTGAGGCACAAAAGGTATTCCACTCCACAAAAGTCTAGAATAATGAATAAATCAACAAGTGAGTCCATATGCACCCATATTTTGTTGAATATGTTGTCAAAAACAACTAGCATCAAGGAGGACGAGAAGAAAGAGGGAGGGAGGGAGGGAGGGAGGGAGGGGGAGGGGCGGTGGGGGAAGACAATTGCAATATGGAGTCAGGGCTGCTCGAATTGCAACCCAACTTGAATCTCGAGTTGAATGGTGATGTGTCTTTTCAGTTTTTTCCAGAGTGATGTCAACGATGGCAGGTTCTTGGAGACCGGCAAACTTTACTGGAAACATAATGCAGTGTCTATTTTTTCAATGTTTAGTTTTAGTTTTTCTAGTTCAATTGTATCCAGCTAGTTGTGCTCCCGAAATAGTGAGACCTCGAGGGGTGGCCATATCAAGTAAGTGCGTGCTTGCGTAGGTGCAGCTCAGCTACGTGTGCGGTGTCAGTTTCAGCTTAAAATTGACGCCCATTCGCTGTGACTCTGGTACATGTTTGTGTTCCTGCGTTCTTTTGATCATGATCTTAAGACACTGGCTTTCCTTGCCCTATCCTCTGTACTATTAACTTATGCACTGTGCATTGCTGAGGATTCCTTGTAATACATAACCTACCTGATGTTTATTTTATTCTATCTGTCTGCTGTTTGTCTAATATTTTTCCGTAAATTTTCAGAGGCACCATTGTACGACCCAGAGAGAGATTTTAAATGCCTTGATGGATCTAGGACATTGCCTTTTTATATGGTAAATGATGACTACTGTGATTGCCCTGATGCATCGGATGAGCCTGGCACCGCAGCCTGCCCAGCGGGATCCTTCCACTGCACTAATGCAGGCCACAGTCCTCTGAATATTCCCGCATCTCGTGTTAATGATGGAATCTGTGGTATGTTTTAGTGCACCCCCTCTGGTGTTGTCACATCCACTGTTTCCAATTAAAACATTCCTAACACTTGCTGATCCACAGATTGTTGCGACGGAACTGATGAATATGCTACCTCAGCTGGATGTGAAAATACTTGTCTTGAACAAGGCCGTTCTGCTCGAATGGCAGCACTGCGTCAAGCAGAGCTTACTAAGCAAGGAAATGAATTACGACTCCAACTGATCCGCCAAGGCAAACAGCTTAAAACTGACAAAAAGGTAAACTTCCTTTTGGTGGAATGTTGTCATTTTTTCGGTCGTTCAAATTTTGTATTGCTTATTTGTGTCTGACTCTTTTTATCTAGGCCCGACTAGAGCAGCTACAGAAGGACCGTGAAGAAGCTGCTAAGATCAAACAGGAAAAAGAAGCTCTGAGGAATGCTGCAGAGGAACTTGAGAAGGCAGCTTTAGAGAAATACCGTCAAGTGAGTTCTTGTTTCTTTTATTAGATATCTTTCAACAAAACTTTATTGTACAATTGTACCCACTTCATATTCCTTAGGCTGCTGAGGAAGAAAGAGCCAAGCAATCTTCAGCAAATCAGGAAGAACAAGAAGCTTTTGAACATTTCCAGCGATTTGATTCAGATCATGATGGCTTGTATGTTTAACATATTTTACTCATTAATGCTATAAATTCTTTAAAGTGGAAAGTATCTTGTCAGTTTGTACAAATTACTTTTTCCTTTTCAGCATCCGCATTAGTGATCTGCAGTCCCGACAAACATTTGACAAGGACAAGAATGGTGAAGTGTCTGAAGAAGAAGCAAAGGTTTGAGTTTTCATATTTTGCATTATACTTCATTGATCTTTGTTGTAGCTTTAATTTGGTCTGCCAACTCTTTATTGTCTTCTTCCTTCCTGAGGCAAGATATTGTAATTAAATTAATCTCTTTCTTAATGTTGGTTTCAAATTTAGTATTTCATGGAAGAAGATGAACTTGACTGGAGCACCTTCTATTCTCAAGCGTGGCCACGCATGAAACCGTACATTATGATGGAAAAGGGGTTATTTGCACCTCCCACTACACCATCTCCGAGCATTGAGGCCCCAGTAAGATTATTTCTCTTCTTTACCACTTCATACCAATTATGTTTGTTTATTCCATTTGCATCCTATTTATGATATCCCTGCGGTCTTCTTTTTAAGGGTGATAATGCAGAGGAGTTTCCGGCTGACAATGGTGAGGATGAAGAAGAGGAAGATGCTAATGCAGATGGCAAATGGGCTGCTGATGCTGCTGCCGAAACTGATGATGCTGCTGCTGATGGAGATGAAGCATCTGCTGATGCTGGTTCTGAAAATGATGAAGCTGCTGCTGATGTTGTGGAAGAGACACATTATGATGAAAGCACACAGAATCTTATTGAAGGTATTTATTTTTCATTGAAAGTTGATATTTAAATCTCTTATGTTCAGCCAATAATAATGAAGTTAAAATTTCCATGGTAATTTTTAGAGGCTCGTAAGGCTAGAACAGAATACGAAGATGCTGACAAATCAGTTCGAGATGTAGACCGTGAAATCCGTGACATTGAGGATGCATTGGGTAAAGACTTTGGCCAAGCTGAGGAATTCGCCACACTGCAAGGGCAATGCTTTGAATACACTGACAGGGAATACACTTATAAAATGTGTCCATTTGACCAGGTACTGCATTTGACAATTCCAGTGTATTAAAAATATATTATGTAGTGTAAGTAATTTTCTGTGCTTCTTGCTCTATAGGTCACTCAAATCCCAAAGAACGGTGGCTCTGACACAAGACTGGGAACTTGGGGCCGATGGACTGGCACTCCAAATAAGTACTCCACAATGTTTTTTGAGCATGGTCAAGGTTGTTGGAACGGTCCTCAGCGCACTGCCACTGTGAGTGTTCTTAACTTTCTGGTTTCAACTTTCTACTTTTATCCCTGCCTTCCCCTCCAAATTCTCTTGTTTGGTATAATTGCAACTTCAATATCTTTTTCAGGTGAAACTTGTGTGTGGTCTTGAGAACAAGCTTACTGCCGCTAGTGAACCAAATCGCTGCGAGTACTTATTTGAATTTTCTTCTCCTGCGATGTGTGTGTCAGAAACAGATTCAAATCCTCACGATGAGCTATAGTACACCAAATGTAGAACAGTGTTCTCACTTGTCACAGGGTTTTGAAAGAATGGGAATAATTAATGATTCGATAATACCATTTTATAGTGCAGGTGTCCTGCAATTCAAGTCATGATGGAGTATTATGTTAGGTTCTATTTTTCTTTGTTGGTGTACAAATGTATAAAGTTAGCAATAAGTGTTCTACGCCTTTCTAAGAACTTCAACAAAAGATTGTTGCTCACAGTTAGCTTATTATTGCTGGTTATGAAGAAGAGAACCTTGGAGAGAACTTTCCTGAATTAGAGTGATTTGCTTAAGTATGTGTGTTTGTGCAATTCTATATTGTGGAACAGATGTAAGCTGACTGTGATTTATATGAAATGAGTGAGGGGCCCCATGTTTAATTATTTAGTTAATATGGTTTGGAGATTTAAAAAAAAAAACAAAAAAAAAACTGTTTTGTTCTGCACAAACTGAGCCAGTGCTTGTATGATGCAGTGGGGTTCGAGTCTGTTGTTATTAATTTGTGTACTTCCTTGATGGTATCTGCTGTCTGCTCATTGTTCTTTGATATGATGTATTATGGTGTTTTGAAGCATGCCATGTTTCATCTGCTGTTTTTTCTCATGTGTATTTCTAGCTCTTCAAATTCCTCTTCTAGGGATTGTTTTGTCTTTTTCGAAGAGCCAATCGCACATAGTTTTACAATCTGACTGTCTGTTGTTGTTAGTTTATTTCAAATAATGTTGCCTATTTAATTTTGTTTTTTAAATTACATGTTGGATTTTTCAACATGGACTGTAAAGATGCACTCCAGACCTGTGAACTCTCCCCCCCTCTCTCTTTTTTAAGTGCAGTTCTCTACCTTAATTAAATTTTTTTTGTCCTTGGGTCTTTATCCACTTACTACAATTTGAAGTTCAATCTTCTTCCCAGGTGAATGCATTTCTCATGGAACACTGATTTTAAGAAAGTAAAGAAGGGACCTTACTGATGTTGTTGTTTGATCTAGACTGAAATTTCAAAATCTTAGATGTGCTTCTAAGAATTTTTCCCAGTATGAGCAATGGGCAACAGTGAAACTTGTCTGTTTCAAAATCAACCAGCATCCATTTAGGAATTACTGTTACCATAATTGACCTGATTTGGTGTGTACAGGTCAAAAGCAGTTTTAAGATATTTACAATATAGTTAAAGGAACAATTTACTGCCACTGTGGTTAGATTTTGCCGTAGATCACACTTCGATCAAATTGTGCTATTTGTTACTTTTGGGGGGGGGGCATAAAATAAACAGGCTGTAGACGAATTCGGATGTTAAAAAATGATGTTTTCAATCATGTTTATGCTAGTAAAGGACATTCAAGTAATGTGACCTGTTTAACTGGAAGTTATTAGTACATTCCATGGTAAATTTGTGAAGAAAGTGTAATCTCTTTTCAGGAAGTCTGATGATATTCAATAAATCCATTCCATGCCACTGCTTATTTTTTATTTACTCATGTAGCTGAGCCCAAGATCAAATGTTGGCTAAATATTCATTGCAACTACACTGTACTGACACAATTAATATTTATTAAATCCCATCTAAGATGTTAGATATGGACAGTAACAATAACTTAAAAATGTAGGCAGGGTTATGTCAAAGAATTAAGAATTTCATACACAGGATCAATCAAAGAATGAATATAGCACTGAAATAATTTGTAATAGCAACTTCAAACAGATATGGATTCTAGATGAACACTGACTCTCTTTTCAAGCTTTTGGTCTGCAAGGGTCACATGCACTTCTCCCTCCCTGAAAAGATGCAAGATGTTTGTTAAAGCAGTCAAGTTGCAATAGCATGGGGCACTTTTTTCCCTTTTTTTTTCTGAAAGCTCTTACCGCCCAATTGTGACCTCAACTTTCACAGAAGAAGTAGCTGGAACACCTTCCAAACAAGCCTGGAAATAATCAATACAGTATAGAGGTAAAAGTTGCTTGAAAATTTCAAATTAAATCATTTAAACCACATACCTGGCCTAAAGACCGACTGCCCTGAATGAATGTCAACTTGAGTTCACTCTTGCCCTCAGGGACAGTGACAGTGAATGGCTTCCGTAGAGGAATTGGGCAGGATGCTTGGGCAACAACTTCTTTTGTGTTCATCCCTTCCACCTAAAACATTGCATTAAATAAAAAACAACCAATGAACTAAAATCCATTTTCAGTGAATCAAGTCAAAAGCACAACTTTGTTAAGTGTAGATTCTATAGTAAGCTAATATTACTGGAGCATATTGGTACTATTAAACATAAAAAATCATGGCACGCACAATCTAAAAATAGAAGAATGCTTACCTGAAACTCCACTGTTTGAGAAATGGCATTAACATCTTCACAGAGTTGAATGCAGTCTCCATTCCAACCTTTCGGCACAAAGCTTGCTTGCACAGCTGCACCTACAGCTATAACTTCGTCAGGACTGATGAGAGGACCAAGGCCAAGGACTTCAGCATCAGGGACCATAGCAGACAAAGCTGCTTGCAAGCGAGGAATTTTTAAAGAACCCCCTGAAACAACCACCTTAAAAGCAAGCAAGGATACAATTACATTTAGATAAAATACAAGGGGCAATTATTGGAATCAGTTGGCCATTACTCACCTTTTTAACATCTTTAGGTGTAATACCAGCACTCTCTATTGCTTTTGTAACAGGTTCTAAAAACTGTGTAATTAGAGGCCCAATAAGTGATTCAAAACGGGAACGGCTAACATTTGAACTTAGGTCTACACCATCCACTAGAGATTCAACAAAACAATGGGATGATTGCATAGTAGACAGAACATGTTTACAAATTTCTGCAGCTCCTTTTAATTTGGCCATTGATCTACGGCTTTCTGTTACATCTAATTTGTATTTCCTTTGAAAAGTAAACAGAAAAACAGTACAATTAAGTTGCAAGTGGGGAAAATGAATAAGATACTTTAGATAAAAAGACTTACTGATAGTATTCCTTGGCCAAAAATTTAGCTAGTTCTTCAGTGAAGCAATGACCTCCAATGTTGTGTTGATGGATATTTGTTACAAGTGTATACATTCCAGAGTTAAACCAGAATACAGTAACATCGAGAGACGCACCACCAACACGGTAAACAACAGCATACCTGTAACACAGATCATACGATAAATACCACTACTTTTTCACAAATGTGAAAAATAGGCCTGTGTGCTTACCCTTCTTCATTTAGATCTACTTGACCGACATTGTGCGCCAATAGTGTTGCAGAAGGTTCATCAATAACTTGTAAAGCTTTAAACCCAGCTTCTTCAGCAGCACGCACTACTTCTTTCCTGCTAGCTGAGCAGAAGTTAACAGGGACTGTAATGACAGCTGGAAGAGTTGTTTCCCCAGTGTGTAGTGAGCTTGAGGCAGTTTCTGAAATTTGGACAAGCAAACTAAAGACAAACACAAAACAATACAATTATACACAGACAATGTCACAAGCTTTACCATGAAGTTTACGATACAACAAAGAGTGAACTTGGTCAGGAGTGCGCTTGGATGTTTTTCCTTCCCACTCAACTTCGTAGTGAACTCCATCATCGTTGGGTACAATTTTGCAAGTACTACGAGAGATGGCATCGGCTAATTCTTTCTCTGATATACTCATGTTCATGAGCGTCTTGTTGTTCGTAATGGTGCAGGCCCCAAACCGCGCCATGCCACTCTTCGCAGCCATACCAACAATCTAGATAAATAAGACAGACAGGTGTTTGAAAGGATCATACCAAATGTGAACCTGCAGACTAAAATTTAGCCAATGAAATACCTTCTCATTGTTGCGATACGAGACAACGGCAGGTATGAGACGTTCTCCGCTGTCACTAGCCAGGACATCAGCTTTTCCATCCTACGTGAAGAGAATCAGACGAAATAAACTAAACGTTGTTGGATGTAACAGTGACACAAGCTCATTCATTGTTTATTTTCCAAAGTTCCAATTACCTTGAAGATTCCAACACACCCAGATGAGTTTCCAAGATGAATGCCAAACAAAGGTGTAGTCATAGTGGAGCGTTATTGATAGAAATATATATAAATCACAAATAAGTAGATATCACAGAGAGGTTATGATTCTCTTGTCTTGAATGACGGCATGGCGGCTCGGCGTCGTTTGTCGTTTGTCTCTGTGCAAACCGAGATCGGGTGCACCACCCTACAAATCATGTTTCACGCTGATTTCGAAGTCAAGCGTTGTTGATTATTGTTTAAAATAGCACCTAAGCTGGCCTTGATGATTTCAATGAATCGAGTATTTTGCGAAAAATGTGTTCCGTTCGGTTCGTGAGATAATCTGTGGATGGAAATAATGGTATGGTTGGTGGTACACGTTATCATTTCCGGTTTGTTGCCAAGATACAAACAACCAAACAGACTTGACAGTCCCATCTACTGCTCAAACTTTGTTTTCCATTTGTGCCATATAGCTGGTCACTTATAAGTACCATCAACAATGTCAATTTTCTTCTACTACTTTTCTGAAGTAAATCCCCTGGAAGACTAGCTACCATAAATATCAGTCAGAGCAAGTTCACCATTGATCTTTCAAGAAAGTAGTCTTGGACTAGTTTACTGATTTTGGTGCAAAGGCCGGCTCAAAAATGAATCAAAGTGAAGCTAGTTTATCTTTGCCTGGCCTCCAGCCTGTGGCATTTTTTGGTCTCCGCACTGGAGTGAAGGGGAATGCCTATTTTCTAACAGATCATGATATACTTTATCCTGCTGGGTCAGTTTTGGCTATTCATAACCACATTCAGAAACACCAGAAGTTCATGAAATTAGTAGATCAGCAACATGGAAAAGAGCAGCATCCGAAGGAGCAGCATCCAAAGGAACCACATTTAAAGGAACATGTTAAAGACCATTCAAAGGACCACCATGGGAAGGAGCAGCATTCAATAAAAGAAATAGTTCTTAGCCCCAGCAGGTAACTAAGTTTAAAATTATTTTTTTAAAGTAACTTTGAACTGTTCCAAATTTACCAAAATCATGTTTTTCAGAAAGATTGCTGCTATCACTGAATACGCAGAAAAACCCTTCATATCAATATATGACTTAGAATCTCTTAAACGCAAAAGGGTTTTATATTTATCTAGTGACTGTGAAGCTCAAGAGTTTGTCACATTTACCTTTACAAATGATGGAAAATACCTGTTGGCTGTTACTGGTGAGCCAGATTGGTCACTGTACTACTTCAATTGGGAAAAAGGGAAAATGGAAAGTACTTGCAAAGCAACTGTTGTAGGCAATTCAGGAACTGTAGCTCAGGTCAGTCACTTTATTTTCTAGCTTGTTTATGTTTGATATGATACATCTTATACTTAATAAACATATATTGCTTCAGGTGGCAGCCCATCCAACTGACAATGCAACTTGTGTCCTGGTTGGTCAAGGGCTATTTCGCTTAATGATGGTAACTGAAACAGTGTGGAGGCAGTTTGGATGGCAGAAAGCTGACCAGTTGTCACTTTCATGTGTAGCTTATTTGACATCAGAGAGAATCCTTGCTGGCACTAAGGATGGGAGGCTTGTTCTTGTAGAAGCTACCGAGCTGAAGGGTGTTTTCAAAGCTGCAGAATTGAAAGAGTTGGATCCAAAGTCTCTTGAAGTGTAAGAGGATAGAGGCACAGTGATGCATTATTTGTTAAGTTGTCAGATTTTACAATCTGACAACTCAGCAAATACTGAATTTTCTTTAGTGCATCTCTGGTAATAATTATTTTTCCTCATAGGCAACAATCGTCAACAAGCCTCACTTCAGCTGAAGCTGAGATTTCAAGTGATTCTGAAGTTCGTAGCCTCATATCTTTTGACAAAGGATTTGCTTTCAGCCTTGGAATAGGCTTGATACATTTATTTGAAGTCAATCCCAATCAAATATATAGGAAAAGAAACATATTTGCTATACCAACCTCAGATTTTGATAGAATGTATCCTACTAATCTGAACACAGTGCGACATCTCTGTATAAATGTATCTCAAGACCGACTCATAGCTACTACTGACCGGTGCCAACTGTACACTACAAGATTATGGGGTGCAGATATCAGCCAAGTAAGCATTTTTTCATGGTGAGGTAATAAATGGTGTGAGCTTTTCAACTGCTGTATCACTCTTTTGCTAATTAATTTTTTCTCAATTTGTTTTTAGATTCCCAGAATAACCATGAAGCTACTAGGACAACAACTGCATCATGGGCCTGTATCAGGACTGGCAGTGTGCGCTTGGAAACCCATATTCATGACAGTAGGTCAAGTTGATAGAACAGTCCGCTTGTGGAACTATCAAACAGAGACCCAAGATCTGATAAAACAGTATATTGAAGATATATTTTGTATAGCTCTGCACCCGACCGGTTAGTGCAGGAGGAGGGTAGTGTTGATTTCTTAAAGTTCTGCTTCCTTCCTTTCTAAAATAATTCTCATCCAAAGCTGAGGGTGTTACACCCCCCATCCTTGACAAGTTTATTATTGTTTTTTTTTTTTTGCTCTAAGGTCTTTACGCTGTCCTTGGATTTTGTGACAAATTGCGTTACATGACTGTGCTCATTGATGACCTGCAAGAACTAAGGGAATTTCCTATCAGGAATTGCAATGCCTGTAGCTACAGCAACAATGGGCATATGTTTGCTGCAGCTAATGGGAATGTTATTGAGATATTTTCCACAATCACTTTTAAAAGACTGCATACCCTGTCGGGACATTTTGGCGAGGTAAATGACATTTGTGGAACCTCAGAAAAGAACTCATTTTATTGATCAATATATTTTTCTTCTTAATATTGTAGATCCAGAGGATGGTATGGGCCCCTTGGGATTGGAAAATTGTGACTTGTGGGTTAGAAGGAGCTGTATATGAGTGGGATGTTGCAGCTGGAAATCGCATAGGAGAAGTCATAACTAAATCATGCAGCTGCTCAGATATCTGTGTTACAACTGATGGGAAGATTACCTACAGTGTGGGTAGTGATGGATATATAAAAGAGATAACAGCCTCGCAGGTAAATGCACAATTATTAGTAGACCACCTATTTCACTCCTACATTTATGAAATAGCTGAGGATTTGTTGATATTTCAGATTGTGCGAGAGGTGATGATTGGTGATGCAAGAAAATCAGACCCTGTAAAACTGGATGCTGTTGTACTTTCACGCTCGAATCTAATGTTATTTACAGCTGGATTGAATGGTGTTATTTATTCTGTCAAGTATCCACTCACAGATCCAGCAGTTTATGCTGAATACCATGTTCACTATGGAGATGTAGCTCATGTGAGTGACTTTAAAGTTCCAAACTATTAGAAAAAATTATTGAAAAAAGATGTTCTTGATTTTAATGCTCTAAATTATATAAATTTTCTCAGATGAGGCTAACATACGATGACAAAGTTTTATTGTCTATTGCTAAAGATGGTTCTGTATGCATATGGAATCTCTCAAACACAGAGGGAAAAACTGTAGAAATGGATAAAGAATTTTCATATTCAAAAGAAATTCTTATTAGCAGAAACGAACTAGAGGTATGGAATGAATAAGTCATGTCTGTCATATATAAAGTGATGAAAAATTGAAAGAAATGGAAACTTGTTATGTCCAGGAAAAAATATTAACAATAAAAGATCAACAAATACGGCTTAATGAATTAGAAACTGAGCATGCCTACAACACCCGTAAAATGGAATCTGGATACCAAGATAAAATTCGTGAACTGACTGAGGGATATCGGACAGTTGTTGATGAATTGAAAGTGAAAAATGAGGTAACTGGTCATTTATTCATATGTATTAATATGATTTTAGAAATACTAATTTTTTTTCTTTGACAGAATTCAGAGGCTGATCATGTCTTGGAAATGAACAAGATTCAAACTGATATATCAGAGATGAAAGCATCTCATGAACAAGCTATGCAAACACTAGAAACAAATTATTATGGCAAATTAATAGTTGAATATGATAAATATACTGCTTTAGACACTCGCACCACAAACATGAGAGACGATTATGAAAGGTACCTGTTTGTCACCCAGCATCAACTGTTTTCAATATTCACTGTTATAAAATATACCTTGACTGTCATATTTTTAAATACTTATTCAGACAATTGGCAACACTTCAAGAATCTAAAGAAAAGGCTCTCTCTGAGCTCGCCAACCACTATGAAAATTTGTTGCACAAAAAAGAAGCAGAACTTGAGCAGGTTAAGCAAAGTTATATCTCATAGTAATTTTTAGGAGAATTTTTTTTCTCTTCTCTGACACAAGAAAGGACACATTTCTCATTTTCTAGATTCAGAAACATTTAGAACAGGAGAAAGTCGAACATGAAGACATAAAGCAGCAAATAGAAGATGACGCAGATCGTGAAATTGTTGCTTTGAGAGCCTTGTATGAGAACCAGCTGAGGGAAGAACGAGACAACAATGTTCGCCTGAGAGGAGAAGCTGGTGTTATGAAGAAGAAACTTATAGGGTGAATGTCTATTGATCATTGAGAGATCACTGTAATAGAACTAGAAGCAACCTATCCTCTGATTATTTCAGGTCTCAAAAAGAAGCAGATGAGCTTAAACGTCAGGTTATCCAGTTACAAGGAGAACAACAGCAGTATCAGCAAGCTGTTCATGCTCTGGACCGAGATGTTCTTGATTTGAAAAAGGAGGTTGTTGAGAGAGACTCGACAATTCAATTTAAAGAAAGGAACATCTTTGATTTAAAAAAAGCAAATCAAGAACTCGACAAATTTCAATTTGTTTTGAACTTTAAAATCAGAGAACTGAGGAATGTGATTGAACCAAAAGATTTGGAAATAAAAGAGAAGAAGGAGCAGATTCAAGATGTAAGTAAAACTGCATTACAGAATTTTATTGTCTGTTTACCTTTCGCAGTTTCCCTTTAAAGATTGCAGCTTTTGCTATCATTTTTCATAGATGGAAAAAGAGCTTGAAAGACTACAGAGAAATAGTGAGAATTTAAAAGTTGAAATGAATGAATTGCGTGAGAAACTCTCAGGGACAGAAAGAGAGTTACAGTCTGAGAAAAATGGCCACATCAACACACATCGCTTATTAAAACGATTATGGGTTGATCTGCATAATACATCATCTCTCATTCAGAATTCTAAAGAGCTCCCTGATGCAATGAAAGTAAGATAACTTTTTTGAACTGAGAAAAAAGAACCCAATTTGCTTTCCTACTTTGTTACTAATTCAAATCCATTATTAGCTGCTATACCAAAAATACAGAGGAAATCCAAGCCTCCTGCTCAGTAGAGCTCAAGATACTGATGCACAAGCTGAGTTTATGCGTCAGAGAGAGCATTTAGAAAGAACTGTTGCATCATTGAAACAACAGGTTTATAAAGGAGGCTTATCAAAGCAAGGAGATTATGCTAGAATCATGGAGGTAAGAACTGAATTTTTCATGTCCAAGTATTAAAAGAGCCAAAAGCACCCTTATTAACCAACTGGATTAACACATTTTTCTGGGGAAATAGGAAAACATTTATTTGATAGAAGAATTAAATTCCGTCCGGAATACTCTCAAGAAGACAAGAAATACTTTGCAAAACCTTGAAATGCTTCTTGGCATTTCAGCATCTGCAAGTTCTAGGGTGGGTAATGCTTTAGAGCTTCAGGAAAGGTTACAGAAAGCACTGCGGCAGCAGGAAGAAAGGGAAGAGAAAGGAACTGAGAAAATTGTGGTGAGCAAGACACATTTCCATATTTTAGAGAAAATACTATAATGGGAGCATATGCACTGAAATTAAAAAATTCCACAGGAACTGGAGAAAAAAGTAGCAATTTTGCAAGAGGAAGTTGACCGCCTAGTTTCAAAATTAGGGCAGGCAGACAAAGAAGCATACTTGCAAGACAAAAAGATGCGTGACAGCAAGCGTATTCAGTTTTCTTCCAAGAGTAAACTGGAAGTTGATACAGCACCTTGAACTGGTATGGTCGTCTGTTACTTTCGGTTTCAAAATAACCACTTCCAGGCTGAGTGTTTCAACTCCCCAACACTTATTCATGGGTGTTTTAAGTTGCAAAGGGAGTTTATGAAGCAATGAAGTAAATAGTAACAAGTCACCATTCTTTAATAATGATTTCTACAAATAAAAATCAAAAATAGGCTATGAACACACAAACCACTTACATTATAGTGAAAAATAATTGAGCATGAGAATCATTATATATTGCTTATATTCTCAATTAGTCTTAAATTCCTTTACATCCCATTTGTACTTTTACTCTTTTAGAAATTTTCACATGAGGACTTTCCATGTAATGTAGAGAGATTCATTCTTAAGTAGATCAAACACCAATTTTTTAAAATTTATTTATAATTCATATTACGTACACCCATAATTTTAGACTGCAGTTATTTTAAGGTAAAGAAGTGAGAACAACATTCCTTTAAGAATGTACTAACCTAATGTATACTGGATTACTCTGTTGACACAGGGTGTCTAGGAAAAGTTTTTGTTCGTTTTGTCTTTGGAATGCAGAAGAAATAATCTAGTTGGAATCCAACCTTGATTTGACTCAATTGTATGTGCAATAGTGCACTTTGGAGACATTTACAAACTGTTAAAAGTTATGGAAGTTTACTCTTGCAGTCTAATGACGAAACTGAAAGTTTCTAAGTAAATAAGCTTACCAATGTGTATGTCATTTGCAAGAGAAATCAGAGAATAAACGGCACAATGGCTTTCCTGCCTTTGGGATAGTTGGGAAACTCCTTTTTGTAAGCTTTGTGCTTTCCAAGAGCCCAGATAGACATTTGGTACATGCCAGCAAACGCAAAGAGACCAGCTGAAAGAAAAACAATGAGACAGGTTGTTTTAAATTTTGCAGTTTGTCTTTGATTTTCCAGATAACTCAAAATTAAAGCAACTTTACCAGGAAGGCATGATGTCATGACTGTGAATCCCAGCCAGCTGCCAAATTCATAGGTATAGTTTGGGCAAGACACAAAATTGAACAAAATGGTAAATGGATTTCCAGTGGGAACCGGAATGCGTCGGACTTTGGTTCCAGGAGGACGCAGGTTCCTAAGTGCCACATGGATGCTTAGGTTTCCCAACTCTGAAATCTTTGTAAATACACAGTGCACAATAAGGCTCCAATTTTAAACAAAATGCTTTGGAAATAAAACATGAAAATTGAGGAAATATACTTACAAGGAACATGGCCAGTCCACCATACATGAACAGTTCTGATGGAGCCGTATATTTTGGGTGATTCACATGGTAAGCTACATAGGCAGTGAAGAGCCAATAATAGCTGCAGTTCTTGAATAAATTAAAGAAAGGCATGGTTGCATGAGAGAAGCGATGGACAAAAATAGTTTCAAGGAGCCTCTTCACATAGTGGATAGCGTAACAGCCAGCTGCAATACTGCCATAGAAGAAATCAAAGTATTAGTTCAAAAGAAAAGACAAGAGGTAGAGCATCAAGCTTAACATACAAACTATACTCACTGCACAATTTGATGGGTAGGAACAGAATCGGCTCCACTGCCATAGAAAAGCCACGGCCTCTGATACATCCACAAGTACACCACCAAGGGACCTGCATACTCAGCTAGAAATACTGTTTTCCATCCAATTTGAGGACCCAAGTCTTTAACATAAATCTGTGAGGAGCAAAACAGTTGAGAAATAACAAGTTGCGAAAGAACAGTAAATACAACCTGTTTCAAATAAAAAATGTGAAACCTTTGAGCCACTGCGAAGTCCCAAGCTCTTGATGGTTTCTTCATCTTTCAAAGTCTGGCCTCGAGTTTCTAATCTGATAGCTTGTCGGTGGATGCTCAATTTATTTGCCTTGTGCACTTCCTTTTTTATGTCAGCGACTGAGGTAGTAGGCCCAACCTGCAGGGTGCCACATAGTCAACTTAGAAAATGCATGAGCAAGAGGGTTGGGAAACATAAATATTCATCAGGGGTAGTAAGCAATTTCACAGAATAAATGCAGAGGTCCCATTTAATGAAGAATTTCAACCAGAAACTGAACTATGAGGAAATAAGAAAATGGACACCAAGGAATTGTATTGACGTGTCAAATAAAACGATAAATTAAAAGAATGTGAGGCAAAAGGGAGCGAGTTGGATAAACCAAAGTACTTACATTTTGCAGCACCGTAACGGACTTGCCGCTCACGGACAAGACTTCGATCTGAAAATTAGTCGTAGCACGAAAATTAATGAAGCCCAGTTCGACAATCCATCCCAATTTTCACAAATACTCCAACAACGTACCTCCATGGCTTAAACGGACCAGTGGGATAGAAGTTGATTGGCCTGTTCAAAGTATGCAAGGTGACTAAGGTAAATTGGCGTCGAGGCAGTGGGCAGGAGAAACCAAAACGTCGTCCGCTGACACGGCACAACACGTACAGCTGTCGATAATCCCCCTATTCGCAGGGAAATGCAACAATGTTTGCAGAAAGCAATTTGACCAACGCATGATTTTAGTTGTGGGTCGCTAGTGACGTTACTAGTATGTTGCGGATGCAGTTTAGGAGGAATTACTGTAAAATAACATTTTTTCATTGTTTTGACACCAAAAATTTTGGTGCATTTCAAACTTTGCTTCTAAGGGGCAATCTTTCTTGGGTCCTGTAGTTACTGGCATTGCTCGTTGACGTTTGAAAGGGAGAGGGGGTGAAGAGGGGGAGGGGGAGGCAGTGTTGGCAGTCCGTTGTGGTTTGATGCAATGTCTACAGTGTCTTTGAAACGAAATTTACTATGTCCTTCCTGATTGATTCGTCAATAAGACGCTTCCAGGACCATGCTTTTGAATTTTTCTCTTTGTGACTATGGTTTTATTGGGAAGACCAACTTTTGTTTGCTATGAAGCCTCCGCCTCAAGCTGTTTTTAACCTGTTCCCTACATTCTTACTCCAAAGACATGGGACGTTTGTCATTCTTTGTGGTATTTCTCGCTGGCGTGGCTTGTGCCGTGTTTATTGCCTCTGTTTCTCATCTAATTGGATTCCAAGCAGAAAGTGTTTGGAAGACTAAATTTAAACACAAAACCTTCTCAGCGATACCAGATGATGATCAAATTCGGGTATCAGAAGACATCCATCTGGAAGTTGCTCTGCGAGCAGGGAGCGATGTAAATGTAGCAGATATTAATCGCAACTCTGGTAGGTGGACTGATTGTTAAAGAAATATCATACAGTTGATTCTAACATACACTGTAACTTTGTCTTGTGATTTTCGTCCATCCAGCTGCTGAGACAGAAGCAGAAGGGTCCTTGCATGCTGCACTCGAAATGAAAAGACAAGGGAAGGTTGACAAGGCTTTAAAACTATTTGAGCATGCGTATATATTAGCACCATTGCATCCAGATGTACTGAACCATTATGGAGAATTTCTAGAAGACACACAAAAAGACATCATTAAAGCAGATCAGCTCTATTTTCAGGTACCCTTGTGGATTGTTGTCTGAATCTGTATTCCAATTATTTCTTGTTGATTATTAACACATTTATCTGCCAAACCAGGCCATTACTTTCTCCCCGGGAAACAGCAGAGCATTGGTGAATAGACAACGCACTGCCCATGTTGTTGAACGGTTAGATCTTGCTGTTCTGCAGCGCGTTGACAGCAAGAGAGATGAAGTGTCTGCTATTCCAGATCACGCTCCAGGGTTGAGAAGAGCAAAAAAAGAAGCTTATTTTCAGGTAACACAGTCTTTTAGATGTTTTATGATGTACTGGTACTGGGGAGATAGTGAATTGAGTCAAGTCTGATTATTTTTCCTGTGGTGCAAGAGAGGAAAATTGGAGTAACTCTGGTTTGGTTTCTGGGGTGTTAAGCATTCTCAATGAAGAGGAGATCCTCAGCTGTAGTATTCTAGTAACGCTGTGTTCTTACATGATACCTTTGCCTCTCTGTTTTAGCATATTTATCATACAGTTGGTATTGAAGGCAACACTATGACTCTTTCCCAAACAAGATCCATCCTAGAAACTAGAATGGCTGTTGGTGGTAAAAGTTTGGTGGAACACAATGAAATCTTGGGGTTAGATGCTGCTATGAAATTTATAAATTCAACACTAGTAAATCGGTGAGACGCTTTTCCAGTTATCTTATATTGTTATATAAATAATCTTCTTATCATTGTAGATTAGTAATTTCATAACTCATGTTTCAATGTTTCTGATTGCATAGTCTTGGAATGATCACAATTGAAGATATATTGGAAATTCATCGCCGAGTTTTGGGCTACGTGGATCCTATTGAAGGTGGTTCCTTTCGGCGCACTCAAGTTTATGTTGGAGGCCACATACCACCCTCACCAACAGATATTTATCCACTCATGGAAGAATTCATTGTTTGGCTGAACTCAGAGCAAGCTGCCCGCATGCATCCTGTGAGATATGCTGCTCTTGCTCATTACAAATTGGTTGCTATCCATCCATTCAGGTTAGTGTTATGATTTTTTCAGTTTAACATTGCTTTGTCTGTCCAATTCAATTAAATTTATCAATGATCGAATTTTATTCTACTAGTGATGGTAATGGAAGAACATCCCGGCTTCTGATGAATTCTATTCTCATGCAAGCAGGCTTTCCACCTGTCATAATTTTAAAACAGGTAGGTAGAAATCTATTACTAAGAAAAGTCACTTTGATTATGTTGAAAGTGTTGTTGCGGTGTTGTGATCTACTGTTGCTGAAGTTCAATAAGAGTAAATTTTACAGGACAGAAGCCACTACTACAAACATTTGGAGATGGCAAATAGAGGTGATGTTCGCCCATTTGTGCGATTTATTGCTGAATGCACTGAACGTACATTGGATCTCTTTCTTTGGGCCACTACTGAATATGAGCATGAGTTTCCTGCCCTAGAGACCAACAAAGACTCTAGTCGAACAATTTTTGTGAATGATGATGACGCACCAATACACTCAGAGGAAGATAGCACTTCTAGTCCCGACCAAGTGGATTCATCAAGCTGCTTAAATCTTTCCGACTGATGACTTTGATTAAATAAGAGCTGTATTGTTCAAGTGTTCAGAGATTGTTTCAATTTTGTCTTGTTTAGTTTTAAAATATTTTAAGAATGAAAATGCTCTGTGATTTTATTATTACTGACTTAATAGTTTTAAGTTTCTTCAAAACATGTGGGAAAATATCCTTTCCGGTAGCTCTCTCTGCCTTTTCTTGTTGTAATCTTAAAAAGTTTTGGTCAGGTGTTTTTCAGTATTAATGTGTATGTTTGTTTCCCTCAGAATACAATCTCCTTATTTTTATTTGGTGACTGTCAGTGAGGGGATTTTTGTTAGTATTATCCTGTTTCATGGGGCATAAAATATTTCTTGAATAAGGAAGGCCTTTCTGTGATAGGTGCGTCTTTTGAAATATTTTCATTTTTACTAGTCTTTTGTGTTAAGTTCCTGTAATTGAGCTGGTCTCAGTTTTGTGTTGGTGATAGTTTTATTTTACAAAAGAGGTGCGGATTACAAATGTGTTTCAGTCTTGTGGGAAATTAGTGCTGTTAAATATTGGAAAAGAATGTACAATGAACCAGTTTCCTCGGTGCTAAACTTGGTATCCTGTCACCTAAATCTTTGTTCTTCCGTTAGATTGTTTTCTTCCAAACTTCCTGACATTTGTGCAGTGTTGCCAATTTGTTTTATTTAATAACAGTAAAAATTTCAAGGCGTTTAAAAAAAATTGTTATTGTTATTAAATGGGCAAGAAGTACTAGTGCGTTAAATTATTTTCATCTTTGAACATTTGCCTAGAAGTCCTTCAGTGTCTGTGAAGAGTGTACAGACGTCCACATTCAGTTTTTGTGGTTCACGTTGTGATCTTTGGCACTTTTTAGGTCCGACCACCTAAAACTCTCTTCCCCTTAAAACTTCAAATGTAAACAATCGGATTGATAAAAACACAGAGATAAAAATTGAAAAAAATTGCGGGAACGTACTTCACAATTTCACCTCTAGATGTCGCACCGGCAAGTTGAAAAACAAAATAGAGACGCTTTTTTCAAAAAACCGGCGCGGGAACTTACACCACTCCACGTTTCCACGTCGACTGTCGTTGTCACAGGGTCTTTTCTCATGTTCTTGCTTCATGAATTTCCGTATTAAGTTTATCTACTGTCCACATCTCTCAGATTTCGGGTTTGGTGGGCAAATCTAGAAAAACAAGGTGCATGTTCGCTTCGTAGAAGGCGGAGCAGTGGAAGTGGAAAAGGCGGCAGGGCCAGGGATTTGTGATGTTGCCGTCTAGTGTAAAGTGATCAAGGATCAACAAAAGTACGAAGACCTTGTTTTGACTTCTGACGCCTATGGTTTGAACTGGGTAAGTATTCTTCAGTTTCACCTGTTCATTTGCCGGTTTCCTAGCATATAGTCTTCCCTTTGTTGAGACGATCACACCTTTTTTTTTTGGCACGAATGGTTGAGGCCTAAATACCATTTGGTTGGTTACTTTCACGGATTTGCCATTCTCTTGCTGGAGCTTTTTGTTACTTGAGTTCTCACTTGGATTTCTCCACAAAACTGTTATTTGACAACTCTGGCTTGATCTCTACCTTTTCCAATAAATCGTATGATTTGGAAATCGAACAGGTTATGTGTCAGGTCATTGGGCTTGCCGCGCATGCTTTGTCCGCGCGCTAAAATTCTGTACGGCCACGGCTCCACGACCAGGGATCCTTGGCTTTATTCCTCACCTACTGCCCTTAATAAAACTTTGCGGAGAGATTTCTCAGTTTGTAGTTAATCTATCTTCCTGTTGAATCAGTTCTGGAGAACAATTGCTGTTTTCCAGTTTTTTTGTCTGGTTGGCTCCTTTTATATGGGGTTCATATGGGGTCTTACCTGAATACATTGTGACGGTTACTTTATGTATCTTAATTTTTAAAATTTGCAAAATATTGCTCCAAAATTTAATTTAGGAAAGAGTCAGGTTCACAGCAGGATTTTATTTTATTCTTACACTGTGCAAGCATGACCATCTATAATAAATCCCACTTTTATCATTCAAATTTTAGTTCTTCATAGTGTCCTGTTTTGAGTTCAGTTTTAAGCGTTAATTTTCATGCACCTCAGACCCTTCTGCAATATCGAGTTCGTCTTTGTTGGAAAACAGGGTGTCTATGAGACTCAAGAGAAAAAACTTTATTGCTGGGAATCAAGTGCACTCTCAGCTTGTAGATGTTAAAAAAAATCATTGTCAACAGCAGAAATTTCTCATTAAAATTTTAGGGATATAGCGACTTTTTAAGTAGAATCTGTTAATTCTGTTTCAGGAAAGTTGAACCTACCCAAAATGAAGGAAAAAGAGGCTGTCAATGTGGAGGATGTGTTAGCACAACTTAATAATTCAAGAACACAACACAATGCATTAATATCTCTTTTTAATAGACTGAAAAGGTAAGGCTAGTTATTTTAAAAACTGCTATAAATTCTTGGTGCCACCATCAGTTGACTATTCAAAAATTAATCTTATCTGTTTTATTTTGTTTTGTCCAGTGCCAAAATTTCCAATGTTCAGCGAACTCGACTGCTGAAGACTGTTGCTCATACTTTAAAGGATGGCAACTCTACTGATTTACGGGTTGCTGCCCTTTCTTCTGTGTTACCTTGGGTTGTTTCTTCTAATAATGCAGCCAGTGGAGCAGATTTTCATTTGCTAGAGGCTTGCACAAAAATTGTACTGAAATATGTTGCAAATCCTACTTCGCAACACATTGATATTGTTGCCAAAGCTTTAGAAATAATGGCTTCAGTGAATGTTGCTACATTAGTAAAGCTATTTGGTGAAGATGATGCTTCGCGTTTCAACGAAATTATGATTGTTTGCTTGAAGCTTAAAGAGTTACGATTGCCTGCCTTGACTCTCCTTGCTGTGGGATTGTCTGTCCCAAGTTCTGAAGGCTTAGGCAAAACGATTTCTGAGGATGTAGTACCCCTCATTCAACTTGTTTATCCATTAATTTTTGACTTGGAGGATGTTGATGTCCACTTTGCAGCTCTAAGGGTAATGAAAGGACTGAAACTTACAACTAAGCCCCAGCCCTTCTGGAATCAACTTAAGGGAGAGACGCAAACGATCTACTGCAAGCGAATGGTGGAAATGGTCAACTGCAAATCAAACTGGCCTGAAGTGTGGAAATGTATTGTAAATTTGTTTGGTGAGGAGCTCCACTCTGGTGGTCAGCTCATCAACCACATGTTAGAAGTCTTAGAGCGAGCCTTCAAACATGCTGACTTTGAGTGGACTAGAGTTCAAGCTTTTGAATGCTGGAATACTCTTATAGACAATTTCAAGACTGGGCTGAAGAACAGGAAGAGAATAGACTTAATTATGATACCCTTGAAAGCCAATAATCATCGCATTGAAACATTGGCAATGGCTAAATTGAAAACATATGATCATCTCTTGGCAACACTTGGCAAGGATTTGGCCTCTTCCCCTGATATTCTTACAAATTTCCTCACATTTTGTTTTGGATCTGAGAAAACCTCCTGCCCTCCTGTTAAGTATGTTCATAAATGTTGATATCCTTTGAAAATCAGTCACAAGTTGGTCACAATTTAAATTTTTGTGTTCTTAGGTCATATCCAGCTCTTCATGATAAATGTGTGGAATGCATTTTAAACATTTTGGTATCTCCCTTTGGTGAAGAAATGTTCAAAAAAGCTCAGAAAGAGCTTGTGACAGCAGTTGGGGATTGCTTTGTCTTGGACAGTGCGTCTGAAGCTTTATTGTCTGAGTTGTGGAACAGATTACTCGGTGAGTTCTGTTTAGACCTAGACTTTGTTGCTTGGGTAGTGGTAGTGTTAACATTTTTTGCTATTTCAATTTTTGTCTCATTTTTCAGAACGGGTTTGGAAACAAGAAGGGACGGATGCTGTGAAAACCCTTTTCAGCATGATTAACACCTTGGTTGTCCGAGCGGGTAACAAAGAAATTAGTGGAAGCCTCAAACTTCAGGAAACCATAAGTTCTAGTAAGCCTACAAGTGAACAAATTAATGAAGTTCTCGGAAGCAAAATTGTGGGGGTTATTGTGCACGGACTTGTGCTAGGTGCATTTTCTGTACCTGAAAACCTTTTCAAGATGCGGTCTCTATATGTTGGTTCGTATGATGTCATGAACGGCACACCTACACTTCTTATGATGGAATGGCTCCTATCCCCAGCACTAATGCTTAGTGCTGGTTCCTTGCCGTTGTATGATGAATTAGTCTCCAAATTATTGAAACATCGGTGTCAAGAGTTAGATGGTTACATCGAGTTCACTCAGCTTGTCTTGAAGAAATTGCTTGTTTTCGATGAGAGCCTCAGCTCTGATAAGAAGCAGTTGATGTACAAGTGTGCCACGCAAAGTTGGTGTACGATTGCAAGTGGGCTGATAAGATTTATTCAGAAAGAAGGAAGTATCAACCAAGGAGACGCTGCAGAGCATGATTTCTCAGGGATTTACTCAGTTCTATTGTTTCCCATTCAGAGCCTGCATGTGGATATAAGTCTCATTGAGAAATGTACTGATCCATGGAGTAACCTCTTTTATGAGGTCTGTCAGCAAGCTGAGTTGATTCCTACAGCATCCCTTCAACTAGTGTGTGAACAAGTCTGCATTCGTTTACTCGGTGCAAGCAAAAAGAACTCACCCATGAAACAGCACGCTTCAGTCTACTTGTTCTTAACATGTATTTTAGAAGTTGCATCCAAAAGATTCAAATCAAAGAAGAGCTTTAAATTTGTGGAACAGCAGATATCCACCATCCTGAAAGATATGAATGGCGTTGCTTTCGACCAAGCTGTGATCTTTGATCAGGCTACCAATTGTATCCAACACTTCCTTAAGCAGACTCCAATCAGTATGGAGGTAGTGGAGAATGTTTCTCCTACTGTGTGTTCACTTCTGAAAGCACAAATCAATACTTCAGATGCAGTTGACAAGTTGTGTACTCTGATTGGTGCTCTGAAAGAAGCATCTTTGTTTATTTCCCAACATGGTGTCACAAAAGGGTCTGTTTATGCAATGTTGAAAAATGTTATTGATGTGGGCAATGGCCATACCAGTCAAGAAATAAGAGCTGTTGTTGATGATTTATGTCAAACATTCAATGACAAGATTTCTGAAGGAGAAGAGAAATCACAGTCAGTAAAGAATAAGGGAGCATTTTCACCCTCAAGTCGCTTTAATTTTTCTCCTAAGCCTGCTTCAAAGAAGTTCCCAACAGTCCAGATGTCTCCTTCTAATTTATCCCCAGGTGGCTCTAAACGTAAGCCTCAGGCCACAGTCTGTGGTTCTGATGGGAAATTTGTACGTATTGAAACACCAACCAAAAAGATAATCCTAACTGACCATCAGAAAGAAGTAAGAAGAGAGCGGCGTCAAGATATTCCAGCCTTATATCAAGACCTCTCCCAAGATACTCAGAGCATGAGTCAAGATTCAACTCAAGATTTTGTCGCATTACCTGCTACTCCAAAAGGTAAATGTGCCCCAGCACTGGATGAAGATGCAATAATGGATGTAGTTAAACCAAATACTCCAATGCAAGCAATATCTGCCAAGAAAATAGCATCACCAAAAAGCACCAAGAAAAGTCATGTTGATTCGGAGCCCAGGAGTGAGCTTAAAGACTTTACTCCCCCTGTTGGCTTTATCCTTCCTTCCATTGCAGATGACACCAAATCTGTGACAGATGCAGACAGCCAAGATCCCTCCGAAGGCCTCAGACAAGAAGGAAAAGAAAATGAAAGCGGTGCTTCCAACTCTAAAGCACTGAAAGGGAACAAGGCACCTCAGAAGGGAACCCTTACTCGCAGCTCATCAAATACTAGTTTGACCACTCGTAGTGGGAAGATAATGAAGAGGGCTAGTATTGCAGGCAAAACTGAAGTACTGAAAAAAAGGAAGTACACACGGAAGTCTTTGCCAGCTATTTTTTCTGAAGAGCCAGTGAAGAAAGGTGTTGAGATGGTTGTAATTGAATCTGATACTGATACTGAAAGTGTGAGTAGTATTGCTAGTGATGCCTGTGGCACTACCTCTAAGGCTGGTAAATCCATCTTGAGACCAAGACGTTCCTTTAAGCGAGAACCTTCTCTAGAGTCAGATACAGAAATAATGGCAGCTAGAGAGAAGGTGCGAGAGTCTCCTCAAAATGGCACTGACAAGTTATCTAAGGATGTTTTTAAGCGCGAATCTTCCAAAATAAAAGTGGGAAGTGACACAGAACACACTAAAAGTGACCCTGAGGATGTACCTTTATCACAGCTTATCGGTGGTAAAATTTTGACCCGAAGCCGCTCAAACTCAAGTTTAGATGATGTTGCTGTTGTTAAAAAATCCAAAACTTCCAGTCCTGATTCTAAACATAAATCAATGAGTCCTGTTTCAGAATTAACCCCTAAACCAAAAGGATCTCCTCCTCTAGAAAATGGTTGGAAGTCACCGCAGAAGAAAACTACCATTACTGTCTCTAAAATTGAGATATCCCCTAATAACAGAAGAAACCGCATTGTTAATCTTGCAGCTTTTGATTCTGCTGTTGAATTTAAAAAAATTGTCAATACTGCTGAAGGTGATCAAATTACGACAGATAATTCAAAATCATTTAGTCCTACTAGCCTTGGAAAACTAAAAAGTGTTCTGTTTCAAGATTCTTCTTCTCTGGATGACAAACCCTGTGTAGAAAAAGAGAAGCAAGCCGCTTGTGCGGGCGCTTCATCCCTATCTACTAGTCTGCATATTAGGAAGGAACTGAATGGGCTGAATGACCATGAAAATATGGAATTTGATAATGGCACAGAGGAGTCACAAGAAATCATTGAAAGCTCCCAAGAACCCATCTTGAAATGTTTAAAGCCATGTCTGGTTAGTCTTGAACATTTCAGATGCACTGAAGCCAACAAGACTGTGGAATTTGAGAATTTGACTTTAGAAAAGGGACCAGCACCTAACAGTCCTTACAAAATTCTTTCTAAGGATTCTTCTCCAGTCGAAGCTGGGAAACAGACTTCTGCTTGCCGGAGATCACTTATTTTGGATGGGGCTGAAAATTCTTTGTCCTCTATGTCAAAAGAAGTTGTTTCCCCACCCAAACCGCCTCCTCCTGCTGAAACTCGAACTGATTCTGTGAATGGTCAAATAACCTCTGACAATGCTTCAAAGAAGCTTCCTTTCAATGCTGAGTTGGAGAATAAAGGAACGATCAAAACTAATCTCAACAAAGAGGGGAAAGAGCAAGACCTCTCTGCTGCTGCTGAAGGAAATCATGTTAGAAATGATTCAATGCCCGAGTGGATGCATGACAAGAAAGATTCTCCTCTTACAAAGTCTCAGAGGACCATTCGCGGTACAAGTGCTCGTAGCCAAGCATTTATGAAATCTGTAGCAGATAGTGGCAATTCAACTTCGCCTCCCAAAGCAGCTGATGTATCTCCCATCTCATCCCCTGGTCAGTCCAAGAGATCACAGAAACCTAGCATAGATTCCAATACGACGCCTATAATAAAACGGTCCAGTCGTGCCGCACAGCTTCTGGGTATGTGATTTCTTTTATTCTCTTTTACATTCATGTTGTGTTCAGTCTCAGACCCATAATCTTAACGTTTCTCATTATAGGGTTAGGCCAAGCAGCAGCTGCAAGGGGTGGAGATACAGTTGTTTCTAGTGCCTCAAGATCTTTACGAATGGACAAAACAGGTGACAATGAAAAGACAGAAACATTGAGCAACATTAGGAACTCCACTCCATCATCCTCCATTGCTAGCTCAGCTGCTAGTTCTGTAGCTGCTGGTGTCATGGGCTCTGTGAGTGCTGTGACAACTGTTGCTTCTCCTTCAGTCAGGAGACACAAACTTCTAGATTTGGATTCACTGAAGTGCACTCCTCAAAAGTGCCTGGAAGATAAGGGGTAAGTTCCTTTCTTTTAAGTTCTTACCAGCATGGAGATCTATATTCTTGCCAACTCAGCTGAATCTGCATGAGATTCTTTGGTTAATCTTGGATTTTGAATTATTAATCCACAGGAACAAGGAGGATTGGGTACGAAAAGATTGGGTTCCAACGGCTACACCTGATGCCAGCATATTGAAAAGAAAACGAGAAGTTGATTCTGATGCCCCATCTCCAAGTGTGAAGGTTTGTCTTTTTTTTTCTTTTTTTGTGACAAAGATAAAATTATACCATATAGAAGGCAGGAAAATAAGCTTTACTCATTTGTTTACTCATTGCAGAGAAAACGTGTTAGTTTTAGGGATCCTCCATTTTCCACATTGCTAAGATTTGGTGAGACCTCAGAAGGAACAGTATTTACCTCTGATCAACCAGCTGGTAAGTTAACCTTGATGTCTTTCCTAAATTAATTTATACCATTCAATTTTATACCAGAGCAAATGTTTGTCTTTTTGCAGGTATAGATAGAGTATCGGAGGCAGTCAACTTAGATCGTGAGGAGTGTGCTCCAATGGATAACAATGAAGTTGAAACAGAAGAACAGCCTGATCAACCGGGTGAACCTTTAAGTTTTGAAATGGAACCAAAATTAAATGGAAAGGGTTCCTCCCAAGAAAAAGATTCAGTCATGCCTGTAGAAAATTCTTCAGGAGGTACTAGTCCTCAGGAGTCCGACTCAGTCTCTCATGGTAGAGAAGGCATTGCCAATGTGGTTGAAGTGAAAAGTCCCAAGTCAAGAAGTGAAGCTTTGTCTGGACAAAATGGCAGCAAGGATGCTGCTTTCAGAACAAGTGCTCATGATGGTGAAGGCGAAGCTGAGATGGATGTAGACCTTTGTAAATGTGATAATACTCCTGTTGAGGGTGGTAGTGAAGAACCAGAGACTCAGGGCATGTTAGATGATCTCCACCGAATGCCTTCCATATTAACACCTGTATACGCCAACCTTACCGATTGCACTCATTCAGTTGAACTTATTTCATCTAATCTTACATCAGCTGTTTGGTATGTATCCTGTGTAACATTCATGCCTTTTTTTTTGCTTTGATTGTTCTTGTTAAGTTAGTAATTGGTTTGTTTTATGATGCATGCAGGAAAAAGTCATTGCTGCGAGAGTTAAGTGAAGGAGGAATCCGAACTGTAGGGGACCTAGCCAGATTAACAGAGGAGCAACTAGATCGTTTGCCTGTGAAACCTCCAAAGCGAACTAACGTTTGTCGTGTTTTAGAGGTACTGTTTCTTAATGAGTTTGTTTACAATAAAACATTAAGTTCCTGATTTAAAAATAATCTTTTTTTGTCTTTTTCAGGATTTTGAAAAGCTGCACTCTGATCTTACCGATGGTGTTAGTTGCCGTAAGTTTATTATTTATTTGCTCATTTAATTTATTTTATTCAAACTGACTTGACTTGTTGACTTGTTTAAACATTCCTTTTCTTCATGCAGAGCTCCTCAAAACCAAAATTACTACGTCTGGTAGTGTCGAAAATTCACTGGAGGTGAGACTGATACTGCATTTCAATTACCTTTTCCTACTGTATTATCAAACTACTTAGTAGTCATTCTCTTCTTTTTCTGTTCAGGATCTTCTCACCAACACGTCTAATGAAGATATTATACATGCCCTCTCCAAAGCAGGGACAAAACTTGACTTCAGCAAGGCATTGGTTGAATCACTGCCTCCTGAAGATGTTGTTAAATTCTTGAAGCTAGAAGATTTGATCAAATTCTTCTCGTTAGAGGAGTTGATTCCCTTCTTCAAGTTAAAAGATTTAATTAAATTCTTCACATTAGAAGAGCTGTTGAAATTTTTCAAGCTAGAGGATGTGGTTCAATTGTTTAAGCTGGAGGATGTGATTCAATTGTATAAACCTGAGGATGTGATTCGATTCTACAAACCTGGAGAAGTAGTAAAACACTTCAAGACAGAAGATGTGATAAACTCTCTGAAAGCAGAGGATGTTTCACGAGCTGTTGCCTCAAATAGTAGTGTAATACGATCCCTTCATGTAGATGTTTGTGCTGAAGCATATATTTCGCAAGTTAACAAAAGTAGTGGTTCCAAGGAGAAGGAAATGTCAGTGGAACAACTGACCTCTATTTTAAACAGAATCCCTGGAGGGACCATTCAAAGTACCATGTTCCCCTCAACTCCAACTCTTCTGTCCACTGTGTATACTGATACAATGCGAGACTATGTTATGCGTGAATGCAGTTCATCAGAAATTGTGCAGAAATTAGATGGTGTCAAAGCAAATGAATGTGTACTCAAACTGCTGCCAAAATTGGATAATGACAAGGCAAAAGAATGTGGCCTTAAACTGCTGCCAAAATTGGGCCCTGAAGATATTGCTCAAGAACTTGATAGCACCAAAGCCACAGAACTTACTGCTAAACTGCTTTCTAAATTCAGTCCATCTGTTATTGCCGAACAAATTGAGAACAATAGGGTTGAAGAGACAATTGAAGCATTGCTATTGAAGCTGAATAAAAAGAGACGTCTCGGGTTTTTATTGGATAAAAGTGTCCATGTGTATAAGCAGTTAGAGTAGATTGTAATTGCATTTCTCATGTTTTATCATTGTCTCGCTTGTCGCCTCAGACATTTCATTATCTTTCTCTGCAGTATTTATTTAATATTTAATTTTTCTCTAAAGGTAAAGGTTGCAAGCACTTTGCCATCCAGTGATATGTTATCAAATTTTCTGTTAGTGTTCTTAACTATTCTGTCATGGATCATTTTTGGGGTATTGCATTTGTTCATTATCATTTGTGTAATTTTTAATAGGCACTGATGAATTTTAATATTAAGTTCCGCCATACTTCATTCATTTGCTGAAAGACTGGTATCAATACTCCAGAACTTGTTGTTTTAACTATGTTGTAATCAATTATAATTCTGACCTGAGGCTTTCACCTCACCTAATTTAATAACATTTATTGACAAAATAAACATGTCAAGCATGTATGTGGGCTTTCCTTATTGGCAGTCACTCCACCCCTGTTGAAAGTCTGTTTCTCTCTTAAACTTCTTATTTTGTCACATGGTCCTGTGCACCATTTCTCTAGGAGAGTGAAAAAAAAAAAAGTTACGGTATCACCATTTGTTGCTCTTCTAGAAAGACAGTTTTGAAATATCAGCACATCACTAGGGACATAGAGGAGGGATGTATTGCACTGAGCTGACTTGAGTGTCACCGTGGACAGAGATTAAGGACACCTCCTAAAGAACAACATCGGAATGCCCTGTTGCGAATTAACTTTTCCAGTAAATTCACCGGTTTGGGCTATGGGCCCACGATTTTACTTGAGCCTTGTTCTAGTGAGGTAGAAAGGATGAAAAGGTTATGCAAATAGAAACAAACAAAGCTTGAAATGCAAAGAAAAAATAGTGTGTTTGACTTCTGCTGCCTTTGTTTTACACATCCTTCCCATATGCCAAAAGGGTGGTTCACCTTCCCAGTTCGATGTAACAATGGCGTTAGGAATGGGCTTTCCCGACACTGGTTGAGTTCTAGCTCAATTTTTGTCCCAAAACCAGAAACGTACTTGCCACCAAGAGACTCCGATTCCCTGACAGTTTCTGAATAAGACCACCGATTCGACATGCCTCAGCACTGTGATTTAGGTAATAAGAGACATCCTGACTGTAAGAAAAGTAAACTCGCGTTTCTTCGCCTCTGAAGAGGCAAAAGAGTTCCCCTCATCGGGATCACACGCTGGACTGTCACCCTTACTCATACTAATGGCTCTGAACTGCAGAAGTAAATTCAGGGAAATATTATACCTACTTGGATTCGAAACCAGTACGGTTTAGGAGCTAGTCTGGACAATGGGTTGGCTACCTCCCAGGCTCATGCTCAAGTAATTCCAGTTTTTCGCTAAAAAGACTGTTTCAAGCCAAAACGGTCCTCCGTGTGTCTGGAGTCATTAGAGAGTACTCCAGCACAATATACTCCAATTTTAGCCATTTTAAATTTTTGGACCACAACGTTAAAAACATTTGATGCGTTGTGGGTGTGTGTGAGAGGTTGCCTACCTTCCAGAGCATGTAAGCTTTTAGCCCAAAACACAAAACCAGAACATTTCAAGGCATAGAATTAAACCAGACTTTGCAATAACAACATCGCAGGTGTAAAGACTTCAGTGCCCAATTTAACAGTCATTATCCGTAGCCATGTGTGTTTGTGAGCTTAATACAGTATTGAAGTTGGGGGCAACCATCCAGGAGGGTCCCCACGACCCCCCCACGTCCCCATGATCGAGCTCTCCCTATGAGACCAGTTGTGTTCTGTTTTGATTTTATAGCTTGCACAATAAAAATGTTTTATTTCACATTCTTTTAATACTTAAATACATGTCCTCAAACATGTGAAATGTATGGAATGCAACAAAGTGGAATAAATACATTAAGTTTAAAACATACATAATTTGTTCATCATTATACAGGCAAGGTTTCATGACTAGTATTTGACATGCTAATATGTGATGCAATTAAATTAAGAAATGTTTCATTCCAATTACTTTGATAGACATCTTTGAAACCTTAACCCAGGAATGCAACAAAATGTAAGTGCAATGCACTACACAAATTAAAATATGAGATCTGACAAAAGCCTTCAACAAAAAACTGAAGACAAAACAAAATTTCAAGGCAAACAACACTCATGCAGTTGCCGAGGCCGGCTCAAATTTTACACAAGGCTTGGCATTTTTTTAAAAGGCACTCACATGAGAGCAGAATACCTCAGAGAATATGTTCATAAATGAAGGAGATTTAGACACAGTTTGTCCAACAAATGCGTAAAAAAATGAACAGGAGAAGTCTCGGGTAGTCAGACAATCTAACAGTAAAGTAGACCTAACTATCATATGTACTAAAAACGGTCAGTCTTAAACAAATTAAAATACCTACGTCTAAACCACAAGGGTGTTGAAAAACTAAAGGCTCTAAACAAACGCTTCACACTGCTGGAGAAGATTACAGCTACTTATTTTAAAAAGATAAACATGAAAGAGAATGGAGAAGCCATAGACTTAACACAGAAAATAATAAAAAGTTATCACATAGTGAACACAAAACACAAACTTCACAGCAGCATGTGAGCTCTGCACAGAAAATAATACTCTGCTAATGCATAAATTGAGCAACAATTGCAAGTTACTGAAGTGTCTGTGATTACCCTGCAAGCAAAGATTGTTGCTTTTAATGGAGTGCTAAAAAATATTACCAAAGCAACTGTTTTTGAAAAATACTGTAGAGCTATAGGAACTTTATGCTTACATATCAGGTAAGCCAGTTAATGTCAACTAACACAGTTTTTATTTTTATCTCTGAGTAATTCAAAATGGAGAAATTCATTATCTACCTCTATCTAAAAGTTTCAAACTTGCAAAAGATTGACACATGTTCCCTCTCTGAGTCTAAAATCAAACTAATTTTTAAAAATCACACTACAACACAAAATTAAGGAATCCATCACAGATGGACACATTTCCACATAATTCAAAAATAATCCATTCACTCAATCATGCCAATTTTGCTATATATTTAACTATCACAATATTAGAGACGGTCAAAAGATGACACATCAAATCACCAATGCTCAATATGATGTCATAAACCATACTAGTAGAACACACCTTCTACCACAAGTTTTAAAACTCAGCATTCCATTTAAATACTGGCCAGACCAGCCAGAAACAGAAAGTTCAATATAAAGAGTTTCCATAACTAAACCATTGACAGAGCAGGAAAATGTTGTGTTTATTATACTGCAGAGTTCAGGCATCAATGGCATCAGATGACGCATCAAATCTGCTGTTTATTCTCCAAAATCGAATTGTGTTGTCACTGAAACAAAGAAGCAAAATTATTATTATTAATTATTCCCAAAAACCAAAGCCACAGAAAATTTGAAACATGCTAGTATGCAATGTAGCGTAGCCCGCTAAGGCAAACCCTACACACAGAAAAACAGAAAGGAAATGTACGAATAAACATAAAGTGCAATGTGCTGTGATAAAAAACAAAACAAAAATGCCACAGCGCAGCAGCATCTGTGAGGATCCAAATAGCACTCTCAGGTTGGATGCAACACAAGTTCCTAAAACACATATGCCATATGATGTGGTGAATGAAATGGACTATGACCTAAAGGAGAAGGATACTGATCCATAATCTGAAAGTATTCAAAATCTTGCTCACTGCAGATTGAGTTTTGTCAATAAAATCTTTCAGGTATTTAAAAAAAAATGTGGGCAGATTAAAGCAAGTCTTCACGGTGGGGATAAGAAATGAAAGCGGTCCATGTTTGAATGAGTGACAAAAATAAATGAGATGTGCCTCCAGTTGACAAGCCACAAGCTGAATAAATACAACATAATCAGGGCTTAGCAATGAAGATCAAGAAAAGTTTCAGCAGTGCTAATAAAGGATGCTTTATACTTTTTACGTCAAAGGAATATCCGAGAGCATCACAAGCCAAGGAAGCCAAACAACAAGACCGAAACATTTTGATAAATACCATATTATAAAGACAACTCAAAAACATGTCCTGTGGACATTGTCATAGCATAGTTCTGTGCCAATCGCCACATTTTCACTTTCCCTGAACTGGAAGAAAGAACCATGAGTGGACGAAGCATGGGTAAGAGTTTTTAAAAAATTTGTGTCTCAGATTGCAAGGTAACAGTTAGCTTTATTACCTTGATGCAGTAAAGATTTGGGATGTGTTGGTTGTCACTGAATTAATAGCATGGGAATGTGCTTTCAACTCCCCGAGCAAGGTACACATATCTGCATTCCACAACTTCAAGGTTCCTCCACGACAGCCTGACAGCAGCAAAGGCCCTCCAGGGATGAAAGATAAACCCAGCACCCAGTCCTTGTGAGCATTATTCATAGACTGTAACAACACAAGAGAAGAATAAAATTAAGCCTGCAAACCATTTTTAAGTTTGATTTAAAAAAAAAAATTCAAAACTTGGCATTTACTGAATAAACACAGACAAAAAAATGTTACCTGAATTAATTCTGGTTTTGACAGATCCCATTTCTTGATGCAAGAATCACGAGAACCGGAGAACAGGATTCCTCCACTCATAGCCAAAGATTGAACTCCATCATAGTGCGGAGGATCCAGACGTACTCTTGGTGTAAGAATCCCTTCATTTTGGTCAACAACCTCAAACACCTGCAATACAAAAAATGCTGTTGAAAAGCCACATACCGAAAATTATGAAGTCCATGCATACCATGCAAGAGGAATCACCTTTATATAATGATCTCTAGAGCCTGTTATGACAACATCTTCATTTGGTGAGACTCTACCCACAGCAAGGCATGAAACAGCTGCTTGGTGTCCACCATTCAGTTTGGCCAATTCCATGAATCTGTTCAACAGAAAAGAAATAATAAAAAAATACCTCTGCAGCAGGCATACTATCTCGGTGGAAGCAAATAGTCAACCTACTTTCTCAAGTCCCACACTCCCACTCTATCACCTGCAGCTGAGTACAAGATTTCACCATTGTGATTTAATGCAATGTCATTTATCATACATTCTCCAGGAGGAATTTGCAAAGCTCTAACAGTGTTAGTAAATGATAAAGATCCATTTGTAGATTGCCCTGAGGAGCTGGAACAAAAAAGAAAATTTCATGAGGCTGGTAAATCAGATACCGGACCAAAGGTTAAAACTACAGTTAAAAAAAAAATCAGAAATACTCACCTTAGAGTTTTTATACAAGCACTAGCTCTCATGTCCCAGACCTTTATATAGGCTGATGACACACTGAAAATTAGCTTCTTATTGACATCATACTTAACTGCAACAACATTCTTTGGGTGACCTGTGAGAGTCAGTGTCTCTCTGCCTGAGTGCAAGTCCCACACTTTTACAGTCAAGTCTGCGATTAAATTAAAACATTAGAGTGGTTTTGGCTACAAAGCTAATATGAAGGCTGAAGAATTGATGACAAATATACCTTTGGAAGAAGAGAACATAAGATCATCAGTGGCATCCACTGAAAGTACAGCACTTTTGTGACCTTCAGCTACATGAGTGCACACTAAAGGAGCTCTCATTGAAACCTGCAGAACAAACAGATGAAATAAATTAAATGATAGGAAATGAGTTATGATAAAAAAAGCCGAGTTTTCTAGCAACTATTTGGAATGAAAAGAGTAACTTACTCTGCCCTGGAAAGGTGTGATGGTTCCATGATCAGGGTGATCGCTGCTCTGCATGGTACTGGATGTCAGTCGAGAAAAAACATTGACATCTCTATCTCGGTCGCGGGAGTTGAGACGACGGAACGTTGGTGGAGAATTAGGAGGACTCTTGTCAAGATCTTGCTCCCTGTGAGGAGGGTTAGTTGATGTTAGATGATTGGTTAGCAAAATCAATGGCTACAGAAAAAAGAAAGTTTTGCTAGCAAGCAGGCAACTTAGCACATTTAGATAAATTTAGGTACAAATTCCAAAGTCCTTTTTCAAAGTATCAGCTGCCACCAGAAAAATAGATAAGCTCATGAAAAATTAACTTCATGCGGAAATGTTTGCTGAAGGCATGACAATTCATTAAAGTCATTTAGAATCCTTGAGCTGCCCATACTTTTTTCAATTTATCATTTAATAAATTTGTAAACCAAATTCCAATCCTATGAGTTATAAAGAAAAGTATTCCATTGAGTGCAAAGGAGGGTATTTCAAACTTCTTGAAACATGCGTACTATTAGGACACTATCACCAGAATTCAACACTGCAGTGCACCAGGAGAAGAGCATGCAAAATTTAAGCGATTGTTCATTCAAACACATGCAATTTCTCATGCAAATACTCTAATCTTTTGACATAAGTGCCAGTTGTTCACAAAGTGGGAGACCATGATGCATTAAAAACGCTAAGGGGGAAAACAACAATTATTTTATTTTCGCTGCATCTTTTCAAAGGAAGATACATGTTCATAAGAACGCCAGACGACGCAAGGGAAAGAAAATGAAGTGGGAAAATACTTTGAACACACATGAAAAAATCAATGTATTGATTCCCAGAAGGATCAAAGTAAATAATATCACACAGAAGAAAACAAACAAAGCAAGTTACAAATTTTCAAACAGAATTTCACATTAGGCTGGTAGAAGTAATGCAATTACTGGAATTTATGTTAATAATGCTCTTCTTATTTATTTTAAAATATTTTATTATTACATCAAATATGATGAAATTTACAGTATTACATATTATATCCATAAATTATACAGTATCACATTAGTTACGGTCTTTGGGATGAGTGCAATGATTGTGTGCATTTTCCATTTATTGCTGTGAGCAGTTTTAAGAAACTCATACCCACAAAAAACAAGCCACAAAAAACACAAAAGGAAAGAAAAGTGATAAAAGAAAAGGAACAGAAAGCATGCAGAAAAACACGTTATATGGTTTCCTACAAAGAAACTTTTTTCTTAACATACAGTAATGACTCAATTCATGAAAAACTTCATACAACAAAGTGTAATAAAATAATTGAATGTGTAAAGTGCTACAAAAGAGAGCTAAAATCTCCAGTCCAGGGCATTCAGCACTAGAAGAAAGGCTCTGAAGCAATTTCTACTTTTTAACAACCTCCTTGAGCTGTGGTTGCATTAATAAAACAATCTTAAAATATCTAAGCTTAATTGGCCAAATGCATGCTCAAACAAATCAAAGAAAGACAACACAACTTCTAAGCCCAGATCATGCAAACTACGGTGTACCTAGCATAATAATACTCTCGTACTGAGTTGCAGCTCTTAACATGAACATCATGCAACAAACTCACATGGAACCCGGTTTCCCAATTAAGTTGCCTGGGCCTAATACAATAGTACGTCGGTTGATACGTGGAGATGTTGAGTCTTGGCGATCGTAAGTCTTTCTTGACATAACAGGAGAAGCTTTCACTTCCGTCAACGCTGGTTTCAAATTCATTCCCATATTTCTAGAAGAAAAAAGAAACAAGCTTTAGAAGAAATGATAAAAAGTCAAAATGCTACAGTTTTATTTATATAACCAAATAATAGGTGGGGAAAAATCAAGTTCTATAAATGAGCATTTCAAAAAAGTAAAAAATGACTTACCTTAAAGAACCAGGGGCACTTGGTACACGTTGGATCGATTTTGAAGAGGGTGGAGGCATAAGTGAGTCACTAGGTGGAGGGTTTGTGTCTCTAAGTCCAGTGGGAAGCCCAACAGAGCTCGTCATTGAAGCAGTCATTGACGTAGTCATTGAACTGGCCACAGAAGAGCTACCCACTGAACTGGTGCTAACAGAATGCCCAAGAGGTGTTGGATAGAGTAATTCTTCAGGTAAAGCAGTCCTGCGTCGAATTTTAGGCCCAACATTGCTCTGGCTGCTTTTGTCTTTTGCATTGCCATTCAAACTGAGTACACAAAAGTGAAACAACACATAAGCTAATTGAAGTGAACCACAGAAAATGGGAAACATACTTGTGTTGTGAATAGTGAAAATAAAACTTAGTTCTGTACTACCCACTCAAAAAGCACAACCATACTCACTTGTCTACGGGTGAGGAGGATCGGGTCGAAGCCCCAGAGCTAGATGAAGAGCCTCCAGCTGCACCACCACTGCCATTTGTGCTACCCGAAGCAGTAAGTTTAGAAGATAAAATTTCGAGTTCATTATTCCTGCACATATGTTGTAATAATTGCTCCTGCAGATGATTTGATTGTTCCAACTGGAAGGGAAGTGTGTAATTAAATGATATTTATTTTTTGGATATAGATGAATGAAAATTTGTTCATAAGATACTTACTTCATTCAAACGGGCTTCAAGTTCCTTGACTGATAGTTCTCGCTGAGCAGCCAGGTAGCTTTGGTTCACAGTCATGTTGTATAATTTCTCTATTAAGTATCCTGCTTCTTCCAAGTCTGTCATGTTCATGGTAAGTGATGTTACATCAAAAGTGTCGTAAGTATCTTTGCTTTCCTCCAACTGCATTATGCTGTGCTGTGCCTCAGTAATATTGTCTTGGACATAATCAATGTTTGCTTGCAGATCATCAAGTTCATCTTCCAATTCCTTCAAGACAGAAGGATCTTGTTTCATCAATCGAGCAGAATCTCGTTTGCGGAGCTTCATATCGAGAGTCTTACTCAACATTTCCCGCTCATTCAATAGCCTTAGAGAAAGAAATGGACAATAAGAATTTTCAAACAAGGAAAAGAGAAATAAAGGAGAAAAGGAAAGAAACAAGAGAAAAACTACAGGTTTAGATTCTTACCTTTCCATGTCTCTTTCCATTGCTGCAACAGTTCTTTTATTGAGCGCAACTTTGTTAATGTTCTTCTCCACACTCTGCCATTTTTGCTTAGCTATCTTAGGTGAAAATATATTCTTTTTTGCTAGAAGATTAAGACAGGATTCAGGATTTTTTTTATGAACATCAAGATAATAAAAGGAACCAATATAACTAGTGGAGAGAAACTGAGAAAACTGATCCGCCACTGATGAGCGAACAGTGATCTGCCAGAAAATGCAGGTATAGATATCTCATGAATGGTAAGTGATACAAAAAGATGTATAGAATAATACAATGTCGAAAAACTATCTTAAAATTAAACTTTTTAAATAACGCTAGCAAATCTCACCACTTTAACAATTTCGACACCTGTATTTCCTGGTCATTCACGGCTGATCAATAGTGGGCAATTTTCCTGATCCCTGCAAGTGCAAGCCAATACTTACAGTGCCTTTCTCCTACACGGCCTGCTGCCTTATTGCTGAGGCCTGGTTTAGCAAGTTTCCTCAGCATAGTCACCTCCTCTTGCTTCCTCTTTAGCACAACTTCTTTTTGACGCTTTTCTGCTTCAAGGGACCGAATTTGATTTTCATGACGTCTTGACTCCTTCTTCAATTGAGCTATCTCACGATTTCGCCTGGCTTCTGTGTTCTTATGCCTTTGTGTTTCTTCTCGCATTTGATTCAATAATTTTACCTTGTTAAAAAATGAATAAAATTGTAAAAAATTGTTACACAGAAAAATTATGAAAGGAAAGTAAAACAATAGAATAGAAAAGCAGGAAGGAAAAATTAATAATTGAAGCAAATCAGTGCTTGCCAACCTTTGTTCTTTTCATGTCAGCAAGGTCATTGCGGAGTCCTTTCAGTTGATTTTCATATTGTGACTGGCTTCTAGCTAAGCGATCATGCTCTTTCTTAGCAGACTGTAATCTAGCAACTTCTTTCTGCATGTTTTGCAGTTTACGTTCGTACTCATCTCGCACTTTCTTGGCTTTGTCATTTTGCTGATTGTTGTGTCCTCCAACTGCAATAAACATAAATTGATTTTTTAAAATAATAATAATAATTTCGGAGTTGAATTGTTAGCTGACAGCAGAACAAATGACATACCTATAGAGGCAAGAACTTTGTCTCTCTCTTCTTGAGTTGCTCTGATGCGAGTCTGCAGCTGAGCCAATTTTTCCTCATAGTGCTGCTTCATAGAATTTAACCGCCTTTGAGATAGTTCAAGCTCTTCAATTAACCTCTGCTTTATGTCAATCTCTGATGTAAGATCTGCTAATTCGACTTTGATTTGAGTTGATGCTTTCTCTTCTGAGTCAGTGTCACTATCAGAGTCATCGTTTCCTAAAACATTAAATCATCTTGATAGTTTTAAAAGGCACATTTGAAAAATATTTAACAACAACAGCAACAATACGATTACTAACCATCCTCATCACTTTCAAATTCAGGCGCCTCCACCAAGGGGGCTTCATTGACATCTTTTCCAATATCTTGACCTTTCGGGCCTGGGGGACGGCCTTTGGTAGACAAAATTTCTAAATCTCTACGTATATCTCTCTTAGCTTCTTGTATTAAACCATTGGTATCTGATTCAAATCCAAAAGTTTGATCGAAATGTCCTGTCATAGCAGCTCTTGGACTAAGAGAGGCTCTGATCTGGCTTTGCTTTCGCAGCTGCTTACATGTTGCCTCAGACTCTAAGAGTTTTACACGTAATTCTTCAATCTCTTTTAAGTAGTGCTTTATCATGTCAGTGATATCAGAGTCAGATCCTGTTCAGTGAGAAATAGATGTAAGTGTAACAACAAACAGCAAAGATAGCTAAACAATTTAAATTGAGCTGCACAAATTACATCGACCCAATTTTGTAGTCACCTGAATTGATCCATGTTCCGGTTGCCTTCTCAGCAAGTAGCAATGTGTTCTTTTGTGTTAGAGTGTCAATTGTTTCTTGCATTGCTTTTACACGAGTGCGCAAGTTGTTGATTTCAGATTGAAGCATGGTATTTTCATGGTACATGTCATTAACAGTCTCAACTCCGTCTTCCCCAACAACACGCTTACCCTGATAAAATAAAATAAAAGTCACAATAAAGGTGAAAGAATGAAAGAAGAAAGAGCATTAATGCAATTAACAGACACTAAAACAAACCTGCTTGTATTCTAACAGTTCTAACTCTAGCCTTTGAATCTCCCCACGCAAAATTGCAATTGTTCGAGAACTTTTATCCTGGTTGAGAATAACTTTGTTGCGAATATTGCGTGCCCTATTAGCATACTTGAGGGTATTTAATGTTTCCATGAAGTCTCTATCACTTGGTGAAACACAAGCTATCATAACTGTACGGCTATTACCTGATAAAATAAAACAAAAGTTGTAAAAAATAGGTCCCTTTGTTTACATGTAAAAATCACAAATTGTAAGCATGTTAACAAACCTCCAAGAGAGTCCTGTAGTAATCGGGTGAGTTTAGAATCTCGGTATGGAACATGCAATGCTCTTTTCGATCTATCCCCAAGTGCAGAAATAACATTACCTAGGGAAAGCTGAACAGAGAGAGAGAGAGAGAGAGAGAGAAAGAATTAATGGGCAATCTTAACTTGGCATCTAATTCAAAATAAAGTGAATGCAAACCTACCAAACCGCAGTTGATTGAAATTCCCTCCTTGGCTCGCTCCCCCGTTGCACCAGTACGTTTGAGCCTCTCAGAACCAGCAAGGTCAACAAAATGAAACTTGGCTGTTAACATTTCACATTCATTTGTAGTTTCTGTACTTCCATTTACAAAGTCTTCATTACCCTAGGAAAGAAAGGAAACATCACTTGACAATTGTAGGTAATACCAGAATCTTTGATGGAGACCAAAGACAAAACTACAGTCTCACCTCTATTTTAACAACTCTCTCCTGTTTGATGTAAATTGTGAAAATAGCATGTGACCTAGATGACTGTGAGTTCATTTGAGTAGATGCTGTTGTTCTTGAAAGGGCACCAAGCCTGAGACATTGAAGGGCTTCATCTGGAGACTGCACAGCTTTTGTTGTTACACCTAACAGGTAAATTCCACCTTCAGGGTACTCATGAATTTTAATGGCCTTCTTGTTCTAGAAAACACAAAAGTAGAAACAAAATTGGGTTATTGTGTTCTTGTTTAAGTCACAAATGTTTCCGCCAAGTGCCAATTTAAAATTATGGCCAAGGACTTACCTTGTTGCAAAAATGCTCAGAGGGATTGAACAGATCAATAATTTCCTCATTGTACAGCTCCAGGAATTGGCAAACGACTTTGAACTCTGGAGCGGGCACTCCATTTTCTCTGGCACTAGCAGTTCTATCAGTGATTCCATTGAATAAGTGGTGGATGGCCCTGGGGATGATGCCGACTTCATCCTGGTTTAGCTCGACGTCAAAGCCAGTGCCCATGGTATACGTCTTACCAGACCCCGTCTGTATCACAAAAATAATATTATTTATTTAAATGAAATAACTGTGCCTTTGGTTTGTTAACATGCAAGAAAAGGGGGAGGAAAAACCAATTTGATTGAGATATAATAATTTCCATGTCAAAGAATTTTCATTTTAAATACAGCAAACATTTCAAAAAATAGGCTAAAAAAGTGTTTTTTTTTTAGATTAAAAAAGAAAAAGAATGGTACAACCGTAGCTGCTCGTACACTCCCAATATCCTACTGAGCCTTTTCTTCGTAATACGAACAAAAAGCTTAGTATTAACCTATGGTGAAGAGTTCTCAGTAAGTTATGACCACTTTCTTCATATTATGAACACATTTCTCTGTATTATGACCGATTTTTGTCATAAAGCACTGAGAATGGGCTTAGTATTATGACTGCACGGCATTTCTCAGTAGGAAATTCGGAGTGTACGACCTGTCCCATGACTACACTGAACACCCTGGGTGTTCTAAAACGACGCGCCTCCAGGACTCCAGGCGCTGAGCTACGAACTGCCCTGATGCGTCTTGGCTTCTGCTTCTGCGGCAAACGCAAAGGCCTTTGGGCGCTTCGTTACAGAACACCCAGCAATTTGAGTGCAGGCAGACTGACCTGTCCGTAGGCCAGGACGGTGGCGTTGTAGCCGTCCAGGGAGCTCTCCACCAGGTCGCGGACGCACGTGTCGTACACAGTGCCCTGGTCCAGGCCCATGTCGAACACGTAGTCGTACGTGAAGGCCTTGTCCGAGCCCAGCGTCACCTGCGGCTCGCCGGGCGTCACCGCCGTGCACACTCGGCACGCGTCGATCACCTCGCGCGCGATCTGCGGCCGGACCCTGCAACAGACAGACAGAGAAAGTGAGTGAAAAGCTGAGTCTGAGACCGACGATTCGAACATTCGAACCCACACTGAGAATGAAAAAGTCATGATCATGACTAAAATTTTGGGTGAGGAAGGTTTCCTTGCCCAAATTTGGGTCATAATACTATGGAGCCAGGCAGCTGATACATCCTTCCTCACCCAACTTTGGGCGAGGAAGCCTTCCTCACCCAAATTTTGGGCGAGGAAACGATCCTCGCCCAAATTTGGGTGATAAAGTATACCTCGCCCAAAATTGGGTATTCATCATGACTTTTTTATTCTCAGTGAACGAAGACGGCTCGCCCGGGAAGACAGGTGCGGATCCAGGGGAGAGGGAGAAATGGGGGTGTCCTGACAGGGGTCCCCTCATTGTGGAAAAAAATCACAGTAAATCCTGTAGTGATTAGTACAGCTGTCACTGTAGTTCAGAGTACAGGATTTACTGTACTTTTTTAACAGGATCTACTGTACTTTGTACGGGATTTACTGTACCACAGGAGTGGAGTACGGAATATCCTGTACCAGGTACAGTAGCTACTGTAGCCAGGCACGGTAAATCCTGTGTTCTGAACTACAGTAAATCCCGGAAAAAAATTAACGGGATTCACTACGTGGTTTTTTCGCACAGTGCCGAGGGGGAAAGCACTCGCGTAATAGTCGGGTCACTCTGTCTGTAATAGCACGCGTAATAGTGTTCGTAATAGTAGCGTAATAGCAGAAATTCTCAAAATTTGATCTATTTTAAGGGCTTTTTCGTCTGTTTTCAGCTAAATCCCTATATTTTGAGGCGTAATAGAGCGTTGCAGGCGTAATAGTCGGGTCGCAGGTTTTAAGAGTGATTTCCCCCTCGCACAGTGCTGTAGGTAGGTAGGCGACCCCACCTCACCCCGTCTCTGGATCCGCCCTTGGAAAAGGGGGGGGGGGTCAGGTTACGTGGGGAAGTCCCCAGCCCTTCATTTAGGTGGCTCCTGTATGACGAGGCACGCGACGACATGCTTGACTACGCCCTGCTCGGCACACCGCAAAAAACCGGAAGACATCAGCTCCTCCTGGTTGAGTTAACTCAACCGAGGTGCTGATGTCTTCTGTTGACAAAAATCGGCGGTCGACTAGCGGGTCGACATTGGTTTATCAAAGGAACAGTTCAACAAGGATATAAATGCTACAGGAATAATGTTTTTGTTTCGTGTTTTTGCTGTCGAGCCCGGCTGAGCAGAGCTAGTAAAACACACGTACGTTCCCTCCGCTTATCTCCTCCTCTCCCACCGGACCGGATAGCGGGGCGGTGCCAGTGCCAGGGTCGCGGACCCACCTAGACAAGCCTAGACCAGCCCGGCCCAAGTCCAGGTCTCAGAAAACAAAGGGGCCCCTGTGGGCCTTGTGGGCCCTGTGGGCACAACGAGAGGAAAACGCTGACAAGTCCCCCCCCCTCTGGGGCCGCGAACCCCAGGATCGCGTCGTCGCACTCACGGCACGGGGGCGCCCCGTAGGGCCCGTAGGGGTGCGAGAGAGACAGAACGACCAAATGAGCGGATCCAGGGTTAAATGTTTAGGCATCGCTCGACCCCAGACACACTAGAAAACTGCACAACAACGGACCTTTAGGGTGCAGCCCTGGAAACGCCCATCTGGGACCACGACCTTCGAAATGGTCCCTGATTCCGTGTTCGACCCGCGGACGTCTTGCGCCGACCTGATAGTGGACTACTGTAACCCCTATATCGTGTGCACGGCCGGGCCGATCCAGAGCACAGTGTGCACACGTACACTGTCCACGTCCGGGTCCGGAGGCACACAGTAGGCCGCCTCAAAACTCTAGACGCGTTTTGAGCTCCAGAGTCGCCAAACAAGGACTCGAGCCTAAAGCGTGACCCCACCAATGGCTTCCCCGTTCAGAGAGCAATCCATCGGTGGGGTCAAGCGCTCGGTTCGAGTTCCATTTAGCGGACTCTGGAGCTCAACACGCGTCTCGAGTTTTGGGCCGCCTCCACCGGTCTTCTGGCCCACTGTGCGCCATGGTGTGATCCACTGCAGACCAACACGGAGCCACGGGCAGGGTTAGATGGGGTCAGCGGGTCGGGTCAGCTTGCGTGTCAGCCCCTGTCAGCACATCAGGCGAGGCGAGGCGCCAGCCTGCTTCTGGGTTATTAGACCGTCCACTGCAAACGGCACGCCGCGGCACGCACCGCCCCAACCGGCTCCTTGGCCAGCAGGCAGATTCCGAGAGTCCTTTTCGTCGCTCTGTGACTCTCGTACTCATGGGGCGTCCCGTACACGCGCGATAGAGAGTCGGAGCGACGAGGACGACTCCCACATTCGCAGAGGGCGGTCACGCGGTCACCATATAGTCACCAGGGGCCTTCTCGGACATTAACAGTGGCGAAGCTAGCCTGTGTGCCGCCGTGTGCGCCCCCTGTTCGCTTCAGCACTGTTTCCAGGGAGCCCCGCCTCCCCGCCCTGCTCCGTCCGAGGGAAGGCCATGTTTGCCGACCCTTCGATCGCAGAACCGCGTCTCCAAACAGGACGCAGCGACAGGGCGGGTGTCTGCATCACCGTCGAAAGGCGAAGTCGTTTCGACTTTCTTTCAGCCAGCCATTCAGTTATTCAGCCCCGTCGAGGGGGCGACCACTCTAGAAGTCTTGTGTCCCCTTGGCGCTAGAAATCTCTGGGAAATCTGAAATCTTACCCCAAAAAAGGCCAAAAACAAGCTAATTTTGGGCGGAATATCGGTTAAAATCTTGCGAAATCCGATGAAATCTTTAGCTTTAAGAAATCTTGTGTCCCCAATTATCCAATGTGGTTATCGCCTCGAGCCCCGTTCTCGATTGCCCGGACGTTTTACGTTAGTAGCGCGTTACAGTGCAGCGACAAGTTAATCATAACGCCGCCCTGGAGTCGCCTGCCTGGAGTCTCGCCTGGAGACCGTCGTGCACTGCACTGCAACGACTGCAACGCACCGCCACGGCGATGGCGGCGAGATAACAGTGCGATGCAGCTGCAGGCCGAACAGCGCTTCGTCGCTCTGTCTCTCTCGCACCCACAAGGTACGTAGGACGGCCCGCGGGTGCGAGAGAGACAGAGCGACGGAGGCGACTCTCAGTCCGCTGCAGCAGCCCGGCTGTGGGCGCGCCAGGCCCGCCGCGGCCCCGCCAGGCCAGGGCCCCGCCCTGCACATGCACACCCCGCTGCAGCAGACGGATTCCGAGAGCCGTCGCTCTGTCTCTCTCGCACTTGCAAGGAGTCCCGTGTGGGTGCGAGAGCGACAGCGACAACTCTCGGAATCAGTCTGCAGGTGTCGCGCCGCGCGGCGTCCGTTTCCGGCCGAATTCCGCGCGCGCCGCACCGCCGCACGCGGATTCCGCACAGCGCTTTGCGTCGCTCTGTCTCTCTCGCACTCACGGGGCGCCCGTACGGGTGCGAGGGAGACAGAGCGACGTTCGAGTCCAGACGGGAGGCCGCGGTGCGCGCGGTGCGTGGGACGCGGAGCGCGTGCCAGGCGGGCATCCTGCACGCGCACTGTGTCAATGTCACGGGGCATTTCGCCAAAAGGGGGCAAAGAGATGGAGGACGAGACGTAAAGCGGAAACAACAGGAAAAGGCGACAGTTCCGGCGCGGATCCAGGATGGGGGTGATGACATCGCCTCCTTGGTGCTATCCTCTGACCAGAAAACGAAGAGCCGCCTGAGTCCTCGCGGTTTATGGCATCTGCCGCCTTGGATAGCATTGCAGGTAGCCCTCGACCGCGAGAACCCAGGGCTCTTCGTTTTCTGGTCAGAGTAGGCCACGGGACGTATGTAAAAGCACTGCTTTGCCTTTGTTATGCGGCAAACAGCCAATACTTGTCCCCCACCTTGCAAAAATCCTGCATCCGCACCTGCGACAGGGTTGCCACAAATATGAAATTTCCATTTTCCCTGACTTCAAGACCCCCCTTTTCCGTTTTTCCCTGACTTTTTGAAGTACCTTTTCAAGCAGTCGGGTACAATAAATGGTGAGTTTTTCGAATGAAATAGGTGTCTAGGGTCGTTTATGCCACTCCTTTCCGTTTTTCCCTGACTCCATTTCATTTTCCCTGACTTTTCTCTGGCTTCCCCGACCGTTTTCAAATTAACTGACTTTTCCAGATTTTCGAGGGTTTCCAGACTTGTGGCAACCGCGTGCGATTTTGGTGTTTGTCGGCGAGACACTCTTGGCGCGGAGGACGCGGACGACGGTACGGCGGGGCAGGCGGCTTGCTCCGCTCGCTCCGCGTGCTTTAGGACTTCCGGCCGCCGAGTGTATCGAGCACCGTATCGCGAGGCGCGGCGAGGCGCCGAAACGGACCGAAGGGGACCGAAGGGGCCGCCGATTTGTTTCGTTCACCTTGGCTCGCCTCGGCCGGCCGGCCACTGCCAATGCTGCCAACCACGCCGTGCTGCGGCGGACTGCGGCGGACGTGGGGAGTGGCTGGCCTCGCCATCGGTCGGAAATGGGTTTATATAGGTTTAAAATGGGATTCAAATAGGGATGAAACCGAATTAAAATGGTTTTAAACAAACATAATGGAAATGGGTTTAAAACAGGATGAAAATGAGTTCAATATGGTTCAGATTGGGTAAAAATGCATTTTTAATCCCGTAGGACTAAAAGAGACTGATAATGGGTTTGGGTTCGAAATGGATCTAAATTAGAAGGCGGCGAAAAGCACCCTTCAACGCGAGGGCTGCTACATCTGGTATCAGTGGCGTGCGCAAGGGGAGGGGTGTCATGACCTCCCCCCCTTTTGGCCACAAGACAGCCGCCTGGAAGGTAGGCAAATTGCGTCACTTTACCCCTGTAAGTAGGCAAAAAGCATGGCCTGACCCCCCCTTTTTTTTCAAAATTTCTGCGCACGCCACTGTCTGGTACGTGGCTGTCTTGTTCACTTCAGCGTCAGTTCTCGCTCCGCAAAAAATAACAAAAGTTTAAAAGTTCAGTCGATTTTATAACCCAAC